GCACTCCAAATCTCACATAACAAATCTAGAATTTGGCTTTTGTGCCACTACACAGTTCTCAAAAGATTCCCCCAAGTTTGGCTGGATATAGAATCATTATTGCCGTCATCTGATAGTGAAAATCGTTCGAGATATCAACAAAACAAACAGCAAGAGAAAAGAGGGAACAAATCATCAAGGATCAAGCGGTTAGGGCCCATGAGCATGTTTTATTTAAAAGTAGACAAAGAGAGAGAGAGAGCACTTGTAAAATAGGGATAGGAAGGCGAAGGAGAGGTGCTTTGAGGGGAGAGCTCTGCGAAGGTTTCGGCACAGGCTCGGAGGCACAAAATTGTCAAACTTTCCAGTATTTCGGATAGTTTTATGAAAAATTGCCGTTTCAAAGTGCTTTTCTTTTCATAGTTTTCAGAAAACAAGGCTTCCAGGTAACTAACACCAATGAAAGAGACGGTGAGAATAGTGTAGTTTGAAAGGAAATGAGCAAACAGGAAAACTTTGAACTTTGAACTAAATGTTCAGTTTCAAAAAGTTGTTTAGTTTGCTTATAATGGAACTGAATCGCTGCGGGACCGCCAGAGGTCTTCAGGAAAAGTATTCCATTCTATCGGAGTGTTGTTCCAATGAAAAAGATTAGAGTGACGTCAAGACGTCAGATGGAATCCGTGTTTTTGCAAATTTCAACTTTGATCCTTCCTTTCTACTTTGAAAATAACTGTCTAGTTTTCACGAAATCATCCTCAGCAAAAGTTCAACGTTTCAATGCCGTAATGTTTATAGAAGATGAAAAAGATAAAACACTTCGCGGTTTCAAAGCATCGACAACGTGCCGCCCCTTTTGCATTTGTCAAAAAACCAAAGTCATAATAGCGGAAGTGAGGCGCCAGACAGACGATTTTCAGGTGGTGGGACGGTTAAAGTCAAAAGAAAGGGAAGAATGTTTGGGCGCGAAATTCGAAAAGATTGACCTCCTGCTCAAATATTGACCGAAACGGTTTCGAGGCGCGCATTTCCGACGGTTTACGGCAGAGCCATTAGACACGTGTAAACGAGGAGCACAACAATTTGGGGGCCATTCAGACGGAAAAGAAGATCACGAGCAGAAACGAAACGGAAGGGGAAGGGGGAAGCGGATGGTTGAATGGAGATGATAATAAGATGGAAAAGGTGTTGATGTTGGATGATATCAATGGAATGAGCACGGCAAAAAACTGATTCGGACGCTCGGAATGAACAGTTTGGGACCGAAAACAGGGATTTGGAAGTAAGATCGGGTTGGCACTTTCACAGAGATAAACGTGAACAATCAGTTTCATCTAAACTCCTAAAAGTTGATTAGGAACATGTGAAATGGCGATTTTGAAACGGCAAACGACGAATTCCGAGGTTCAGCAACATTGGCAGGAAATGAGATCATCGAACTTTTACGGAAATCTAGACTGTGCCACGAATAATACTGTAGTGTCGGTGAAACTGTAAACGTTTCAGAACATTTTTCTGTTTCACCACAAGCACTTTGATGACTTACTTGACACTTCTTTTGGTAAATGTTTAGCTCAATCCGGTAATGACTAAACAAAACTTTCACAGTTTCAAAACATGATTGAAACTGTGAAAGTTTGAGTAGTGAAATCTTATAATAGCAAGCTTGCGTAGAGAAAGAAGGAAAAGACAGGGAAAAGTGTCCGATTTGCTATGCAGCTGAATAACAACAATTAGACCGTCCGAAATCAGCTTCCCTCCTAAAAGACTCTTGGAATTTGGGACCGACCGAAAGCACGGCAGACCGAACAGTCTGTTTCCACCCTTAAATTGTGTCACTCTATAAACGTTTTTCACTTTCAAAACACAAAGTAAACGAAAAACAACAGAGGGAGGCATGGGCGTCGAAATTCGGAAATTCGGAAGCTGCGGACAAGAAGAGAGAGAGAGAGAGAGAGAGAGAGAGAGGTGTTTAGAGTGTGCTCGGACCGGGGAGCAAATGGGCAAACAGGCGGAACAGACATCAACTGTACGGACAGGTGATCCCTCACTCTGTTTGATATCAAATTTTAGTTTTTGGCGGATTTCTGCTCACTCATTTTCAGTTTAGCGCCAACAAGACTTTGACGGGGAAATGATCAGAGAGACTCTTGAAAATCAAGGCTTCTTGAAATAAAAAACTGGAAAAAGAGCCGCGCCATTGCCCGGAAAAAACTAACGCCAAGATCAAACGGATCTCTCTCTCTCTGATTTTAGTGATTACTCACTTTACAAGTCAGCTGGAACGAGAGCATTCTGCAAAAAGGCGCTCAATGAAATCCTATTGTGGCCGACAAAGACCTTCAATTCAATTACAGCTCGAAAAGAACGACGGAGAAGAGCCGTTTTCCGTGCGAAATAACAATTTGTGCCTCTTCGAAAAAGAGTCAACTTCCGGCGGATTAAGACGGAAAACTTGACCCCCCTCTTCTTTTCGTTTTCTCTTTTCCCTTTGAATTACTACTTTCCTTCCTAAAAAGGACATGTTGGAGTGAAAATTGGAATGTTTATGGGCTCATTTTGGAACAGTCTCTTTGAAAGAGTGGGTTTATCCTTGGTCTATTACTAACAGAAATGCAGATGATACTTATTTAGGGGGCATTCGAAACTGTGATCTACAAAATATTGTACTTTTACTTTCTCAGAGGCAAGATGTCAACTTTGAGCGTGTATAGCAAAGTTCGGAAGTGTTATTTTGTTCTAGAAAGTTTCGAGCATACCTTTGACTTTACTGTTCCAGTTGACACTTTTCTTGTATCACAACAACTGTAGAATTTGTTAAACTTTAGACACATGGCAGCACAACTTTCGTGAGCTACAATAGTCTTGAAAGTTGTAGTACAAAGCAGTTGTCAACTAGAAAAATACAGTACTAGGTGCGTAGCCTACGCTCAAAAAGTTTCAAAGCGAAATGACCACTCGGAGCTCAGTTGGGCTCATTCAAAGTTGCCTACTAACAATTTCTTTGTCCGTTATTGTACAACTCCAAAAAAACGTATTCAATAATTCAATAGCTCTTCAAATGTTCGAGTCAAAGACATTTCGAAACAGTAATGCGATCCAAAAATGCCACGTCGCCGTGCCTAGAATCTCTCTAGACGCCCCCGCATTCGTGTTCGTCGGTAAGAGTTCAAAAGGGAAAAGTGGAGGACACGGGGGGGAAAGGTAGGATCGGCTCGAGTTCAGGTGCTTCTCCTCCTGTCAAACTGCGCACAAACACGAGATCTTTCCCTTCTTCTTCCTCTTCTTCTTCTTCTTTTTCTGATTAAACAATGTCTGCGTCTCTGCGAATCGCGTCGTTTTGAATCACCGAATCCGTGATCGAATCCTAGCGGATCACAAATTGAAATTGAACAGAGAGAGAGAGAGAGAGGGAGAGAGAGAAGGAAGTTGAAGTGAAAATAAAAGGAAGGAATGGTCGGTCAAATAGAAGTGGAGAGTAAGTGAGTAATTCGATCCGTTGCTCCGAATAATTCAATTGTTTCGGACGGCAAAAGTGGTAAACTATGAGAAAAGTGATGATGATGTTCGGAATCGACCTGCTCTTTGAGCCTTTGCAAGTCCCTGTTGGCTGGGGCCCAGAGCCCCTTGCTAGAGGTTACAGTAGTAAAGTAATAGATCGAAACAATTTGAGAGCATTCGATTTGAGTTTGGAATGGTCTTGGTGGCCTAGAGAAACTGTAAATCAGGCATTTGGCATCACAATGAAGGAGATACTTGGGCCGAAATAATTAACTTGAAAATTGACGACGACAGATTCAAAAGCACCGATGAGACAGTAAAGTTCTCGAAAATATGCCAACATTGAAACATGTTTCACACCTAAAGTGGATACCTAGAGACAATATATTGTACTTTTCAAAAATTGGAATCAAACTCACCGTATTTCTTCTCTCTCTCTCTCTCTCTCTTTTCCACACAAAGAGATATATTTCTCAAAAAGTTCACAAGTGGAAGCCTTCTTTTCGCATTTTAGTGAACAACGAAAAACACGGAGAAAGAGGGAGAAGAACACTGTAGGTTCGGAAGAAACACTGATTCAGAGTAACTGTTGGGAATATTGTCGGTTCGCTTTAGTCGGAAATGCGAAACGGGAAATACTTTTTTATTTTCGTCAACTTTGGACCTGAAAAATAGCGAGTATTCAGAAATTCCGTTGTTTTCGCAACGCTCTCACCGGTCTGGTCGGGTGAAAAAGTTCAAAACAACCGAAAATCATTTTATTTTTGACAAGAACTGCGGTTTCAACTTGCCACGTATACTACAGTCGAAATGGGATTTCTGTCATTTTGACCCGAAACTAGAGTTTTCCGCATTTTTTGAAGTTATGCGTTTCCAAAGTAGAAGTTTCATTTCGGTTTTTTCTTCAATTTTTCAAGGTGGTAAACTGCTCGGACGGATCGGAAAAGCAGTGAAAATGGTGTTGTTCTCTCTGGGATTTCGAGTGTTTCCAAACAGAAAAAAAGTTGTCGGAGGGCCGAGTGAAGGGGCAGGAAATACGAGAGAACTGCGAAAAATGGCACCAGAACATTTAAAAAAAAGGGGCAAAGGTCTCGGCGATGAATTTATTGGCTCGACGGCTCCGAGCCGATAAACCACCTTTTTGTAATAAAACTTCATAAAAATCTCACCTCGTTTTTCGCGTTTGCTCTCCGAATCTCAAACATCCGAGGTTAAAGAAAAGTTATGAAAATAAACGAAAAAGAGAGAGAACTTCCCTTTTTAATTAGTGTATTACTCAAAAGTTCAGGACTACATGAAACATTTGTGAAAAAAGAGAACAAAGAAAGTATGCAACGAATAAATAAAATTCAAAAAGAGAGGGGGAGAAATGGGAGAGAGATCACCAGTTGGGAACGGGTAAACATGGGAGGAGGGGGCTATCCGATAGCCGGGAAAAGGGATTTCATCGTGTCATCATGAACCGTTTTTCGAGGAATCTTAGAAAAATCTGCGGGGAATTTGAAATGAGAGGGGAGGAATTATTCCTTGCGCGGAGCTCTGCGATGTCGTGCCTTTCCGTCCTCGTTCTTCTCCTCTTCCTCTTCCTCCGACTCGGCGTTCGGCGACACCTAAACGACCATTTACCAGCTCATCTTCACGCGAATCTCACCTTTCCCACCTTGTTCTTCCGCTTCTTCAGCAGCCGGGTCCGCTCTCTTCTCGCCATTTCCTCCTCGTCGTAATCCGAGTCACTGTCCGATCGGACGTCCTTCGCCTGACCTCCCGTCGTCGTTCGGATCGCGATTCGCAGAATAATGAATGTCCAGAAGATGTGGAGGAAGAACAGGAGGATGAGAGCGAAGACGATGAGACGGGGAGCGTACGGGGGACTCTGAAAAGTGCCTTTCGTTCATTTTTCACCCAAATGAGCATCTACCAGTTGATAATCCCATAGAATGTAATCCGGTTGAATGAGTCCGGCGGCATCGGTAATTGCGGATCGGATGACGACGAACGGATAATAGATGAGACGAGTGAGGACCCAGGAAGTGAAGAAAAGCACGAACATGAAGTTGGTAAGGTTCTTATTGTGAGCATCGTAACGGACGAGCTTTCCCCCCTCCAGGAACACATCCGACACGTCGTGGGACAGAAGGATCAGGGTGCCGACTCTGCAAATGACAATAGTTTATATGAGGGGTCTAGGTGACTACGACTAACCGGACAAAGTTGATGGTCCAGCTGGAGGAGAGCAGGAATACGGTAATGATGTGGTGGAACATCAGTTGCCAGAAGTCGGAGCGACGGACATCGAAGGTGGAGGCAATGAGGAGCGAGTAGTAGAAGCCCGTCTCGATCATGTAGTACCACCTGAACTTATCCCGTTTTAGAGTTGTTTCATTTCCACGCCAGCGGCCGTAGAAATTCCCTTTTTTCTCAAAATGGCAAACAGTTTTTTGCCTAAACTTGTGAAGGATTCAGTCATTTCGCGATCTTTTCTGGGCTAGAGTGGTCGAAAATCCCACAGTAGCATGTTGCTTTCTTTCTTTTTTTTCTGTTAGCCCCTTGAATATTAATTCCGTAACCGTGGCCATGGTTTGTGCTCAGTCCCTGTGTGCCCATTCCCACCCGCGTGCGCGTAGTATTGTTCGTCTATTCACTCTTTCCCAATCGGATGATTCATAATAATCGAATGGAATGACTCTGCACTGTCAAAAGTGTGTCCATGTGCTCCGCGAGCACTGATAAGACTACAGAATGTGCTCCTTTCTACTATGCGATGACATGGCAGTGATAAGGAGAGGAATAAAAAATGGAGATAACCGAATCAATGACTCGTCGTACGAAATGCAACGATCGTTACGAATTCGACTCACCAGATGGAGGGCGGCACCGGATGGAACGGGTATCCAATCCAGCACTGTTTCACGTCGTACAGCCAGCTCGAGTCCTTCATCGCGTACACTCCGTACATGAAAGCGAACGTGTAGTAGCTGAAGCGCCAGAAGCATTCGAGAATCTTTTTGGCCCTCGAGACGGATGCGAATCCGCCGGACATGTGCTCCCACATCTGAAAAGGACTCGAATGGACAAAGAGGGGAAAACAAGGACTCACGCATCCGACAAGAGTAATGTTTTTACGGGAAGCGTAGGCGTTCGTTCGGAAATACAGATACGTCACTCCGACTGTCGATTCCCACAGAATTCTGAAACAATTTTACATTATTGTTGGCGCAATAGCATGGAAGTCGCGAAATTGTCGGATCGGATCGGATTCAAACATCGCATTATTATTGGTTAGCATTATCTCCTTTGAAAGTTTCACTCCGATTAAATTTTCATATCTGGAGAAATTCTGGTTTGAGTGACTCAAAATGAGTCCGAAAAACAATCACTATATCTTCAGACCAGATATTCCAATACAGTTGAAATTTTCAAGGTAGATACTCCGAACCAAGTTTAGTTCCCTGAACTTTTCGCTCCAATACGTTTTCCCATCGTAATGGTTCCATGCGCGCGTGTTCCGCACCATTCGGCTCTCGGCGGCATTCTCTTCAGTTCGTTCCCCTTTCACAAACATAATTTCTCTTTCTCTCTCTTTCTCTTTCCGTCCGTCTACTCATAAGCTCATAAAACAAACACGAGGTCCCTTCGCTTCGTCCGTCCGTTTCCCTTCTGTGCACTGCACTTGTTATATGCACAAACCTGATTATAACCAGTGGGATCGCCAGATAAATCGGCACGATCAGGTCGTGGAACTTGGCCGGCAGCTCGTCCCACGTCACGTTACGTGGCAGCCAGAGCGGCTCGTGCCAGAAGTTGGACATCTGAAATCAGGCTCGATTTGACTGAGTAGGAAGCAGCAGGAAATGGATTTTTGATATTTTAACCAGAACATTGACTAAAAGGAGGTTGAAAAATCTCGAGTTTTGGGCTCAAGAACGCATTCGAAATATACGAATAACGGATTCGTTGGGGAGGGAAAGCTTTCAAAGATGTCATTTCGGCAGTAGTCCCTGACAACAGGGCCCACCAGCTAAGCACTCTTTTTCCGACTTTTATTTTTATGAACGTGCTCAGAGAACAGCTTTCGAATAATTCAAGAGTCAAGAAACTTTCACCGATGGAAGAACATTGCAGGAAGAAAGGAACCGAACCGAAAAACTCACCCTCCACATCTTCATTCTTCTTTTCTCTATTTTCCTGTTCTGCTTTTTCTTCTTCTTCTTCTTCTTCTTCTTTTGATACTGTCCGTCCCTATTGAATAGTTGAATAAGAATGATATGATCAACAAACGGAGAGTGCGAGGAGCAGAACGAGAGGAGAAACGAAGAGAAAGAGGAAGAGAGAGGGAAAGAGCGCGGGTTGCCAAAAGTTCGGTCACTGTCTGTATATTGTGTGGTTTATGTGGAAGGGAGACGCAGAATGAGTCAAACGGAGAGAGAGAGAAAGAGGGCTCCGCTCCGCCCAAAGTCGGGGACGCAAAGAGTACGAGTCGACTGAAGAGTGGACGGTAATTGGAAAGGAAAAGAGAGAAGGAGAAGGACTCAATTATTACGCGGACTGAATGCGAATTACCGATTCAATGGATTCGACCTGGTTTTTCGAGGCAGTAATCAGAAAACATGAACTTTACTTTTATGAATGAACTCTCCTTTCCTCAAGTGTTTTTGCACAGATATTTTGGTTTGAAAATCGAATTGACAAATGTTTCGAATTTGCCTAACTTCTTTCCAAACATACTATCGGAGCAGCTGGAACAATCAAAGCTCCGAACACTAGAAAACTACAAAATAGAGCAAACTCTACGGAAAAGCATAACAAATCGAGTGTTTACAATTCGATGAAATGTGCAAAAACTCTCTCATTTCCATCAAGTCAATCATTCAACGCAAAACACTTTTTAGGTGGAAATCTGAACGAAAAATGGCACATAGTTTGATCTAGTGCCCTTGAGAAAGTGCTGACGAGAGGGAGGGCGGAAGAAGACGAAATGTTCGGAAACTGTGTGCAAACAGAAAGAACACTGGTTCTTGTGTCACGAGCAGACCAGCTCGGAAATTGCGACGAAGAGGAAGAGTTATCAGAATGTGTGGTGCTGGAAATGCGAAAACAGAGCGATAAAACGAGTCACGAAATGTGCTCTTTTAGCCTGAAAAGCATAAACCACGGCTATTTGAATGGAGGTAGACGACGTGTATGTATTTCAAATCGGATGAGAACTTTCGCTGGTCAGACTACTGCGAGCACTAATTTCCGACCTTTTTGTCTGCTTTAGAAGCCCCGCGGCGGGTCCATAAATCAAGGGAGCCGGCCCCACTTTTCCAAGCGATAAATCTCAGTGAGCCCGCTGACCCAATTCTTGCTCAAATTGCTCGCATCCATCCGGTTATGTGCTCAGAGAGCCTTTCGAGCAGCAGGTAAAGCAGATTTGAATGTGCTCAAAAAAAGAATGGGGATTTCTGATGAATTAGCAGAGAAAAGTGCGAAAATTACCTAGAAATTGTTTGAAATTTGAATATTTTTAATTCTGGCTTGAGCGAACTATAATTTTCAGTCCCCTTTTCTTTTTATTTTTTAAAATCGCCTTCCGAACGTCACTGATCGTTTTTGAGTAAGTGACCTATCGGATCGCCGTCTAATCGAATCAATCAGTTGTTTCTCTCTCCGTTAACATTTTAATTTCTGATCCCTCCCGACTGCATCCTTTTCCGTTTTTCCGACGTAGACCCTCTTTGATAGAAATTTTACGACCAAATTTTTTTTTGACAAGTGTTTCGAACAAAGAGGAAATACTCACCACCCATCGGTATACATCCATCGTTTCGGCCGGTTGATGGCGCCTTTCACCGCGTCTGAAACGCTGTATTCGGCTTTGTGAGAGAGAAAATGCAAAAAATAACAAGCGAAATGCCGACCGGAAACTGGTTTTTCAACTGCGAAAAATAAGTGCAGAGTGGGCATTTCAGTTTACGCGCATTAATTGCTACAGTAATCCGCAGGCTGCAAAGTGAATGAAAAATAATTGTTCCAGCATTTTCAGATCATTCAATTTCTAGATATTACAATTTTAAAAGCAATTGAACTCTAAAACGTCATAAAATGTTACTAAAATTCTGGAATTCTTCATTTCACAAATCATATGCAAATCCGGCATTTAATTTCACGCGCACAATCGTCGACGCTAACAGAGGAGCTCTAAAATTAGCTGAAAAAAAGGCTTGATAAATATTTGCGCAAAGTTTTTACTCTCTATTTTCAACATTTTTATACATAAATTCAACTGGGTGCAAGAGAGCTCAAAAATGCTCGATGCCGCCAATTTCTCAATATAAACACGCGAAAGTCAGCTGTCGTCTCTGTTTTTCTGATGTTGTTTCGTTGTTTCATGTGTAATTCCGGTTCCCGTCACCTTGGAAACGTAAGTAAACGCCATTTCAAATATTTTGCACAAATCAGTTTATTACGATAGCAGAATAGAAATTTTTTTGGATTTTCGGCAGGATAAATGTGGAAAAAGAATGCAAATAAAGGGATAAGCATGAGTAGCTTTGTACAGAATGGCTTGAACGAATTGGCTAGTATTTACAGCGCTACTACCCGACAAATGAAATAAAATGGGGTACTCGGGGGAACGGGGATCGAATGGGAAAAGCTTAAAGTAGGAAGGAATAAGCTGCGGACGAAGGCCTTTCGGTAGAGGCTGAGGATCTCGGAAAGCTGTTCATGATGAAGAAAAGCGCTGCGGAGTGGGCTTATGCACAGAGAAAACGGAAAAGGTACAGGAAAGAGGATGGTATATACAGGAACGGGATCGACCCGAAGCCAGAGGGAATGTGTATGAGACAAAGATCAGAAGAAGAGGGAATTGGGGAGCAGTTTAGAATTCGACGTCCCATCCGGACTCGTCACATCCGGACGCAAAGTTGTCAAACACCGGAAAGGTGTCAAAGTTGGAGGTGTCAATATCGCTGGAGACGGACGGAACGAACGGAGGGCGCATTCGGTGGGCGCGGAAGCCGACGAAGTCGAAGTTGTCGAACCAGATGTGGTGGCGGATCTCGCCGATGTCTCCGAAGCCGAGACGCTCGGTCGGCTCGTACTTGCACAGCGACAGCATCATATCGATCGCCTCTTTTGTCACGAATCTGAAAACGTTTCCATTCGCATTGTACGCATCAATCACTGCCATTGTCCCCGCTATCAATGATACAGTAATCAAACAAAGCTTACCTTGGCCACGCCCACTTTTCCAGTCCCTTCAGAATCGCATTGTAAGTCACCATTGGATCAGTACTCGAGAACGGAGGCCTGGAAACGAAAGAAACAGTTGGAATCAGTCAATGTTGAGATGGAAACTAACGATCCAGTAAGGAGCTCGCACATGAAGATGCCGAGAGCCCAGATGTCGACGGACAGATCGTGTCCCTTGTTGAGCACGATCTCCGGGGCCACGTACTCGGCGGTTCCGCAGAAGGTCCAGGTCCGTCCGCCGTTCTTCAGCTTCTTCGCGAACCCGAAGTCGACGAGTTTCGGGAAGCCGTTACGGTCCAACAGCATGTTCTCGGGCTTGAGATCCCGGTAGACGATGGACTTCCGGTGCAGGTACTCGAGGGCCTCCATGGCTCCGGCACAGTAGAAACGCGTCAGGTCGTTGTCGAAACGGCCCTTTTTGCGGAGAATCGTCCAGATCTCTCCGCCGAGACACGGCTCCATCAGCATGTAGATCTTCTCGCTGTCACGGTACGTTTTGTAGAGTCGGACGACGAAATCGCAGTCGCATTGCATCAATATCCGACGTTCGGAGACCACGTGGCTCTCCTGCTTCGTCTCCACAATGTGCGCCTTGTTCATGATTTTGAGCGCGTACGTTCGGACCGAAGAACGGACGAGCTCGACGCGTCCGAAGCCGCCCATTCCGAGCGTGGCGACTCTTTGCAGGTCTTCCAACTCGACTTCGACCTCTTCCAGGTTGTTGCTGAAATGGGATACGGTAAGATGGAGTTGTGCAAAACTGGCTTTTTCTTTTTCTCCTTCTGCGCGTGCAATTAGATGAATCGTACATGTTTGTTCGCGAAAAGAGCGCACAAAAACAAGAGAGCGCAGAGAAGGAGCAAAGTCTGGGAGCATGTCGGGAGCACGTGAACGGCGGCTCATTGAGCTTACCTGGCTCTGGGTCGTATCTCGTCGTCCAAATCGGTCGTGTCGAGGGCTTTACACAATTGTTCGACGTGCATTTTGATGAGGTGAGCGGGTCCTTCGAGGACAAAGAATCGTTCGAAACGACCTCTGCAAATGGATGAGGTGACACGTGGCACTACATGCAAATGGAGCGGAGCACAAATGGGCTCATGCTGGAGAAGAAGAAGAAGAAGAAGAAGGCGAGTGTGAGAAGGGGAATGGAAAAAGGCAAATATTTGGTTGTGAAGCAGCCGGTGCGGCTGCCTGGCTGGCTCATGGTTCACAAACCACCGTAATCGTTCCGGAAAAGCCAGAACGGGAGCACGTCACTAATGCCACGTAGAATTCGATGAGACGAGCCGCTCCCAAAGCAGTGTTCGAGGTGGAAAGTGAAATTTCCGCTCGCCAGACCGTCCCATTTATACCCGATGTAATCGTGGCTTGTTAGGACGACCTGTGATGAATGAGGACTGAAAAAACGGCGACGGCGACTGAGAGAGAGAGAGAGAGAAGATGCGAAAGTGGGCGTGGCCAGAAAAGGGGCGGGGTGGGAACGAGGGGCGGAGCAGAGAAGAGAGGCGCAGAGAGGCGAGAGGGCACGTGAACCCGCACTGACCAAACTACGACGGATTGCATGAGAGTTCGCTGTTAAGCGGGTTCGAAACTCGCTTAACCCTCTTAAACGGGCCTAGTACGTACTGGCATAATGCGCCGACTACAGTACTCCATTGACGTGTGACAAGAAGAGTACAGAAGCTTAGAGTCTCGTTCTTTTTTCGACCTTATCAACACTACATTTGCAGTCTGTCACCCCACTTTTTCGCCGGGGGAAAAGCGACGAAAATTCGGGTGATTTCAAGTTTTACACACTCGAAATGCTGGCAATGCGGGCAATGTCTGCACACGACCCAAAAACAACGGGACCACGGGTGTGATGTTCACGTGAGACGAGCAAAGTACGGGCGGATGGCGAGAGGAAGAGGAGAGGAGGCAGAAGCTATTGATTGACAACATTTGTGAGAGAATTGGGTGCATTGAGGGGGCACACTGTTTAGAAGTGAGTCACGAATGACACAACAATAACTGATGAAAGGGAAAGAATGGGACTGTACAATTGCGTTTCTGCAATTTCAGACGACAGTTTTTGATGGAAAAACTTGGCAAAAGTGTCGAGAATGTTCAGAGAGCTTCATCTGCACCCGATGAAAGTGACAACTTCTCAGAATGCATGCCTCTTTCACTTCGGGCCCATCCGACTCATTCGTCAGCTGATTGGAATAGGCAAATGAGAGATGCAGACAAAGTGTCTCTTTTCGAGATCAAACAATGTCATTTCATCTTTCCGCGGGCCCTTCCGCACCTTTCCGCGCGTACACACTTTTGATTTTAGGTCGTCTCGTCGTTTGATCTTTGTTTCAGACTTCGAGAGCTCATGAAAGTCTCGCCGCAAATATTTTGAGTACCACGGCGTTAGTTTCACCCATTTTCCCCTCGTGTTATCATCGATTTTAAAGCCGATTAGCATGAAATACTTTGTGCAGAAAGTGAAAGTGAAAGCGCACTCGTGCTCTCGGAGCACAAAGGTCTCTCTGGGGCGCAAGGGGGTCAAATGTTTCGGGGACACTAGAGTGTCTACGACTAAAATTGCGGACGTGTGAGGTGTCTAGGCGAGAATTCCAGAAGGAAACCTGACCCGGCGGTCTCGAAAACAATGAGCTCTCAAGAAGAAAAAGCGGCTTTACGATTCGATTTCGTGTGCTCCAAACGAGAGAAAAAGTGCAACCGAGCGAGGTCAGTTGTTATTAGTTTCCGCGGAAAAAAGTGGAGACGAGCAAAGTGCATTTGATTGAACAGTTTGGAGCAGGCGGTGGTCGAGGTGCGAAAAAGTTCGGCCATCCGTTGGCTAGAGCGTCAGAGCGCGTTTTCCCCCAGCAGCAGATCTTGCAAAAGTGTACTTTAAGTTGTCATAGTTGTGTGTCAATCGAGCACGTGCCCAAAACAGGTACAAGACATCACAGTTCGGTCCTATCGCCCTTATCACTTTCCCTTTCAAACTCACTTTCTGCCACAGCGGAGTTCAAAGTCCTGGCCGGCGGTGATCTTGCTCACTTCTCCCTGATCGTCGCATATCACCTGCAAATCGTAATTTTGACTCATTTCTTTTCAAGCCCCTCATTTCCCCTTCTCCCGTTTATGATCTATTTTAAGCTGTGTGACAGTGGCGGCAGTTAACCTTTTGGTTATGATCAGAGAAGAAGAAGGAGAAGAAGTAGAAGAAGAAGAAGAAGAAGAAGACAAAGAGAACGCAAGAACCGGTTATCAGTCAGTCGAATGTTTGTGGCGGAAACCCAAATCAAACTTATTTTCGCCTCCTTCTTTCCTAAACGAATGAATGCGGGGGCGACAGAGATCTTCGAGGAAATCAGTGATCATCTATCGATTGATAGGGCAATTTTTGAAGAACAAAGCAATAACGCAGAGAACGACCGACTGATTGGGGAATCGTAAAACGGCGGATGACACACACACACACACACACTGTTCGGGGAAATAGTACTAAAAACGTGCCACGTCATCGTAACATTACACACTCCTGATCAAGTTCACTTTTGGGTAACGAATATGAACGCCAGGGACCGGGAGACCTTCATTGGTTCTTTCAGCTCATGATTCATGTTGTGCAGCCGTACAATAGCATTCATATTTGACCGGTCAACATCAACATTGCCACGTCATCTAGACACTGTTAACAATTTGCGTCCATATCATTATCACACTGTTTCGTATCAGCCACGCGGCAAAGAGAGAAAGTGTGAACATGTCTCTTCTTCTCTCAATGTCACACCTCCCAAATCGATGACGTCGTCTTTCCCATTTGCATCTTTGATTTTCTGGTCTCCAATCTTGGGTCAAGACAACAGCTGAGACTAAACGAGAGGACGTTGGGACAATGCAATTATGCGACGATTGATAGGGAGACTGGAAAGTACTGATTCGTTTGGAATTGTACTAATTGAAACGAAAAGGGGCCTAGTAACGGTGCCGGGGATTCACTGTTTCACGAACTCGTCTTAGCTTTCGAATTAGTCTCATGTTTCGGTCAGTGATACAGTGGTAGCCTGTTGTAAACTTTTTGGAACAGCGACTTTGAAGCGTTTTCTCTCAAAAACGAGAAATCTATATCACCCAAATCTTTCAGGACATTCTTTATAAGTTCAATGGATGAAGAATGCAATGTACAGTTTCAGAAGTCGATAAGATCGTTTCTCTAGCATTATTACTATCTCAACCAAAGTTCACAGCTTGATCATCGGATGCTGAAACAGTATTGCCAGTCATTATTCCCTCTTCCTTTGCATGTTTTCGCATTCCTCAAAAAAGTACCCATCACCTTCTCCTTCTCCGTTCACTTTCAGTAAACAGTAATAAAAGACTAGACTCTTCGCTTCCCGTCTGTCACGTAATCATTCTTCTTCTTCTTCTTCTTCCTCTTCTTTTTCTTAACATTTCGATCGTTCTCAGTGGCCATGAAACTACCGTAACCCACGCGTGTCTGTTCTCATTTGTCACATTCACATTTCGACCGGAATGAACTTGTTTCGGCCAGCTGTCATCACGATCATTGACCGCCGCGGGAGGAGAAGAAATTGTGTTGCTTTTCCATGAAACGACGATAATCGATTAGTTCCACACTGATTCGATTAGAGGACTTCAGATGAGATGGTGCTCGGCTCGGCGAGCCAATTGTTTTGACAGATCGTATAGTGAAAAGAGATCAAACGACCAGCGTGCTCATTGCCAACTGACGTCACGCTCACAAGTTCAGAGATGAAAACATAAAAGTTGGTCACTTTGTTTGTTGGATCCGGTTTTTCTTGCAAAAAAGGTTAAAGAGATAAAAGGAGGAGGGAAGGGACACATGACTGACCACATGATTCGGATCTGGGCTGGACAACAAACAAACATTCGGAGGATACGGACATAGAGCGGTTTACCGTATCCATCGGATCTAAAACTTCGAAGCCTTTCAGACACCCTTCCAATCAACCAATTCTCGCAATCGATTCGTTGTCTATCAATGACGGAATGATTTCATCGTTATCATCGTTTTTGACGCCCTCTCTCTCTCTCTCCCTCTCTCTTTAAATCACGTACACAAGTTTGCCTTTTCGGCAGGTCATCGAGCGCTTTTTGGAGGAAAACGAGTGATAAAAGAACAGAAAGATGTCATATGAGAGGGAAGCGAATCGGTTCCTAGTTCCTGGTTCACAAAACTCGTGGAGGACGGGGGAGGAGGTGAAAAAGTTGATTTCGCGTTTATTTCAACTTTATCGAAAGAAGCGATTAATGAAAGGTTACAGAATGTTGTAGACTTGTTGAAACTGTATACACAATTTATCAGTTGACAAAGTTTTGACATCTCCACCGGCAGCAGAGATACTGCGCTTTGAATAGACTGTATTGGTGTGCTTTTCTATTACAGTATCTACGGTAGTTGTTCGTGGCGAGACCCGTCAATCAAGATCTTTCAGCTTCCATCGTGACCATAGGCTGTTCATCTTTTGGTCCAGCTTTTGCGTTCTCTGCTCTTTCCCACTTATTTCGATCAACAAACCAGTGGTCCGATTCACATGTTTTGTCTTATCAATTCGGCCACTCACGTGACTCTCTTTCTCTAGCACCCTCTCCATTCTCTCTCTCTCTCTCTCTCTCTCTCTCTCTCTCTTTCTCTTTCTCCTATCACTTCTGGAACCAGGTACTGCAAGTTCAACGTGAAAATAGCGTGGTGACGGCGAGAAACGGAGACACGCCGCTTTGCAAGTATTGTCAATTTATCAGCCATTCGGTTCGCACGCGCCACCGCGAGAAAGAGTGGGAAAAGAAGCTGACGGAGAGGGAGAAAAAGAGGAGAGAGACGGCAGAGGTGCTAAGCGAGAGGAAATTGATTGATTTGATAATAGTCAGTTGGATGAACAGCTGCGTTGATTCGATTAGGAACGGTGATCATTCGGATCGAAACAAAGAGAGAGAGAGAGAGAGAGAGAGAGAGAGAGAGAGAGAGAGAGAGAGAGAGAGAGAGAGAGAGACTACAATCGGAAGGAACTACTAATTTGGATTTCGAATTCGATTAGGGTTGGTCAATTGATGAACCGAATCGAACATCACATTCGGAATCAATTAGGATTAAGACAAAATGTTGCCTTTATCAGTTAACGGGTTGAAGAAGAATATGTGCACTCATTCTGCACGTGAAACTGAAGTTTTTTGTTGTAAGAACAAACCTAAATATAAAAACAGTAAAGTGGTCTAAATGACCCTCTTGAAACCGTAATTGATATTATTCTTCATTTTTAGAGACTAGAATAGCTCTTCACTTCCTCATTTCCCCGCTTTTTGACACCATTCCCGGATTAGTGTACAACTCGTCCAATTGCAACCATCGTGGACCCGAGATCATCGGATCCTCCTCGCAACCGGTCCCCATCTAAACACGTGACGTCCACTCAGATCACCCAAAGAATGATCTACCGTATCCCTCGTCGTGCGGTCCGCGTGCATTTCACGTGTCGATCCGTTCTCCGTCGTCTTCTGGTTCACTTTGTTGCGACGATTGAGGCTGTGGCGCCAGGCGTCCGTGCTGTGTGATAACGAGAAGAAACGTAACGGAGACGGCGGCGTCTCTCGCAAACCGATTGTATTTCGGCGGAGGACAAGTGTACTGGAGGGGATGGAAATGAAGATTGTGGGCACGAGCAGAAGAAACAAAGCGGTTATCAGTTATCAGTTATCCGGGACGGGCTTTGAGAGGAATACTCGGAGATCACTTTCGAAAGGGTAAAAACTTTTCAGTTTCAGGGTGGGGATGTATACTCGGAGAGCGTTTTCATAATATTCTTAACGAGAATCAACGTCCTAATACTGTTCGTACCACTTGCGGACGTTTCGCAACCATTTTGAAGCGTCCAAGAAACCCTTCGAAAGTTTTCTATTCCACTAAGCTTTGATTAACAAAAATGATGCATCCTGCTCGTTAGTTCTTCTTAATATTTAGACTGGAAGTGTTCAACTCTCGTTCTCTTTCACATTCTTCCATCCGTGTGATTCACAGTGTACATGACTTCAAACTATTGTTCTTCTTCTCCTTCTCTCCCGTTTTTCTCAACCCAAAAAAAGAGCAATGAAAACTGTACGAATTGCGACTATAACTGCCTATCATTTCTAAACTTTTTGAGAGCAATCTAATTGGCTGTGATGAAAATGGGAAAAAAGTTGGTCACGAAATCGTGTGAAGTGTTTGGTCACGAGAAGTTTTTAAAGGAATGGAGTCAAGAGAAGGACTAGGCATCCTTCTTGAATGGCCTTTGGGATCAACCAATGAGTCTAAGACGCATTTTGCACGAAAACCGTACACTGTGAACTATTTCAGTTATGTTTTGATACTGGTGAAACTTTGAAACAGATAAATAAGCTTCCATGTAATATTCCCGACAGCTTGAAACAGAAATCTCCCAAAAACTTTCATAGACGACTAACCGATCCTCTGCAGACGAGATATACGTACTGCGGTTTGACGACGAGCTCCTCCCTGGCCTCGTATCTCATTTCGGTGCAGAATTCGGCGATTCGCAGCAGAACCTCCTCCGGATAGCCTCCGAAACGGGCGGACCATTTGAGGTGTCGCTTGAATGAAAGAGTCTTTTCGCGAGCCGATTCGACCATTATTGCGTGGAATACGTTACGCTCGATGGCCCACAATTGGCACGCTTCGATGGCTGAAAATGAATGGTTACGGTTTCAGTAATCTGTGATAGAATGGGAGGAATGTATGGAAGTTTTCAGTGTTTGGTCTCTGTTGGAAATCTTTGAGAACGTGATGTTATTTGCGAAACAGCGATCATTTTGAAGACCTACAGTAATCAAGAAAGGCGACTGTTTACTGAAAATGATCGGAAAGGCGACAATTTGATCTCGATGGCCGCATTGTTTTGGAGAAATTTGTTATTTTTGAATGGACAATGAGGAAGTAGTGTTCAAGTTAGTTTCAGCTCGCTCAATCCCAAGTAACCTACGCAAACATTGTTTGATCTTTAACTTTATTACTTGACGTCGTTTCATTTTATTAGTTCAAAACAAAAAGTTCTTCGCCCTGTTTTGTCATGATCCGAAAGAAGTCAATGACGTTCTTCTTCGTTCCGATCACGTCATTCTTCCGAATCCCGGGGCTCGGATGATTTTCAATCAAAACAACCCGAATCAGTTAGTTTTCAGTGCTCAGCCATCCGGGAAGCCACGTGAGTCCCGAGATGTCTGATTTGTTATTGGTCGTTTCAGCAAGAGATCACGAATTTGCAGACTGAGATAACTGGATCTTTTTCACATGGCCAAACGCGCAGTTATTTACTTTTCTAACAGGTTTTCGCGAGTCAAAACAAAATGTTTCTGATGAGGGGAATCTGATGGGATGATTAGAAAGGGCATGTGAACAGTCATCAAAGGAAAATTGTCGAGTTTGAGTATCGTCGTGAAACGTGAGAAGTTCTTAGAAAAAGTGGCACACAAGGCTTCATGCTTCAAAATATCGTGAAATAGTTGTCTAATTACTTCTCTATTCAACTAGCCACCCGGACCGTTTCACAACCAACCTCGAACCGTCGCAGTTCTTTCGCAATGGTGCAGAATCGCGAGCTCTCCGAACAGAGCGCCCTCTTCCATCGTGCGAACGAATCGGTTATCCTTCACAACTTGCACTTTTCCTTCTGCAACCGCACCACTTTTTCCGTTTCTTTATCATCTTTGCATACCTTGAATGACGTACATAATCGAGCCGAGCTCCCCTTGACGGATAATAATGGCTCCGGCGGATACTTGCACCGGGTACATGGCCGAGGCGATCTTCTCGGTTTGGACCGAGTCCAGGTTGCGGAGGAACGAGTTGCGGCACAAAGCATTTCCGATCGTTTCGAAGGCTCTGCAAGGATTACGGTTTCAGATTGTCTTGATGAGATGGACGTGGAAGTTTGTTCACTGATATTCTAAGTTTAACACTTACATTTCTCATCATTTAAACATGTTCTTAATGAGTTACTATTGCAGAAAGTTAGCCTGTACTGGCAATTCTGACAAGTCTAGTAGCAATATTGATTAAAACAAAAGTTAAAGGAGCCCTGTTAGAAAAGCTATATTTAAGGATGTTTCTATGACTTCTGAAGACCACTTTGCAGATTTTTTGCAAAATCTTTTGCATCTTGCTACCCAACATTCCGTTTCCGTCAACAAAGAGACCATTTTGCATTGCAACTTGCAAGCCGTCGGTCAACAAAACACTCGCTTCTTTGCTAATTAACCGACTAACCTTCTCGGAACATATCTTTGAGTCCTACTCCGGAACAAATCTCTTCGGTAGCGCAACGACTTCATCTCAAAGAGCACTAAGCAGAAATATGAGAGTCACAAGCGAGTGTCAAAGTGAAATGGACCCGCCGGTCGGCTCGGTTCCTCTCATTCCGCCGAGCTCCGCCCCTCGGAGACAGTAATCCGTTTGGGCGCGCGAGAAGACAAAAAAAGTGACCTTCGTGCAAAGAGCAAAGAAGAAGCGATTATTTCGGTGAATCCACAACGACATGATACCGAAGGGGCAAAGCACATGTTGAGGAATGGGATGGAGAGTCTGGTTGGTGCGTGTTGATTCACGAGATTATTCGGTTCTTTTTTTGTGAAGAGAGAGTAATTTAAAAAATTAAGTGATGTGATCTTGTGTCTATTTCTGCGGTTTTGATGAGAGAATGCACGTAACATATGAACGCGTTTTTTCAGTTTTCTAGGTCAAAATAAAGGCCATGAACTTGCGGAAACCGAAATTCGTTTGGGTTGAGTCTCGAACAGTGCATAGATGAGATCCTAAGGAACAGTTTGTCGGTTTCAGTCTTATGTTAACAAAGAGATTGAGATGATCAGTCCATCTCCCAACTCACTCGTCACTTTTGCCAATGATCGGTCTCTTGATCTGCACGTCGGGCTCCGAGGAGACGGCCGTCTTCCGCACCGAATTCATCATCCGATATTCCTCCAGTTCCTTCCTCAACTGCTCGATTATATCGTCCTTGAGCTCAAGCTCGGCGAGCAGAGCCTCTCGACTGAAGTCCATCACTGAATATCGAAAGCGATCATCCATTTCTAAGGTCGTAGTAGTCGGTTGAAGGAGAGAGAATGGAATGGAAGAGAATGGAATGCAAGTGGGCGAGGTGTCAAGGGAACCGAGGGAATCGCTAATTGGAGAGAAGGAGAGGAGATTTGGGTTATCAGCGAGAGAATGTGAGTAATGAGCTGAAGCTTGTCTCGCAGCAGATTGTGATGTACATTTCCGTACCGGTTCAGCATTGGCCCCAAATTTACACCTGACATCCGTCTCACATCCGAACCCACGTCACTTCTCCCACGTTTGCCTTCTTCTTTTCTTCCCCCGCCGCCCGTCCCGTCGTCACTTTTTCCCCTGCTCTCACACGTTCCAATGACCCCATTGTTCGCACCATTTCTCCCCCGAATTCCTCTGTGTGTGTGTGTTCTGACCTTCTCTCCATTTTGCAACTCTTTTTTGAGACGTCTTTCGGCCACAAATAGTGCATAAATTGGATGAGAACGGAGAAAGAGAGGGAGAGAGGGAAGAGAGAGGGAAAAGCGGAATTGCAAATAGATAGAGAAACGGCGGAAATTTGGCGGATGATGACGATGAACGGACACGAAAAGAGCAAGTTGGGAGTAAGAAGGGGGAAGAATTTGAGAAGAGGAAGCAGAGCCCAATTGGATTGTAAGGGTTCGCTGTACGTCACTTCAGTTTTCATCTGTCTGGAATCCGGAACTTATTTCTACTCGAAATTTGGATAGATTCTAGAGTTAAAGTCCTGTTGTAGTCCTGGAGTCCTCTAGAGGTGCTGAATCGTCTTGGATCGATCCATTTCGGGTCGGGGCAGCGTGTGAGTTCACGCAACACGAGAAGCTGAAACAGCAGGTCGAACTACTTGAGCGGACGTAAGTAAATTTCAGTAAACATTCAGAAACAGATTCAGAGTATAGTATTCCGAAGTGTTTTCAGTGCTCGGTCTACGTCGAACACCTTCTGGATCGATATCAAGGTCGCGCTCATTCAGGAGTCGGCAAGTCATCGATGATTGACTTCAAAAACGGTACTCGCTTTTTACCGACGGAAAACCATCGGAAACAGGTGGGTTTTCTCTAGAACAACCAGCACTTTCAGTTCGCCGAACTGTCACGTCTCTCATACTGATGAAAATAAAAAAATGATTCGGAAAGGGAACAATCTCAAGCTTTCAAGTTTCAGCTCATGGCAAAACACGAATTTTCAACCAGAAAAGTCTGTAATTCGATTGAAGAACGCTAAAAAAGCAGTGAATAAGTCTTGATGAAAACTTTCGCTCGAAAACATGAATAAGCGGAAGGAAGTTAGGGAAAAAGTCGAGCCGGAATCCGCCCTGGGGCCATCTTTTCCGTCGTCGATGAATGCGAGAATCGGCGGGGACTTTGAAGAAAGAATAGAATTGAAGCTTTGATGCGGGGCTGTTGGCACCAAAAATCAGGAGATTGAAACAAAGGGAGAAAGAGAAAAACGGGCTATTTTGGCTGGCCATGAATGAGTTTGAGTTCCATTGGGAGCACTTTTTGGAGTCAACTGTGAGCACAACTTTCAAACTTTCAACTCGCCCGAATATTCTATGAAAGAGAAGAGCAGTAAAGTGTTTTATGACTCGACGCGGAGCTCATTGAGCCAGGGGTTACTGTGGATTGCTCTGCAAGCTCTTCGAATAAAATGTTGCTTTGCTTTCTTCCACTAACAAATTGAGGTGAGTGCCAAATGGAAAAAGAAATGGAGTAAGAAAGGGATGAGGGATTTCAGTGACGGCCTACAAATTGGGGGAAATGTTGTCGCGGTGTCAACAAAACTTTTTCTCGGATAGTGTTCACTGGTCATCTGGAGAGAGCCGGAGCCTTTTCTCTCCGTAATCCAATCAATCAATCCCTCTTTTCATTTCCCACGGCTACAGTGAATGAATGACGAAAACCAAAAAGGACACCTTTTCCCTTTTTTTCGCTGGCTCCCTCTTCTCCTCCTCCGATCCGTCTTCTTCATTCTCTTTTTGATAAATGTGCGCGGCTTCTTTCCGCTTTTTCTTTTTTCACCGAAAAAAATAGGAGAAAGCCACGTGGGCTCGAGCTCTTTCCCTCTTCTTTCATGTGCTCAAAGTGCTCATTCCCCAAACGAACTGGCGTGAGAAAATGGGGAAAAGTTGCGGATTCGGCACGCAATCACTGATCCGAAGGCGAGGTATGAAAGGGAGATCGGAAGATCAAAAGAGCACATTAACAACAATGTTTGAACAGTTTTTGACTGAAAATTGTTCTAGGTCAAACTAAGTTGATCGGATTTCCAGAAACTCTTTCCAACATGTTTTCTTTTCTCACTTCCTTCCCCCTAAAATCCCAAAAACTTCTCGAGCTCAACTTTTCGGGTTATTTATCCAGTTTCATTGGCGCCCTTGGGACCGGTCGCTCAGCCCGCATAACTGCACTTTTTCGCCGGAAACTCTGTGTTCAAAGTACGTCATAACAACTGAGATTTGAAAAGAACGTCTCCGGGGACAATGCCACGTCACATATGCATCAGTTGGAAGATCCGGAGACAGTTCAGGAATTGGGTAGTCATGAAAAAGGTACCTTGAAACCGGAGTTAGCGAAACAAAGCGCACCCTATTAAACCGGGCCAAATTATGCGCAATTCAAGGAATGACAATGAAACAGTGAGATTTTTCATAAGGCACAAAAACATAAACAGACAGTTGAAAAACAAAATTCTGACAAACGCGTTCTACCGCACGCGATTGTCAGAAATGAGCCCACCTCCCGAAAACCTTGCTCCGATTCCAAAAACGCAACGAAACCTGATCCGGAGGAAAACGCACAGAACGGGCGGCTCCGAGACAGATATGCTGCTCAGATTTTGTGCTCCAAAAGTGGGCGGGATCTTTCCGGAATCCCGTGAGAACTCGCGCTCCGCCCCTGTTTCCCCTTTTGAGCCGCCGCCGGCTTCTGCTCCTCGCGCGCCGCCCGTTTTGCACGTTTCGCTCGCATATTTTTCACGCGGAAACTGAGCCAATTTCGGAGAAAACCGCGAAAGAGGAAAAAGCGATGAGAATGTTATTTATTTTTAAGAAGAAAAGAAGAAGAAATGTGATGATGGCGGCCTAGAAGATGAGGGAGAATACGATAATTTGTGGTCAAAAATGGTGTCGGCGAGAAAACAAGAATAATGAGCTCTCGAGAGGGAAATAGCAGCCAAAATTCCCACAGATAATATGGAATTCGCTCTTTTTCCGCGAAAAAAGTTCTGGACAATGCTCTTTCCGTGTAATTCGTCAGTCAGATTTTTCAAGAGTTTCGAGAAATTTTATGCGGAGCGGCAGCGCGCGATTCCTCTTGGAATGACTAGCGAATTCACCTAGACCGGAATGAAGGCGACGTGTTATGAAACCAGCAAAAAAGAGCAAGTGGAAAGCCAACAAAAAATTAATCCGCTTCACTAGTTATTCGTTTTCGAAAATTCCACAACGCGCAAAGGTTTTAGCCACTTTTTGCGTCGTTCTCCTGTTCCAAAAACGATGAAACGTGTTTACTGACTGACCGAGTTCATCCCAAAATGGGCTCGATTTTTCGAAAAACAAACGGAAAATGGAGCGAAACGAATAGAAGGGGAATATCCTCCGAAATGGGCCTTTTTGGCCGGATTACACTCTCTCTCTCTCTCTCTCTCGAGCCACAAAAAAGAGAGAATGGAAGCGTCGAAGGGTTTAATGAAAGTGATGGGATGATGGAAACGAAAAGATTACTTTTCCTTGCTTCGATTATCCGTTCGGATCAAAGTGCAGAATAGCAAAAGATCTGCAAACAAGAAAACTTTCCACGGCCGAAAATTGTGAGATTTTCTAATCAAAATATGCTCTCCAGCTTAAAATTTCTGAATTTATTGAGAATATTGGAGTTTTCGATTGAAAGAACGGGTAACTTTCAGGCCTACTGGGCCGGGTCGGAAAAGCAGAAACAGGACCGACGAGACCCTAAAAGTCCGTGTTCGATGGATAATAAACTTTCGGATGAATTGGAGAGTGCTTCTTTCACTCTCCAATTCATCCGCATTTCAGCTGCCGAAGCAATGAGAGCAGTTTCCGTCCGAATCACCTGTTTCATCCTTCCACGTCATCGGCTGCTCTTTTCCGGAAACCTTTCAATGATCGAATTCCCTGCGCATTAAACGCCAACGAATTCCAATTTTCGATTCCTCGTAAAAATGATTAGCGCAATAAAGTTTTCAATTTTACGCGAAACACCATTTATAGAAACCGGCGGGTTGGCCAAATTGTACCCGGAAACACCGTAGCGTCTTTCTTTTTTGTCAGAGTTTATTTTCACAAATTACACGAATAATTCGTTAACATTCGAGTCTGCCCGTCACACAATGATAGCCAAAAACGGGAGAGAGAAAGGGAGGAGAATGTGTGGAAGATGTTATTGGGCTGGAACTAAAAAGAGCACACATCAAATGGTAGCATTTTACAAATTTTGCGGGGAAGTTCCACCAAATTAGATTTGAAATGATAAAAAGAGGTATGTGAAGGAGAAAAGAAATGAACAAAACACTTTACATAGTTGGTATTAGAAAAAGAAGTAGCTGGATAAGGGTTCTGCGAGTTGATGGAGATCCAATGACACGTCAAAGGACGACTTCGAGTCGATTAGCGCACTCCGACGGCGTTTCCGGATCCTCCGCGCACACTGCCACTCTTCGCCGTGCCCGGAAGAGGTCTGCGGAAGAGAAGCACGTGGCGCTCCGGTCCGTGAATCATGTAGTGAATCCATCCTGGCGACTGAAAATTATATCGACTTTTAAAGAAATCCTCTGTCTGATTTTGATACCTGCTGAATTCCGAGGCTTCTCCATTCGGTCTCTGACATGAGTCGATTCTTCGGAATCAGCTTGGCGATGTCCTTTGTGACGTGAACGTGTCGGTACTCGTACTCGTCGTCTTCGTACTTGTTAGAGTAGTAGAAATCGTTAGATCCGGTGGTCATCTTGAGGCGAACGGACGGTGCGCGACTCTGAAAATTATTATTTTTATTATCAATCGTATTGCACAGGAAATCAATATGCGGCACGAGTTTACAACGGAACGATTGCGACGAGAGGTAAAATACGATAGAATGAGAAAATATGCATAAAATGGGTGGGTGAGTAGAAGAGGACACGCAGTAGAGGTCATGGAAAAATCAATGACGACTTCTGAGCACATCGACGACGCGACTCGCGTTCAAGTCGCCTCGAATCTCCGCAAACTCGTCTTTGTGCATCGGAATGTGCGCATTGTGCACGGTACCATTGTGCGTGTACCTAAGGACACGTGGCAAAATGAATAACGTGGCAAAATGAATCAACGGGGCACTCACTCCACGTTCAGATACGTCTTCTTTTCGCCGTCTTTCACCTGACTATCGGCGCCAACTACAAAAGCAAACTAGAAAGAGACTGTCGGGAAGGAGTACTTACGAATGAAGCTGTAGCCAGTGATAATGATCGGAGTAAGGGAAGAAGACATACTGAAATGCAAAATGGGATTCACCACTGTTTTCGGGGAGAGAAAAGGAAGCGAAGCGGAGAGAAAAGGAAGCGGAGAGAAAACGGAATGAGTCAGTGTCTATTAAACTTGGCGAGCCCTTTCTGATCGACCGACTGGGATACTCGGTCGAATCGAGCTACCTGCCCTTCTTCCCCGACGACCACCAGAATACGGTCATCGGCGGAAAACGAGAGGTTGCGAATGTTTCGCTTGCCAATTTTCTGGGTCATGATTCTGGAAAGATAAGATTAGACAAGTTGCTGCTTTTCTGATTATGAACTCACGGTTTCTGCTTTTCCCTTGGATTCTGCCTCACTTTTTTGAGATCGAAGAAAGTAACAGAGCCATACGTTCCCGTGCACACGAGCCATCTCCTCCGCTGGCAGCACCCAAACTTTGAGAACCAGGCTTCTCCGTACGCCAGTTCGAACTCGGCAAGTTTCGTTACTGTTTTTATCGCGTCCATCGGAGAGACCTTGTTCTCTGTGATACCTCGCGGCGCTCCAAACCGCCACAAACTAATGGCCGACTCTTTTCCGCAACCCTTTGAAAGTATGTACGGACTGTTGGCAAATGAACGGACACAATCCACGTAGTCCTCGTGGAGATCGGAACAGACGCCCGTCGGAGTGTAAATCGGGAGGAGGCAACCACTGAAATGAGAATGAGGAGAGAGATGGATTCGAAGCTCACGGTGGTTGAGTGTGTGCCCCGAGGAACTGCTGAAGACATCGTTCATCCGCCATGTTGGGTCCGTACTTCTCTAACCTCACAGAATTATCGGTCAAATTCAGTTTCGCAACATCGCGCACTTCACTGTTCTGTTCGACATAAAGCGATTCTCTTTGGTTCAAAATGTCCTTTTCTCCCGATTTGAGTTTGTCGCAGGCTCTCTTAAGGTGATCCCGAATTCTGTCGACTGTCAGATCCCACATCATGACCTGATGATCCATTCCGGCCGAAAGAATGAATTGACCCTGTTCAGACCAGTCCACGGAAAGGACCTGCTCGTTGTGACAGTCCATACCGCCCATTACGAGCAGACACGTCTGGTTGCGAATGTGAAACACGCGAACGGATCGATCTTTAGAGCAGCACGCCACGAGATTCGAGTTGTTCGGACAAGTTCGAAGTTCGTTCACAGCTGCGCCAACGCTTTGAAATCGCTAAAATTAAAGGGGATGAGCCCGACCGGTCAAGACAAATTCTGACTCACATTATCCAGTTGCATGGTCTCTGTATCAATTACATAAATAATCCCGGTTTGTCCTCCGGTGACAATTCTGTACGGATTGCGACCAATTGAATTTTCGTATGTATCAAAGCACCAGCAAACCGTGTAGAGATCTTCTTCTTTCTGAACATCATCTGTTAACATAAAGGGAAACGGCCTTGCAGACACACCGCAGTGGTTTTGAGTGCTCGGATCAGTCTCAGCTGGTTGACATCTTCGGGAGCTTCATAAACATGCACCTGAAGCAAAAATAGATAAACTAAAACATAAAAGCATTTTAAAACTTACAAACTGGCTCCCACATGTAGCCAGAACTTGCATGTACGACCGGGGAAGGTAACAATTGAACGCGCACCCATAAATTGACTGTTCGTGCTTTTCTCGAAGCTTCGCCGTCAATAAAAACGGCGTTTTCTCGTTGTAGTCAGCGTCATTTGTTTCGTTAGCGTGCAGTTTCAGATTTTGGAATAATTTCGTGTTCATTTAGCCTTCCAGAAAATTTCGCAAGCGGTTTGGCAAAAAATCAACAAAAATGAGAAACGAGCAAGTGGGGCGACCGGAGAACGGACTGAAACCGCAGGAACAGTGAAGAAAAATGAGCGAAAATGAGAGAGCACAGCTGAAAGCAAGCGTTCGCGCGCAACTAGCATTCAAATTTATCGAGCCTTGCCGCGTTCGTTGCGAGACCCGCGCGCACGCAAACTGCATGCGCCTTTAAACTTTTATTCGATTTCGGCCCGATTTCTCCGGATTTTGAAGCTGAATCAAGTGGTATTCGGCGGAAAAGGGCAACAACTCGAGAGGGAAAAGTGGATTTTCGAAACTTTTGAATTCTTAAAAACGATAAGCACCACTTTTGATGAAATGCTAATAAGCATCCGTTAGGATTCTTTTAGAACAGAAAAACATTTCACGGAATTCACATGAAAGTTGAGTAGAAAGTGATTGAAGATGATGTTCGCATACAGTTTTGCGCGCTAATTGAAGTTATTCATATTTTCTGTACAAGAAAATTGAATCGAAAGTTTCGAGTGTTCCGAATTCTGTAGATTGAAAAAACAACTGCAAGTGACGACTGACGTACATGAAAAGTACTGAGAGAAAAGTGAAAAAGCCATTTTTATTCAAAAATCGTTCCGTATTTTCTTTTTTTAAAGTCTTTCCCTTTTTTTAAAACAAACTTTACAGTTTCCAATCCAAGTTTTGAAACGAGGGCGACACGTTGTCCTCACTTCCTTTCTCGCATTCGCAAATCAACAGAGCGCTTATCTAGACAAAACGGGACTTAAGTGCAAAGTTTACTATCACTTTGTGTTTACTTGTTTGTAGAATTCCAAGTCCAGATGATCTGTTTTCTCTGATTTCGCTGCAAACTGCACATATCTTCTCGCGATTTCCTCAACAATCAATCGGTTACAGTCTCGCAGAATCTCGAGAATCCCCTCCTCCCGATCGGCATCTGTTTGTCTTTAGTGTGTCTGACTCACTCCGTCTCTCCGCCTGCGTCTCTTCCTCTCTCCGACCTGTTCTCTGCCTCGGCGGGCGGTCGACTGACGCTTCCCCGCCCGGTGTCCGTTCGTTACTAATTTCCTGGCGCCACTCATTCCGAAGATGTTTTTCCGTCGCTTTACATTGCAGTAACTTCTCCTACCTTCTTTGTTTTTCAGTCATTCTGCATGAAATATGACATGAGCCTGCGTAAAGATGAGCTCTCCAGCGCCCCTCCTGCTCCGACTGTCAAACAGTTGCTCGCCGGGTTTCAGAGCAAGTTGGAGGACGACAACAGATTCCGGAAACCGCCGCCGTGTGAGTTTTTCCCAGATTTTGCTTCAAAGTTTTTCAAAAATTGATTGAAACTTCTTCAATGTTATCGGCGCTTTGAGAGTTAAGGCGCGTGAAAGGTTACGAAACACTTGGTCAAACAATTCCAAAGTTTTCAAACATTTCCCTCTCTAGCTCAAAAAGCTCTAGAATCCCTGAAAACTAAGAGAAATAGAAGAGAAGCCCAAGTTTCCCAGGCCGTCCTGCTTCTGGTTTTTTATTTCGTGCCGGCAAATAAGGGGCGAAACAACATGTTTGCTCAGCCTTCCTCACTCACTTCCACCCGCTTTGGCGATGTTTTTCGTCAATTTCGCAACTTTACCTTAAAAACACTGGTAATCACATGAAAAGGTGTGACTTTTCACGAAAATCCCGCCGGATTTGTTTACCAGAGAGTGCCACTTGACTCCGCCGCCACCGACCGAAAAAAAGGCGATTTGGAGGGAGGGCCGAGGTTATCCATGAGAAATGGATAGATATACAGTCCGGATCGGATAATTAGGAAGTCAAGGATAAATGGGAGCGGTCAACGAAGGAGGTGCTGATGAAGATGGACGGTTCGGTTCCGCAGGGGCAAGGCGTTACGAAATTGCCTGAAAACAACACCACCGTTCAGTTGATTTCTTCTAAATCTTCTCGATAGACTTCCCCTTTTCTCGAATTTCATAACCCGCGACCACCCAGCCGATCTCTCATTTAATTCTCCCGCCGAATGTCAACTGTCGACGGGGTGTAATCGAGTGAGTCAACCCTTTGGAACAACAAAAACGTCTACTTCGTTTCCGAAACGAAACGGATGTTCTGAGAAGATTAGAAGTCGGCGCGAAGTCTAGAAATATTTTTGCATTTTCGGTTTTACGGCTGCAATTCGATTTACAACCCTTTCTTCGACGAGAATTGTGACCTTATGAATGCGAAAATGGAAATGAATAATGAATATGCCGTGAAGGTTGAGAATGATGGCTGCTAAGGGAAGTTCAATACGAAAAAGAGGAGCCTGGTATTTAGGAAACAACAGAAACATCTTCATAGAATACTCTTCAAGGATGTGCTTGCTGAATCTTCTCATCAAAGAGTTCGCACCATCTTTCGAATATTTCCAAAAATGAGCAAGTGTTCTCTTTTCAGTTCCCCGCCGAGCGCCTCCACCACCGCCCCATCGGAAACCGCCGCTGACGCCTCCGCCCTCTTCCTCTTCCTCCCCCGCGTTCTCCGATCAGACGTTCTCCACAGATGCAGACACCCCAGACATTCCAGGATCCCTTCGTAGAAGCCTCGGACCCAAACCGAAGGTGGCGCCGAAGCCGCTGTTCTTGAACAATGGCAGTACATTGGTGAGTCCGAGAACCGATCGAGCACAAAAACAGGTGTGTAAATAGAGTTGAACCGAAGATTCGCTTCCCGTAAAACACTCGAAAGTTCCCTTCGCTCCGGTAAAGTCCATTCAACCTTGACCGGCACTCTTTCTCCCTCTCCTCGCTTCTTTTTTTTTCTTCATCTTCTGAAAAATTGCGCTTCGCATCGGCGTCTCTGTGAATCGTTGTTCGCCGCACGGTGGGTGTCTGGTTGCTGTGAACATTACCAGTTGCCTCTCGGCGTACAAGCGTGGCGTCATCGATCGTTTTTTCCTCAAATCGGGGGCAGCAGCAGTCACAAAACACACGCATAATCCGGCAATAAGTGCTTGCCTTTTGCCCCTCACTCTGACTACTGCCCATTGCGCCATTCAGCCAGCACACGCGGCAGGTCAGCATGAACTTTGAGGTAGGTTCTCGAAAGTGGATGCTTATTTCTTATCCATAATCTTAGAAATGAAATGACGAAACATGAAACACTTATCCTGATCATCGATCGAATAATAGAATTCCAACGTTTCGCAACCCGACGTTTCGCTCGGGTTTCTGATTAGTATTTCAGTACATCTGTTCCGAAATTCAGAATTTCGGAATTCCGGTTCCGCCACAATTCTTCAAAATGATGATGTCAGTGTACTTGTGTTTTCTGAACTCCCCGAGAAAGAAACTGATGTATCGTGCATCGGCGCTCACAACTTTACACCCTTTTTCCATCTCTATCATTTTGTTTTTTCAGCTGGCATCAAGTTCCTCCACCGATATTCCGTCCTCGTTCCGCCCGGAAGTGAGCACTCCGACCATCCTCGTCTCACCGGTCGTCGACAAAACCGTCGGTTTCACGAATGGATTCGCAGAGGCTGCCGAGAACGGAAACGGAATACGAGAGCGGGCGAAGCAGCTGGAGAACCTCGGTTTCGTGCCGAGGAGCAACAGTGGAGCATCGCAGATTGAGAGGTTTGAGAAGGGAAAAAAGCAGAACGAAAAGAACTAGTGATTTCAGACCTATCTCGCAAGTGTCGACACTTTCGCAAGTGAGCGATGAGTTCGACGACGGCGATACGACCGCTTCAGAAGACGAATCGATGACAGACGAGAAGCAATTACGAAGACATCGTCACGAAGACGACTTCGACGAGCTGCCGCTGCCACGAACGGATCGGAAGACGACGATGGTGGCGACGACGCATTCGGAGATCATGCACGAGATGGAACACCTTTTTGTGAAGTGAATCGTTCGCTTTGTTCGCTTTCCATTCTCTATCATTTCAGAGGCGGAAACAAGAAGGGAAACAGTCAAAAACCGCAGCGACGGCAGTCGAATATCGACGAGATTCCGGCAGATGTGGGCAAACTCCGCGATAATCGAAAAGTGCGTCCTTTCTCTTTCTTCTCTTTTTGCTCATTTCATCATTTCCTCTCAGGGCCGTCACAACTCTCTGTTCGTCTCCCCAACATCTGGCACGTCCACGGTCTCCGACGTCTCCGATTTCTCGCGAATAACAAGCATGACGAGCGATCGGAGCAGTGTCGTGACGAGCAACAGCGGTGGCGGAGACTCGGCCGACGGAGCAATCATTCCGGATTACGCGACCGGCGACGAGGAAGAGGACAAACGGCTCAAGAAGTTGCACTACGCGGCCGTAGAGTTTCAGAAGGTGCAGACGAATTATGTGCAGTATTTGAAGGAAATGGCCGTGGTGAGCATTTTAACTGGAACTTTTTCATCGTGGTTCGTTCTATTCAGCTGTATCCCGAGTACATGGAACGATTTGGCAAGCGCTTCGGCCGCGACCTCCTCGCTCCCACCAACGGGCACGAGAACGTCGTTCTCCAAATCAAGAAGATCATGGTACAAATCTTGCCTCTTCACGAGATGCTCCTCAAAGAGATCGACAAAGTGTGCTCGAACTGGGACTCCCGACATCCGAATATGAGCAACGTGATCGCGATGTACGCGGACTTCCTCAAGTGTTGCCAGCCGTTCCTCGATAATAAGGCGGACTTTCTGACGAAGTTGTTGCAGTTGAGAAACGAAGACAAGGAATTTGATGAGGCCACTCTCATGGTGATCATTCGCGTAATTAAATGCCCAACATGCGTTATTTTTTTAAGTTCGAGACGGAAGTGTTCAAAAGAGGGAAAAAGGGCGCGGTCATCCAACAACTCGATCAAGTCCATCAGAATTTCATGCGCTACAAACTGCTGATGCTCCGATACTCAGAATACCTCGTAGACGGATCCGACGAGAAGAACGATGCGCAGGGAGCCATCGAAAAGTTGGAGAGAATGACGCAGGCGGTCAATCAGAAGATGGGTCTTCCGACGACCGAAGAGCTCACCAAACTGTACTACAGGTTCCAGGTAAAATGAAATTCACAGAATTCCGAAAACAACTTCGAGTCTTTCAGTGCCAATTCAACGTTCTCGAGCCGGGAAGAGTGCTGATCCGTCAGGCAGACGTTCTGAAGCAGACACGGAAAGAAGAGCAGCCCCGATTCCTGATACTCTTCACCGATTCGCTCTGGATCTGCCGCGTTTCGAAGGGTGGACAGTTCGATATGAACCGATCGTACCGCATTCCCATGGAACACATTCGAGCGGACAAACCGGAGAGTGACGAGTACTCGAAGGCTCTCAAGATACAGAGCAGAGTGAAGAGTGCGATGATTATATTCGCATCGGAAAAGGAGCGCGATCTGTGGCTGGACGACATCCGAAAAGCGTATTTCGATCGGAGAGAGTACAAACGGAGGTTTTCGAAAGAGAATATGAGGGTCGACGTGAACAGAGCCAAGATGAAGAAGCTCAAGATGCTCGCGGAGAACAACATCAAAGAGGAGGAGCACCAGGAGAACGAGGAGCGGCCCGGAGCTCTCATGGCGTTTAGAAACTCCCGGAGCACTTCGATGAGCGGTTCGCAAGACGAGCTCTCTTCCGTGCCCGTCACCCCCTGCGATACGGACATGTGCCCCGACTTCGGCGACGAAATTCCGGTAAAAAACGGAAAGAAGAAGGTGGTTGACTCTGCGAAGCCCGTCTGGCTGCCGGATAACATGTCGAGCGAGTGTCTGATGGAAGGATGCTCCACCGAGTTCAATCTGATCAATCGGAGACATCACTGCAGGGATTGCGGATGGGTAAGACATCCTTCAAGAAGGGTTTTATGAAAGTTCGCAGCTTTCAGTTGATCTGCAAGTATTGTAAAGGACAGGCTCCGCTCTCGAAGTACGACTATCAGAAGCAGATTGTGTGTCCCGAATGTTTCGACAAGATATTTGCGACATGTAAGTTTTATTTGAACTTTTGTGCATACTATTCGTCAATCAGTTTCAGACAAGGACGGCTACTTGTTCCCGATGAGATGTGTCGTGCAACAGAGCGACGGAACGGCCCTCGTCAGAATCGGAAAGAAAGACGGCGATCAGGAGCTCGTGGATCCTCGGAAGCTCTTCAAAGCGCCGTTTAATTGTGGATTCAAGAAGCGGAACGTGGAGGAAAAGAGAGCGAGCAGCATTGTATTCGGAAAGATATATCTGAGGTAGGGTACCGTAGTCTTGTTGGACCAGACGAGAGAGGTTACTGGACTATTGTATCTTTAGACACCGCAAATCCGAAGTTGTCCGCCACGCGCTTCTCCGCCGCGACGACCTCAAACTGGTGATTTACAAGGCGGAACTCGACTCGAAAGCGGTGCTCGAAGTGCTCATTTATGGCTATTTCTACCGGGAAACAAGGCTCGAATCGCCCGGCGGATGGCTCTTCGAACTGGTGCATCGGAATCAGATTCGGACGGACGACACGAAGGACGACGTCATCGCATTCCGGGTGGACAACAGCGCCAGCGCGAAGAAGTGGTCGGCCGCGTTCGCAGACAAACTCGAGCAAGATCCGACTCAAGTGCACAGCGAATAATCCCCATTTTGTACATTTCCCCTTTTATCCCGTGCCTTAAAATCCCCGTCTATTTTTAAATTGTTCCCTTTTCCCGCACTGTTTGTTTGTTTGTTGGTAATCTGTGATATGTCCTGACTGTATATTCACACCCCCAAACTAATTGATTCAATTCTGTATCCTATTGCTTTACAGGTATCCAGAAGTGATTAGTCTTTTTTCGAAATAATGAGACACTGTCTAGTCGTGAGAATGAATATGTTTATGATAAATAGATGCTCTCAGATCTTCTCCCTGTCTTTCAACTCCTCCTCCTCTCTCGAAAATTTTGGATTTTTCCGCTAGAAGTGAGAGACAGCGAAAAGATACAGTGAAGACTCGAAATTCTTGAAAACAATTTGAACATTGACAATTTATTGAACACAAATTAAAAGAAATTAAAAGAATCAATTAGGTGCCGGATTCCATTGGCCACTCGTCCCTGGAGCAGTCGGCATTGGATGCATCTCGAAGTTTCCGTGCTGTCCCTGGAAGCCATTATGGTGTTGTTGATAATGTTGCTCCACGTGCCAGTTGTTCTGAAATGGTGCATTTGCACTCACCTGGGACGGCATCGCATTCGCTCCTTGAGGATGAGCGATCGATTGATGCGGCTGCTGAAGCGGATACTGCTCGGCATTGCGAACTTGCTCATACCTGGGCACATGCTGTCCTTGAACACGTGCTCCTTGCTGGTTATGAGCAGCATTGCCCGTGGATTCATAGTTCTGCAATGGGACATGAGTACTTACCTGGTGTGGGACCACGTTCTCCACGTTCTCCACTTGGTTGTTCCATTGCTGTTGGTCTGGGGTGTAGAAGAAGTCTCTAAAAATTTGCTCATCTTCGATCTGCTCTTGAATGAGCACTTGTTGCCCATGAGAATCATTGTTCTCGGATGGGTACTGCTGCAATGGAACATTATCACCCACCTCCTGCTGCTCCACTGGGAGGTAGTCATAGAACACCTGATCCTCGGGCACCACTCCATCCTCGTCCACCTGCACCCAGATACCGTTGTCTCCTTCTTGATCCTCGGGCACCACTTCATCCTCGTCTACCTGCACCCAGATAACGTTGTCTTCTTCCTGATCCTCCGGCACGACCTCATCCTCCTCAATCTGCACCCATTCAACGTTGTCTCCTTCCGGATCATTCTGCTCGAATGGGTTCATCTGAAACGGAGCATTAGAACTCACCTCCGACGGAGCCTGCTGCTCTTGTTGCACCTGAACCTGCTCACTTTCATCAGCACATACCTTCCTTTGCTTTGTCTTCGGCTCCGCAGTCCTCTCCGACGGTCTTTTCTGTGCTCTGCTCGGATTCTCCGCACTCTTCGCCGCTTTCAACTCTGCCTTCTTCGCCTTGAATTTCTGGCTCTGGAAATGGAATGAATTATTTGGTGGAAGGGAAACTCAAACACTTACATAATTGGAGACGACGACAAATGTGTGTGCCTCGTGGTGTTCCGAATAATGCAGCCCACTCTCCGAGATGAGCACGAAGGTGACCGTGTACTTGCGCAGCGGGTTCACAAATACGTTCAACTTCTTGGTGCAGCCCGGCTTGTTAGTGATGAAGAGTGCGGAGAAGTCGCAAGTCTCCCCCAGCCACTCCATTCCCGTCTTCCAGCCGTCCGGATGCTCCACGATCTGCGCGGCCTGCAGATCAGACTGCTCCAGGCGGCAGTGCTCCACCCAATCCTTGACCATCTCGTTGAACTTGTATCTGTAATTTAGTAGTTACAGACTCTTTCATTGAATTCAAAATGAACTTACTTATGTTCGCCGACCTGTTCCACTTTCAACTGCACCTTGTACTTCTGGACCATGTCCAGCTTCTCCAGGCTGTACTGGAGCGTCGGCTGGAGTCGTCGTCCTTCCCCGGCAATTTGCTGCTCCACAGTCTGCCCGTAGGCAGCCCATTCCTCTCCTTGGAACGGAGTGCAGCGTGGGACATTAACAGAAGACATACTGATGATTTGTCTGAAAACATCCAAATGAAAAAGGGAAAAGAGAATGAGTGACAGAAGATAAAGTAAAGTGAAATAAGAGAGAATGCGACAGGAGTAGTACGATAGATGATGTGGATAAAGAAAAAGGAAATGAAGAGCAAGGAGTGGTCACCATTCTGCGAGATGGGTAATAGAGTGAATGACGGTGTGACCCCTTCTTCTGTAAGTGGCGCGGTCTGTAATACCCATGGCAAGTGTTTCCCGAGAGCACAGACACGCCCCGAGTATACCTTCACACGGTGCAGGACACCGATTGTAAACGAATGGACACGTGCGTCGCAGATATCTGCACATTTTAAGATGTTCGCAATGGGGTGCCTCTTTTCAACTTGCCGATAAACATGACAGTTTTCCCATATGTTACCGAGAATTGAGGACTGGGTTGGAATGAGAATGAGCTTTTGAGGGTTCTAAAAGAATTGGAAACTGCAAACCGGGAAATAAAAATCAACATGAACAGAAGAAGAGCAAAAAAGAAGAGAACAGAAAAGTACAGCAGAGTACATAAATGCTTTGGAGCTCCATAGGTACAGGACTATAATTTTTGAAAGGAAGGTGCCAGTGATGGGAGCAACATAAGTGAGTCTATTTGATGTTATAGTACAGTAGTCGTCCTACGAATTCAGAAAGACGAGAGGACTCGTGAAATGATCTGCTCTTAATGAATAAAATGAACGGCACCCTATCTCGGAAATAGGAAATTTAATTGCGCGTGATGCCCTACGGTAGGCTGGTCGTATAGGCGCCTAAAAAAACAGGCACCGGCGCCTAAAATCGCCTGTTAGACCAGCCTACCCTACGGTATTTTCCGTTCTGATTTGTTTTTTAAATCAACGGAAAACGGATAACTTCATAAAGTTTTCTATCGAATGATCACGAGTTGCACGCAGAGAACCGAATAGGAGGAGGTCGACTGAACTTGAGATCTTCTGGTTTCCAAAATAGGGTGCTGGGAAATGAAAGGAAATACAATAGTAAGAATAGATGAGGAGTAATGAGAAGTTGGAAAAGAGTACAGAAAAACTGAGAATCGATCTCGATGAGAGTGAAAAAGCGGTCACCTTCCGCAAGATGGATTATAAATGGAATGGCGGTGTGACCTCCTTCTTAGACTGCAAGGGGCGGGGATTTGGTCTAGAACAAACGTGGCAAGTGTTTCCCGGGATCACAGAAGACGAGAGCTAAAAAGGGAACGCACGTATTGATCCATTTACAATCGGTGTGCGAAGGTATACTCGGAGCATGTCTTCTTTTTGGGAAACATCAGGGAAGGCCCGACCACTGAGCCCTGTTGTTATGTAATGCTGTGTAGTTGCACAATATAAATCAAGAATACATTTATTATCGAAATCACTGTTTCAAAGGATACTTTATTTTTTCAATTGAATCGGTGTGGGAAATGTGTACCAGAGGGAAGAAATTGTGGGTAACCCGTGACAGGAAATCGTCTCACATTCAAGTTTGCATCATCAGGCTTCGTGGAGGGAGCGAAAAGAAAAGAAAACAGCGAAAGAGATCAGAATATGCCCGGTTTCGATTCGTGGCGAGGAGCCGTGCTGGTCGTCGGCATTTCCACTGAAAATGCGATCGAATTGGTCGAGAGAAAGGGAACGGTGGCAGCGGAAACTGAAAGGACCAGGCAAAAGGGGGCACGGATAGAGACAGAAGTTTCGAGCACAACACCGAAAAGACGGCGTGCTTACCCATCAGCATACTGTAGTTCGACTGATCGAAAGACGTTTCGAAGCGCCCGTTTCCTTGGATTTCTGCTGTGTTTAGTGGAGAATTGGGACAAGTTCTTGAACGGATTCTCGTTTTTTGTTTGGTTTTTCAAGGAGCACAGGTGCGAAAGGGTGAGACTACATACGGAAGCGACTTTTTAAAGTTTGAAAGTGTGTAGCAGGGTTTGAAGACGTTACATCAATCTAACTCTTTGTTGAGTGTGATCTAGTACTTGTAGTACTTCATTTTTGCACCACCTCTTGTAAGTAAGATTACTGTAACTTATAGAAGTCAAGGTACCCTATGCATGTTAGTGAGAGTTGTCACTTCCATGACCTACAGAAGTCTTATGAGCAGTTTTACGGAAAAAGTAGAACAAAGAAGTTTTCGGACTCACACGACGTCTTCTAATCCTGAAATTTACTCTCAAACTTGCTGCTTCTGTATGTGGGCCAATAAGTGAAGTGAAGTGAATTCTCACCTTTCTGGCCTCCTTCCCGCACCCATCGAAAGTACTTTCGGCACTTGGAAGAGACGGAGAGCACCCACGCGTGGGTCATTATGAGCACGATGTCTGCGAAGTGCCAAATGAATGAGATGGAGTCCGAGTGGTCGCCCAGAGCGTCTGCAATTTCTCTTTTATTAAAGATCGGTAGAATCTCTCACCTTTCACCAGATTTTTGTGGAATATGTTGACAAAAACAAAGGATACTTTAGGATATTCACTTCACTTATTGGCCCACATACAGAAGCAGCAAGTTTGAGAAAACAAGAATCCGTTCAAGAACTTGTCCCAATTCTCCACTAAACACAGCAGAAATCCAAGGGAACGGGCGCTTCGAAACGTCTTTCGATCAGTCGAACTACAGTATGCTGATGGGTAAGCACGCCGTCTTTTCGGTGTTGTGCTCGAAACTTCTGTCTCTATCCGTGCCCCCTTTTTCAGTTTCCGCTGCCACCGTTCCCTTTCTCTCGACCAATTCGATCGCATTTTCAGTGGAAATGCCGACGATTCAACCCCGGGATCGATATGAATTTAATTTCTCGTAGGAATAATTCTGTGACCCTCTTTGAGTATCGCGCTAACGCAGTTTCGAACTGTACCAAATCAGAACTGCAACCCAAACCCTGTCCGCAATCACTTATATTTGCACTGCCAATCATTTCTAATTCTGTTTCGGGGGCAGTCCGTTTCCTAATGGGTGGTTCCCACAGAGTCTGGAATCGGCAAGATAAAAAGAGGCACCCCATTGCGACCATCTTAAAATGCGAAGATATCTGCGACGCACGTGTCCATTCGTTTACAATCGGTGTCCTGCACCGTGTGAAGGTATACTCGGGGCGTGTCTGTGATCCCGGGAAACACTTGCCACGTTTGTTCTAGACCAAATCCCCGCCCCTTGCAGTCCAAGAAGGAGGTCACACCGTCATTCCATTAATAATCCATCTTGCGGAAGGTGACCGCTTTTTCACTCTCATCGAGATCGATTCTCAGTTTTTCTGTACTCTTTTCCAACTTCTCATTAATCCTCATCTATTCTTACTATTGTATTTCCTTTCATTTCCCAGCACCCTATTTTGGAAACCAGAAGATCGCAAGTTCAGTCGACCTCCTCCTATTCGGTTCTCTGCGTGCAACTCGTGATCATTCGTTAGAAAACTTTATGAAATTATCCGTTTTCCGTTGATTTGAAAAACAAATCAGACCGGAAAATACCGTAGGGTAGGCTGGTCTAACAGGCGATTTTAGGCGCCTGTGCCTGTTTTTTTAGGCGCCTATACGACCAGCCTACCGTAGGGCATCACGCGCAATTAAATTTCCTATTTCCGAGATAGGGTGCCGTTCATTTTATTCATTAAGAGCAGATCATTTCACTAGTCCTCTCGTCTTTCTGAATTCGTAGGACGACTACTGTACTATAACATCAAATAGACTCACTTATGTTGCTCCCATCACTGGCACCTTCCTTTCAAAAATTATAGTCCTGTACTTATGGAGTTCCAAATCATTTATGTACTCTGCTGTACTTTTCTGTTCTCTTCTTTTTTGCTCTTCTTCTGTTCATGTTGATTTTTATTTCCCGGTTTGCAGTTTCCAATTCTTTTAGAACCCTCAAAAGCTCATTCTCATTCCAATCCAGTCCTCAATTCTCGGTAACATAAGGGAAAACTGTCATGTTTATCGGCAAGTTAAAAAGAGGCACCCCATTGCGACCATCTTAAAATGCGAAGATATCTGCGACGCACGTGTCCATTCGTTTACAATCGGTGTCCTGCACCGTGTGAAGGTATACTCGGGGCGTGTCTGTGCTCTCGGGAAACACTTGCCATGGGTATTACAGACCGCGCCACTTACAGAAGAAGGGGTCACACCGTCATTCACTCTATTACCCATCTCGCAGAATGGTGACCACTCCTTGCTCTTCATTTCCTTTTTCTTTATCCACATCATCTATCGTACTACTCCTGTCGCATTCTCTCTTATTTCACTTTACTTTATCTTCTGTCACTCATTCTCTTTTCCCTTTTTCATTTGGATGTTTTCAGACAAATCATCAGTATGTCTTCTGTCAATGTCCCACGCTGCACTCCGTTCCAAGGAGAGGAATGGGCTGCCTACGGGCAGACTGTGGAGCAGCAAATTGCCGGGGAAGGACGACGACTCCAGCCGACGCTCCAGTACAGCCTGGAGAAGCTGGACATGGTCCAGAAGTACAAGGTGCAGTTGAAAGTGGAACAGGTCGGCGAACATAAGTAAGTTCATTTTGAATTCAATGAAAGAGTCTGTAACTACTAAATTACAGGTACAAATTCAACGAGATGGTCAAGGATTGGGTGGAGCACTGCCGCCTGGAGCAGTCTGACCTGCAGGCCGCGCAGATCGTCGAGCATCCGGACGGCTGGAAGACGGGAATGGAGTGGCTGGGGGAGACTTGCGACTTCTCAAAGCTCTACATCACCAACAAGCCGGGCTGCACCAAGAAGTTGCACGTATTTGTGAACCCGCTGCGCAAGTACACGGTCACCTTCGTGCTCATCTCGGAGAGTGGGCTGCATTATTCGGAACACCACGAGGCACACACATTTGTCGTCGTCTCCAATTATGTAAGTGTTTGAGTTTCCCTTCCACCAAATAATTCATTCCATTTCCAGAGCCAGAAATTCAAGGCGAAGAAGGCAGAGTTGAAAGCGGCGAAGAGTGCGGAGAATCCGAGCAGAGCACAGAAAAGACCGTCGGAGAGGACTGCGGAGCCGAAGACAAAGCAAAGGAAGGTATGTGCTGATGAAAGTGAGCAGGTTCAGGTGCAACAAGAGCAGCAGGCTCCGTCGGAGGTGAGTTCTAATGCTCCGTTTCAGATGAACCCATTCGAGCAGAATGATCCGGAAGGAGACAACGTTGAATGGGTGCAGATTGAGGAGGATGAGGTCGTGCCGGAGGATCAGGAAGAAGACAACGTTATCTGGGTGCAGGTAGACGAGGATGGAGTAGTGCCCGAGGATCAGGTGTTCTATGACTACCTCCCAGTGGAGCAGCAGGAGGTGGGTGATAATGTTCCATTGCAGCAGTACCCATCCGAGAACAATGATTCTCATGGGCAAAAAGTGCTCATTCAAGAGCAGATCGAAGATGAGCAAATTTTTAGAGACTTCTTCTACACCCCAGACCAACAGCAATGGAACAACCAAGTGGAGAACGTGGAGAACGTGGTCCCACACCAGGTAAGTACTCATGTCCCATTGCAGAACTATGAATCCACGGGCAACGTTGCTCATAACCAGCAAGGAGCACGTGTTCAAGGACAGCATGTGCCCAGGTATGAGCAAGTTCGCAATGCCGAGCAGTATCCGCTTCAGCAGCCGCATCAATCGATCGCTCATCCTCAAGGAGCGAATGCGATGCCGTCCCAGGTGAGTGCAAATGCACCATTTCAGAACAACTGGCACGTGGAGCAACATTACCAACAACACCATAATGGCTACCAGGGACAGCACGGAAACGTCGAGATGCATCCAATGCCGACTGCTCCAGGGACGAGTGGCCAATGGAATCCGGCACCTAATTGATTCTTATTTCTTTTTATTTGTGTTCAATAAATTGTCAATGTTCAAATTGTTTTCAAGTGAACACTGTATCCATTCGTTCCTTCTCGGGTCAGTTACTTTTTATTCAACAAAAGTGGAAAATGAGCAAAAAGATCCACTGGGCGAGGGTGATTTCTTGATGATCCGTCTGCTATCCGAGCTCTTTCCTCTGTACGTGAAACCGAAGAATTTCGAGTCTTCTCTTCTAAGGGTTGAAGTGGCAAAGGGAAATGGACCCAATGAGCTCTGAAGTTTAGTGAGTGATTCCAGTGATTTCCACGTAAACAAGGAGTGCGACGTTTCTGTTACTGATAACGTGACCACCCCTTCTTCACGCCTATCTTCGTCGTCCCGGTCAGATCCTTATCGCAGTCTATAAAAGAACCGTTCCTCCGCCGGAACCCCTTTAAATTCTTCTTCTATCGCCAATCACCAGCGTTTCAACATCGATGGCGCCGAAGCCGAATCCGCCGCCCAAAGAAGATACGTGGGCGTTCCAGCCCATCGGATCTCCGTTTCCGCCGAGCCCGGTCAAATGCATGGGCGAGCAGAACATGTACGTCGCGCTGTGGTACAAGCACGGAAAACCGATCCACGGCCGCTCCTGGAACAACGGAGGAGTCGTCGAGTGCTCGTTCCCGTACAAGGACGCCGAGCTGACCACGAAGCAGCAGCTCGAGGGACAGATCCAGGTGCTCCAGTACCTCGGAGACCACAATACCCAAGGTTCGTGAAGGGCCGATCCGATTCTGCAACTGATCCTGGCTTCAGGTTTCTGGTACGAGTGGATCAAGTACAAAGACCGTCTCGAGAAGATCGACGACAAGCACCAGCTGTTGCGCTGCGGAGACTCGTTCCCGATCTTCTGGAAGCGCAAGGAGGGAAACCTTCTCGGCTACGTGGACAACAAGACTGAAGAGGGATGGTTCTCAATCGGTGGCAAGGTGATCAAGCAGCTCGGCCCGCAGCTCAACGACATGTACATCATTGTCCGCAACTGTATCGGAGGACCGCCGCACTGCGAGTGCGAGAACTGTCCGAAGCCGCCGCCACCGCCGCCAATCCCGCCACCAGGCCCGCCGCCGCCGCGTGTTATGCACGACGAATGGATCGATATCCGCGAGGGAGATCCGTGGCCGACCCGCAAGCTTGTGCAGGCGCTGGATAAGTCGCTCGACACTCTTCCTGGAGTCAATCCGGATCAGTACGTCGCACTCTGGTACATGCAGGGCGAACCTGTCATGGGCCGAGTCTGGAACGAGGGAGGAAAGGTAGCATTGAAGCGGAAATTCTGCAGAATTAATGAGGATTGTGTTCAGGTTGCTGCCAACTTTTCCTGGTTCAACAACGAGTACGCCAAGAACGTCGGATCGATCCAGATCCTGGTCCGTCTCGGAGAGCACGTCGTCGGCTACCAATACGGATGGGTTCCGTTCGTCGACGCCGCCAAGTTCGACGATTCGAAGGAGTGGAAGCCGGTGCACGTGAACAACCACAAGGGTGACATCTCGGTGGGAGTTGTGAACCTGCCGGGAGGCAAGCAGATCCTCGCCAAGGTGGACGTCCGCAACGAGTCGTACGGGTACGGATACCAGGGCAAAGAGCACTCGGCCCGCGGTCCTGAGTGCGCCAAGAGCGTGACTGTGCTCTGCCGCAAGGCTCTGCCAGGCTACAAGCTCGACGGATAGTTCGAACTTCTATTGAGCGGTTTCTCTGAAATAAAGTATTGATTTGAATTTGTTTATTGTCTGCATTTGAATTTTGCTGATTTTTCTTGCGTACCGTATTTTAAAGGCGCAGAACTTCTCTTCGGGTCTCACCACGAATTTCAGTTGTTCTTTAAAATTCTTCTCAAGCGTCTCGCACGATTTGTGATGTATCAGCAAGCAACCGATAAGCGATGGCGCCTTTTCAAGTACAAACAAATTCAACGAGATGGTCGAGAAGAGGTTCGTTTGCTCCCCTCTGAATTTCCACAAAACTTCGTCGCTTTCCAGATGGGCGACGTTCAGTTGGTGCTCGATGAGTCTCGCAAGCAGCTGACTGTGTTTTCCAGAGGCGAAGAGCTCGAGAAAGTCTTTTACAACATGGAGGTTACGAAGTATCCTATTTTAAGGTAAGATATCAGAAGTTTTTAGATTAATCAGTTCAATTTTAGATTCAAGGAGAACAATCTGTACGTGATGTTCAACGGACAAGGACAGGGTTTCCGTCTCAGTTTCCGGGCCGAAGACAAGGCGGAATTCCTGGGAATCATGCGGAAATTAGCGTACATTTCAGAGAGCCCCGCGAAAAACCGTCCATATCCTAGCGCCGGACTGTCGGAGAGGTTGAGTTCCTGGTCTGCCGCATCGAACAAACGGACGGGCACGTCCCTATCGCTACCGATCTCTTCTCGGGCGATGCCTCCGCCGAAAAGACCGGCTGCTCGGAATCTCTCCAGCGCAATCACTTTCGCGGAATCACAGCCGACGCATTCGGATTCCTTTCCGACGTATTCCCCCTCTCCAATCAGTGCCTTCTCTCAGCCGGTTTGCAATTCGTATGCCCGCCCGCTTTCCAGTGCCGAATCCGTTGCTTCTTCGATCGGTTCGGCTCTCAGTTCTCTCAGTGCACACTCCAATTATTCGGATCACGCATTCCAGAATTTTTCGCAGGTAATAATTTCAGTAATTCCTATTAATTCCTCGGCAAATCTGCTTCAGAGCTCGTCTTCCCATCGAATAGATCATTCACAGAGCTCTCAGATGTCTCAGTTTTCCCAGTTCTCACAGCTTTCTCAATGCTCTCCGCATCCGTTCACCCCTCCTACACCTCCTGCTTTCGAGAACAAATGCATTCAAACGGACGGCAATTTTCTGAAGGAACTCGCCCAGGATCCCACCGTCATTATGTCATGCGTGCAGAGACTGATGGAGCAACAAAAGTTCAACGATTTGGTGAAAATGATGAGAGCCGAAATTCGGAAGATGCCAGCCGATGAGAGAGAACGCTTTGGCGAGGTGAGAGATGCGTTCTTTCCAAATCCAAGTGAATTTTCAGAAAACCGAACCGGATGAGCCTGTCGTTTCTTCGTCGAAAGGCCCGCCCGTTCTTGGTCATCAGCCGAACTCTGATCTAGAGGTCGACGTGTTTGCCAATCTTTAATCATGTATTATCTCTCTGATTTAATTTATTGCTTGTTTGTTTTGCTAATTTCAGCGAATTCCTGCGTTCATAAATCCATTTCTCTCCATGCGCGCTCTCAAATTTGAACTTCGCGCGCATTCACACAATGGCCGCGACCTAGCAATCTTGTCTCAAGTTTTTAGTCCCTCTGCATGTTTTTTTTCTGTTCGAGCTTATTATTTTCTTTAAGTAAAAAACAAGCTGGATAATGCACCGGGCACTCGTCAGGTTGCACAAATTGCAGCAATGCTCCGTCAGGAGTCTGAGCGATGCAGCCAAATCGAAAGAATTAGCCGAAGTTAGCGACAAAAGGTATTTTTCCCCAATACTACTTTTGCTATTAAAAATTTTCAGTAAGTTTGCTATCCGGACACTGGATAACTCGGCGCCGATCGAGAAGAGATCTCTTTCACGGGGATTTGCAATGAACAAGTTCGAAAAAGTAAGGAATGCTCTCGAAATCAATAAAATTCAGCAAAACAGTTTACTCGCAGGACTTCATGATCTATCCGGAATACACGGATTCTGACGACGTGCGCAACATTGAAGGATTCGTAGATGTGCTCAGAAAGTCGCTGGAACTGTCCGTTGACCCGAGACAAATCGAAAAATACGGAAGTCTATCCGCGGAAGTTCTGGAGGCTCTTCGGAGCAATGCCATTTTCTCGTTAGCAGTTGGAAAGGAATTCGGAGGAATTGGAATGAACAACAAGGATCTTATGAGAGTATTCGAGGAATTGAATATCGATTGGAATGTGTACACGAATGCGCATGTCTCCCTCATCGCCGCCAACCTCGTCACCATCTACGGATCCGAGGAACAGAAGGTAAAGTATCTTCCGGCTATCGCATCCGGAAAAACGAGACCAGCAGTGGCGATTGTGAAGGATTCGAGCTCGGGAAGCTGTGAGCAGACGGCCGGGCCAGCGGGGAAATCAATGCTGAGCGGAGAGGGAATTCGAGTTATCGGACAGCACAATGCCAACTTTTACGTCGTTTTGGGCAATGTAAGGGCACTGATTCTCTAAAACACCTCGAACAAATACTCATTTTCTTCCAGAATCGTGGCGAGAGAACGTGCTTTTTATTAGATGAAACCGAGTTGGGTACGACGGACAAGATCAAATTCACCCGCGACGAAACGTTTGGACTCAAAGGGATTGATGTCGGAAAACTGGATATAACGGCGTTGGTGACCGAGAAAAATGTGCTCGGAGTGGCTGGAAACGGAGCAGAAGTGGCCGCAGAGCTCATCGGAAGTGGTCGGATGCCGTTCGCCGCGGCAACCATCGGAATGGCCCGCCGAACTCTGCGAGAGCTCTCGCTCTGGTGCAATCGGACACCGAGTCGCCACACGGATCGGAGCACTTTGGCGGACGATTCCCGGGCACAGCGGTTGGTTACCGATTTGGCTCTGAAGGTGTACGCCCTCGAATCCTCTCTTTATTACTTGGCCGGACTGATCGATGAAGGTCTCTCAATCGTCGTGGACATTGAGAATTCCCTTCTCTCGATACTCACTCGGGATGTGCTTCAGGCAGTCATTTCTTCTCAGCTGGAACTCGTCGGAGTGGCCGCGAGCGACGCCTCGTTCCCCCACGAAAAGATCCTGCGTGACATCACCACTCTTCTTTCGATCGTCGACGACGGTGCAGATGTAGAACAGATCGGACTGGCCACAATCTCAACTTGGGCGACTTCGACGTCCCACAAAAGGATCGTGAGCACCTTGAAGCGGTGGCTGAAGAAAGAGAACGATGCCGACGAATTGCGGAACCCCGGACTGAGCCATTTCATCGCGGAGCATGCGCACCCGTCACTTCAGATGGCGTGCCAAGAGCTCGAGTTCTCGATGGCTCGCATCAATGTCGTCGTTTCGAAACTGTTGACGTCGCAAGGAAAGAATATTGAGCAGGACTACGGCAGTTTGGAAGCTCTGGTCAACGTGCTCAAGAACAATCTCGTGATGGTTTCGACCATCTCAAGGGCGTCGCGATCCTATTCGATCGGATTGAGGAATGCGGACATCGAGTTGGCGTGGGCCACTATCATTTGCTCCAGGTAAACAGAAAGTTGAAAATAGACATTCTCTCGTTTTTTTCAGGCTGTCTCGTGCCACATGGTTCGAACTGGATGCGCTCTCCGATCTCTTTGGTCTCGTTCGCTTCAATCCGTCGCTTCTAAACGCGGGACGCGCCGTTTTCGACCTCGGAGGCTACGTCATCGAGTCGCCGATGGAGAAGAATTGGTGAAGGGAAACTGAGGATTCGGAAGGAAATTAGGTGTAGCTTAGGCGTTTCGTTTTGCGGGTATTTTGTTATAGCAATCTTTGTGTTCTTTTTGTTTTTCTATAAATTCGTTCTTTCTTGCACAACTTATGAATATCTATATTCCTATCGCTAACTGTTTTCGCAGTTTTCATATTGTTTTTTTGTTTCATTTCATTTCTGATTCGAATCTCATTTAATTACAAGACTTTTGAAACTTGGGCCCGCTGCTAACGCTAACGCTCGGAAGCGGCTTTGCCGCTTGTTTGAAAGAAAAGGACAGACCCCGTTAGCTTTTTATTAAACTCAATGCATAGCTATTGCCCTTCGGTGTTTGCAGACTCAAGCCAAAATTTCGTGACATTAGACTGCAGTCTGCAAACACGGAGGGGGCAAAAGCGGTAAATTGAGTATAAACAAGACTGATGATTAAAAAAATCTTCAGATGAGCAAGAAAAGAGAGAAAGAAATGGACGATGCAAAGATGCGAAAGGCACTCAGAATGGAGACCGGAGAGGACAAGAATCTGGAGTCACGGACTGCCAATTTGGGTGCTGTTCTGCCGGCGATCCAAAAAAAGAAAGGACCTGTGAGCAACGAGGACTTTGAGAAGCTCTTTCACGCCCTTTGCGGGGACACAGGTGAGGGATACCTTCAGAAATTATCAGGGAATTTCGTAGAATTTTAGGTAAAGAGTACGATTCCGACGATTCGTTTATCACAGATATTATGGACGACGAGGAAGCGGAGGAGAAGGACGTATAGTTTCCAAGCTCTCAGATACATTTCCATAGTTTTATTTGCAGAGAAAGTTCAAAGAGTGCATGGAATCGGTGAAAACGATGAATCAGGACTACGCACGGATCAAAAAGATTCTGAACATTGGAAAGGAGACGGCCGAGCAGAAAGAGGCGAGACGACGTGCGTTGAGAGAGCAGAATGAGGGACTGACGACGGACGAACAGAAGGAAGCGGCAGAGCAGAAGAGACTGCGGGCGAAGAACAGACAGATCAAGAGAATGGAGGAAGTGGTGCAGGTGTTCACGGAGAAGCAGCGGCCGAAGAATCTGCCGTTCGTCCCGTGCGGAGTGTTCGGCTCTCTGCTCGAAGCGATGGCCGATGTACTTCCGGATGACGACGAGTCGACGGATTACTCTGCGACGATAAATGCGATAGGTGAGGACGTGCTGGCGGCCAGAATCAAGTACATGGGAATAAAGGGCTGTTTCGACACGGAGGGCAAGTCCACCGAGCAATTTCTGAAAAAGAAGGCTCGCAAAATTCTGAAGAATACGTCCGTCATCGACGTGTTCAATTCAACGAGATACGGATTCAATTTCAACACTAAAAGTGAGCACAGTTCTCTTTCGACGCTTGCTTCATCTATTCATTCCAGAAGCCCTGCTTGCTCTCGAGAACTACTATACGCTGAACAAACCGTGCCCCGATAACGGCTCTTCGGTCACAGATCTCGGCATCAACATGCACAACCTCGTCAGATCGGCATTCCACGTGGAGCGCAGCGGAAATTCTCATTTTAAGCTCACCGACACTCTCAAGATGACTCTTTTCGACTTGTAAACCATTGTATTCCACTGAACTCATTGTATTCCACTGAACTGTGCCTTCTCTCTCTCTCGTGTTTCATCAGTCTGCTCAGAATTAGCGTAATACTGGTATCCGAAACGCATTCCATGCCCTTCGATCCTCTTCGTTTCCTGTGAACTGGTTTATCTCTCCCCTGTCTTTCTATCGCCTCCCATCATTGAGAAGAAACTGATATTGGCATCCATTTTACCTGAAATACCTGATAAACCAAAACGTGTTAATTCTCTTACTCGCTGTTTCACCTCTTTTCCAGGAATCGCTCAAATTTCTTCATTGCTCTCGCACGTGCATAACAACCCGTTTATTGCGCGCTTTCTCGCTCACTTCCCCAAACTGACAGAATGGCCAACAGTTATCGTCGAACTGCTTTTTCGTTTTCTGAACGCCGGATGCGTCAGATAGAAGACCCACGGCGAGACGACAACTTCGGCGTCCGAACCGAACGGACGGATGATGGCGAGCACGCTGGCGAGACGCGGAACGCAGAGATAAACGATCTGAAGATGGAAGGGATTGGGAAGGGGCCGGAAGAAGAGAAAGTTACCAGACAGACTCCCCGCATGAAGAAGGAGAGGATCATTGCGAAGGTGGTCAATGTGACCGACAGCTCCGCCCGCCGGTTCTTTTTGCTCTTGTAAGCGAGAGATGACGTTCGGCTCCTGGCCTGAACCACCAAAAAGATGACGTAGAGATTGATGGTAATCGTGGAGCCCATCCAAAAAAGGATGTTGCCGAGCAGGAATGGAGAGTTACTCAGCTGAAATCAACCGACTCTGAAAGGACGATGCTCTGAGGCCGAGCCAACCTTCAGAATCTCGCCGGTGTAATGAATGAAAATGTTGCCGAACTCGTAGGGAGGGTACAATTGACGGCATTCTCCGGACGCGGGGAACAGGAAAAACGTGTTGAACACCGGATAGATTGCGATCAACGGAAGAGCCACTTTCAGCACCTTCGATAGTATCTGCATCGTTTTCCTATCAATTTGGCCAGAAACGGAAATGAGCGTACCGTTTTATGAGTGTTCGGAAATATCATGAAGATGAGGCGAAGGACGGACATGAAGAACGGGAATCCCATTGCGAGATAATCGAGATAGTAGTGAGCGGTCAAAATGAAAATGAGAAGATGTGGGTGGTTATTGCGAGCACACCAAGAAGTGACGAGACCGGTTGCGGGGAGACGGTTTGCGAGAAAGTCGAAGAGAAACGAGATGAGCAGCTGGAAAACGGCACGATTTCATTGTATCTTCAGAGCATCCAATCGGACTGAATGAAACATTAACAAAATCTGTCCGAAAATATTGTGCGGGTATTCGTTAGAATAGACGGCAAAAGTAACAAAATGAATGCATGAGGAAATCGATCGGAATCTTGTAAAGTTCGTAGAATTGTCCCAAACTTTTGCAGCTTCAGCCTCCCCATCTTCACGGATTCATAAACCGTGACACAGGCTCATAAAGCTCATACCGAACAACGAAATATTCAGAGAAAGTTCGACGCCCTCCACTTTTCGGTCTTAGATATCGTTCTAAAAGCATAATTCCGCATCCCCCTTCTTCCCATCTTATGTTTTGTCGAATCTGCTCGAAACTCACCACCACATGCGCCGACGTAATCACCAGGAAGATGTGGGCATTAACTAGAAAGTCGTGCCTCCTCAGCAACGGCTCCAAGAACACAAAAGTAGTGTAAACGATAATGAGCACAGTGGGAATCACATAGAGAAAAGGGAAGAGAGCAATGTAAACGGGGAACTTGTTGTACTGAAACTCGTAGTCCATGTACGTCTGGTTACCGAAAATCGACTTTGCCGACATTTTCGAGACGTTAAGGCGAAAGGATCAGTAATATCAGAAATAGCTGGAAATGTGCTGGCACATTGGACAGCGGGGCGTCGATTTGATTAGGGAAGAAGGTGGAGTGGCACAGAGGTCAGTTTCATTGCATTTTGCGTCAGAAACTAAATATTGCAGCGAGGTTTCCGGGAAGTTATAACATTATTACATGTGGAAAGAGTGAGATTGGAAGACTATTGGGGTGAGGGACCAGGTGAGAGAAAGAAGGAAAATAAAGAAGGGAGCAGAGATCTATGCATATTAGAATGATCAAAACATCGCATTCACAACAATCGGGCTCTTCGACGCGTGCTCCGTTTTTAATTGTCTACTTTTCGAGAACATCGGATGAGTCAGATAAAAGATCCACGGGGAAACGACCGTTTCGCAGTCCGATCCGATCGGTTTCACCAGTGTCAGATAGTCGATAATCGAGGGAGATTTCAGGTAGATGACGACGAAGATGCAGTTGAGAAGGGCGGAAAGGAGCATCGAGACGGTCGTCACAGTGATCGAGAACTCTGCTTTCCGGCCTTTCGATCGGCCGAATGACCTACAATCGAAATGGTTAAACTTCTCAGTTCTATAACGTAAACTCACTCCGAAGTGTACTTGAACCCTGTCAATTTCAAGAGCAACAATGCATTGATAACTGCTCCAATGATCATCCACACCACAATATTCCCAAGATAAAACGGCGAGTTGTGAATGCCGCGAAACGATCCAAAATAGTAGACCATGACGGCACCGAACGGATACGGACTTCCGAGTGGTTTGCAGATTCCGGTGGCCGGGACGAGGAAAAAAGTGAAGAAGATCGGATAAAGGAAGATGAACGGCAAGCTGAATCGGAGGAAGACGGCAGTGAGCAGAGAGTTCGGAGTGGTGATGAGGAGAAAGCGAAGAAGAGAGAGGAGCGAAGGGAAGAGCATGACTGTGTAGGCAGAGTAGAAGGAGAAGAATATGACGGCGGTGAGGAGGGAAGAGGGGACGGTGCGGACGCACCAGGGAGTCAGCAGACCTGTCGCCGGCAGACGGTACATCAGGTAGTCGGACACGAAGAAGAGCAGATTCTGAACTATCAAGGATAAGGGGGATATACTGCAGACTGACCATCAAATGCGAAGCGACAATAACCAGAAAAACATGCGGATCCATCATCTCCTGATCGCTCTTCCACATCAATGATCGCACAAAAACTGTCAAGATCCGTAATATAACAAAACAAGTTGGGATGATATAAACCAGTGGGACCAAGGCTAGGACAATAGGAAAAGTGAGCTCGAACTCATAGACGAATGCGAGATAAGTTCGATTGCCGTATATTGAATAATCAGACATTTAGTTTAGCTTTCCTTTATTTTGCTTATTTCATCATATTTATACTATGATTGAGTTCTCTGAATAACTGGGTTTATTGGGGTCTTTTGACGTGTTTTGTGGAGGGGGAAACGAAAAACAGAGCATAGGTTCTTGCAGGTGGAATAAACGAGGGAGAGGAAGCGGAAATTCGCGGAAGGGACCAGATCAAGAAGTGGATCTCAGTTGTCGCATGAAAGAACTCGTCGAGAATACGAGAGTTTCCGTCGTCTTCGGCTCCCTGAACGCCGGATGCGTTTTGTAGAAGACCAAAGAGACGATGCACGTCTGCATGTCATTGCCGAACGGTCTCAGAATGGTCGTGAAGGACATGTAACGACTGGTACCGTAGTAGAGAACGTAGATCAACTGAAAAGAGGTTACGATGAGGAGAGGGAACCGCTCCTTTCATTCTTCTGACCACGAAAAGTCCATTGGTGACGTAAAAGGCGATCATGGAGAGTGTGGTCACTGTGATCGAGGTCTCCGCTCTGTGCGAGACGCTCCCTTTCTGCAGACTTATCAATTTGGCTCTCGCTTTCGAAACTTTAAAGAATAGGAGAACATTGGCGAGGATGGAGGCGATCATCCAGAACAACGTGTTGTACAGGTAGAAGTAGGAGTTGCGCAGCTGAAACAGAGAACACAAATTATAAGGTGTGCATGTTTTTTGAGCTCTAGTTCTCGTTAATTGCAAACACAAACACAAACCCCATGCTCAGTGTCCGAACTCACCCCGAATGCCGCTCCCGCGTAGTATATCCAAATGGCGCCAAACGGATACGGATAGCCGATCTGTTTGCAGACGCCGACGGCCGGAATCAAGAAGAAAGTGAAGCAGATCGGGTACATCAGGATGGACGGAACGGCGATTCGGACCAGGTAGGTGTTGATCTGAATGTTTACAGTTTTACACAGTCCATACGTTTGAGGCAATTCTTGACGATCAGTAGAAAGGACATTCTCTTACTCGTCACTCACCTTTTTGTGATCTTTGGGAAACATGACAATCATCAGCCGAATGACCGGCATCAAAAACGGAAAAAGCATCGCCGAGTAATTGATATAAAAAGTGAAAAAGAAGATCATTTTCAGCCACTGATTCGGCTCCATCGCAGCAATTTTCGCGGTGAAAATGCCGGTAGCAGGCAGACGGAGCATGAGGAAATCGAAGACGAAGAAGGCGAAACACGTGAACTGCGACAACGAGATCACCAGGAAAACGTGCTGATTCTTTCCGGGTTCGGGCCTCGTCCAGTTGGATTTCCAGTAGACTTTGAATATTCGGAGAATGATGAAGAGGCTGGGAGTCATGTAGAACCAGGGAACGATGGCCAGGTAGACCGGAAACTGATTGAACTCGAACTCGTAGTCCATGTAGGACTGATTGAAGTGGATGGTCCCAGTGAGAGGCAAAGAAGGGACAGATGAGTTGGAATCGGAAGAATTCATCGGGACCAGAGTATGATGTGTGTGTGGATGTTTGTGAAAAGTAAGCAAAAGTAAATGCAGAAGCTCACGCAGGTGATTATTAAGAGCAAACTTCAGTCTTTCGAGTTCACAGAGAGAAAAACGCAACGGAGGTGGTGGAATCGATCAGAACAGAAGTTTCATTTGATATGCAAACTTTGCAAAGTGTTCAGAAACTGATTGATCTTCTTTTGGTACACCGGTCCGATATAATCGAAAGCAGCCAGGGATAAATGTGCTCCGTCGTAGTTTATCACTTTATACGTGTCTTTTTGATAGAGATACAATTTCGACTCTTCGTTTGTCAAAACCTGAAATCCAATGCTCATTTCTAGAATGTTAACTGATTCAGGACACCTTTTGTACATCGATATACTCGCAATTAGTGCAATTCAACGCGAGAAGTCTCTCCGATTGCTCTCCGATCCGTTCGTCCACTTCTTCCATTTCAACTGTCATTTTCTTCTCCAAATCCTTCCGATATATTAGTGTCCTTGCCATCAGTTTGGCCGGATAATCGGAAGTTACGTAGTGCGGTAGATCCACGTACACCTTGTCGGCCAACACTTTCAATCTGTCCATTTCGCGCTGGACAACTCTGTCGAGAGCAGTTGAACTGAAATCGGTAGGAGAACGATCCGAGTGGAAGTATATTTCACTGAAAATTTGAATCTTTCTCCGAATGCACCGTAGCTGGCTTACTGTACTCCCTGAATGATCCACAACAGATCCGGCCTCATTTCCTCGGTCATCTTGACTGCCGCATCCGTGTAATACGCGAAATGATTGAGCAACGGGGCGGAACCGTGCTTCAGAAACAATCGGATCTCTTTGTACCGCCCTTCGAACAACTTGAATATTGTGGGAAACGCGCGGGAAGCCACCGAGTTCCCGATGACCAGTATGGTTTCAGTGCCATTTCCAGTCTGGAACAAATTCAATTGTGCTGAGAGTCGTATTCTTTCAAAGAGCTCACATGGGTGCAGTACTCGATTCCCAACATGTCAAATGTGAAGTTTGCACTTGTCTGCGTCATTTCACACGGAAGAGAATCCAAAGTCACGTACTGGTTTGCGGGGTTCAAGTTGAAAAGAGCACGTTCCCGAACAGTTGGGGACAACGTTTTTATGGCGTAGCATTCTTGCGTTTGGAGCAATGGAATCAGACCGTAACACAGACCGAAAAGGGTGACAGACGAGAGGAAGTTGACGAAGAAATCCAGTCGGAGCACCGGTTTCTGAACAATTATGTTGTTAGAATGACGCGTAGTCGGAAAGTGCGCACTTCTATGCAGTAGTGAACCAGAAGGGACAGCGCGAGTATGATAGTAATGGCCCCAGACGCTTCTGAACGCAAATATTTGAATGGAAACATGGATCTTCTCACCAATTATACTCAAATCCGAATGGTCCTTCTGTTGAACGTAACGCACAAAGTTGATAACTGGCCAGTGAACAAGGTAGATTACGTATGAGATGTTTCCGATGAATACTAGAGGGGACAAACTGAAGGGTTCTCATGAAACATTCACAATTTCAAACAAAAACTCACGTGAAAGAAGAGCTCTCGAGCTGACTGTGAGCACAAAAGAAACAGAGGATCGCGGCGGCGGAAGTCATGATCAATCTGATCAAATTCTCACGGAACACACGTGGAAACATCAGAGCAGCCATCAGAATCAGCCAGAAACAAGAGGGAAATGCGTCCGCAACCGTGAACTTCTTCTTCTTCTTCTGTTTCTTCTTCAAATCCAATTCCGAATTGAATTCCTTTCCGATCCGCTTCGACAGCTCGAAAGCCACGGATCCCATGAGGAACTGCCAGACTCTTGAAGCCAGAAAGCAGTAAGAAAGTTCGAAAGGAGTGAGCACTTGGAACAGGAAAGTGACGACGATGGCGATGGAATAGCCGAGGATACGGAGTGAGAAGGGCAGCAAGAAGGCGCAGAGGTGGATGAGCGGGGCCATGAGATAATACTGGAGTTCGGTGCAGAGAGACCACAGATGAGTGAGGTACCGGATCGAGGAGACCTGATCCCAGTAGGTGTGATGCTCGAAGATCGGTTGAAAGTTGGATGCCAGCGGCAGGGTCCAAGTGACGTCGAGTATGAAATCTTGACGTTCGGATTGAAGTACGAGACAGAGAACTGCTGCAAACATGAAACTATGATTCATAGTCTATGAACACATACTCTCCAGTAGACCTACCAAAAATTGTGGAAAATATCGTGAGGTAATAAAGAGGGACTATTCTACAGAATCGCTTTTTGTAAAACTCTAAGACTGAGCTCAACGTGATTCCTTTTGACAGTATTCGGCTCATGAGGAAGCCAGAAAGTACGAAAAACCTGAAATTGCTATTGTTGCTTTCATTAAGTGACTTACTAGACTTACATGTCAACTCCGACGAATCCATTGACAAAGTGTTTGGGGTAAAGATGGAATGCCAGGACGAGAATGATTGAAACGCCACGGAGACCTTGCAAACTTTTAAGTTTTCCCTCGCTCATTCCTGGAAAAACAAATGAAAGTGTGGACAGAATTGAGGCCAACAAAAGTAGGATAATACTCGCGAAAAGAGGTCAGAAGACGCGGTGGAACGTATATCAGCTGTGTCAAATGCAAATTTTATGGGCTATTTATGTGAGCGAAACTGTTAATGTTTTAAATGTTTTGAATGGTTTGAAGGTCAAGCAAAAAGATGAACCCTCTGCTCAGATATTTTCAGGCTACATCTCAGGAGCCTGTGAGTCTTTAATTGGAAAATGTCAAGAGAGTCAGGGCTAGGCCAGGTTTTCGATTGCTTGCCTTGGCCTGGGCTTTTGACCTTGATGCAATAGTCCGATCGAACTCAAACTTTGTAGGCTTCATAGACTTGGATTGAAGTATCTTAGGTCCACGTTTGAGACTGTTCCGATCATCTGTTCCCGAGATATTCTGGTTTGAGGCCGAACAGACTTGGTTTTTTCGAAAATTTCGCATAATCCGCTCGGTTGGAAACTTGGCCCCAAAATACTCCAATCCAAGTCTGAGAAGCATGCAAAGTTTCGGTCCGATATTATTATTAAAAGGGTCAAAAGCCTGGACTGGCATCTCGATCAGCCCAGCAAAAGATCAAGAAAACGAACGAATTATCCAGTGTAGTTGAGGGAACGCCGGACGAGACTACTTGAGAAGCGTTTTGCCATTGACATGTTCGGATCAAGTGCCGAATGACCGGCAGTGCGGTTCTTCACTGAAAACGAAAGTGTGCTGAACAGGCCGAGATTGATCTGATTGATTTGAGGTCAATGGCATTTTAGAAGTTGAATACTCTTGACTGAAAGATTCTAAACATGCGTTTCATTTTGCTCGTCCATCTGACAGCGAGAACATGTATAGACTAAGGAAAGATCTCAAGAAGAGTTTACCTTTTGGGAACCAGACATTCATGGTTTTCCAAAAATTCAAAACCCCGTATGGCCAACTTTGCCTCAAATCACAAGGCACTATCTGATTAACCAAATTCTTTCAATGAAACTAGAAAACTGAAAGTGTAGTTGAAGAGTACGCAACCAAAAGAACAGAGTCTCCGAGCGTGTTACGCCAGATGACATCTTCCATTCCATTCAACTTTTTGTCAGAGCGCCGTACCGACCATTAGCCTAGATTTGAACCGAAACCAAAAAAAAAACAGTCGATTCCATCTTGGCCGGCCTTTTGAACAGTGTTCCGATGTTCGTACACGATTCCGAATAGTTTATTATTCGATTTCATTTCATAAACAACGTACATGACCAAGAGATTGTTTGTTTTTTACAAGAATCTAGCAACGAGTACAGCAAGGATTGAGATGAGAACGGTTGAGGAGGAGGCCGATTGGGTCGTGGATTGGATTGTGGTGGATTGGATTGTGGTGGATTGGTTTGTGGCGGACTGGATTGTGGTGGAGGAGCCGTCCGGAGCCGCAGTCGTCGGGGATGGTGCCTGGTTGAGCCACGTGGCGATGTTCTGGTCGATGAGGTCACGGACGATCTTGAGTCCAGGAACGTCGGCGTCTCTCGCCGGGTACATGTCGGCACAATGGGCAGTTCCGTTGATTAGGTACGAGACGACCGAGCTATCGGTGGGGCTGTACAGTCCGAGAGCATGCCACGGGTCGACGTTTCCGTTGGGGAGGATCACATTTGTACCCTGAAAGTTTGAAAGTTAGGGATTACCACAAGGAGTAGAAGTATGTACGTACTCTGTAGTTGAATCTCTCTCCGTACTTGTAGTTGGTGTAATCGGTGACACTGTCAATGGTAGTTCTGTCGTAGTAGGTTCCGAAGAGATCTTGACACAGTTGAACGTACATGCTGAAATATTTAATTGGAAATAAGATTCAGAGCCTTAGACTAACTTGACTGGAGTGGGAGACCCGAAGATGCCGTTTCCAGAGTCGGCAGATTGGAAGTATCCGAACTCGCTGCAAGTCTGCCACGTCCACAGAAGGCCAGCCCCGGCATCCGGTCCGTAGCTCTGCGCGTTCATCAGATAATCCACCATATTCTGATAGTTGTTGTCCATTCCCGTGTAATTTCCACCTCCGTTGTAGAAGATTGTCATAAACTCATTGAAATTGACAATATTCTGAAGCGGAGTGTTCGAGTCGTTCGTCATGATGCTGCACATGTCCGGAATTCCGTATCCGTAAGCATACGGCCCGGTGTTGTCCCCAGAATACTGTACGGCTCCTTGGAAGTTTCCGTAGACGTTGGAGAAGAAGTAGTGCTGATCGATGTCAGTGACATTGTCGCCGAACGGAGGATCCAGTTGGAAGAGGTTGGTCAGGTTCTGACGGCCTTCCTTCGTGAGGAACAGCTGACGCATACTGTCGAATCCAGTCTTGATTCTGTCGGCACAGTCGGAGCTGTAGGTGCGGACCGAGTTCTCAACGACCATCAGATACTCGTAGAAGTCAGTTTTGGCAAAGACGGGTCCGGAAGAAGCGACTGCTCCGACGACAAGTTCTGGGAAGATTTCTCTCATCCAGGCGGACATGGCTCCCGAGTAAGATCCTCCGAAAGTAATCCACGGGGCGGAGGTTCCGGTTTGGATGTTGACGGCTCTGATGAACTCGGCAAGATCGTAGAGCATTTCTAGAGAGTTCAACTGGTTAAAGGCAGTGTTGTCTCTGAAATAAATTCATTCGAAATCGAGAGATCTTTTTCTGATAGCTCACCCGACCAAACTGTCTCCGTAGAATCTGTGCTCGAGCAAATAGACAGTTGCTCCGTACTTCTTAGCCCATGTCAAGTAAGTGATGTTCTCGTTGAGCACCCATCGAGAGCTCTCCGGTCCTTCTCCTCCAATCATGAGGAAGTTCGGCCCTCCAGCCTTGGCCCACTGAGCATTTTTGAAGAACTTCTGTTGGAAGAAGTTCGGGTTTGTGTTGTCGAAGTGAGAGGCCCTCTGTCGGAAGGTTCCCTCTTCGAATCCAGCTGGGTAAGCGGCTGTCTCATCGTAGTCTGGATCCGGGAGGAATCCGTGTGGTGGTCTTCCAAGGAACACCTTCTTGAACTTTGGCTCTGGGAACGTTTTCTTGGACGGAACATCATCTCCCAACTTGGAAAATCTGGCAGCATTTTCTTGTTTGACCTGCATCTCCTGAGCCCGAACGATGAATTCGCCCCAGTACGGACGGATCCACGGGTCGGTCGTGTTCACAAACGTCTTCGGGTTTCTCGGTCCGTTCACCCACCGATTGATGTTCTCCGCGAAGAGAGAGTGTGCCTGGTTGATGAAAGTGTTGTTGGTGTCTCCGGGGAAGAAGTCGCTGGCGAAGGAGGCGAGAGGGATGAGGTAGGCGACGACGGAGAAGTCACCAGTGGATTCCTTGCCGAGTCGGCTCCACGGATCGAACCATCCGTTGGTGAAGACGGCGTTGGTGCCGGCCCAGTTAGAGGCGGATCCGTAGAAGTTGTTGTAGTCGATGACGAGGTCACGGATGATGGTGGCATCGAGGTTCGCGTCGGGGAACAAATCGAAGCACTGATTGAGGAAAAGACTCGTGGGGACGACCGATCCGAACAGTCCGTTCTCGTTGGTGTTCGTCGTGTAGAACCAGGCGAATTCGGAGCACGCTTGGTACTGCCACATGCGTTGGTCGACTGGAAGAAGATGAGCATTTCACAGAAGACACGTGTCACTTACTGTACGGATTGGTAGCTTTCGGATCTGCGAGATCGGCAATAACCTCCTGATAAGAAGTGATCATTGGTTGGACGGATCCGGTGATTGTGGTACTCAAGTAGACGTACGCCTGATAGACCACTTCCATGCTGGTCCAGTTGCTCTTGTCGATTGTGCCGCACATATCTCCGATGGACAAATTGAACTGGAATCAGTCGAATGTCTTCTGGAATATTCTGAATCGGACTCACGTCATTGTTGAACTGAACGAGCTGTTGGAACGGGGAAATAATGGCCAAATAGAATGTTTGGATGTCGTTGTAATTGAGATCAGTGTCATTCAAACGGGGATTCAGATGGAACACATCGGAGACGTTCGCCCGTCCTTCTGGAGTCCTCATGGCCGCCCGAATGTCTGCGAATCCCTGTTGAACCTTCCAATAGCACTCGAGACCTCCAGTCTGTTTGATGGCTAAGTCCACATAATTGTTGTATTCTGAAATGCAAAACGATTTTATATCAATCTCTTTTGTCTTGTCACTCACTCCAGAAGTCGTACTGATGAGTGAGCGGAGCCGAACTGGCAATGACTCCCGAGACAGTAACTGGATCCCATTTTCTGGCTTCCGCGGCAATCACTCCACCATATCCGTATCCCCAAAGAACCCATCGAACGTCCGGATCCATGTTGAACTTTACATTCGCATACTTGATGAATGCAATGATGTCCATAATTGCTTGGTATGAAGTCAGGAAACGAAGGTTGGTAGAATTGAATGTACTGTAAAGAGATGTCATAAGAAGGATCATACCTCTCATTTACTCACTCATAATTGGGCTTCGACTGTCCGTAATATCTGTGCTCCAACGCGAACACAGTGGCTCCGAACTGCTTGGCCGTCTTCACAATCGGACTTGTGTCGTCGGTGATGACCGAAGTCTCGAAGGCACCCTCATTGGAGACGTAGAGGAAGGCGGTCCTCTGGTGGAGAGTGAACTGTTGCGTGTAAAAGTATCTCTGCGTGAACGTTCCCGATCCGTTTCCGGTGAAATGATCGAGGTTCTGATCGAGGAATCCGGCCGTGATGGCGACATCCGCATTCCCTCGCAGCTTGGACGCCTTGTTGAGGTAGGGCCGGAATTGGAAGTGATTGGGGACTATGCAAAGACACGAGGAGACTGCCAGAGCAGCCAGCAGCAGCAGGTTCCGCAGCATTACCCTGCAAGGAGTACGGTAGAATGGGTTAAATGTGTGACTTCGAAAGTTGACGTATACTATGTCTGACTAAAGAGTGAGAGGATGATAAAAGAAGGTGTGTTTGCTTTTCCAATGTGTCTAGGATGAAATGATAATGATGATAATTTGATTGTTTATCGCGGTGATGATTCAGAAGGCTGTGTGGTTGAATGGTTATCGGAAAGATCGAGAGCAAAAGAAAAGAGAAGTCATCGGAGGGAATCGACGTGAGAGTTCAAAAACGATATGAAATTCGAACTGTGACTCATTCATTCACGAATCCAAATCACAACTTCTCCGGAAAAGTTGTAAAAAGGAGAGAGTCAACAACTGGAAATAGATCTGTGACAAGTTGTAAAATAAGACCCACACACACAAAAAAGAATTCGTCGTTTTCGGTGCCGACGCCCGTTATCACTCAAACAGCTCTGCTGATAACCGCACTTTCTGGACGAAATGTGCAAAACCGCGACCGCATTTTATAGTGGCTCGGTACGTGCCCAGAGTGTTGCGAAAAGAGTGCCGCAAGAGGGGGAGACAAAGTTTTATCGTTCTTTAAAACCGTTAAACTAATCTTGTCATCGTCTTTAAAGTGATGTCAACTTGGGAAATAACTGAAATTCGAGCAGACGGACGGTTTCGAGTTTGAACGGGACGGCTCGCACCTTGATGTAACTCCTTGTCACCTCGGAATGTGGTTTCCTGCCTGTTGCAATAACACTGTTTCAGAGATCCATTTGCTTGCAGCACAATCGGCTACAGTCCTTCTTTTCTTCGAAAAATCAAAAGCCTGGTGATCGAACATCTGAAAAACATTCATGACTTTTCCAGTTCAAGCATGTTTGGCTTCGAGAAAGAACTCTTCTTTTTTGTGTTTTTCTTTTTCGGCAGCGCGGTTAGGTACTAATTATCACAAATAGGGCGGGACTACGGTAGATGTCTGGTCATTCATTTTTTTTTCATTTTTCATGATTACTTCATTGCATTCCATTCCATTCCCTAAAACGTTTGCGCTGATTTTTGAGCGCAGTGCCCTGAAAGTATGAGTGCCCTAACACCCTTATCACTGCATTGCGAGTGTCTCGACCTCCCTTCCACTTGTACTTCCTTTCGTCGACGAAGGTGTGAAGATTAGCCGTCCAGCCGGAGAGAGAGAGAGAGTGAGTACTTCCGGCGACGGAATGCGTGGGACACTTGAGAAGAAGAAGCGGCTGATGAAGAGCCGTTTCAAAACACACACGCACACTTTCTCCTTGACTTTTGTGTACAATATGCAGGGCTGGGCTGGCTGAGACTTTTTGAAGCTTGAGAGCCCTTTGACTTGGATTGAAGAATCTTGGATCATCTGGTCTTGAGCTATATTGGTTTGAGGCCGAAAGGTCGGGTTTTGCAGAAATTGCGACCTTTTTAAGCTCTAACTGATTCAATTCAAGTCAAAGAAGTCTGCAAAGTTTGGGTACGATAGGAGTACTGCAACTGGACCGAATGTTCATGAAGAATCTGTCAGAATTCTGGGAAACCTTGTGAGAACACTGAACTTTGGGCGTTCCCAGCTGAAAAAGAGTTCGTGGAACTTCCAAAAACTTGTGGCGTGTTAGAAAGTGCTGCTGGGGTTACGGTAGGTGCCAGGCGGGCCAAAGAACTCTGTTGTTTTCCAAAACATCTCGCCATTCTTTGCTGATTATTTTCGACTCCTCATTCAACACATCGGACAATGAAATCTTGTTGTTTGAACATTATAGGACATTGAGACTGTCGACTTTGCTTCTTTGAACCCCTCCTCCTCCTACACTTTCTCAAAGTTCTTTGACTTCCTCTTCCACTTCTTCTTCCGTTTCCCTCCGGATGACGTGACCTTTCCGTCCGCACACAAAGCACATCCAAATGTATTACCTGACCGATGGAGGCGAACAATTGAATGAGAAGGAAAGAGAGAGAGAGAGAGAGAGAGAGCCTTCTTCTTCTTCTTCTTCTTCTTCTTCTTCTGCTCCATTATCGAGAGTCCTAACCTTTTCTTCTTCTTCTCTCCTAATCAACTCCCCCACTCGTTTTGGCTTCCACTCGAATTTCCGTTGATCAGTCCAAAAGATGCCGAGATTGTCCGTGTGTGAGGGCTCCGCGAGAGCTCCGCCCGCTGTTTTTTCCTTATTATCCGCCGGAAGGACCTCTATATAACTGGCACCGTATTTTTGAACTTTTCCACGTAGTTCTCCTCCTCCCCCTCAAATTATTTCTGAAAAACAAAACAAAAAAGAGTTGGTTTACACTTTTTCATTGAGATTCTTCCATTTTTAGCTTTTCTGCTTGCACGAGTACACGAGAGGAAGAGACGAAGAGCGGGGGAATACAGAAATTGTTTTCGAGTAGGAGCATGATTCCTAATTAGTATTTGATCGGTGGGAGCGACTATTGTAGGCAAATTTGTTGTTCTCCTCCTTCTTGCCGGATTCCTTGTGTTCTCTGTTCCTCTGATGTTTCTGCCAAACATCGCATCATTTTTAAGGGCACCGGAAGCCTGAATATCACAAACTCTTTAAGCTAAAACATTTTCACTTTTAATCCTTCTCTCAAATCGTTTCAATCGCATCATCAGGAAGGATTTCTGCAGAAATAGCAACACTTTGAACCGGTTCCCCATCACTTTACTTCTTTATGCAGTGGGTCCGGTTGCTATTGTCCGGTCGACCTTTTCCGGCAATCGTAGGTTCGATCTGTACCATAAGACCAGAAATTCTGGTCCGTGCTATTACAAAATTGTTCAAAATGGATTAATTGCAGTCCCACCAACTTCCTTTCCAGAACCCCATGTCCTTAACAGTCTGATCTCTGTCCTCCGGATCCCACTACCCGAACTATCTCTCTCTCTCTCTCTCTGCCTCTCTTTCCTTTCCCATTCGTTTCGGTTTTTCTCGCCGTGCTTCTTCTCCTGGTCTTCCTGAAACTTTTCAAGTGTTGCACGTCACAAATTGCGTGTGCGTGTGCATATTCTGATAGTGTCGTGGGTGAGAGGAGGAAAGAAGCGTCGAGCAACGAAAAAAGAAAAAAAAAGAGAAAGCAGCTCTCGAAAGTGTTCAAAGCGCACCCGGTTTTGGAAGAAGAGGAAGAAGGAGGGGGGAAGAAGAAGAGACACCCCCACAGATTGGATGCAGAACGAACAGACAATCGGTTATTTTTACCCGTCGCCCATCACTTCTTCTCTTTTTGATCTAATCCCATTCTTTGCCGTCATTCAGATCACCGAAAGCTCACCACTGCATGTTTTCGAGCTTTTCGTTCCGAATATTGTCGGCCAGGAGTTCCTCCGCCCACGCACGCGTCAGTTTGAAGAAACACGGCGAGGGGGAGTGCATCTTGTCACTCTTTATTTCCTTTTATTTATTTATTTACCAGCAACATTTCAAGGTTCTTTTGATCTCGATTAGTGTCCTCTCAAATCTCGGTTTTGAAACATTTGAGACCTCGAAATGATCATCTCGCCCACCCACAATCCCTCCCCTTTTCATATCGAATTACTCCACCGACGGACCTCACCCGATTCACACCCGAAATAGTCGGTGTTCCGCTCCGTTCTTTCAAAGTGACCATTCGATGCATGATTCCTGCTCATTTCCGTTTCTGGACACCAACTACCAAACAAATCATCTCCGGGGGCTCGTCTGCAGATTATAGTTCGCTCGGTCCTCGAAGACATCTAAAATACCAACTCTGACTATGAATAGTGTGATGACATCATCATCGTATTGGTTGGTAATCCACAGATCACATTCTGAACTGCTTTCATCTCTTGTTTGCTGAATACTTCATGAAGGTCCCGGATGTCTTGGCCACCTTGAATAGAAGATTCGGAATTTATTTCCCTTGCCGTCTGGTCATCTTTGTTTTCGGGTCATTCTACATACAAAAAGTGTTATTTTTCAAAAATTCCACTTCCTATCCAAATCGTCCACAATTCCGCCCACGTTCATCTGATTTCCGTCTGCTATTCTCTCTTCATTTCACTCCTAAACCTCGTTTCATTCGTCGCCCCTATATTTACCTCCCGAGGTCGTCCGATTTCTGGTGATTCGGCTCCAATTCCGTTCGTACGAACAATTTTGATTTATCTTCTTGCATTCATTCCGCGCTCTTTGATACACTCACAGTTGACGCGTATTCCTAGTCGGGGGGATAAGTCGGATCAGGGAAGAAGAAGAAGAAGAAGAAGAAGAAGAAGTCGAAATGTAAACAGGAACAACAACAACTTCTTTGAGTGATCGCTTCGTGGGCCGAAAGCAGAAGGAAAAGCAAACAAAACCGATGATGTACTGTAGTGGATCACCTACTAAAAATGGAGAATTGACGCGGAATCAAGTGCTTTGACGTCACCGACAATTGAATCATTTGGCCAACTAAATTGGGTACACTTTCGAAACCCGGGACGACCTTGTCATGTCATAAAGGTGTGGAAGTGATCATTCTAGCAGTCTTCCCTTTCGTTTCCAACTACCGTAACCGTTGATGTCTCAAACAGCACAATAACATTGTTTCCCACTCATGGCTAGGGAATCCAAGTTCAGCGAGTCTTCTGAAGAGACCTCCCACAAGAGTGAGTACGTACTCGGATTACCCATCCGTTCCCTGGCCATAGACGTCATCCGAGGAGAGCAACCAAAAACCTATCCTTCTTCTTTTCTCGAATCTCAATCGTCGATCAGACGGTTTGTGCTCCAGAAGGTTCTCGCTCTCGCATCATAGTCTTGCTCAAACCCGCGCGGAAATGTTAATTGTGTTAGATGAGCTGCTCCCTGCACACAATGCGATTAATAACCAAACAGACATACGCACACGCACATTGGTATCCCTTTTTCATCATCATCCGCATCATCATCGACCTTTTCCGGGTGAATCTCAGATGGTTTCTCCCTCTTTTCTGGGCTCATTGCTCCATTCTTCTGTTTTCTGAGACTTTCCCCACTTGTTCTTCCGCAGCGGTTCACAAAACTGTCTGGCTCGTCTCGCGTCTACAGTAATCCCGGCTCGGGCCAATTAACACTATCCACTTAGTGACATCATTGTCTTCTTCTTCTTCTTCTTCTTCTTTTTCTTTTTCTTCTGCCAAAGGGCCACCCCAAAAACTGCGTCACGTCACTGGCTTCCTCGTTCCCTCGCAAATTGTTTCCGTCTCTCGGTGACGTGAAATCAGCCTGCACATCCTTCTGAATAATTGACGAACGCCCTAGGAATCAACCGAGTGTTTTGCTGCTTTGTTTTGTGCTCGCCTCCTAGACACGTACAAAAGATCGCCTTCCTCTTCTTCTTCTTCATCTGCTTCTTCTTCTGCTTCCTGTGTGTGATATCATATGGTTGCGTTCTGTCATCAGAACTTTGGCTAGTTGTGCATTTGCGATTAGCTGTTTGCACAAAACCTTCTCTTTCTTCGTTTTCCGAACGAACGAGTTCTCTCTTATTGTTTTCTGGTCCCGACAATGAATAGACGTCGGCGTTAACCTATTCCAGGTCACCGCCATTCCCTTCTATTTCCGGATCTGGACTCTGGCCATTCGCCTTGTTTTCGATCATCCCTAATCTGTCTCTATCTCTCGCAAACTGTCAACACTTTCTTCAGAAGTTAACCTCTCAAATGCTTCTGTCTACCTTAAATCCTGGAGAGATAATCGGCGTCCGTTAATGGCGGCTGATCATCGGCCTTCCTTCCTTTCTCGCACAAATAGCCGCCCGCCCGTCTCTTTTCATTTTTGCAACACGGATACGTTCGCCCCGGATGAGCTGCTGATCAGTGAACCTAATGTGTGCGGGAGAAACGTTTCCTTCTAATTTTGGACTTGTTGGTTTCTGGTTCCTTCTGTTAGGATCTTCTACTCTTCTCAACCTGTGACCACTTGTTGTCTAGGTCTTTGAAATGTGTACTAGTCATTCTGTGTCGTCATTTGTCTAATAGCAACAAGAGAATGTTGTCTGGACAGAACTTTTGCGACCGAAAAAGAGTTCGTTCGTCGTCGAAATGTTCGCTCCGCCTCTCTGCGTCTCTTTCGGGCCTCCCTCGCAAAGCACAAAGTTCATTTGAAGCCGCCGTAAGCTCGGAGCGGATGAGGAAATCACGAGATCACATCCGACTACTTTTGTGTCCTTATCCTTTTAGTCCGAAACGTCCGCGGCCGTAGGGCAGAGTCTCCGGATGTGTGATGTATAAATATAAATAACCAGAGGATATGACCTCAAATATTTGAGATTTGGTTGACTGACATGATGTGTATGACTAAGAAATTAAGGCGAGATGGGCTCAGAGATCCAGTTGTCGGGATTACTGTAGGCCCCCTGCGCCATTTCTCGCTTGACCATCACTTTGAACTCTCCTTCAGCTTTGACCTCATTTCCGTTGACCTCTCCTCTGCCCCAATTTGTGCTCCTTCCGTTTCTTGCTCTTCCCCATCCGATTGACGTCGCCATGTTTAGACATACGTTTCTTCTGATTCAATTTCCGGTTGTGTCAAGAACACGCAGCTCCTCTTTTTTATTTCGGGACAGCATTTGTACTCTGTGCAGTCCGCCCTCTTATCTCTTGACCGGCACTTGCCAATTCTAAAATCTGAATTCGTAAGTAACCGCTGGCTCTCCCACTCAGAACGAGAGAGAGAGAGAGAGAGATTACTTCTTTGCGGATCTGATCACTTTTTATCCTCTTTAACCTTTCCAATCCCCTCTGAAAGATCACCGAAAGGAACATCTTGATCCTTAATATTAACATTCATTAAATCCGTCTGCAAACGATGGGGGTGGAAGAAGGGATCAAGTAGGATCAGGCGGTTTCTCATTAGAGCAAACTTCCTTCCCTCCTCTCCATTCTTATCAACTGCCACGTAGCCGTTTGGAGTTTGATCGCCTCCTCGCCACTTCCCTTCGTTTTTCCGAATTCTCAGCGGACAAAACAATTGATGACCGCTTTCGTCGCCGCGTCTTACGAAGCCCTTGAAGCCCAACTGGAAACAGCACACCGCGATGCCTCTGACGCTGATTTTTGAGATTTAAATGAGTGGCGGCGGCTGCGGAGGCAACCCTCAAGAGAACACGCCGTTCCGGGAAAGCGTAGAGTTTTTGGAGGAGCAGCCAGGTGCTCATCATCAAAAATCGGTCATTGAGACGCGTATTTTTTCGACGAAAACGACTACAACCCTTCCTTTTTCTTCTTCTTCTTCTCCGACTGATTTGGATGAAGAAGAAGAAGAAGAAGAAGAAGACGGTGTTGTATGATCGACGGAGAAGACCAAAAAGAGAACTGATAAATAAGTGATTTCGTGCTCACCCACACCTACGTACTAGGTAGATCAGGGGCAGATTTCGAAGAGATCGGATGAGTGCGAACGTCTGTTCTTTAACCTGATTCGACGCGAGACTTGAGCTGTCCGGATTGTCTTCTGATTCGAGTATTGTAGCTTTCTTTTAGCTGCCAGCGAAAGCGAAAGCAATCAGAACCCAGACTCACCTCATTTTTAGGTCATTTCCAGTACCTCCTGCGTTGTGACGTCGTCGTGCCATTCTGTATTCTCCGATTTGCAGTTTTCAATTCCCTACTCATCCCCTCGCTAATCCGCTACGGTAGATCCGTAAAAATGCACACCCATCATCACACAATCCGCTGGAAATCATCGAAAATCGAGTTCGAAACGCAAAGTCCTTCAAAATCTCTCTGCACAAAATCCGACTAAATCGGGCGGGTCATCGCCTGCCCATCCGATCATAACACTTCTGAAGGAGAAGAAGAAGAAGACACGTCGCGACTCCATTCTTCTTCATTATTCCCCTGACCACCGCCGCCCACGCATCTTCTAGTACGTCGTGTTGGTCGGTCGGAAGCGGCCGCAATTATAGGGTTTGCATATTTTTGTCTCTCTGTCGCCTGCACACACACACACACATACATGACATTTCGTGATCGCTGATCGCAGAACGAACGACTGACGAGAAGCCCCTGAAGAGGTGCTCCGGTGTCGAAACAATTAGGATCCGCCCCGAACTTCGGTGCTGCTCTTTCTTCCATTCCACTCGATTCCATTCGCTTCTCGAATGTTCCTGCTCGCCGAGTGATTAACCTGTTTTTTCCCGCTCTCGGGTACACCGAGAACCCTAGACGATCAGTTGAGAGCGCCGCCGCTTCCGGCCGTCCACCCCATAATGATCACTTTCATTTTCAAACTTATTCTTTGATGCGTTAGAGATGGCGAGCCGCACACCCCGAAATTTGAGAAACTTTTCCACGTTTTTTTAGCCGCGGAGCACCTCCGACACCACCACCTTCCCTGTTTGGCATGTACACGTCACACAGACCCAGTAACATGGATTCTTTCGGTTTCAAATCTTGAACGTTGCGCGGATTTGTTGTAGTTTTAAAATTGAGCGATTGAGCGAGTGTTTTTCAATGTCCCCGCCCGGTTTTGCAGTTTCCTGTGCTGTGATCTGGTGAGCCGAATGGGAATCACTTTGACTGACTCGACGACGGCGTCAAAATTCCAAATTTAGAAGCATCCACCTCCGTTTTTCTATGGTTTCCTTCTCCCACTTTGTCGTCATTGACCCTTATTTAAACTGACCCGAATGGGTGCGATCCGAACACTCTCGATCACCAAACAACTTGTTGATGATTTCAGCACGAGTACCCGGCCAAATTATAGACTTTAGGGTGAGTTGGAAGCCTAAGCGACCACAGTTTTCCATCATATCTCTGGTTTTTGAGGTGTTATCCCCACACTATCAATTATCTCCTTCCTCTCCTTCTCTTTCTTCTTACTTCTTCCTCCCCCTCATACGGGCCTCAGAAGCTTTGTGAATTCGTGATTCGCCTTTGTTTTAGCCGTTTGACATTTTTCCAAATTCCTCGAACCTCGGGTTAATCAGACATACTCGTTCTGCAAAAACAATAATATTCTTATTATTCGTTCGTCCTTTCGCCTCTAATCCCACGTCATCCATCCCTCCTTTCCAGCACAACCAGAACGCTGAGCTCACAAATTTTCCACGTTTTTTTGGCCGTCACGACTAAGAAGAAGAGAAGGATTACGGTACTCTCGGAACTCTGTGAAAAGTCTCCTCAAAATAACGTTTACTCCTATAGGTGAGTCTCGTCTCAGCCATCATCTAGTCTGATGGCAATCTGAATGTTTTGCAGGTATACTGTGTAATGAAAACAGATGAAAATACTACAATGCCTTTGGCACGGATAGCCCGCGCATACTTCCAGCTTGCCACAAAAACGGTGAGTTGGGTCTCCGGGTTCGGCGCTTCGGGTCAGATGACGTGTCGTTCACGACTCGACCTTTTTCGCGAAACCCGACACCTTCTGACGAAGTACCCGCTGACGTGTCATCTCATTTGCAGAGTCGATATTTGTTCAGCGACTCGCGACAGAGGATCGTCGCCTACCTGCTTATCTTTCTCTGCTTCCTCACGCCCTCCTCAACCTCATTTGTTCTGTATCAAGGAAGTAAGTACAGTAGTCCCGCGTCTCGATTGGTACCTAATATTTCGGTTTTCAGCGACTGCAAAGATCGAGTATAAAGACGTGAATATGCTGAAAGAGATGAAGTTGGAAGATAGGAAAGTGATATTCGAGTTTTGCAATTTGGTTGTTAAATTTCCGCAATTGGTAAGCAAAACCCTACACCTTTCAGTGCTAAATCTGTAACTTTTTCCAGTTGGCCAAGAAAATGACGCACGAGCAAGTGCGGAAGTCGAAGCCGATTTGCGAGCAACTTCTTCTGGGTATTTCCAAAGTCAGAGAACAAGAGTCTCGAGCTCATCGGGCTCATACTAGAGTATTATGATAATAGGTAGGCGAGAGTTCTCAGAAAGAGCAAAATGCTAACTTTGAATGTTTTCAGAAAGAAAGTCTTCGTTTCTCATCTCATCTCATCTCAAAGTCATACGAAAAATCAAGAGGGTGCCTCCAGAATCAATCACAAATCGAATGCGGAACGACGTCGTCGCCATATTTATTTTGTTTCTCTTTTTTCATTTTTTTTCTCTTTTTTGTTTTCTCCGTTCCCAGTGCAAACCAGTATTATATGTCTACTTCTCCTTGTGTGTATTTCGATTGACCGAAACATGAACATTCGCATTTACCTTCTTCTGCTCTTCCTCACTGCTCTTTCCCTCCTCTCGTTTTCTGTAAATACGTCGTCACTCTCGGTATATAAATCAAACGAATCGGTTGCAAAACATCCAAGGAAAACCGCAACAAATTTAATAGCTTGCAGGACAGATAAACCTCGAATCAGCGGAAAGGATTTGGCTGATTTCTCATCGTTCTGACAAGGGACGCACCCGAACTGCCGAACAGAGTCTGAGTCTGAACTGGGGGAGAACTGAAAGGGTCTAGGAAGGGTAGAAATTGTACCAGGGGAGACTTTGGGGTCCATATCACATCTTGATATTATATGGTGACCGTCGCACAGCGTCAGTTCCAAGTGTAAATGTTCTTCTCATCCGTTTCTTTATTTTTCTCTCTGAGGAAACAACCTCTAAAGAACCTCCGAACATATCCTCCGAACGCGAGGCAATGCCAGAAACTCGATCATTTCACCGAATGCTTTCAATAATGCTTCACGTGAACTCGTTCTCTTTTCGCACTCACTATCTTTCTCACCTTTGATTAGTTTTCAAAACAAGTATCGTCTCTTTTTGTGAAGTTTAGCTTTCGTGTGAGACAAACGATATGCCACCAGCGAAAGGAGGGTCAGTTCTTCCGATCTTCCGGCATCGCCCAACGCCGATTTCAGAAACAAAACCAAGAACACGAAAAAGGGGATGAAGAAAAAGAAAGAGAAGAAGGCGGACGACACGATTGCCGAGGACGAAATCGAGACAAAGGAAGTAAAGAAAACGAGCAAGGAGGGGACGAGGAGGGAGAAAAGGAAGTCGGGCGAGCAGGAGAAGAAGGCGAACGTCGAGAAGATCATTGATCCGGCTACGCTGAAGATCATCAACGCCGCCAAGTTCTTCTGTGATGAAGTCATGAAAGTTTGTGAGTTTGCGAAGAAGTTAGTTCACCGCTTCAATCGCAGTGTTTCAGCCCGTGACTCGACGCTGGCCGCCCATTACGAAGCCAATCTGAAGCAGTACACTCCGTCTTTTCCGACCACCGAATGGGAGAAAAATGCGGCGAAGAATCGGTCGGCAGAGCACAAAATGTTCGACAATACGCGTTACGTTCTCAAATATCCGAGCGAAGCGAAGAAGGAAGATCTTCCCGACTACATTAACGCGAGCCGAGCCACTTTCGAGCCGTGGACCGACGTTAAGTTCATTTTGACTCAGTATCCGCTTCCGAATACTGTGCCTGACTTCTGGCGGATGGTTTATCACGAGGAAGCCGCCAGAATCATCTCGATCTTCGAGCCGTACGTCGACGAAGCCATCGAAGAGTTCAACAAGGTGCCCGATGCCGTGGCCTCAGCCCCATCGGCAACGGCGCCCACCGATTCGTCGGCTGATGGCGCCAAATCGACGGCCGAGAAGATTGTGGCCCGTTCAACGCGTTGTGAGATCGGCCAGCTCAAGTCGTTCTTCCCGCTCTTCGCGGATCACTACACGACGTTGAGCGGATGGCTCGTCAACACCCGCAAAGTGGAGAACGACGATCGCAACAAGAACTGGCTGAGCACTTATACGGTCGAGGTGGTCCCGGAAGGCTGCAGCAATGCCGTCTTTCACAAAGTCTACAACTGCTGCACGTGGCCGTGGAAGAAAGAGCCGAGTGACGAGAAGAAGCTGCTCGCGTTGGTCCGTGCTCCGTGGAAGGGGGTGAGTGGAGTGTTCTGCTCCGTGACGAGCTGTACACCTTTCAGGAACCTACCAGTCCAGACCAGCCCATCGTTGTCATGTGCGATCTGGGAATCGACCGTTCGGCGACCGTCGTCCTCACCGCTGTTTTCATCGAAGCGGTGTTGGGCGGCAAGAACGTGACGCCCGATGAAGTGTTCAAAAGACTGAGAGATCAGAGAGCCGGCGCCTGCACCAACGTCGTCTTCTTCACTTACGCCGTCAGAGCGGCTCTCGTCTACCTCAAAATCAAATTCAAGAGTATGAGCGACATTCCGGAGGATATGAACGTCAAGTTCAATGCTGCACTCGAGAAGGTTCCGTTCATTTCGAAAAAATAGAGAGCTCGTCATCTTCCTTTGAATTTCAGTAAATCAAGTTTCCGCCAATTTGTATATTGTCTTCAAGAGCAATTTTGATTCATTAAGCACCGGAATGTTTTGGGTTGGAATTACAGAACTCGAGAAGACAAAGAAGACATGCTCAAATCGATTTATTTGGAAAATCAGTTGAAACGGGTCATTGCGGTCGGGCGCGGAGCAGTGTTCTTCATGAGGGGAGCCGGTGTCTTGTTGCTTCGTTCCCTCTTCAGGTCTCCAATGATTCCCCACATGTCAAAGACGAGGCCGTCCGGGAAGTCGAACATCGCCAGTTCCGACTGAAAACACATTATTGCCCACCGGCCGGAGCACTCATTTGCTCACCTGTTTGATCGCCTCGCCGAGCTGCCACAAAGTGTCGCAGTTGGCCGCCGTCTCCCAGATTCGCATCGCGAGCTGGTCGTCCTGCACTCCGAGGTACTGGTCGAACAGTTCGTTCAGCTTTCCGCACATCTCCGCCTGGATCATCTGATCCTGGATGTCCTCCACCGCGAATCCGCCTTCCGACTTGAACCGAATCGTCCCCTTCGCCAATTCGTTCGTCTTCTTCGGCGCCTTCATCGCTCCGATCTCGGCCGTCTTCGGCGAAATGAGCCGGATGTGGCACTGATCGCCACGTCGCACGTTCTTCAGAATGCGAGCCACTTGGTAGTGTCTCCGGCCGAGCACGCGTTCTCCGTTGATCGCCTCGATCAGCTGTCCGATCTGAGTGGCCGGTTTCATCCGATCGAACACCGAGCCGGGAGCGATCATCTTGATGAAAGCGTTGCCGAGTCCGTTGTCTGTGATCGTCACTCCGAAGTTTGCGTCGTCCTTGAGCACGCTCAGCTCCGTTGCTTGTCCACGAACGTGCGCGTAGAGCATGTCCTTGAAGTTGAGCGTTCCGGTGAACATGTTCTTCATATCAGCCTGAAAGTAGAACATTCCGGACTGCTACTCAACTGGGACTGTTACCTTGAAATCATTGACGATCAGGAAGATGATGTCATCCTTGCTGATCCCGAAACAGTTAGCAATCGACTGGTAGAGCTCGGAGACGTCGGACCACCGATCGATGATTGCGACTGGGGATCCGTGGGCCAGTTGGCACGCGAACTTCAGTTCCTTTGCCGCCGTCACCAACGGATTCGCCACGAGCATGCTGGATGAAGTCTCCGGCTCTCCGAAGTCGACGATCGTGGCGAGAACGGCTCCTTGATGAGAAGTCGCAAGTCTCCCCCAGCCACTCCATTCATGTCTTCCAGCCGTCCGGATGCTCCACGATCTGCGCGAGTCTTTCATTGAATTCAAAATGAACTTACTTATGTTCGCCGACCTGTTCCACTTTCAACTGCACCTTGTACTTCTGCACCATGTCCAGCGTCTCCAGGCTGTACCGGAGTGTCGGCTGGAGTCGTCGTCCTTCCCCGGCAACTTGCTGCTCCACAGTCTGTCCGTAGGCAGCCCATATATTACATACATACACATACATACATGAACACAAAGGAAAAGGTTCTGTGTGTTTTTCTAAGAGACTGTTCGTTCTCCTGCAACATCAATTTCGAATAGCACTGTTTCAATAAATACTTTATGATTCACAATCGAGCAAACTGTCCAAAATTGGGCACATTCGAACTATCCTCTTCTTCGTCCTCGTCCACAAAGAACGCCTCGTTTCTCTCGTAAGAAGTGCGGCAGAACGGACAGTGTCCCTTCCGGAGACACGCCATTTCAAAGTCGTCCAAATCGAACACCTGAAAGTCACAAATACGTGCTAATCGAGTGCAACAACCCTTTTCGTTTACCTTACTGCACCCTTTGCACATGGCGATGTTGATGCTCGGCATCATGTTGAACAGGAATTTTGGCGCCAAGGGAGACGGGAATGTCTGGATGATGACGTGGCCGCTCTCGAGTTTCGACAGCGAATCTCTGTTCAGAATGATTTCCTTCACTCCTTTCTTCAGTCCTCTCAACGGATTGTAGTCGTCGTTCGCCAGTGGAGGTTCACTTTCAATCAGTTCTTTCGCTTCATCGAATGAAATATCTGGCTCCGTTTTGAATTCGATCAGCGGAAGGACATCGAAAGTGATGAAGGAGACAATGAACGGAGTCTCGCAGTGAATGCAGGCGAGTCCCCCGAGGAACGGATTGTTCAGTCCACACCTGAATACAGAAAGCCGTGAAAGCTTCTACAGTAATTCAGCGACTCCTCTCCCACCTGTAGCACATCGGCTGCATGGCTTCCGTGTCCGTGAACGGTTTCGCCCGGATGTTCAGAGTCATCACTTCGATCTGTCCGTCGAGGTCGAAACTGCTGCGAACTTTCAGTTTTGTCAGCTGATCCAATGCACTTCGCGCTGTTTTGAATGCGCCGAATTCGTTGGCGATTTTGGCAATTGTGAAGTAAACGAATCTGGAAAAAGGATTCAGGATTGCAGATTGTTTAAATGCACAACTTACACTTTGGAAATGTTCTCGACGTACGGAGTGAACGCAAGATATCTTGCCATGTTCATGATGTTCTCGTGCCTGTCGAATGAGAATGGTTGGCTCTGAAATGTATATTATTCTCTATTTTCCTACAAAAAAAAATAACTTACACAGAATATAAAAACCGGGTAGTAGGCATAATAGGCTTCTGCCAGTTGAGCGGCCTCTTTCGCTTTGGTCAGCAGGCTCAAGTTCTCTTCGGTTTGACTCCGTTCCATGTACTGTTGGCTCAGCAGCCAGTAGTAAAAGCTGTAATGTGCTCATCCGCAGTGCTCTTCACTTCAATCCACCTACCCAGCATCATTGAAGCGGCTCTCGTTGACTGCGTTCGAAGTGAGTTGCTCCAGAACGTGCAGTGCTTCTTGCTCTTTTCCGGCGCGATGGAACGCTTTCTGGGCCTCCTCGAATCGATCTCTTTCCGCCAGAAACCGAGCATACGGCAGGTAGACGTCTTCCACGTACCTCGGATGACGGTCCGCTATCGCAAACGCCTGAATGAATCAGTTCAAGTTCAAGAAGGGCTCGGAGAGCTCACATCGGTCCAATGGCCTGCATTCACGTGCATATCCACAATCGCCTTCGTGTCGTTTATACTTTGATAAATCTTCGACGCCAACGAAAACTCGTGCTTGCGGATGAAGTAAGCAGCGAGTTTCTTCATGGATTCCAGGTCGCTTCTGTCGATTTTATGCGAAATTTCGATAGCTCTAAAGAAAAAGAATCGGGATCAACCGAGATTTCAGTGTTTTACAGTTCCAGCCAGTCATTTTCAATTATCAGAAGGGTCGCCTTGTCCAAATCGCCCGAAGAGATGAGCATTTCGGCGGCGATCTTCGGCTGATTGGCATCCCTCGCCCAGCTGGCCCTCTTCCGCATCAGCATCTTTTTGGTCTCTCCCGACGCGTGGCTCATCACCTCCTGCACGTCGTCGAACATTCGCATGTCGGTGAACAACTCCATCGCCTTATTCTCGAATCCGTTGTCTTTGTACAGTTGTGCCGCCTCGCGGAACTTCTTGAGATACGCGAGAATGTGCGCTCGGAGGATTACTTCCGGCTCTCCGCTGTCTTGCATTTTCTGAAAATTCAAACAGTTCATCTTTCCCTGCTTTCCCTAGAAACCTTCAATTCCCAAATTCTCTTCATCATCTGCCGATCTCGAATCTTTCGGAACGCCTTTCTGCCATAATCGAACTGAAGGGCTTCGAGTGCTCGATATCCCATGAATCTCCATTCATTCTTCACAACTCCGAGGCACGCAATTCTGTACGCATCTCTGTAAACGTTCATTGGAAATGAAAGAGAATTCAAAGGTGAAAGTGGCCCACCTGAAATTGCCTTTTTGAATGTAATGATACAGAACCGCTGTGTAAGGAACGTCGACGGCTTTGACGGTGTACGTTTGCAGACAATAGGTCTTGTTCCTCACGAATCCGAGTACGTACGGGATGCCCTTTGTGTGATGGGACGGGGAGTCCATAGTCCTCACGTACAGATTGTTGTTGGCCGTGAAGGCAAAGAGGTTCTCGTTGACAGTGTTGAAGACGACGCTCGTGCAGTTGGGCTCCTGGAGCAACGTCTCGCCCGACTGCATATGCAGCCATTTGCACACGTTCGAGTCGTCAATCGAGGCGACGATCGTGCGGTTCGCGTTGATGTCGACGCATTTGATGCCGGAGTTGCGGGTGTCCAGAAGGATCGGGTAGTCGTTGTCAATAAAGATCTTGTAGACTCCACCGTCCGCAGTGCCCACTACGAGTGTCTCTCGGTGCGGAACTCCTCCGAGCACCCTCAAGTATCTGACCACCGATTTCATGCTCCACTCCCTCTTTTTGGTCCCTTTATGATCGTAACACTCCAGCTTTTCATCGTTGCAAATGACCAAATGTCCGAAAGTGACAACCATCAGCGAGAACTGCATATTCTTGCGAATCGTTTCCGAAATCTTATACTTCAGGTTCGTCCTCCGATCCAATTTGTTATCGGCATGTTGTTGTTTGTAGATGATTATTCGGTCGGACAGCTGAATCGCCAGTCTCGTGTCGTACAACGACAGTTTCTTGACGAGATCTTGACATCGGATGATGCAATTGGTACGGTACTCGTGGTTGTGCACCAGCACGTCCGTCATGTTCTTTCTGAACCGGGACCAGTTATTGTCAATTTCAGATTTCGTTACCTTTGTGCATATCTGGCATGATCGACGCAATGAACGACCGAGAACACTAGATTGTAGCAGGCGATCGTTCCGTCCACGCACCCCATCGCCACCGTGTGCGAGTTGGGTTTAACCGAAACGGACCAAACCCAATGATCCATTTGAGCAACGGTTCCGAGCAACACTCCTGATATTATTTATCTACTTTCTCAACTTACCTTGTTTAGCTCACTCACCTCTCCTCGTGTAAATCTTCAACGTCTTGTCGGATCCTCCAATCAGAAGGTACTCGTCGTTGAGGCAGTAGCTGATGCAGTGTGGTTCGTAGTCCAATTCGTTCTCTTCGCCCATTTGACTCCCTTCCATATCGTAGAAGGAAAGGGTCTTGTTCCAATCGATGACTGCCATCAGCTCGTCCACAAATATCGGATGTCCGTTCGAGTCTTTCGGAGAAAACGATTTGCTGCAAGAGAATGCGATTCCCCAAACTGGCTGGCCTCCCGGTCGCTGAATCGTGAAAAGTGGTTCTTCAGTCTGAAAATGTTCTCTGTCAAACACGTTCCCTTGATTTCCCGCTTACTACATTCGTTCCCCTCCGAACGGAAACTGCTCCATCTCCGTGTCCGACTGCGAAAAGGCTGCCGTCATGATTCCAGCAGCAAGAACAGCATCTCGTGTTGCTCCGCTGCTTGACAACGTTCTTATCGGCGGTGGACCAGAGGCCGAACTCGAACATGGCACAGGTCAAAAGCACTTGGCTGACAGGACTGAACATCATGCACTGGATGACGTCGGTGTGGCTGTATCGGAGCGTGCCCTCGTGCTTCTCATTCCACAGAATCACCACTTTGTCCGCGCCGCCCGAAGCGAACATGTCTCCGTTGGCCGCCCAGGCGACGGTGTACACGAGGTCTTTGTGCCCTGAATTTTTATTTGAGCAATGGATACTTCCATCTTCTGTTCCGAACGAACCTTTCAAACTCTGCATTTTTCCTCCCTCGTTCACATCGAACAGAACCACTTTGTTGTCGACGGCGCACAGCAGTTCGGACCCATCCGGTTTGAATGCCAAGTCATAGATGCACGCCCTGCAAACCCCTTTTTTGAGATCAATGATATCGGGAACCCTTCCACTTCATGGCTATTTCAATGCCATCATCACTCCCCCCTAACGCAATTATCGCCGCGGAATGGACCCATATGCAATCGGAACAATGCGAGAAACTAATGGAATTATCGCAATTTCGTAAATATCATCACTGAGCATGACATAGACACGGATACGGTAGTGGGCGGGCACCGGGAATTCATAAATAGCCGACGGCTTCGTCGGATTTCCTCACTTGATCATGACTCTACTCTACCAAGTGGGGTTACTACTCCTCGCGGTCGCCACTTACAAAGTGAGTCCTTTTCGTTTTGTTCGGTTCAAGTTTCTGTTTTTTTTACTCATGAATAACAGACAATCACTACTTTTTTTGTTTTTCGGTGTCGGCGGAATGCTGTACGCCGGGAGCCACGTCGGACTTCTGCACAGTCTTCTCGATGCTCTCCAGCATGGAACAGAACGAAGTTATGAGTTATCTGGGTAAGACTTGAAGCGAAAAAAAGGAAAGATTTGATCTTTGAAATTTTAGTAACCAAGAATGGAGTTTGGGGGCTTCTTTACGTCAGCAGAAAGGTCACAAAAACAGACGGTTTTCAGGCGAAAACTGCGACGGCGACGCCGAAGTGGCACTACAGAAGATGGAAAAGAGAAAGCCGAACTTCATGCGGTACGGCCGATCGGCAGGTGAGTGCGAAAAGAGCCCCGCTTCCACTCTGGGCTCTTTTAAGCGCTGGGCAAGAAAGCCGGTTCAGACCCGAACTTCCTCCGATTCGGACGCTCTCAGCCGAACTTCTTGCGCTTCGGAAAGGCGAGCGGCGACCCGAACTTCTTGCGATTCGGTGAGTTTGTCCCTTCCCACCGATTCTCGCCGCTTTTTCTATCATTTCAGCAGCGTTTTCAGTGTATTTGCAGACAAAGGAACCTTTGGTAAAGCTAGTCAGTTAGGGAATCCTGTTTTTGACGCGCAGACGGCCAGAGAACTGAAATTTCAGGTCGAAGTGATCCGAACTTCTTGCGATTCGGAAAGGCCGCCGCCGACCCGAACTTTCTGAGATTCGGAAAGAGATCCGCCGATCCCAACTTTTTGAGGTGAGCATCAAGTGCGCTCTGTTGAGAACGCCCGTCGAGCATTTCAGCGGGTTTTCTAGTCCACCGCTGGGAAATTACCGATTTTCGCACAATTTTTGGACGTTGGCGAAATTCCGCCAGGAAATTAGAAATATGCACAACTTTTCACAACAAAATCAATAGCAACCTCCGATGTGAGCGATTTAGAACATTTATACCGGGGGAGAGGGAATTGCGCTCCACTGAAAACCCGTTTCTGCAGATTCGGGCGATCGTTCGACAATTTCGACCGCGAGTCCCGTAAACCAAACTTCCTCCGCTTCGGAAAATAATAAGAACCACGACAGAAGACCATCCAAATCAGCAGCAGCAGCGACAAACTTTCAGGAACATTTTTGCACCCCTCATTTCTATTCTTTCACAATCTTTTTTGTCCTATTTTGAGAAAGAAATATTATTTTCCCGTTTTTTCTTCGTTTTCACAAAACTTGGAACTTACCCAGACTCGTTGTTATCATCGTGAATTTTGTCGACCCACAGAAGATTGGGGCGCATGATTAGTAGTTGCGGGGGGAAGCGTTGAATGAAAAAAAGAGCGCTCGAACGAGAAAATTGGACCCAGGGGGAAAGAGCTGTTGCCATGGAGACAAACGGCGCGCGAGCGTAATTATGAACACATGGAGTCTGGAGGAACCGGCGATTTATTGTTAACGTTGAAAACAGGTCGAAAATTCAGAGGAAAGTGGAGGGAACTTTGGAGAAATTGAACAAAATGATACAGTGACTCAGATCGATCGGAGACTGTTGGCGCAAGAAGCGGCGGAACGCTTCAGGAGCCTGACTGAGATGGAGCAAAGCGATCCGGAACTGTACGCGAAGCTGGGAGAGGACGGGCGGAATGCCGTGGAGGCATGTCTGAACAAGAACTCAAACATATCATCGATTCACTCGTTTTTTGAATGAATCGTTTGTATTAAAATTAAAAGACCACGAGGGGGCCCGTTGCGCGGCCCGACCTAACGCTCAAAATCGGCTTTCAAAATTTACGTGTTATTTTCTTTTTTATCAGTCACAGTGACTCACAGATAAGTGGTTTTGTTTTCGTAATGAAAAAATGGCCGGACGAACAGAAATGGATAGACTTCTTTATGCGGTCATTCAGTGCAGATACGTCAAAAAATCAGATTTACAGATGTGTTACAGATCCGTTAAAAAACTTCCGCTGCGCCCTTTAGTTTTCTTTAAAAAAAAATCATCATTATTAATAGAAGTCTTCACACGCTTCACGGTGGCGTCTGGAGGAAGCGACGATTTACGACGATTTATTGTTAACGTTGGAAACAAGTCGGAAATCGATTTCGGAGGTGAAAGTGGGCGGAACATTGGAGAAATTCAACAAAATGATACAGATCGACTAGAGTGCTTATCGGGCGTCGTAGACCATCACTGGAAAAAATAATTTTTGAATTTACAAACGAATCGAAATGTTTTCTTACGCTTTCTGCAGCGCTTCTTGTAGAGGATACGATATCCGCATTCTCGGCAGCGAATCGCGTCTTTCGGCTTGATTTCGTTTTCGGCGTGGCATTCTGAAATTATTTTTCTGCTGAGAAGCAAGTTTCGTGGTTGTAAAACTACACGCCAACACGAGGAAACAGTTACTCGGATATGAAAGGATTTCAACTTTTTACGCAAAAATGCGACGAATCTCACCTCCACAGATGTAGATCATGCTGTTCGACTTGACGTGGGCCTGGCCTGGTCCTGGAGTAGCACTGCCGTCCATTCTGCAAAATAAAATCAATATTTAGAAAGTAGAAATACAGCAGAAAAGAAAAATAAACGGGAGAATTGCATAGGTGAATGATTTTGAAGTGAAAAGTTGACTCTATAGTTTCAAACAATGGGTTTTTTCTACAAATTGCAAGCATAATTCGAATATTTTAGGAGTCAAAAAGTAGTCCGAGGGGATTTCACGGCGACGTGGCCTAGAAACCTCCGCGCTAAACAACGGGCAACGGGAAGATGGAGTATCGGAAACGCAGTGTTCGTTCGAAAATCGGCGGGAAACCTTCCGTCTCGGCGGGTGAATCCATTCCAGTTTTCTGATTTTCATTTTCCTATTTTCATAGATATTAGTTTCAACCGCACATTTTACGCGTCATAATGCACTTCAAAACTCGAAAATTATTGCTTGCGGTCCAAAACAATCCGCCCTTCCTTTATTTGCCTAATCGACACTGTTTCTTTTTTATCGATTTATCGACAGATCTGCTCAATCTGATGTCTTTTCAGCGTAAACACTCGTATACACAAAATGGTCAAAGCTACCTCTCTCGACTTGTCATTGAATGACATTATCAAGAACAAAAAGAAGACGAAAATTGTCAGGAAGTCTACAGGAGGCATCAAGAAGAGAAACAGCGTCGGCGGTGCCGGATCGGCCGCCACAACTCCGCGTCGTCGAAGCGCAGGAGTCAAGAAGGCAGTCCGCAATCCCGTCCGCAATCCCGTCCGCAAGGCAGCCCCGAAAACCAATGGTTTGTGACAAGCGTTGCGAACACAGAACGAATACGAATCGAATGGATTTCAGACAAGAGAACAGTCCGAATCAACTTGTCTAATCTGGCGCCAACGGTTGTTTCGACCGATCTGCGCGAGTTGTTCGGCGAATTCCAACTCCGTGCAGTTCACGTCAACTTCGACGAGAGAGGAACTCCGCTTGGAACCGGAGACATCTCGCTCTCCAAGGTCAATGCCGATCGTCTCGTGCAGAAATACGCTGGTGTTGCTCTCGACGGGAAGGTTTGTGAAAGTGAGATCCCGTTTTCAACTGAAACATACTCTTCAGGTGATGCAATTCGCCATCATTGACACTGCGGCGTTCGTCGCCGCCACTCCAGAGGCCAAGAAAGCTGCACCACTCAGAAATTTGGCCGGAAACGGGCGCAAAGTGAACGCCAAATCGCCGAAAGCTGCTCCAGCTGGAAATGCAAAGAAGAGGCCGTTGAAGAAGAAGCCAACGAAGGAGACGAAGTCGAAGAAGACAGCCGAAGAGCTGGACGCCGAACTGGACGCCTACATGTCCCGACAGGCGTAATGCACACGTATAAATCTCCAATTCATAATCCCCAATCAATTGTTCGTTCATGAAGAAAGCGCTTTGAAAGAGATTTCGTCAACTGTTCTTCGTTCCTAATTTAATAAATTATGCGTTCTACACGCCATCCCACGCAATTGACTCGTCATTAACGCAAAGTACCTTCATTAATAATTGTGTGAGTGAGTGGGACAAGAGGGAATCATATCAGAAGTAGAGGAACTGAAGAGGCACACTTTCTGAGGGAACTTTTGGAAAGTTCACTCGGGTCTCGACTGGAAGCAAATGGGAATATTGCACAACCGACAGTACAGGGGGAAAATGAAAATCAACTTTATAGAGAGAAGGCACATTCGAAAAGGGGACAAATCTGAGAATTCGGGGGCTGAAAAAGAAGAGTTCGAATTGACAGTTGAGCGGCGGGAAATTCAAATAAATAAGAAAAAATTTCTAGTCGACGGTCAGAAAGTATTCATATCACAGGTTGAAATACAGAAAATGGGAGTATAAAGAGGGGTCATGTTCGAGTGTTTTTTTTGAGACAAACTACTGGAGGAATGGTCGGGCGGGGCGGAAAGGGATGCGGAAGGGTTTCCGCGCGGAGGGCAGTCCGTTTACATGTTGCTCACCAGCTGGTACTTCTCGTTCAAGCTCATCTCGTGCCTGAAAATTAGAATTATTTATCGGTTTTCAGCGATCTTCTGCGACTCACAAATGATGCTTTCGATTCTTGTTGCGCAGACGCTCGCGAGCCTCCTTCGCCGACAAATGATAAATGTCATCGTCGTCGTATCCTGAACTCACAATCTCATCAGAATCCGCGTGGAATTGTGCTTACCGCTGGTCGAGCTGGCCGCGTATCCGTGGCTCGATCCGTTGCTCAGTGGCGACGGCTGCTGCTGATGCTGTTGATGATGCTGATGATGATTCTGATGAGTCTGCGAGTGACGATCCTCTTGCTGGTGCGACTGGCTCACGTACGATGGTACGTACTGAAATGATCGCGATCAAACCGAGTTATGTGCCCCGATAATCTCCCGAATGATTAGAATTGATCAACTGAAGTTTGTTCGAAAAACAACCAAAAAGTTAGAAGTGCATTCAGCAAACATTCAAACGAAAAGAAATTTCCCGAAAAAGGCTTCCGAAATAGTCTGAAAAAGTGACCTGATGAGTGATTGGCACGTCGACGGCGCTCTCGCGATGCGAAGAAGTGAGCGACGAGACGGAAGAGGCGTCCTCGGCCGGCAATTCCTCGGTGTGACTGTGGATCGTGACCTGGTTTCCGACTGGCGGAAGGTCCACGCGGCCAAACACCTGAGCCATCAGATCGTCCGAATTGGCGGCCGGCGGAGCGGCGTACGCGTCGTAGGCGGTCGTCGTTTCCTGTAGGGATAATGAGAGGAACTTAGAAAGCGGTGAACTGAGTTGAAAAGAAAAATCAGTTTAAGAGAAAAAAGCGAGAAAAAAGGCTCTCCATTGAACTGAGAATGATCCGACGGGGATTGAGGGGCTGGAACCGAAGTGAGCCAAGCATAGAAAAGAGAGAAAAAAGAGAGGAGAGGAGAAGCGCCCGGTCGGATCACTCACGTTCAGGAACGAGCAAGTTGTTATGACGACGGGCTCGCGGCCGCCCGAATTCTCATTAGATACCTTGTACTGGTACGACGCCGTGTTCGTCGAGATCACTTCGGTTTTCGTGGTCGTCGTCAGCTTGGACACTTCGCGTTCCTCGTTTACTTGAATGCTCTGCAAGCGTGGGATTGAATTAGTGATTCGAAATTAGAGGGAAAGGTCGACACGCTGTTCCGATCGTCGACACTTACATGCGGGTTCAATGCCGGCGCCTCGTATCCGTTGCTCTTCGGAGCAAGCACTTCCGCATGGACGACTGGGGTCGCGTGCGCGTGCACCACGTTGTCGAACGAGTAGGACACGTTGTGATCGCGGTGCCACTTGTCAACGTCTACCGATGCGACGAGCAAAGTTGTCGAGAGCGGAAACTGCTTGATGAGCGAGACGACCTCCTTGTGTCCCGTCTGTGGATAAATGAGTTGTCCGTTGACTCCGACAATGCGCTGTCCGGCCTCCAGACCGGCTCTCTCGCCGATGCCTCCTTGGTCGACGGTGCCGATGAAGTGTCCCTTTCCCTTCTCGGCGTGCAGGTTGAAGCCGAACTCGTCGGTCGCCTTCTGCTTGTCCAACTGTGCGACGATCGGAAGGAGCATGTTGTCTGGCGGCGGTGGTGGTGGCACAAACACTGGCGTCTCTTGGAGAGCAGACTGAAATAAGAAAGAGTTATGGCAGGGAAGTGACTGTGAACTGTGTGAATTCTCAATAATAAACACTTTCTTTCTTTCTTTTCGTATGCAGTTCGGCGGCGAAAGGCCAAACGTCGACTCAGTGGCAATTGTGCACAGATTGGAGCAGGGGAAAAAAGAAAAAGCGATAAGAAGTGGCTTCAATTTGCAGTGTAAAACATTGTGACTATGAGGGACTGTCCACCAAAGAACGGATCGTCACGGGATGAATGGGGGACGCATAATTGGCCGTTTTGTGTAAGCGACACTTTGGAGACACTGGCAAAAGAATCGTTTGGGTGGAACGATCAGGACGAACGGGTACAAGCCTCCTAGAGGTACTGTAAGACAGTTTATCACATTCTCTTCTCAAACACACACAAACATTTTCTATCCCAGACCCCTTTTAACCGGTCGGAGGGCATCAGAATAATTTCTTCCAATCGAGTGCAGCAAAGGAATTCAATTTCCGAATTTCGACACAAAACACACTTGGAAAAGGAGATGGATGGATCAAAAAAAAAAAGAAGAAAGAATAATAATAAAAAGGAAGTAAGAGGGAGGGAGGAAGGGCCAAGGACGACTGAAGTAGGCGAGCGAAGGAATCATCCATGTCGAGAAAGGAAGTTGGAAGAAAGAACGAATAATAATAACAACAATGGAATGGGACTGAGATGACTGTGCGTGCGCAAGTGACTTTCTGTGATTCACCGCCACACCTCTGGCCACAGCTGATTTACCTCCACCCTTGGCTCCGCGTGCGTGTGCTCATTGGCGGAAGAGCACCGCGCCGTCTTTATTTGCGCACCTTGCCAAACAACCGGCAAACAACAACCTTTCGGGCGAAAGAAGTAATGTTCCCCGTCTCTCTCTCTCTCTCTGTTTCTCTCTCTCAATTGTTTGGACCTATTCGGATGACCGGCTGGTTGGACATTGCCAATACCAAAAACAAATTGACAAAAGGAAGAGGTATCGAGTAGGTACAGGTACCTTCGAATGCGATGATCTCATTCTGGAGGCAGGCTTCATGAATAACTATTTCGAAGAATGGACGGATATCTCGGAAAGGGGCGAAAACGAGACAGATAACATCTGACGACCGAGATTTATGAGACCAATCATAATAATCGGGCGCAAGGAATTTGCATTTCGATTCCAATTTGCAACTCAAACACCTCCTGTGGAGTCTCAGGTTCCGAAGATCGCATGGATTTGAGCACAAGAAGAAATGGAAGATGGAAAATGGAAAATGGAAAGGAAAAACGACTGAAAGAGAAGAATGTAACCTCCAACATTCATGGATCCGATTACCAGTCGCACTGAAGGACGTCGTCGTTTTCCAGAGAAGCAAACAACAATGAAACGAATCCATTGGACACTTGTACATTGGCAGAAAGGCGGTACGAAACACGAAGACGAAGAAGAAGCCATGAAGCGTGTGAACAGTCGTTCTCCCCAACGTTTATGTTTGTATTCCGACAAGAAAAAGACAAGTTACATGCAATTAGGAAGGGGTACGACGAGAAAGTCAAATAACCTTCAGTCCAAAGGGGTACCGCATTTCAAGAGGAGGTTGAAGCTAACGGAATGAATGAAGGGAAGCAAAAGGAGAAGGAAAAGCGGAAGAGACAAACACAACAACAGTAGTACACACAAATTAGGCGAAATTGGAGGAGAAGCCCTCAGACATGCTTCGATAACTGTAAGGAGATTTGTGGTGAGGGGAAGAGGGGAGGGGGAGAGACTCAGACGGACAGAAAAAACGGTGATGGCAAAGGAGGGGCAGGTGTCTAATGGAGTACCAATTATGGCGAAGGTCAATTGAAAGGGCAAGCCGGAAGAGAATTACTGGCAGGTTCCGGATTCTTCTATCACTTTCAATATTATGATTGCTCCCAAACTTTGCAAGCGTTTGAGACTCGCATTGAAGTGTCTTAAGACAGAGTTTCAGAGCGATTGGATCATCTGATCTAGAGGTTTGTTGATATGAATGGCATGGTCTTTAAGGCCCATCCAATTTATTGGAAACTTGCTCCCAAGATACTTCAATCCAAATCTAGGCAGCTTGCAAATTTTGCTTCCTATAGGAATACTGCAACTGAGCCAAAAGAACAGGCCTGAACAGGTCCTAGATTTTGGTAAAGACACTTCAAGAGCTCAAAAGTGGTTGACCTGGAAAAATGAGTAGCTCGCGGAGCTTGAGTTAACCGCTGATGTGTCCATTCTCCACCAAAACACACACTTTCCCACGGCTACCCACTCCCAAACCCATAGCTTTTTATCTGTTTTCTTATCACAAACAACACGATATCACATTTCATTTCGTCCCACTATTATCCGACCATAAATCATCTCAACATGTCTCCCCCCCTTTCTCAATAAAAAATGATCGACTCTTTCCGTTTCTTTCACCAAATACAAGCTTCTTCTTCTTCTTCTTCTTCTTCTTGAAGAGTCTGTTTGCGATATTCGAGATTCGAGAGACGCAGACAATTACAAAAACTAACAGTTTCTTTGCCATGCGGTCGTCGGTTTTTGTGAAAGCGTTGAAAAGATGAGTCAGTCAGAAGAGTTGAAAATAGAAACTGGTGCGATGAGATGACTAAGCAGTGTACTTGTGAATTCAGCGAACGAATGCGATCGAAACGAGAAAACATACCCGGCGGGTGTTGGAGGTGGTGCTTCTCACTGATCCGTTCTTCAGAATGCCCTTCCGCTTCGACGTCTTCTCGTCCTCCTCCTCCTCGTTCCGAATCACCTCGTCGAACTGTCGCATCACGTCGCGCTGCTCGGCGTCCAGCCATTCGCTCATCCTAGTCCGTTTGATCCGAATCGATTCGGTTTTCCAGTCCAATTTAGGAATTCCGACGAGCACGTGGCTGCCGGACGGAACCACGGCGATTATCGATTTGGTGGAGGTGGGCGAGACGGTCGAGGTGGACGATTCGGAACTCGACGGCGACGGAGAGCGGAAGGAGACTGTTGAGGGAGTGGAAGAGGCGGATGCGGTTGGGATCGAAGTGCTAGTTGAGAGCGGAGAATTTGAAGTTTGCCGCTGCTGCTGCTGGGACGACGGTTTCTTTAGCGATGGTCGCCGACGCCGTTGCGGCAGCGAGAGAGTGGAGACGTAGGACGGGGAACAAGTCTTGCCGCCCGACAAATGAGGTGTTAGACAGTTGCAATCGAACGACAATGATGATGAATCCTCGGCTGTTGTAGCGGCTACGATCGTCGTGGGCGCACACTCGGTTACTCGTTTCGCCGTCTGCGTCTCGCCGCCGGGCCCCACTCCATCCGTACCGGCTCTTTTTTCTGCGTCTCGTTCTGCTGATTTGTCATCGGTAATCCGTTCGTATCGTGGCAGATGCGCGGCGATCAACGACAAATAGTAGACGACGGTGGCGTAGAGGAACGGCAGCCACGTGGAAGGGCGCCATGTGAGAACCACTTCGCGCCTCGGAACATCCGGGTGATCCTGATCCATTCGGGAGAATAGCGGTGGGAATAGAATAGCGGTTGAAGAGTTGAAAGTGCTCGACTGTTGAAGACGATGATGGACTCGAACTGGCACGATGACTATTGTTTGTCGAGATATATAAATTCGAAAGTGAGTTCTTCCTCCTCATACATACATAGTGAATGGCTTCGGGACAGGCTACGAGAAGAGAGCATCATAAATGTTTTTGTATGCCCTTTTCTTCTTCTTCTCTCGTTTCTTCTCGCCGAGGTTTTCGTTTTCTTCTTCGTCTTCCATTGAGATTCTCGCTTTTATCGACATGAATATTAACACATGGCAAACAGAAAACGACGACGAAGACGATCATTCCGATCGTGTTCAAACGGAAACTATCAAAACTAGGGGAACGATTGAACAGAGGACAAGTTGAGGCATGTGAACCCATGGCCTAACACAGCTGTCATTTCATACCAGATGAGCCCAACAATCTCCAAAATCGTCGTGTCAGATGACGTCATCACCCCCAAGTTTTCCCATATTTGTTCATCCTTTTTCAGTCCTCTCTTGCCTTCTCAAACACGTGTTGACTCACTCACTCTCTCACTTTCAATGACTCATTTTTCTTGCTCATCGTACTGTTATTTTCCAAGTGCAAAAGTGTGAATGAATAAACAAATAATGCTGCTTTTCCTAGCTTCCATAGTTGACATTTGATACTAGATGGGCCCGAACCGAGGGACAGACGGACATAAACAAAACGGGGGAAAAAAGAGAGGACTGACCTGCAGATAGGTCGTCGGAGCATACCAGGAGCTCGGGGGCGGCGAGCCGTTTGACGGTCGTCGGAATTCCTGATGACATAAAAAGGGATTGAAGCGGAAAGAGACAAAGGAATAGGAACACAGGGATAGAGACCCGAAAGGACTGGAAAGGATCAGGGACTGACCTTCTCAGAGATTCGTAGAATGTTCGGAAGGTCCAAAGTGATTTGGATATTGTGCTCCTGGTACCACTTGGCGCCCTCTTTCTCGATGACGAGCATCTCGCAACGGCCCGGATTCGCCTTGATCCTCTCTACCACCTTCTTGTGGTTCTCCCCGATTATCGAGTGGCCGTTGACGGCGAAAATGCTGTCGCCGGTCTTCAGTCCTCCTCTGAAATGATAGCGGTTTCAAAGAAGGAATGGAGAGCTACCTCTCGGCGGCACTTCCGAGATCGACGTCTCCGACGAATTGACCACGACCTTTCTCGGCGTGCAAGTTGTAGCCATACTCCTGAAAGATTACGTTTCTAAATGGATTGCGCATCTGAGACAACTCGTTTCATGACCCGATCAAACAGTAACAGTTTTCCATAAAAGATAAGACACTCAGTTACAGTAATCTCTTTTAAGAAGGTCATGTTCCTCTATCGCTCATCCTCAAACATTGTCAAAGTCGCTTTAAAGTGAATGCGCTCTGTTGGGAAACCCCTTTTTTTTGTAATCTCCGGGGCCTACTACATAGTGCAGCCGCGAAACGGGTTTTAGCTGTTTTTCCAATTGAAATCTGAAACAATCTTCTCTATTTTTAATTGGCGCGGGGCTGGAGATCACAGTTGTAACAGAACTTTTCAGAATGATCACTGAATTCAAATGGAGTGTGGTAGCCACACTATTGCGGCAGGCAACAATGGAAGAACAACAATATAGGGGCACAGGTACCGTAACAATGTTGTTCCTTCAAAACAAAGTATCTAAAAGTTGGAAGTGAGAGACTGTCCAATTCTAGCCGTGCTACTCTTACTAGACCACATTCGTTTGTAAATACTTTCAAACCGACCTTCTCGTTGTCGTGCTTCTCGACGATGCAAAGTCGCGGACGGGGCGCATCCGCTGGCAGACTGGGCATGGCTCTGCAACAACAAAACTGTACAACTGGCGGCCAACTAAAACGAAACAGAAAAGAGGGAGAGAGAGAGAGAGAGAGAGAGAGAATGACAAGGGGTGATTATGCGCACCGACTGCTGCAATCTTATCAATTGTGTTGGCGGCGCCGCCGGCTCCGCGGAGCAACATTTTTCAGAGCCAAAAAGAAGTGGGCGGTTTTCCCGTTCATTCGCTCATTCAGCTGCCGTTTACACGTGAAACACGTGGCAAACGTTTGAACAGGAGGAGACAAAGACAGAGAGAGAGAGAGAGCAAAAAAGTGAGAGAAAAGGAAGGCTTGACACTGTTTGCTCTTTGTGCTCCCCGCGAGAAAACGTCTTGTAAAGAGTAGCCTCGGAGCAGAAGACGGAGGTTCGGAGGACACGGCCGCAGAGAACTGGTCGGACCGGCGGACGGACGCAAAAGTACCGGTTCGGAGCAGAAAGTTATGTGTGAAACGACAACTTTCCTCCGAAATGGCGTCATTTTTGAAGTTTTCGAAGAATGGCAACGCAACTGATAATCGGAGAAGGAGATTATTACATGCCATGCCACGAATGAGGAAAGAAACGGTGATAAAGAAGTTGGGCAGAAAGGAGAAAGTGACATTTGGAAAGAGAGGGGAAAATGGTAGATCAGAATGTTCATTGTAGGCCTAGGTCACCGCTGAAAATCGGTTGACGCTTTTGAAATCAGGGCAGCGTCAGGGCTGGGTCAAGACTGGACCAGGACCAGGCTTTTTCAGGCCTGAACTTTTTAGGTTCCGGTCGAAATTTCAGACTGATCGGATGATTTACTCTGGTTCTCATTCTCTCATTTTCAGATCTCCTCCTTCCTGTCTTCCCTATCACAATATCACTCGCCGGTCATACCTTTTCACAAACCAGTCGATCGCCATTCTTCCTCGTTCACAATAGTTGTATGTATGTGTCGCCTACCAGTTCGAGTATACGTTTGATACAAAATTTTGCGCATAAATAACACACACACACACACGCATGCGCGCTCGTATATTGGTAGTTTGTGAAATAGAAAAATGTGAAAAAAGGGGGACCGCACAAAAGTGAGGGCACAATAACGAGAACCACATGCACCACGCGGAGAAGAAGAATGGGGGAAAGAAGAAGAAGAAGAAGAAGAGAGAGAAAGGACGGTACGCGGCGGTGATAAAGTGATGATAAGAGAGGAAAGAGAAAGAGAAAGAGAAAGAGAGAGAGAGAGAGAGAGAAAGAGTGCTCATGGCGGTAAGGCTCTTCACTTGTTCGCACCCCTTTGGCACTGATGAGCACATGAGAAAGAGGAGAGAAAATTGTACAAACAGAAGAGGGATTCCAGTACAAAAGGGATATACTTGCCACTGTATGTACACGGATAAACATTTCTTCTTCGCCTTCCCTTTAGAAGAAGAAGAAGAAGAACAAATTGGTATGTCCATACAGTGAAAGTGAGAAGAAGCCGTGCGACCAGGAGAACGAAAAAACTGAGGACGAATGGGAGGAGGGGGTAATTTCATCGAGGCGGCAGGAAATTTATGAATGGCGTGACTTGTAGTAAGAGGAAGAAATGGAAAGCAGAAGAAAGGAAGAAGATGTCAAATGTCAAATGCTTTTAAAAGGTTCAGAGCTTCTGGCAAAGACAAGGTCCATTAAAAGGAAAGGAGTATTGTGAAGTTCGTGAAACAGTAAAGTGCATTGTCCAGAAACACACTTTACTTCTAAAATGTTTTTTTTAGAAATGACAGGGTCTCTTTGCAACCAATTTCCGGACTACTGTAGCTCTTGGAAGTTATGCCATCCAAAAAATGTAGTGCAAACTTCTAAAAGCTACTGTAGCCTTGTCAGCAAACATAGAAACAAATGGTCAACTAGTAAGTTGGAGTTCTAGACATGAAGATTTTCCAGAAAGTTTTTCAGAACTACAGCATGTTTTCTAGTCGAGGTACGCACGTTCACAGTTACTGTAAAAATTGTAACAGAAAGACACCCCAATATCTCAGCTGCCTGTAGAGACATCAAAACGTTTCTAACTAATAATTTGCTCATTTTGACATTTTGTTCATTTTATTAGTAAACAATTTTTTGATATCTCTACAGACAGCTGAGAAACAGCGATTTGAACTGACGATATTTAGGTTCCTGTCTCTTACCCACTTTCAAACAAAAGGTGTTACTGTTCCGGCTCAAAATACTCCAAAACAACACATTTGCGAGCTCGACAAGTCCTTCTTAACAGTGTGAAACCAATAACAATCATCAAAAGGGAACGCCGCCGAGAATGGGTCGAATAACAGAAGAAAAGAGCCCCGGAGGATGAGTAATGACGCCTGACGCATCCCGAACTGTCCCTGTTTGTCATGGAACGGGGCAGAAGGTCCAGGCGGAGATGTCGTGGGAATGATAATAATAGCAATAAAGGGCGAGAATAGAGAGTGAGTCAGTTGGAATTTGACAAGAGAAGAAGGGTGTGCGGGTTTATGCAAATGACAATGCGTTAGGGTCGAACTGATAGGCTTAAAGGTCTCACACAGAAATCTACAGTAGCCTGGAATGTCTGAGCTTCCGTTAGGTAAAAGAAAGAGACCAAAAACCTTGATGATACAGTTTGCCACGTCACAGAACTGTGGCGGCACACCAAAACAAGCACGCAATATCAGTTGTACGTTGGGTAAACACACGGGAAGAATTCGATCGAAAGAACACATCGGAATGCGGTCAATCGTTTTTTTTTCTGCTGCTTTATTCGGTTCAGACGACGCAATGATAATGATAAATGGATTATATCACATCTTTTTCTGTTCTGTTTCTTCTCCTTCTCCTATCAAGTTTTTACAAAACGAACCAAAAGGACGAATGACTTTCTGAATAATTTGAAACAAAAAAAAGGGAGATTCGAATACATCGATAAAAAAGGAAAAGCAGGTCTGAAATGAGATGAAATGTGGAAACGGGGTACGGTTGAGTGCACAATTCGGTGGGCGATCGGAAGGCGAATTTGCATACAAATTTGAGAGAAATAAAAAAGAGGAAGGGAGGAACGGAAAGGTGTTTGCCATGGATGTTTGGGCAAATATTGTAAAACTCCGCAAGGATCGCTACTTTTATCACTTTTGCAGATGGTCAGAAACGGAAGTGCTTCACAACGGGACCAGGTACGGAAAGTGTTCAGGGAAAGTTTCAGACAAACTAAAGTGTTCGTTTCCTCAGTGCAAACTCCAATAGAATATGGGTATTCTTTACTGGCAATTGAGATATGAACAATATCGGAGTGTCATTCCGGTACAGTTTCACATCTCCTCGCAAACAACCAAAAAACAGCGCCCTCTTTATCTTCTTAATCCTCCTCACTTGTTTGTAATTCCTCTTTCAACACATGCCATTCCTTCTCCAAACTTTGTATCATTCATTCGGTCTGACCATATCATTCACTCGCAATCATCAACTCGTTTCGGTTTTATACCGGATTCGAGGCGAAAGTGAGGAGCGGACGAGAGAGTGTGTGAATGTGAGAGAGTGCAGACGGACAGAGACACAGTCATAAACGGTTCGGTGATGTAATCGGCGCCGAGGGGAGATTACCCGAACGAAGAGCGGCAAAAAGAGACTGAAAATCGGAGGAAAAGGCAAGATTTCGAGCGATTTGAGACTCAGACAGCTCATACGGTAAAAACTGTTATATCTCAGCTGAAAGTGGATATATCAGAAAGGTGTCAACTGATAAAATGTACACAAGATTTCAACGAGTATATTATTAGTTGAGAACTTTTCGATATCTCTACCCACAACTGAGATACACTGTCTTGAGTTCTTAAAAGAAAGTGTGATGTTCTGTTTGACTGTGTTCAGATAGGCTCAAAGGATGTTTCAGAATTGTGTTTCCCTTGATCTCCTACATTTTTGACATGTAAGAGCTCAAGTGCGAGACTAGCAAAACTTCAAGAATAAACTACCGTATCCGAACATCCGAACATCATCAAAAACAGGGCAAGGTAACAGAGCCACAGGTTCTCAATGCGATGTAAATGACCGTGCTAAACGGACGAGACTGAAATTTTGTATATAATTTATGATAAGCGGTTAGAATGTTTATGTGTAATCCGATCTGATACAAAAGTTATGAACAGAGCGAACTTGCCGTCGGCGCCGAAGAGGAGGGAGAAGAAGCGGAAACGGAGAGAGAGAGAGAGGGGGAGGAGGAAGATGTAATGGTGTATGTAAATACGCACACTGTTATCAATCGTTTTCGCTTTTTGTTATCATCAATCACTCGCCACGTCGATCCTTCTTCAGAATGGTTTACAACACAAACAATACTCTCCCCTCTGCCCATTTTTTGGAAGAAAAACGGAAGGGGCGAGTGGAGCGCGAGTCAATTCAATGAAGTGCCCTGTATTTTGATTTCATTTCATTTTTCTATTGATTATGGGTCAAGTGGATTTGACGGCGGAAAGAAACAAAAAATCGGCTCGTTTGGTAAACAATCAATGGCTGAAGGATGGACAGGAAAGAAGAAGAAGAAGAAGAGGAAGAATTATAATAATCACATTCTGAACGAAGACGATTTTATTGGGAGGGACGAAAAAGGAAAAGAAACGACGATCCGCTCGTTCGCATGCCTAATTGGCACTTCTTCTGTTTGATCACGCCGATTCCGAAGCGACGTGTTGATGGGAACGGGCAGCCGAACGGCACACTTTGTCAACTGTCTTTTATGGCTCCGATGTGTTTGTTGCCGGGTGAATGGAACTTGTTAGGCGGAGAGGGGAGGCATTGAAAGAAAGAAGCTGAAGTTGGTTGAATCACTTCGAAAATTACAATCAACAAAATTTCGAATGCAGCTTTTTCTTGTACTCATTACAGAAATCAGCTGTCTCTTCTCTCGTTTCGTACTCTTCCTCCCTAGTCAGGGGCGATGTCCTTTGCCCTCTTTCGATTATTGTAGGTGAAGATGAGCTCATCTTCACCTGCGCCCGCCCCTTTACGCAAACGGACCGACCGAACGGGAGAGGACCGCACCAAACTGTCCTCATTCATTCGACCATTCGCTCCTCCGCTGGGTGGTGGTCCGTTCTTTTCTTCTTCTTCTTCTTCCCCCTTCCCCTTCTCCAACCCGTTTTCATCGATTTTTCTTTCAGAATGTCCAACAACGTTTCCGTCGACCTGTCTCTTGAAGAGATCATGAAGAAGAACAAGACTCAGAAGATCGGCAAGAAGTTGTCCGGAGGAAACGAGAAGCGGTTCGGCCAGAAGGGACCGGCAACTATCCGTCCACGTCGTCGCTCCGGAGGCTTCCAGAAGAAGGCCCTTCCGCCGACGGTCACTTTGAACGAGAAGAGGAATGTGCGAGTGAACATGTCCAACCTGGCTCCGTCCGTCACTTCCGAGGACCTCCGCGAGCTGTTCGCTGACTTCCACATCCGTTCGTTGTCCGTCCATTTCAACGAGAACGGAAAGCCGGTCGGAACTGGAGACATCTCCATTTCGAAGCGGGAGGCCGAGCGTCTGGTGTACAAGTTCAGTGGAGCGGCTCTTGACGGAAAACCGATAAAGTTCGCCATCATCGACATTGCGAACCGAGTCGAATTCACGACTGCTCCGACGCGGAACATCGGGAGAAAGGAGCAAAAGTCTGCGAAGGGCTCCAAGAAGAACGGAAAGCGAACGGAGAAACCGATGAAGACGACGGAGCAATTGGATGCCGAACTCGCCGCGTACATGGGAAAAACGGAGAAGAAGAGCTCGAGAAAAGAGAAGAAGCAGAAGCTGACTGTCGAGCAACTGGATGCCGAAATGGAGGAGTACATGGCCAAGAGGACCAAAAGCGGACCGACCGAGGAGCAGCTCCTCGATGTCGAGATGGATCAAGCTTAAATTATTTTGAAAATTGCATTAAATGTGCTGTATTTGTTGTGAAATCTGAATAAATGTTCCTCGGAACCCTCTGTTTTTCTTCGTGGCCATCCACTTCCACGTGACCTTCACTTAAATCAAGATAAGATTTCAGTTGGAAGGTACACGAGATAGTGGTCATTTTTGCAAGAGCTTTGCTTTCATCGAAGACGATCTGTTGTTCTGTGCTAAAACCAGGAACATGTGTTTCGCTAAAAAGTACGCGCTCTTTCAGTGAAGGAGAACCAAAGTGTATTGGGTTCAGAGTAAAAAGAGACACCCCAGCGAGTGAACGGAAGAAGACGAACGATAGTGAAACGGACAGCTTCAAGAAGAATGTGCACGAATCGCCTGCGGCATCGCCTGCTCCGGCGGCGGCGGCAGCAGCAGCTCCACCCCCTCCCCCTCCACCTCCACCACAGAAGCAGAATCCGAAGGTCGGACCGTGGGTGCAAAGAGCGTTGAATGAGGGAGTGCCGGCTCTGATCGACGAGTTCAAGGGACTCGCCAAGTGGACTCCGGAGAACATGACAACGGAGGCATTTTCGGCAAACAAGGATAAGAACAGGTACCAGGATGTTCCGTGTCAGGACAAGGGCCGAATCGTGCTCACCTTCCCCGGTCTCTCCTCCGATTACATCCACGCCAACTACCTCGGCACGGCGCACAATCCGAAGCGCTTCATCTGTGCCCAGGGACCACTCGAGAACACTCAGCACTCGTTCTGGGCGATGGCTCTGCAGGAGAAGGTGGAGTGCATCATCATGCTGTGCAACTGCATCGAGCAGATGAAAATAAAGTGCCACCAGTATTGGCCAATCGAGAAGGACCAGAAGATGATGTTTGGAACGGCACCGAATACTATCAACGTGACGAACATGGGCGCAAGAAGACTGGAGGGCGAAGAGACGTGCATAAATGTGACAACTCTCAAAGTGGAATGGCCCGAGGGCAACCGCACAATCCAGCACTTCCAGTGGGAGAACTGGCCGGACCGCGGAGTGCCCGCCACCAACCTCACTGCCATCGTGAGTCGTTCCCTTCCTTCTCTCCCATTCCACTCTTCCTTCAGAACCTGCTCTCCTCTGTTCGTGGAAATCAGAATCCCATTCTCGTGCACTGCTCGGCCGGTATTGGACGTACTGGATCCATCGTTTCGATCGCCTACATCCAGGACAAGATGCAGGCCGGTGTACGTCATCTAGCTTTCCTAACTGATGTCCTAAGATCCCAATGTTTCAGGAGAATTGCATGGCCATGAACGAACTGCTCAAGGAGCTCAGATCTCAGCGTCCATGGTCCATTCAGAACGAATTGGTCAGTTTTCATCTCCGCAACCCTTCGCTAATCATTTTCTTTTCAGCAGTACCTGTACGTCCACCGTGTCCTGTTGGCCTATTTCCTGGAGCGTCATAAGACCGTTTACAAGGATATTCTCACTGATGCTAACAAGGCCAAGTACGCGAAATGGGTCGAAGACTACAAGACTGCCACGAACTCCAAGTAGAACTTCTGAAAGATTAATAATGAATACCCGAATGAAACGCGTGTTTTTAAACGTTTTCCTTGAAACAAATTGGAATGGTTTACGTGTTCTGAATAGATAAAACGGGCGAATACGAGGTCTCTGGGTGGGGAAATTCAATTTCAAACTTATATAGTGTCGTGAAAAGAAGACTGTGGTCATAGTGAGTTCCCCACCTTGAATCGCTTTCAGATTTCGTTCGGTTCAGGTCTGAAGTATCAGCAAAACAACGAATGATTGAGACTGTCATCGGACTCTTTCCACTTGCCATTCTATCACTCTTGCTCATTCAATGCAAGTCCAAAAAGAAGGAAACGACAAAGGGCAGAAAATTCGGCTCGACATCGACGCCCAAAGAGACGACATCACCTGTGCTGCCCAAGCTTGTTACGGCTCCGAATGCAAAAGTGGCCGGAGAAGAAGAGAAAAAGGCGGAAACTGTGCAGAAAGTGGAGGAAGGAAAGGAAGCGAACAAGGAAGAAGCGGGCGAAAAGGGCACTCCGAACGGAATGCCGTCTCCGAGGGGCGTGAAGAGTGAGAGAAAAGAGAAGAAAGAGGAGGGGAACGAGAAAAAAGACACGAAGTGTGAGTTATGGGGAACCTCGGGGGGAGAATCATTGTAGGACCATTTTCAGCGAAGGAAGACGAGAAGAAAAGTGAAGAGAAGAAAGAGGAAGAAAAGAAAGAAGAAGAGAAGAAAGAAGAAGGGAAGAAAGAAGAAGATAAGAAGGATACTGACAAGAAGAAAAAAGAGAATGAAGAGGAGAAGGACAAAGAAGAAGTGCCGGAGGAGGAGAAGAAGAACAAGGAAGACTTCACCAAGTCGTGCCTCAACACGGAGCAGAAGGAGGTTATCAAGAACGACGACACCCTCAGAGGCACTCGATCCATCGGCAAATAGTCTTTTTAATAAACCTTTTCGCCATTGTTTCCGGTTATGATTATCCAAAAGGCCACAGAATGTTCATTTTGTTCTGGCGAATTCTCGGATCTCTCACTCGCTTTCGATATTAGCCGTGACATCAACAGAGTAGATTGTTGATTGTTATCTTCCGAACAATCGCTCATTTCCAAAGAACGATGCCGAGTCTGCAACTCAAAGAGCTCACAGACGCCTTCATCGATGATTTCATCGTCAAACTGAAAGAGGATATGAAAGTGAGCCCGTTTTCTGAATCCTTTCGGAGCAATCATTTTGTGATAATTTCCAGCAGCAACCTTCTCTTCCGGCTCGATCTCCTCCCCGTTCCAATGATCCAAAGTCAGTGGATTCGATTCCGAAAGTGACGTCTTCCAACCTTCCATGGATTTTTGAAGCTATCTTCTATTGAATAAATCTTTCTGTCAGACTTCTGTGCATATCAAACTCACTTTTTCTCGTGAACTGATCCGGCATCTCTTTGTGTTCTTGTGCTGAAAAGACAAAATCCTCAATTTATTTCCGTCAGAATTGCGTTTGAACGTCTCTAAGAATTGATTAACTGGTCGGCTGAGAGAACAAAATAAAATGTGTTTCGCGAAAAAGTAAGATATTTTCCAAGCATTGAAAACATTTGAATGCATTCAGAGTCAAGAGGGACACTCAGTCCGCTGACAACCGGAAATCGAACAAGAACGAGAGCCAGGACAGTTCTATTGAAAGTTCGCACAAACCGGGAGAGAAACAAGATCCGGCCCCTCCGCTTCCAACGCCTCTTCCACAGAAACAGAATCCGAAGGCGATGGTGGTGGTGAGGAGAGAAAGTGAAGAAGTTTGGAACTGAACAGTTTGCAGGTCAAGCCATGGGTGCGGCGAACTCTGAACATGGGAGTGCCGGCTCTGATCGACGAGTTCAAGGGACTCGCCAAGTGGACTCCGGAGAACATGACAACGGAGGCATTTTCGGCAAACAAGGACAAGAACAGGTACCAGGATGTTCCGTGTCAGGACAAGGGCCGAATCGTACTCACCTTCCCCGGTCTCTCCTCCGATTACATCCACGCCAACTACCTCGGCACGGCGCACAATCCGAAGCGCTTCATCTGTGCCCAGGGACCACTCGAGAACACTCAGCACTCGTTCTGGGCGATGGCTCTGCAGGAGAAGGTGGAGTGCATCATCATGCTGTGCAACTGCATCGAAAAGATGAAAATGAAGTGCCACCAGTATTGGCCGATCGAGAAGGACCAGAAGATGACGTTCGGAACGGCGCCGAATGCGATCAATGTGACGAACATGGGCGCGAGGAGACTGGCGGGCGAGGAGACGTGCATAAATGTGACAACTCTCAAAGTGGAATGGCCCGAGGGCAACCGCACTATCCAGCACTTCCAGTGGGAGAACTGGCCGGACCGCGGAGTGCCCGCCACCAACCTCACTGCCATCGTGAGTCGTTCCCTTCGTTCCCTCCCATTCCACTCTTCCTTCAGAACCTGCTCTCCTCGGTTCGTGGAAATCAGAATCCCATTCTCGTGCACTGCTCGGCCGGTATCGGACGTACTGGATCCATCGTTTCGATCTCCTACATCCAGGACAAGATGCAGGCCGGTGTACGTCATCTAGCACTCCTAACTGATGTCCTAAGATCCCAATGTTTTAGGAGAATTGCATGGCCATGAACGAACTGCTCAAGGAGCTCAGATCGCAGCGTCCATGGTCCATTCAGAACGAATTGGTCAGTTTTCATCCCCGCAACCCTTCGCTAATCATTTTCTTTTCAGCAGTACCTGTACGTCCACCGTGTCCTGTTGGCCTATTTCCTGGAGCGTCACAAGGACACTTATGGTGAACTGCTCACCGGGGACAGTGAAGCGAAGTACGCAAAATGGATTGAAGATTACAAGACTGCCACTGACTCGAAATAGAACCGCAGATTCTGCATATTCTCATAGAATAAATGCATTTGATTTCTACTTTGAACGGTTTCTGCGAGGATTCAAAAATTGTTCTCTACTCGTTCCGATCTCTTCACGTGCCCTTTCGATCCTCTTCCTTTGCATCACAAAAACCATTTTCGTATTTCAACTGATCACTCCTTTCTCTCGAATATCTTCTCTTCCGTTCCAATGTCCGCCCAACCGATGTCTCCCCGTCAAGCCGCTCTGGCCCATCAAGTGACTCCGACCGACGGACTCACCTCGGCCTTCGTGAGTTCCCCCTGCAATCCTTTCAGGAAACTCCAATCTTAGATCGACCTTCACGTTTATCTCTCCCAATCGCATGGTTTTCTCTTCGATATGTTCATGACGTACGTGGAGAGCGCCGGAATCAAAAGGGACCACGTCACCTACATCGGCTTCTGCCTCGCCGGCGCATACCTCATTTTCGGATCGGCCGCCCGTCTCTTCTGCAATCTCATCGGCTTCGGCTACCCAATGTACGCGTCTGTGAAGGTATTCCGAGGAAAAGAGTATCGGAAACATAACTGGCAAATTCAGGCGATTCGGACCAAAGAGACGGACGACGACACGGTGTGGCTCATCTACTGGACGTGCTTCGCCGTTCTCTGCCTCTTTGACTTCTTCGCCGAATTCATTTGCTCGTTTTTCCCCTTCTATTACATCTTCAAGGCGATATTCCTCGTATACCTGTACCTTCCGCAGACTCGCGGATCCGTCATGTTCTACGAGAAAGTCGTGAATCCGCTGGTCGTGTTCGTAGATGAGAACATTGAGCAGTTCAGAAAGCGTGAGTGAAGCACCAAGTGTTGAACTGTCAACGAAAAGAGAATAAAGATGTCAACTATAAACTTTGTATCCGATACTCACTCAGATCGTAAAAGGTTTGGATTGATGTTCATTATAAAAGGAACGTGAAAACATCCGTTCAAAGAAAGTAGTTCCACTTGTACTCGTTCAACGTGGAAATTATCCAGACGAGAATAGGGAAAATAGTATTTCTGTGTATTTTTCCGGAAAAATTCTCGCATCGCATAAGAAATATGCAGAGCAAGTCATCACCGACTGACCCTAAGGTACACATTTAAACAGGAATCAATTCGCAAAGTGTGCCGTTTTCAGAAAGGAAACGAAGCGGATAAGGCGAAGGCGCAGGCTCAGATGAAGAAGAAAACGCCCGAAGAGCTGCTGGAACTGGCGAACAAGAAGACGTTCTCGACGGAATCGCTCGACGAACCGGTGCCCGTCTCGCAGCGTCCGAGCGAAACCAATCTGCAGAACAGCGAACTGAAGAAGGTGCCGCTGGTAAAGGCGTTCAATTCGGCCGAGAATCATCAAGAACAGACGAAGAAGGAAGAGAAGAAGTGAATCGGACCTTGTTTATTATTGATGAAAATAGAAATATTAGAAGGTAATGGCCGATAACAAAACAAAATAGAACACAGTTAGTCGAGATCCATGGCGATTTCAAGGAGCTGCTTCTCGGTCGGTCCGCTTTTGGTCCTCTTGGCCATGTACTCCTCCATTTCGGCATCCAGTTGCTCGATAATCAGCTGCTGCATCTTCACCTTTCTCGAGTTCTTATTCTCCGTCTTTCCCATGTACGCGGCGAGCTCAGCATCCAATTGCTCCGTCATCTTCATCGGTTTCTCCGTTCGCTTTCCGTTCTTCTTTAACCCTTTCGCAGACTTTTGCTCCTTTCTCCCGATGTTCCGAGTCGGAGCAGTCGTGAATTCCACTCGCACATTCCTCTTCTCGTTCAAAGTGACCGTCGGCGGAAGGGCCTTCTTCTGGAAGCCTCCGGAGCGACGACGTGGACTGATAGTAGCCGGTCCCTTCTGGTCGAACCGCTTCTCGTTTCCTTCGGACAACTTCTTGCCGATCTGCTGATTCTTGATCTTCTTCGTGATCTCTTCAAGAGACAGGTCGACGGAAACGTTGTTGGACATTCTGAAAAAAGTCGATGAAAACGGGTTGGAGAAGGGGAAGGGGGAAGAAGAAGAAGAAGAAAAGAACGGACCACCCAGCGGAGGAGCGAATGGTCGAATGAATGAGGACAGTTTGGAGGGGTCCTCTCCCGTTCGGTCGGTCCGTTTGCGTAAAGGGGCGGGCGCAGGTGAAGATGAGCTCATCTTCTCCTACAATAATCGAAAGAGGGCAAAGGTCATCGCCCCTGACTAGGGAGGAAGAATACGAAACGAGAGAAGGGGCAGCAGATTTCTGTAGAAAGCTACAACAATGTTAATGTTTATTTCATAAAAGAAACTAGCCGAATGCAATATGTGAGTAAATGTGGACGGAACAGGAGTGAACAGAAAAAGTTTAGAACTTAGGGAAAAGCGGATGAGAAATGAGTTGTGACGAGTTGCCCACCGGACAACAGAGAGAACGATGACACATTAGAATGGTCGGGGCGAGAGAATTGAGGTGATATCAGAGGAAAGAACAAAAAAATAGTATTAACTTATTAAAACGCTTTGGGACCTTCGATACAAATGTTAGTAGCTGGTCTGATTGGATTATTCGAACTGTGTATCTTGTAGAAATTGAGTAGGATGGCTTGGAGTCTCCGTTGCTCCTCCAGCTGTTCATCGGCGATCCCATGGTGACGGAGGTAGTAGAGGGAAACATCCGGAGCAACGTAGAGAGCGGGCCGCGTGGGCGGGGGAGTCATGGCTCGTGGACCGATCGGAGGATCCTTCTCGGTTGAAATGAACGGGAACAGTAAATCTTCTGAATTCAATACTTTATCTTTTGAAGCTTCGACAGAATGCACTGTACCTTCATACTCGAAAACCCTTTTGTAGTCTGCAATGGCCGGAACCTCTCCCAATCTCCCGGTCGTATCACACATTAATGAGGCCATGTACACTATCTGAACAGATTGCTAAAACGACGTTACCTTTCACTCCACTCTCACCTCCAAAAGATATCTTTTCGCCAACCACGAAATGACAACGATGAGCTCTTTTTCCATTGGCGGAGCTCCGAGCGCTTCATGAAATAGTTTAGCGTAATACGTGGAAAATATGCCATGGGGACTCGTGTAGGTGACATCAGAATAGGGCACGTGCAGTCCGATCATCGCGTATTTCCCCACATTCATTCTGGTACGACCCTCTCTCGAAATCTGTTTTTGAAACGCGTTTTCACATTTGGCAACGTTCTTTCGGTTCGGATCATTATTGTAGAGTTTGCGAATGAGTCGGACGAATTTCGGGGCGTTCACATTGGGTTGTGGATACAGAGACTGCAATACAAAGTTGTTTTTATAGACGTTTTCAAGTTTAATCTCAAGTTTTCCCAGTTTCTCAGGCCAGAATGCTGAATGTGCTGTGCTGCTCAATAACTCGAGAGCCAAGAGCCATTTCAACAGAGCGCACTTGCATCGAGTTTTCGATTAGCGTCGTCTAGACGGAACATAATGATATAATCAATCTATTATCAAGGACACGAAGATTTTCGTCAACACTCACCATGAATTGGTTGATGTAGGAATGATAAATGTACTGATTCTCGAAAAGAAAGCTGTCTAGGTTCCTTCGACAAATTTTGCTGAAAATGACGAAGAAATTCAGAAGGAGAGCAGCAATGACTAACATTTTCTTGGATTCTAAGCACACGCCGTACATGAAATTACAGTAGGCAAGCAGGGATTTCATCAGCCTCGCAAATATGATTTGAGCAGTCGCCTCGTCGATGAATCCGCCTCCGAGTTCGTAGATTTGCAGCTGAGTCACTCGGATCCAGTGGCCCCTCCAGTACTGTGGCGGCTCGTGCTCGTCTCAAGTGAACTCATCTCAAACTGTGTTAAAATCGTACTGCATACCTTGCATATACCAGATTCCACCGGGTTGGAAGTAAGGGAGTTGATGTCCGCGTATCAACGGCCATAATATATTGTCCATGTTGAGGTTGGTGACCAATCTCAAATCATCAAACTCTTCCATTCGCTTTCGAAATCTCTTTTTCCTGCAAAAGGCACACTTTGAGATATTGTCGCTCAATCCGTAGTGCTACTCACTTTTCCTCATCCAGATCCCGTTCGAGTTTATCCATTTCTGAAAGAAAGCATAAGTAAGAAAGATCGATAAGAAGTGTAAGTTGAGAGAAGGAGAAGAAGAAGAAGAAGTAAAGGAAGAGAATGAAGGTTGGAATGAGAATGGATTCCGAGTGCACCGTAGTTTCCTGACTGGGTGGTCTCTCGATTTCATGTGCCTGCGCTCTCCACGCCGAGAGATTGTCTCTGCGTCTCTCGGTTCGGTGCAGTCTCTCGCAACAGAATAGACTAGCCGCTACGGCCCGTTTCGTCGTTCTGCTGGCCAAGAGAACACGATAAAATGAGAAATTGGAAGACGAAGAGAAAGAAGAAGGAGAAGGAGAAGGAGGAGAAGGGGCTCCCACCTGCTTGAGATATTGTGAATGAGGAGTATAATCAGAAAAGTATAATAACTGGGGAGCAACTTCTCTCTCTCTCTCTCTCTCTCTCTCTTTCTCATTCGTCCAGCTCATAAACAATCCGGTGAGCCGAAACACATTCGAAACTCATTGAGTCTGCTGCTCACGTTTTCGCAGAAAAGAGCCACAAGTGTTTGGATGGAAGACGAACTGATAAGAATGTGAGCCAGGCACACTTTTTCGGGAGTCTCTGCTCGAAAAAGTATACATTTCAAAAACATAAAAACGAAACGAGAACAGCAAAGCGAATCAATCAAAACGGAAAATGTTGATCAAGTAGTCGTGCATTCCGGCCGGAAGTTGCACGCAAACTTCGAAAGTCTTCTCATCGCGACGGCGCAGCGGCAAGTGCATGTTCCAGCCGAAGAACGAGCCGGTGACGGTGACGTTGTCCACGGTTTCTGGTCGATCGTCCGTCCAGCGGAAGAGCACTTTTTGCGGACCGTCTCTCACCAGAATACTGCCGTCGCACTCGTTATCCGAAGTGGCGAACAGGCAACTGTCTGAAAGTCTTGGTTGGAATTTTAGAACATCGGATCATTCCAAAGCACCTTCAATGATAATATCAGCGTCTTCCTCGGTGCCTTCCGCCTCTTTTCCGAGTTTCTCCGCAGTATCCACTTGCGGGATCGACGTGGACTTTTGCGTGAAATCCGTGAATCCGCTCTTGATTTCCGAACTGATTCTCTCCACCAAACTGGGCATCGGACTCTCCGAAAGTTCAGAATCGTTCTCACAAGAAGACTCTTCCGTTAAAAGAGCTCCGGGCTGATTGAGAGTTGCCTTGATGAGCTGGAAATGGGGAGAATGAGAAGTGATCGATCGAGGAGAGAGAGAAAGAGAAAGAGAGAGAGAGAGAGAGAGAGAGAGAGAGAAAGAGAGAGAGTTCCTCACATCTTCAATTTGTTCGAGAAATCCGGCTGAAACGGTCTGCGGCTCGATCTGTTCAGTCTCTTCGCCCGCTTTCGACCTGTCCTCCGTAATCTTCTGGCATCCGTCGAGCTGTTTCTGGATCCAGTCCTCGACGGGTCCCCCAGTGGAACACCAAGAAGAGGAAGCGACGGTCGGCTCTCCGTCTTCTGCTCCGGAAGATTTCCGAGGCGCCGAGATCTGAGTGGTGTACGACGGAACGGCAGTCGGACGGCAGTTCACGTTCGAAGCGGCGTCGAATTCAACTTCCTCCAATTTCGGATGCGGCGACTTCTTATTTTCTTTCGGAGGCGTTTTCTGTTTCGGATTTTCCATCTGAAAGGAAGTCTGAAAAGGACTCTAATGCAAGTTTTCTTCCGTTCACACTCACATCAACTTCATCTTCGGAATTCAACTGCGGAATCGAGAGTTTCTCGTTCTCCAACGCCGTCTTCGGACTGACGGGCCGGACGAAAACACAGTTGACGGGCTCGTTCATCGGAATCTTGCGGCCGACGTGTTCTGGAGTGTTCTGCGGAGTCTGCGGCGACGGCTTTCTGGTCTCTTTGTTTGGAGAAAGGCATCTCGGCGTGGAAACTGTGCTCTGCGGCTCGCGGAGCACTGCGACCAAGAAGCTACGGACGGCGCGGAGGGCGGCCTCGAGGGTGTAGTAAAGGCAGAGAACTCCGATGAGCACGGCGACGATTCTGAACGATTCCGAGCTGATTCCGGGGGAAGGCTTGAAATTTGAATTGCCGCCTACATCGCCACCGTCCACCACCACGGATTTGCCTCGTTTCGCTCGTAGATGATGATGTGCGGCGCCTCCGCAAAATGGAACATTTCCGCGATTCTGAAACTCGAGATTGTTTCAGAGTTCCCCTTAAAAATGCTTCAAAACCTGGTTCTGAAGGTCTTTTTGGTGTATGTGCACCCGAGAATCCACTGGAAGAAACGCTTCAGATCGTCCGTTCCCCATTCGAATCCACCCGATTCTCGGTTCATTTTGGCTGGAAGAGCCGTTTACTGCAGAACTTCTTCGACCACTTACCAGACATAATTTCGACCGTTTCGTTTTTATTGGAAATGTAGAATGAGAACAACCCACCGGACACCGAGCAAAGTGAATAATAAGCAATTTTTATGGTACCCGTGAGAAGGGAAAAAGCAAAGGGTTACGGGGGTTTACGTAGAAATTTTAGTGAGCAGAAGGACGCGAGTTAGAATTAGAATATCTGAAGGTAAGTCAACTGGTTAGTACGGATATACATCTAAATACATCGAGATGAGAAACGATACATAGTTATTAAGGATTAAAATGAAAGAGTCGTTTCCATTGAACTGCTTGAACGGGTATCATGGCCAATGCGTCGCTGGATTCGAGTTCGGCGGCGTCCACGTATGTGTAATTCTGCGAAATCAGACTAATTCATAATTTCTCATCTGAATACGTACTTGTCTGACTAGAAGTCGTCCGTCCGAGTGTTTGAGTGTTAATTTCTCTAGACTCCTCATCGGACTGTGATCTCTGTCGGCGCCAACTCCCACGGCAACTATGCTCATAGGATGAGCTGAGACGTCCACGACGGCATCTATCGTCCGTTTCATATTGAGAGCATTTGCGGGTCCGCCGTCCGAGTAGATCAGAAGAACGAAGTAAAGGCCTACGTGGCGACGAGATTCCGCCTTGGCGAATCTGGAAAAAGGGATTTGCTTTCCAATATCTATTTCACTGTAAATTTACTTGGAAACAAAGTATATAATCTCCGAGAAATCTGTGGGAGCGAACGGCTGGAGACCCATTGTAGCGGTCCGATACGCACTGATCAACCCGGTCAGCCCTTCGACTTTCGGATCCGCCGGGGCTCCACTCTGAAGATGACGGTTTTCTTGGGAGAACTCATGAAAAACTGACCAAGCAGAAGCAATGAGATAGCTGGAGAGCACCTCCGGGTCCCTGAACCTTTGCACCGAATCCGAGTGCTCCAATTAGTGGATTATGGGGATTCGGAAGATAAGCGAGAAGGGGAGGAGTCGTTTGGAGGAGGGCATTGAGGTATGCGGATGGCTGGTGGGGATGTATGTAATGAAGGGAAGCGGGCAGCACCGGGTTGCCGTTCGAGGCGGTCAGATCGACTGCGGAGGTCAGCTGCAGCTTCACACTGAAATCAGAGGTAATTCAGAACTCAGAATCTGAGGACAGTATTAATGACTTACTTGCTCTCGAGCATTTGGAAGAAAGTGGGGCCGTTCTCCAATGTGATCTCTTTCAGTTCGACGCACGTCTTCTCGTGTAATCTTTTTCCATTTGCTTCCATTAACTTAAAAACTACTGGATTTCGATGCCTTTTCGGGGTGCTCTTACCATGTACGAGTTGAAATGTCCTACTCCTCTCTGCAATTGCGTCAACGTCGTCGTACAATGCCCTATGAGCGAATCATTGTGATTCGGAGTGTAATTGTAAACGAATATCTGAACGGACGACTCGTTGAAGTAATTCAAAAGGAACAGAGGGACACTGAACGCCGCCCACTCGGGACTCTTCGTTTCTCTGATCATTTCCGATTTGTGCAGCATGATGTGTCGACCTTCGGCAGGAATGGAAACAATGAAATAGAGCTGAAGAGGCAGGCCGTCCGGAGAATGAATGTGATTTCCGGAGAAGCGAAGACGGATGAATTGGGAGTAGTAATCCGGCACTTTTGCAGTGATCTCGAGGGAAACCGTGGCGAGAGGAGAGGGAATCGGGAGTGAAAGACGGCCTCCGCAGGCAAACATCATCGAGAGATCGAAGTCTGCGGAGCCCATGGAGCCCATCACTGTGTTCGTCGAGGAGTTGATCACGTAGCTTTAAAAAAAATCAAAATTTGCTCAATTTTTCAGTGTGAAATCTTACAGAATTGCTCGATATCTCTGCATTCGTTCGAATCTGAAGTTCACATTCATCTTCTCCGTAAAATTCGGATCAGTTTGTCCGTGAATAGTCTCCGTTTCCGCCACTTGCTCCACAATTTCATTTTCTCTGTCCAGACTGAAAACGCGGATGCGAACTCCGTCGGCCGATGGGTAGAAGCGTGCATTTCTGAACGAAACTTTTGTTCTTGCGCCTTTGGAAGACTCTTTTCTGAAAAAGAACCCGGAAAAATGATAACGAACCTGATGGAAAATGTGATATCGACTCCGTAGGCAGCCATTTTGTTTGGTGAAACGAGCAGCATACACACACACGCTCGACCGCTTTTTACACTTTTATACGTAGTCCAGCTGACTCATCGGTCCGAGTCTCTCTGGAAAACATCATTGATTTCGAATATCACAATTTGATGAAATCAACGAAAAGTACACGAACAGATTTACTGTAGCTTTGAACCTTTGGTCATGCGCCGTCATATCAAAACTGCTGCTATCGCGGCAAGACCAATCAAGCCCATGCACCTTTAATAAACACTTTTTCAAAAATTCCCTATTTTTCCTATTTTTTCCACGTTGCATTCGGCTGTTTTGCGTGCGAGTGTTTTTGTTTGTTATCGAAATTTTGTCACAAGCAAAAATAAAAAAGAAAATAATCAATAGGGGAATGAATCATTAGGGACGCCTGCCATCTCGAGTGTATTCTCAGCAAACATCGTTGCCAAACGTCCAAAAACCAGTTCAATTTGCCCGCCGATTGCCATTTCTTCAATTTTTCACGCCAATGTGTGCATTCTGCCGTCGCGGTGTTTGCGGACACTCGTGAGCATTTTGCCGGTCTCCCGTTTCGAAATTCCGTTGTTTTACCCAATTTTTGACGTAAATATTTCATTTGACTGTTTTCAGGGATGGCCCGCGGACAGCAGAAAATCCAGTCGCAACAGAAGAACCAGAAGAAGGCTGACGCTGCGCGAAAGGCTGGAATCGACCAGAAGGCCGCTGCTGCCAAGGTAAATTTTCAAATTTCGTAAATCTAACAAACCTCTGCTCGCTGCAGGCTCTCAATCATAAGTGCACCGTCTGCCTCGCCATGATGCCTGATCCGAAGACCTACAAGCAGCACTTCGAGAACAAGTCAGAAAATATCTTATTTCAGTCCGAAATGCAATTTTAATTGGTTGTAGGCACCCGAAAAGTCCGCTGCCGGCCGAGCTCGCAGACGCTTAAACGCCTGCTGATGGAAATATCACCGAATGCACTCCATGTCACCACTTCAATACCCTCAAAACAACGTTTTCTGTCCAACCATCTTGCACCCCATCATTTCCGAGTATCAGATGGTCGCAGTTAATAAATTTTTTGGATTCTCCATCCGCACAATCTTTTAAAAATCGGGGTTACGTCCCTTTTTTACTTCGATTTCTCAGAAAACTCGAGGGTCCTCAGTTTTACATGGATTTGTTTACAGAAATTTTACAGAATGATCTTGCAAGATGTGCAGCAGCCCACGGAAGGCGTCAAGCTCGTCACTGGGCACGTGCAGGCGCTCTTCAAAAATGATTCGCTCGGAAACGGAACTCTTTACATCACCAACAGGTGAGACTCGAAAAAATATGCTGAAAGCGTCATGGTTAAAAGATTTCAGCGCAGTGACCTGGATCAACAATGCCGGCGGCTCGAAAGGTTTTTCAATCTCTTATCCGGCCATCGTTCTGCACGCCATCTCCACCGACCTGTCCGTTATTCCCGTAGAACACGTATTTGTGATGGTCGATCAGCGGAAGTCGGGTAAGTTATTATTACAACCTTTCTGAAAGTAATGAGAGATGACGGAAAGGTTTTAGTGAGGAGACGAAGACGTGCGCCCGTTCTGCGGACAATAGAGGAAGATATGGAGGATAGAGGTACACGTCTTCGTCTCCAGAAGAATCGTAAACAACGATTAAATATAAGTTTCAGGACTTGAACTGGCCGCCGCTGAACTGGAAGACGAGGAATCGGACGATGATGAGGAGGGAGCGGGGCTCGAGATTCGTCTCGTTCCGGACGATAAAGAAGCATGTGAGTGCTTGTTGATTGCGGCGTGCAACTTTTGATTCCGTTTCTTTCAGTGACCCAGATATATCACGAAATCGTGAAGGGACAGGAGGAGAATCCAGAGGAGGACGATCCTATGTTCGATGATGACGAGGAGGAAGAAGGAGAGGAAGGAGGAGAAGAGTACGAAGGAATGGAAGAAGAGATGGGCGGAGGAGACGGACAGTGGTTCACTGCTGACAACGTGAGTCGCTTCGTAAGGTCCTGCGTCTATTACCACTTTTTTCTTTCAGATCGATCAGATGCAGATGAGCGAAGAAGGTCTGGCCAACATGCAGAGAATCTTCGGCGGAGCAGCCGCTCGTCAGAACCAGAATCACGATGATTCCATGGAATAACCGGACGTCTTCTGATCCCTCCCATGCTTAATTTATCCGACTCTCGTGTCCCATTTCTATCGATCTTCCGAACGTTCCCCCGATTTGCAAAATTTTTACTACTTTCCAAACTCAACTGTTGAAGTTTTGTTATTGACTCGTTCTTTTCTGAACTTTTTCTCATAAAGCTCGTTTTATTGCTAGTTAATGTTTGTTTTCCTTCCTTTTTTCGATTGCCACTTCAAATTTAATATCTTTGATTTTCCCTTAATTTAGGCGAATTCTCATTGAAAATTTAGACCTATGAGGAGATGCTGAAAAACCTATTCGCTGTCAGTCGTCGATTCGCTTCTTCTGATTCTCCTAGGTGAGATTAGTCGGAAAATCTCTAAAGAAGCTAATAATGTCTGCAGAAAAGTGGTAGTTTGTGCGAACGGAACGGTTGCCGCGTGGCATCCGCCTCAACAGTTCCCTTACGAACACTCGAAACCCATCGATTTAGACGCCATCAACAAGAAAAACCAGGTTCATTCCGTTCGAAATTTCTAGAAAGTAGAAAAAGATCGTTGCAGAGCTCTCGTCTTTCCGCAGCCGCAAAGGCCGCCGCGGTTCCGCGTGAGCCGGTGAACGCCGAGCTCAAGGAAATCTTCTACACGAGCAAGCACGAGTGGTATTCCAGGTAATTCAAATAAATTTTCGACTCTATCTGAGTAATCAGGTTCCATAATAATAATCAGGACCCAAGGTCGACTTACAGGTTCCATGACATAGGTTTCACGAATAAACAGGTACCAAATATAAAAAAGGCAGGTTCCAAAGAATATACAGGTACACGGCATTCTTTGAAAATTGGCGTCGACTGGTGACGGTCACGGGTACAAGGCATTTTTTAAAATTAATTACTCAGATAGAGCCAAATCTTCTAACTCTAACTTTATTTTGTTTTTCAGAACGCGAGAGGAACGTCTTCGTCGGGTCGCCGCACCGATTCCCCGTCGCAAATAATGCGACTTTCCCGTTTTCTCCTCCAAAAATCCACAGTTAACGTCGTCGATCTGGGTCTCATCTCGTACGGCGCTGCTTTGAAAGAACAGCACAAATTTGTAGAAATGGTCAAGGCCAATAAATCTGAAACGCATTCTTTGTAAGCCCATTCTGTCTTTTCTCTTTACCTCGTTGGTCATTCATTCTAGAAACTTTCTTTTGGCTCTGGAACACAGACCGGTTTATACGGTGGGAATTCGGAGCAAAGGGTACGGCGAGGAGGAAGAGTCACGGCTGAAAGAGCTCGGAGCGGACTTTCATCGCACTTCTCGCGGCGGTCTCATCACTTTCCACGGTCCCGGACAGCTAGTTCTTTATCCGATTTGCGATGTCCGCAGGGTCTCGCCACGACAATTGGGCGTGCGAAACTTCGTGTCGAGACTCGAACAGACGATAATCGATACGGCGACGCAAGGATTCAGGATTAAGGACGTCGGGAGAACAGAAAATACAGGTATTTATACAGAAGAAGGATCTGTGAGATCTTCGTTCTCAGGTGTGTGGGTGTCCGGAGAGCGGAAGCTGGCGGCCATCGGAATCGCCGTCTCTGGCGGAGTCTCTTACCACGGAATCGCCATCAACTGCAATACCGATCTCTCGTGGTTCGACAATGTTCGTCATTCTTCTGCTCCCCTCCTTATTAGTTTCCTTTTCAGATTGTCGGCTGCGGAATCGAAGGCGTCTCCACAACGTCGCTCTCCCGTGAACTCGCCCGCGACGTCACCGTCTCCGAAGCTCGTCCCGTTCTCCTCGAATCGTTCGCCAAAAACTTTGAATGCCTTCTCGATGAATCTCTTTGTGATGCCTCCAGAATTTCTAGTGTTTGTTCCTAGTTTAGTTAGTGTTTTCCCCCTTTTTTTGCTAGCCCATGAAGTTGTTGTTGTCCTCTCGTCTTGTCAAATTGTCACCAAAAAGGCGAAGGGTTTGAAACATGCAATCCCCAAGAGAGCGTCTAATGAGAAGAAGAGAAGGGACGACGTGTTTATTTGATTTATTTATTCAGAAAAAAAAGCTAAAAAGACGGACGGCTAAGGGAAAAAAGGGGCGAAGCGAGGCAAAAAAGAGAGGGGGAAATGGGAAATGGGGTTTAGCGAACGAAGATCATGTAGAAGATTGGAGCAGCGACGACCGAGATGAATTGAGCGATCGGCGAAGCGTTTTGGAGTCCGACGAGCTTGAGCACCGACGAAAGGCCGCCCTTGTCGAAGATCTCGGTCACCTTCTCCTCCCACTTGCCCTTATTCTCCTCGAATTTGGCGGATCCCTCCTCCTTCACCTGCAAACCACGAAATGAAGGAAGTGCGCTCGAGTGAGATCCCCTCGTGACTCTCAACTTCCCGATTTCAAATAAAACGGGTGGTTGCTAAACCAGTTTCGGCGTATTCGGTCAGTCGAAAATATAAAATGGGAGTGGTTAGGTCCTCTCTCTCTCTCTCTCGAAAACAAAACAACTCGATCGGTGGGAGAGTGAGGGGGTAATTGTCGTGTTCGGGAAGGGAAACGGCGCGGCGCATTGGTGACAGAATAATGGAGCCATCGGGAGCGAAAATAGAAGAGGAAGCACGTGCTCTGGGAGAGCTCCGGTGGGTTCGGGTTGGAGCAGGCTTCTTATGCTTGGATTGAAGTATCTTGGGTCCAAGTTTCAGGCCGATATCTGGCCCGGAGATATAAAGATGGGAGACCGAAAATCTCGGTGTTTTCGACAACAAATTAGTATATCTACGGACCAGATAATCCGATCGGTCTGAAACTTGGTCCAAAGATACTCCACTCCAAGCTTGGGCCCGATCCGATTATTGCAAATACACTAAAGCCTGGGCCAACGTTTGCGCAGCCCATGGAAAGTGCTTCAGGCCATTTGGCAACCCGCATCCATCTACAGTAACCCCCCACATGACACTTGCTTCCGTCTTCTGTTGACCGTTGTCTCCCCAATTCTCGCATTTGCCTGTTTGCGTGACCTTTGCCAATCCAGTTCCCTTTCTTGAATGATCGGGGCGCCCACAGATGTTTCGTCACCTTGGCACGCGCACCAAGGACAATGAAAATAATTGGGCGGCCCGGGGGGAGAATGGGGAATGGGGCACTTACCTCCTTCTGGAAGTCGGTGACTTGTGAGAGGAACGAGTCGACCTTCTTGAGCGTCTCCTTCTGAGCATCGCTCGCCAGCGGCTCCAACGCGTGCACCTTTTCCTTGAGTCCGATCAGCAGGTCCTTCACTCTCTGCACGTTGTTCTCCAGCTCGCTCTGGTTGTTCGAGAACAGATCTTTGGCGTTTTGGAACTTCTCGCCGAAGAACTTGCCGACGTCCGAGGTGGCGCCTGGAAAAGAGAGAGAGAGAGTCCTCATTTCGCATTCATTGGGACCGACATTGGCTGATTGATTGGACGCTAAATTGGGTGAGGGGAGTCGAGCGGTTTGATGAATTAGCTAGCCGCTACGAATTTTCAAGTAGGCCGGGCCGACTATCTATTTGGAAGATCTAAGCGGCAATAGCTCATGAATCTTGCTTAGTCACAGTCAAAGATTGATGGCCCTTCTTTTCTCCATTTCCCTTGCCACGTCATCATCCTTTTTTGTATATAATCCAGTCATACATGAATAGCCAGAATCAGAGAGAATTAGGATAAGCCGATCAGAGAGCTCGAGAGCCGCTTTCCGGATCGGCGCCACTTTGAAATATGAAACCGAATCGAGGATGAGCCGACGGAAAGAAAAGGGGAAACGGGCTGGTCATTCTCAAGGAGCCTGGGAATCGGGATTGTGACGTAGTTGGTCGGTTTCAGAACACTTTCTTTTGGAAAAAGACATCCCCGGTTACCGTACTCACCGCTGATATCATCGAAGAATCCGGCGTTGGCGGCGACGAAAAGGATGGCGAGAATGGCGGAGACTCGGGCGATCATGGTTTCTTACTCTGAGACGACTGGCGGACGAGACTCCCTTTTCCCTTCTCCTTTTCGTGCCCAAAAATGGGCGTGGCTTGCCTGCTGCCTCCGCCCCCTGCCATCTCTCAAAGCGAGAGAAAGCGAGAGAGAGAGAGAGAGAGGAGAGAAGTGAAAAATACCTGGCCGTTTGTTATTTTGAAAAGAACAAAACGTTCATGACGGGGCGAATTTGCGGACAAACAAGAACGGATAACAGGCCGCCGAGGACTTGTTTTTCGAAATCTCCCCACCTCGAACAGTTGTGTGTTTTCAGCGGAATCTGAACTTTCAGGGGGAACTATGATCAGTTCAGAGAATGCGGAATTCCTGGTTCCCAGATGATTCACCGAACGGAACGCTTTGTTTTGAGTCGTCACGAATCGAATTACGAAACAGTTTCAGATCACGTCACCTGGGACACTTTGAAAGAACAAAGGATGGAAACTAATGCGAGAGCTTCGATAATGAGCACCGTTTTCAGTTGGACTCCTTGCTGATAAGCGATTGTTTGTGAACCGCTCTTCCTTTCATTTCTTATCATGTCAGTTGTATGTACATGTTCTGCAATTTACACCAAATCGATTTTCAGATGAGCCAAGAGCAGTCTCCTCAGTGCTCCATCCACACGAATCTCGTCCTTCTTTACAAAATCATCGGAGAAGTGACTTTGGATCACGCGGATCCTTCCCAATTCGACGTTCTCAAACTCATAAACTATAGCCGTTCCTCGCAAGTTTCCTGGTTGCCATTGTGGGGCAATTCGTCGTTTAGCAATGTGAAAAACCGTAAGTGTTCATGCCTATAAAGTGTGGGTTTTCCAAACATTTTCATCTTTTTCAGGCAACAAAGAGTGTCACACTTCGATGGCCGTGGGGAATCTGAACGGAAGTTACAGTTCGTACAACAAGCCGTACATTCGAATCAGGGCAAAAGTGATCAACGTGCGGTTCTTTTTGAATGTGCTGGAAGCCATCAGAACTCTCGGAGCAGCGACGGAGTGCCGACGTGAGGATTTCCCTAAATTGCACGAGAATGGGCTCTCGGAGTACTGTACAAAGTGGGTCGAACTGTTGAACGAGGAAACAGAGCTGTCAGAGGAGAAAATCACGGAACTGCATGCGTTATATCTGCAGTTCGACAAAGACGAGAAATTGGAGTTGAAGGGATTCAGCGTTAAAGATGGATACGCCACGATCAACCTGGACCATCCGATGGTTTACTTCCGAAAGTATCCGACAATCAAGTAAAGCGCCCACGAGCTCGTCGAAGAAGCGACGAAGAAGAAGGTAAAGTGCGATCAGTTCTTCTTCTCCAATTGCCATTCGTGCGCCAACATCATTCCGTCGAGTGTCTACCTCACTGCCGATTCCATTTCGCTAAAGTTCGACGGCGAAGTGATGATGAACGTGAAATCGGACAGCAAAAACCCATTCCGTAAAGTTTTTATCGTCCAAAACATTCTGAAATCGACGCTAGACACTATTGCAAAAGTGCGAGAAGCTATGAAAGCAGACAATAGTTGATTGTGTTTTGTTCATTCTGATAAAACTTTTCCGTACCTACCGTAATCATTCGGCAACAAACATTCATTCTTTTCAACTGGAACCGTAACATTTGTGTGCCCTTCGGGTATTATTTGACCCATTTGTTTACCGTGCTGATATGAGAGAAAATGGAGAAAAAACAAGTTTACGATGTGGATGTGTTGGTGGCGGAACAATAAATAACAAAGTTGGAGAGAGAGAGAGAGAGAAAAAACGAAGGGCCCGCGGTGGGAAATGAGATCTTCCGGAGGAGGGATGGTGAAGAAGTTGAAGTAGAACGGGTGGAAGCGTCGACAACTCATTCGGACTTGTTTCGCGACCTCGAATTGTCTCGTTTTTTATTGAACGACGAGAATTTTCTTCTGAAATCAGCGAACGCATGCCAAGACGGACAAGGAGAAGGAGTGGGTGGGATGCGATACAAAAGGAGAGTGTGCTCACGCGGTGACTCACTCTAACTTCCTCTGCCCTTTCGGCGAGTCGAACATCGCCCTCAGTTTCTTGACTGGCATCTGCTTCTCCGCGTGCATTCCGTCCACCGGATCCCAATGCAGCGACTCCACCGATCCGATTTCCTCTTCCTCCTCGTCTTGCGCCGTCTCACTCTCCTCCACGTCCTTCCAGTCACTCATCACCGGGTGCTCCAGACTGTTCCGGGTGGGCTTTGACTTTCCGGCGAACGCACGACGCAGACGTTTCTTCGCGGACGACATCTTCGACGGGGACTTTCGCTCTTCCTGAACCATATAGATATTCTAGTTCTAGTTTGAAAATCGACTCACCAGGTCCTCAGTCTGCACACATTTCTGCTCGATGACGGGCTGCGGAGTCTGAATCCTGGCGTTCTTCGTCTCGATCTCCGTGATCGTCTCCGCGTCGTTCGTGTCGATGTACGTCTGCAGCTCCTCTTCCTTAGTCTGCACGTACTCCGTCTGACTATCAGACTCCTACAACAAACGTGCAGTGCAATTCTATGAGAGTGCCGGTGCTCAAAAGGGACCTACATTCACAATCACCGGCTGCGTCATCGTGTCCGAATCCGCAAAGTCGACCAGAACGGTTTGCGTCTCGGCGATCGAGTTCTGCACGGATTCCGTTTGGGCTTCGCACTCCAACTGCAACTAGAATCGGATTGTTTAGAATTTAGCCATTTCCAGACTCACATTGTTACTGAGCGCCGCTTCCGTCTGAGTTCCGCCTTCTCCGTACACCTTTTCGTCGGTTTGATGTCCCTTTTCTTCTCTGAAACATAAATGATATCAGAGATGGGAAATGAGGATTACTGTAGAAGAATGTCGGTCTGTGTATTCGCATCGTGAGCCACAAAGAGCACCGCGTTCTCCGCAGCCGCTTCTTCGATTTCGATTTGTTTCTGGACCAGTTCTTCGAGAATCTGTAAGTGAATATTTTGTCAATTCATTAAAAAATAACAATTTCCAGTGTCTTATCAAAATTTTGAAACTGATTTTCACAAAAGCCACAGACCTTTGGTGGCTCACTTCCTTCCGTCGTTTCCTCAATGTGGAAGAGCTTCGGCATTCCGGATTTCTCGTCCAAGTCCGTCAGAATCGAGGGCATCTCGAATCCGTTGTTCTTCGCCTTCACTTCCACCTTCTCCATCGCCATTTTTTTCTTCTCCTTGCTCAGAAGAGGCATGAGAAGCTTCGCCGTTTTGTTGTTTCCCCACATTCTCATCATTCCAACCGAGGCGCCCATTTGGTCACCGCCTGGAAAATGGTTAATGGGGAGGGAAAAGTTATGGAATACGGGTGTACCTGCGGCCAGTTTCTCTTGATAGTCAATAATGAGTTTCATGATGAGATTGACGTAAAAGTCTTCCAAAGCCACTTGGATCACATTGATGGTCATGCTGACAAGCGAGAGACCGACGATTACGAACACGAAACACAGGACCATCATGCTGGAAATGAACAGAACCGGTTTCCGTTTCAAAATGTGTAGAAAGAGTCAGCCCACTCACTCTCTTCTCTTCACCGAAACATCTCCGAGTCCGATGGTGGAGAGACTGATGAACATGAAGTAGCAGCTCTCGCCGTACGTCCAGTCCTCCCACAGTTTGAAGAGTGCCGAGCAGAAGAAGATCCATCCGACGGTAATGCCGAGTGCCACCTTCACGCTCATTCGGGGCATCGCCCTCTCTTCCTCGTCCTCGATGTCCTCGTAATCACTCTCGTTCCGTTCGCTTCCCAACTCGGAAGCCAACGAACTGACGTCATTATGAGCTGCATCCGGGGTGGTCCCTGCTTCCAGAGTCACTAGCTGAAAAACGATAAGTTGTTAATGAACCTAGAAATTATACGCACTTCATCTCCCTTCTGGAAGTTGGTATTGCTCCTTCTGCACAGTCTGAATGCTCCGAGGTAAGTGGTGAAATCCTCGAATCCTTTCACACATCCATTAATGTTATTGTAGAGAAACTTTCCCAAATCGTTCAAAGTGATCAACATGAACGGAATGCCGACGCACGAGTAGATCACCGTGGCGATCCTTCCGGAAGTGGTCAAGCAGGCGATGTCTCCGTATCCGATTGTGGTGAAGAGGGTTCCGGCGAAGTACATCGCAGACATGAACGTCCATTGCGACACGTTCTTCACGGAGAAATCGAGCTTCTGCTCGTAGTTGTTGATGGCTTCTTCCAGTGCTTTCTGCCGATATCCACGCCTTTTCGTCGCTGGTTCTTGCAGGAGCTCTTCCATTCGAAGCAGGAGTAACCGACGTTCTCTTCTGGAAATGCAGATGATTATCAAATACCTACCTGACTGTGTTCAATTATTAGTTCCTTGATACGGTACTCACGTGTACTTGTAATCTTCCTCTCTGGCTGCCGCTTCCGCCGACCCACTTTCCAGAAAATAGAAGATAACGGCTCCGAAAAGCATGTAGAACATGATGAACATGAGTGGGAACAGGTACTTTATGTGGTAGTCCTTGTACATCCGATGCAGCCGCTCGCTCCATGTCAGTTTCTCTTCCACTTCCGGCTCTGTCTCGTGGATCCGGCTCTGCAAACCAGCCTGAATTAGAACAGTTGATCAGAAGAGAAGAAAGTCAAACTTCAAGCACTATTATCTATGTATTTACAACTAGTAACTACGGAGGATAGGTGAAACAAAAAAGAGTTAACGAAAGAAGGTGATGTGGGGAAGGGAAGAGGGAGTGAGTGAGATGCGAGAGAGAGAGAGAGAGAGCGAGAGAGAGAGAGAGAGGGATACCCGTTTGAATTCTAGGTACTGATTGGCTCCGTACAGATCCGTCGACACTTTATGCTACAATCCATACAGTTCATTAGTCAGATGTGATCGGCCGAAAGTGCATTCTCACTCACTTGCACCACTTTGTCCTTGTCCTTGTCCGCTTGGGACTGTCTTCCGGACTGAGCACTCGCCGAGAGTTGGGACGGACGACGCAGACGGTCTCCAGAAGCCTGAAGAGGAACGTTCGAGCTCACGGAGCAATGAATATTTACCGTCGAGCCGGGCCTCAGGTTGCCGCGGGTGTTCGACGATCTGCCAAATCCGACGGCTCGAAGAAGGACCGGCATGGTTGAGGCTGCAATGAAATTGAAAATGAGATGTGTGAGAGAGAGATGAACGATTGATTGAGTCGTTAATGAAACAGATGGGGGCAACAATTGAAAGTGATAAAAATGAGAGAAAACAATGTGAAAAGCAGACAGTTGGCCTAAGGAAGAGATATCAAAAAGTAATCAACTAGTGAAGTACTCATTGAAACATTGTGCACTTTTTTGTATCTCCGCAGACAGCTGAGATACATTTTCTTAAATTATTTTAAAATTTCAATTGGTTGAGCATAGCCGAAGGATCGGGTTTTTTAGAAGAAGGTTCCTCGAAACTGCTCTTTTTTCGTTTCGCGAGCACCCATTCGTCGAGAGATGTTAGTACCGACACTTATCATCCCTTCATTACCCATTTCCCCTTGTCTTGTCTAGTCATCTTTCACTGCTCAGCTCCGAGCTCATTCTGAAGCATCGGAGGAGTACAAAAATGAAATAGATCAGAACAAAACACAAGGTTCGACGGAAATAAAATGTAAAAAGTGTCGTGAAAGCGATTAGTCGCAAGTGAAAGTCGAAATCGAATGGGAGGAGAGAATTACACAAGAAATGAAATCAAATGAATCGGAATGGATGCTCCGGAGTGGCCGGCCGGCAGGAGCCAGCGCCAGAGGGAATGGGGGGAAGAGGAAGAAGAACAGTGATACTAATCGGAGGAAATCAGAGTGTTGAGCGAGAAACGAAGAACATGTGACCTCCGGCGAATGATATTGAGCAGCACGTCTACGGTTATTTTGACAAGTGTCTGCGGATTCGAAGCTATTCAGTTAGGAAAAGAACGTTAATTTTCAGTACGAATTCACAAAAGTTTGCAACGTGAAACACATAAACTCGGAGAAATCCCTGGTACTTATGAGATTACCGTTTCGTCTAGGTCACTTGAATTCAAGATGGAGGTAAATTTCAATTTTTTTTTTCACATGATCCAAGAGGACAATATTAGAGATTAGCTTTTGAATGTCTTAACGCAAATTTGGGATGTAGAAGAGTTCAAGTGATGGTCAGTGCCTACAAAACTGGAAAACTTGATCAGTGATTATTTAGTATGCCAATAAATTATCAATCAAAACATTATTTTTGAAATGACACCCTCTCCTCCTCCTTCTTCTTCTTCTTCCTCTCCTTCTCCTTTCATCCGCCGGCTCCTGTCTCTTTCCGAATCGTCTGGTAGCTCCTTCTCTCCCATCCCACGCGTTGATCATCATCCGGCAGGGACCGGGAGGAGCCGAGAGACGCAGAGACGGTCACCGGCGGGCGCCCGGTCCGATTTCGACATGTCTCACTTCATAAACAACAACCTCTTCGGAGAGATTCAGACGGGGAGGGAAGAGAGAGAGAGAGAGAGAGAGAGAGAGGGAGCAGGAACGCCACCTGGCAGTGACACGTGGCAAGAGAGAAAGTGAGAGGAAGATGATGGATTGGTTCGGTAAAGACTGAAAATTCAGAACCATGCACGTCAGAGAGCAAAGAGTTACCACTTGAATTAAAGAAGGTTTGTGAAACTATAAGAGTCACACTCTCTCACTACAGAAAATATGTACCGTTTCAATGAGCAGGTATCTAATAAATGAGGCCAATTTATCAATTAATCCCAAATTAAACAATTGCTTTACAATAGAATAATCACAAACCTATTGAAAACTCAGACGATCACAGAAAGTGCCAAAAGTCACGGAAATACATCAAAGATCTCTACAAAAACCCTTAACAGATCTGAAAATGCACTCGGCTCAGCTGCTCGGAGCTCGAAGACAAGCGGATCCATGTCGCAATTACGAAAGGCAAAACATTGTTGAAACAAAAAAGCGGCGAGAGAGCGGAGAGGAGGAAGAGACGGAGACGGAATGATGTTGTCTGAAGGAGGGACAGTTGGCGTCGCGGAAAGGGAGCAGAAGAGCGATTTGTACGGACGCATCGGAGGCGAATATTGTCAGTGGCCCGGAGAAGAAGAAGGAGATGGGTCTCGCATGGAAATCGGAAATCACAGGAGCTTTCTTGCAGGGAGAGAAGGACGGAAATAGAAAGTCAAGAAGAAAAGAGAAGAAAGAGAAAAGTAAAATTCATCCCATCATCAGCTCCCAGCTCTTTTTTGTTCCGTCACCACCTGAACTTTACAGCAATCCCGCCCGTGTTTTTCCGTGTCAAACACCTTTTCCATGCACGTTTTATTACACTAATCCGCGATCAGTGAGATCAGTGATAGCCTAGAATCGAGTCATTTTTCGAATGACCGCATAGCACGACGACCTAACTTTCCAGCGCTGAAATGCTCTTCCAAGTTCACGCACTTTGCTTTCACTGTTCCTCACGCCAGCTTCATGTGTAACCATTTCTCCGTCTTCGTCTAATCCGATCAATGGTGAATATAAAAATCAATCGAACGTGTCAGTCCGCCGATTTTCCGATCCGTTCTCCGTGCAATTTCGCCTCTTTTCAGCCCTTTGTCTTCTTTTTATCGTCTACATGCAGCTACTCGTCTTCCTTTTTCTCTACTTGAAAATAGCAGTTCCGACCGATTCGCTGAAAGTTAATCGGCAGAAATTCTTCGCAAGACCTCCCAAATTTCGAGAAAATGCCGAAAATCTCCAGTATTTCAATGAAACACTGGTCACGCCGGCGACCGGCGGATTGAAGCGAGCGCCACCCGTTTTTCAAGGTGAAAATTTGGAAATTCTGAAATTTGTTTTTTGAAAAATACGTTACAGGGCCTACAAACGAAAAACAGAGAGCAGTTGTGGCCGCCTTCCAGTTCGCATGGGCGGGCTACAAGGTATACGCGTGGGGCCACGACGAGCTGCTGCCAGTATCCCGCGGATTCGAAGATTCGTTTGAGACCGGTCTCACGATTGTCGACGGTTTGGACACGGCCATCATCATGGGTTTGGAAACTGGTAAGTCTGAAAAATTTCGATTTTTTTAAAATTGATGCTTTCTCTCAGAAACCCGCGAGGGTATCGAATGGATCCGTGACAGCTTGAACGTGTCGCCTTCGCGGAGTGTGAATGTGTTCGAAACGACGATTCGGGTGCTCGGAGGACTGCTCAGTGGATATCATCTGACTGAGGAACAGGTATTATCAATCTTCAATCCATTTTCTCGGAATTCGGAATAAAATCTGCTCTGTTGAAGATTCTGCTCGAAAAAGCGACCAAACTGGGTGACAATCTGCTGCAGGCGTTCGCAAAGTCATCCTCGCCAATTCCTAAAAGCGACGTGAACCTGGAGACGGGCGACGCGTTCAGTCCCAATCAAGACTTTTCTTCGCTGGCCGAGGCGACGACATTGCAGCTGGAATTCAGAGATTTGACGGCGTTGACGGGCAATCTGAAGTACGAAGTCGCCGCTTTCGGAGCATCGGAGCACGTGCACAAGGTCGGATGCAAGCTGTACGACGGCCTCTGTCCGTTCTACATCGACGGAAAGGGCGATTTCAGAAAATCAGGTTTCTTTAGTTCAAAACTTTTCAATTTGAACTGTTATTTTCAGCGATTACACTAGGAGCCCGAGCTGACAGCTACTACGAGTATCTCATAAAACAATGGCTTCAAACGAAAAAGTCAATCGACTGGCTCCGCTCAGACTTTCTAGAATCGATTGCCGGCGTCCGGAAGCACCTCTACCGGCAGACGGTCCCGAACGGCTTCTGGTTCGTCGGAGAGATCACTGAGTTCAAGGAATTCTATCCGAAAATGGATCATCTCGCCTGTTTCCTCTCCGGATCTCTCGTCCTTTCTCATTTGAACGGGTTGGATGGGGAAGGAGAGCATCTGGAAATGGCGAAGAATCTCGGAGAAATGTGTCATAAAATGTATAAGAATCCGACCGGTTTGGGACCGGAGATTATTCATGCGAACATGGAAAACAGTTCTGATACTTCCAGAGAGGATATCTATGTGAAAGTAAAGATTTCTTTAGTTTCCAATAATTTTTTGTCTTTTCAGAACAACGACGCTCACTCTCTTCTCCGCCCGGAAGCAATCGAGGCGTGGTTCTATCTTTTCCGCGCGACAAACGATAAAAAGTATCAGGAGTGGGGCTGGACGGCATTTGAAGCCATCGAAAAGTATGCAAAAGTGGAGACCGGAGGATACAGTTCGATTGAGAATGTGCTCCGGAAAAAGATCAAGCGGTAAGCTAGCCAGAAGTTTATGAGCGAACAATTGACGATATTTTTCAGGCGTGACAAAATGGAGTCGTTTTTTCTGGCAGAAACCCTCAAGTACCTGTACTTGCTTTTGGCCGACGATCAGTCTATTCTGCCGCTCGACCAGTGGATCTTAAACACAGAAGCCCATCCTCTTCCCATCAATACCTGATTAGTCTTTTCTTCTTTCTTTGAAACGGGTCCCCGACTGGTATTAGCTTAATTATTTCCATTGTACTGCAAATAAAACACTATCAAACAAATGTCTTTGAAAGAAAAAAAACAAACAACTAGAAGAATCTACATAATTTTGGCAAGTCGCTCATGAATGTTCTCTCTGTGCGGCCAGGATTTGACTGGTCCGACGACCGTCGTCGAAATCTTTCCGTTGAGGAAGATGCGTTGGCAAACTTCGCGGAGCTGTTCGACGGTGACCGACTGGACACGGGCGGTCAGCTCGGGAGTCGGAATCCTGCGGCCGTAGCAGAGGAGCTGCCGGCCGATGTCCTCGCAGACCGGCGTCGAGCCGTCGAGCATCAGAAGGAGGTTCGTGAGCAGGGAACGCTTTGCACGCTCCACTGTCGCCTCATCAATGTCTGAAGAATCATAAGTAGGTTAGAAGAGGAAGGAAAAGAAACGAACTGTTGGAGAGCCAAACCCACTGACTGAGCACCGAATCGATCAGATTGTCGGCCGAGTTCGGATCCACTACGAAGTAAGTGCCGACCAGTCCGGTTTCCTGAAAGAATTCTTCGTTTTAAAAGACGTCCATTCAAGCCGGACCTTGTAGCAAGTGTTGAACGACTGAAACACCTCGACTCCCTCGTCCTGAGACAGCTTTTCGGCCAATCGGGTGGGCGCATTCACTCCGAATCCACGCATTCGATCGTATTCTCCCATCAGCTGAAACAATCTTTTGTTTTCGTGTTTAAAACGCGACGGGGCTTACTGTGTTGGCGACCATGAGTGCCAGATTGTCCTCGTGCGTCCAGGAGAGTCCTTCTACGACCATCGCTCCGTGCACCATCGGAAGATCGTCGATCTGTCCGCGCACATCACTCGGAATGTACTCGGCGGCCACGAATTCATTAGAAGAGTCGCCGTGCTGGAGCCCTCCGAAGTATTTCTCGGCCATCCGCACGACCGCATCGTGGTCGACTCCGCCAGCCGCCGCGAGTACCATCCGACCGCTTCTGTAGTGCGTGTCAATGTACTGTTTCAAATCGTTTTGTTGAATCGAATTAATGTTTTCGAGCGGGCCAAGAATGGTGTATCCGAGCGGATTTCCCTCAAAAACCCGCGAGTGGAGAACGTCGAAGACGACCTCCTGGAAGTTCTGGGCGACCTCTTCCATCTCCCGAATGATGACTCCTCTTTCTGCTTCAACGTCTTTCTTCGCCAGAGAACTGTTGAGGAGAATGTCGGAGAGAATGTCGACGGATTGATCCAATCTCTCAGTGAAACACTTTGCATAATAGGTTGTGTTCTCTCTGGAAGTGTACGCATTCAGGTGCGCTCCGATGTTCTCCACTTCCAGCTCCAGGCCCATACGGGTTCGGCGAGGTGTTCCCTGCAATGAAAATGACAATTAGACAGTGGGGTTCCCTAAAAAATTTACTTTGAAAGCCATGTGCTCAAGGAAGTGTGCAGTTCCGTTGTTCGCATCATTCTCGTATCGACTGCCGGCGTCAATGAACACTCCAATCTGCAATTTTTACTCGATTTCCGAATAATTATACGTTCTTATCCTCACCGTGGCTGTGGAACCTCCAGTATTCTCAGTAGCCACTCGGAATCCGTTCGGCAACGTCGTCACCACGGTTTCCGGCACAAAAACCGATCTGGGCTGTGCTTGGGCGATTTTTCGCTGTGAAGTCTGTAAGGAACTTTTCGAAGAGACTGTTGTGAATGTATATGAGTACCTGATATAATCCGGATGCTAGTCTTCTGTACATTTTTCTGGAATTTGAACAATTACAGGGAAAAATTAATTTCGCAATAATGACGGCACGGTAATGATGACCTGAAGGTAACGAGTGCGCTCAAAATCAACAGACAAACCGCAAACCGTTTTATTTTAAAGTTTTCATGGAACAACATTTGAAAAAACGACTCATCAGAGCGAAAATTGTAAAATAATCAGTTCCCAACGAGAAGTACACAACTAGCGGTCGAGGAAACACAGAGCGAATCCTCGGCCATGCAAGTTTAAAAGCCGCGTTAATTCAAATCAGGTTTTCATTTCTATGATGAACGCACTAGAAAAGCGATGTTTGAAGTTTTATTTTCATTTTTTTTGTGTGATGAACGGGGAAAAAAGTGACTAGTATTTGAAGTTAAGCATTTCGTGAAGCATCGCGTCGCAGTTGAGAACGTCGAAAAAAGTGATCATCACGTACGAACTCGTCAGTTTTTGAATTGATTCCTGCAGCAAAAATGCATTCGGAATGAAAATAATTTAATATTTAGTTACCATAATGAAATTCATGCTCATCAAGAGCTCGCCGACCCGATTTTCTCCGTTTCCGCCTTGCGAATGACAAATTTTATGGAGACAGTCAATTATAATATTCCTCTGCTGACGACACTTTTCTCGACCGTTTTCCGTGAATTTGTAGTAGGCTGCAAAGTGAAACCGTTTAATTTGAAACGTTTTTGAAACTGCTTCAAAATGGTGGAAAGTAACTCACTAACGTGCCAAACTGTGAGCGCTTTCAGAAGACAAAATTCTTCGAAACTGGCGTTGAGACGGGAAAACGGAACGACACTTTCTTCCCAAATGGCAATGTGCATCGGCATCAGGGCTCTGGTAATTTATTCGTTAACCGTAGCTTCGTGAAGAAAAGTATTTTTGACTTCGATGCCAACATTATGATGAGTTGCGGAAACTGTAAAACGTACTTGTACTTTGAAAAGTCGTCGTCCGTCTCGAAGTATTGCCTCGCATTCGGTTCGTTTCCGTTCATTGGCAGCGGATCCATGCACAAGAACTCGCCATTCGTCATTATTAACTGACGGTGAGACTGGCCCAGTCTGAAATTGATGGTTCTCTAACTTCAGCGCTTTGTAATGTGTGTACTCACTTTGACGAATAGTACGCTGATGACAAGATGAAATCGACGGCAAGAATGAGACGGTAGAACATATTCTGGAAGTCATTCTCTTAAACTCGAGCAATTCTTATGCCAACTGACTCTCTCATGACTCGTAAAGCTTGTAAACTCTGGAAACCTCGTCGCGTAATCGAACAATATCACAAAGTCATGCCGAAGAAGGCCTCGAAAGGTTCGGAAGTCGTGAGGTCGGAGATCGCTTATTGTGTAGGGCTGAAATCAAGAGACATCAGTTATGGGTCTTATGATGAAGTGAACTCACGCATTGCAAAGAGGCGTGGCTGTCGAGTATGAAGTCCATGTCCGTGTTCGTGTACATAATCCGTCTTCTGGAGCACAGGCCCGTTTCCATTCCAATGTACAGCTGAAGGATCGAAGAGGGATCGGAGGGCGACGGAGGGAACATTCCGGCCGTCGACGAAGAGGGGTACGAGGAACAGTAGCCGGCGTCGAACGAAGACGTTCGCGAGGACTCTTCGTTCTGCAAAATGTGAAACCATCTTGATCATATTCTTTGTTTCTGATACCATTTACAAGGATCTATAGATTCGAATCGTTTTTCTGCAAAACAGACTCACTCAAACCAGAATTTTGAGACTATTGTTGGTCTATTCTCATCACTAATCGAGTTTCGAGTGGTCCGGGAGTTGCAAAACGTCCAAGTTTCCATAGCGCGTATTGCAATAGGCCAGGCCCTCTACCGTACTCCCCGTTCTCTTTGTCTCTCCGCGTTTTCCCTCCGAACAATGCGCGCTACTGTACCCGTCCCGCCGCGTTTTCCCATCAGGCTTCTTCTTCTCCTTGTTCTCGCTTAATTTTATTTGCAAAACCGGTCGCACGGTAACCAACGCTTCCAAAGATCAAATCATGATTGAATTACTCCCAAAGTCCAAAGTCCTAAACACTCACCACGATCTGAGAAGTTGAAGGATTCGCCGACGGTGGCGGAGGCGGCGGCGGCGGCGGAAAAGTCGCGGAAGAAGTGGAAGGGGCGGTCTCTTCGACGCGCGGCTTCTCCTCGAACATCTGGAACGACCAATCGTCCTCTTCGGGGCTCGAAGACTGGCGCATCGACGGAGAATTGCTGCTGTTCTGGGGGAATCCGCCGTCGGAGGCCGTCCGGGAATCCTTCCGACGCGTGCACGCAAAGTTCTCTCGTTTAGAGCGGACCACTGGAAAGAGAGGCGCCGGGATGGGTCGGGGAAAGCAAAGGAAAGCTTACGTTCGGGCCTCATTCCCGCCGAGAAGCACTTGCGGAGCCGGCATTCCCTGCAGACGAGTCGCATGCCTGGAAACTCTAAAGTACATCATGAGATGCTCCATGACGATGTATCTCAGTTGTCAGTACAGATATCAAAAAGGTGTCAACTGATAAAATGTACAGAACGTTTCAATGAGCAACTTATTCGTTGACAACTTTTTGATATCTCAACTATTCGCTCAGATATATGGTTTTGAATAAACTTTACTCAAATGCACAATTCGCATTTGTCATTCCGGATGCTTCCCTCCCGCTATTATTGGCTTCAGTGTACCCTACTCTTTGTTCCGTCCGTCCATCCGTCACAATGAGTACAAAGTACGCGAATTACTGATAGAAAGTGGTTATCACCTGCCCGCCTTTTATGGGTGACATAGAGCGAGCAGTAGCTAATACTGAGAATTGAGGAGTACTTGGAAGAGGGAAAAGGGCACAAATGGGTGATGGATCGAAAGATCAGCACGTATTCGGTTTCAAGAAAGTGACTCTGTGTCTACGTAGTCAGTAAAGACTTACTAAAATGAATTTCACACGGCTCCCCGGCCGCGCATTCGTACTTCAGGTCCAGCGCTATTGTTCGACGGAAAAACGCGGCACATGCCTGAAAAAAGTTAGAATAAGGGTGGTTCAACTAAAAAAAGAAGCTCTTACTTTGCAACATCTTCCACCGAAATGTAAAGTGTACGCGGTCGGAGATTCACAGACGGCACACAATGGTGGCATCTGAAAATGGGAACGGATAATAGTGGGGGATTGGAAAAGACCGAATAGTAAAGTGTGGAAATTGAGAGAGAGAGAGAATGTATGGAGTTTATAAAACATCAATGCTTCTAAATGTGATCAAATCAAACTTTCATGTTTCAGAAATGGTAAATCCACCCGAAATGAAAAAGAAACGCCCCAGAAAACGGCTCTGTGCGGCTCTTTTCAACCGTTTTCTCTGATCACACATCACAGATGAGCTCGGAGGCGTTCAAAGTGCGCGGAGATTCTGCTCGTTCTCTGGGGGGCATCCACAAAAAGGAAAAAGTCGTTAAAGTTTTTGATCTTTCGACGGAAACGACTGTGGCGCCGCCCATTGTCGAGGAGGGGCGGGGCGTGAACGTGAGAAAAGCGGGCGCCAGACTGTCCATTGGTCCCGAATGAGGGTCTTTTGATTCTTGGAGAAGGTTCATTGGAACAAAATAAGTTATGCAGATCACTAAACGGGGGGACACAGTTTCTGAGAAAAACATTTGCAGGTGTTGTTGTGGAGGGGCTCAATGCTCACAAATGACCTCACAATTCGAGGAAGGCGAGCAGAAAACGGCGTGGAAGGAGAACGATGAACTGGATGCACAGAAACAGGGTTTGGAGTTCTATTCCGGTGCGGGAAGCATGACATTGACAGAGGGATAACCAGAGTTGAGCGGAAATGGAATTTTGAAATCCGGAAGACGGAAGACGGAAGAAAAAATCGTCAATGCAGAACCTTTTTCTACGGTTTTTTTTTGTGAAAAAAAAAACTAAAACAACAAAAATTTTGGATCTGGGTCATTGCCCGTGGAAATTCGCGTTCTTCGGGGCTAGTAAATGGCTTCTAAAAAGCTATTACTCTTTTACGGTAAGAAGAATTTTTCCCGGAAGACGGAAGACGGAAGACGGAAGACGGAATTCCACTCAACACTGGTGATAACCGTGACGGCTCGGGCAAAGTGATTTTCAAGGATTGACTCTGGATTATATCTCGTTTAGTAGTCTCAAAATGAGATTAACAACTGGGAGTGCTGCAAAAAGGGGGTATGATTTTTGGTCATTATGAAGAGAGATGAGAACGACATTTGCCTGACCTTGGTTACTGTAGAAACTGGTATAGAAGAGTACGCTCTATTCAAAATCAGTTTGAAAGATGTGGAAGTTCAGAAACTGAAAAATATCATCCGATTCCTGACAGTTTCAGAAACAATCAAAAAGGGCAAGAAGGAGAGCAAAAACTGAGGCAAGTCAACATTTACCGACGATGTTTCTCTGCGAAAACACAAAATACATAACGGTCTGTGCGTCGATTCTTCGCGCTTTTGAGCACAAGATACTCGCAGATGTCTGGAGAGTGATGTTAGATTTCAGATGAGATCCGAGGGAGTTTAACATTCTGAGTTCGAACAAGGAAGGGAGTTTGAGATTCGAATCAATTCGCCTGATGAGATACTAATGGAAAAGAAAAGCGTGGAACAGGAATCAGAAGGAACTGCCCCTTCTTTTCCTCATTTTCACAGTTTTACTTAACAATTCTGTTTTTCTGCTTCAAAATGTTCTAAAATACGAGTAGTTTTATGGATCGTCCAATTTGTAAATTAGGGAATATTGAACAACAATCTCCGATTCTCTTATCCCGTGGAAAAAAGAAGAACATCCCTTGAGAGCCACAAATGAAACAGGAAAAGTCTGGAAAGATTACTGTAGCGTCTCGCCACCCAAAAACGTCCAAAAACTGAAGAACACATCACTTTTGGTTCGTCTATTTACGTAAACACAATGAGAAAAGGGTTTGTCGGCCGCTCTTATCACTCTTTTTACACCGTTCTCTTCAGTTTTCAGGGGGGGGGGATCAGGAATTGAATGATGACAATGCAAATGTTTCGTTTTCCCTCCCTGTTCGCCCGTCAGCCATTAAATGAGCATCTCTGCGTCTCTCTGCTCTTTTCTCACTCTCTCGCCCATCTTTTGAGCACTTTTCCTAGTCGCTTCTGGATACCCGAGCACAATGGAACAAAAGAGCAAATGATCGCCGGGGCAATTGTGCATTGCTCGCCAAAACAAGGCTTAGGATGCTTGTAACGTTCTTTGCTCACAAAATAGACTCTCATTTCCGATTGTCTGAGCAAGAAGCTCATGGACCGGGACGGGGGGAAAAGAATGAACAAATAGTGTACAAACACCAGAGAAACACGGTCGCAAACTGGATGCAAAGGGAAGAGAGAGAGAGAGAGAGAGAGAGAGAGAGGGGAAGAGAAAGGAAAAGTTTAGGAGAGGAGTGAGTGTTCTGGGGACGCACGGAATTGCACGTGAATGATATCGTCACGGGCAGGGAATGCGGGAGAATGCGTTTTGTGCCGTAGTCGGCTAGTCATAGTAATAAAAGTCAAGATTTAAGTTAGAAACGATAGCTTCTCAATGAAACAAATATTTTCGTTAAACTGATGGAAATTGATAGGGAATACGAAAAAAAGAATGTTTGTTGACTGAAATTGGTGGTAAAAGCATTAAAAACACTTGATGTGTGTTCTAGCTAACCTGAAACAAATGCACCACAATAATGTTCATTCAAGACAATATATCTCAGCTGTGGGTAGAGATATCAAAAACATGTCAACTAATAAATTGCTCATTAAAACATGGTGCACATTTGATCAGTTGACAATTTTTTGATATCTCAACCTACAGCTGAGATACATCGTCTTGACTCGACAGTTTTTACTGTTGCCTCACTAGTCAGATTAAACTCTCACTATTCTGAACATTAAGTGTCCAAATAACATTTCAAAGTACCGGACCACCCGGGAATCAAAGAATAATTCTTATCTTCTCGACCACCCGATACAGTAGTATACGACAAAAAGAAGGAGGAAAGCTGAGAAGGAAGATACGAATCTAAAAGGACGCGGAAATATCAGTCGATCAGACGAACCTTGGCTACAGCGGAGTCGATTGAGGCACGGATTTCAGAGTGTGGGTGGCGTGTTTCAAACGGGCCATTAGAGAACGACCAGGGGGCGAAAGGAAGGGGGGGTAAGGTACAAAGTACGAAAAGATCACCGCTTCGACGCAGTATCAAAAGATGGTCGGCTTGACGAAGTAGATAATGAACAAAATTCAACGTTCAACGTATGAAAGGATCACCGTTTCGAAGCGGTGACATTTTGGGAATAAAGCCAACTGGAATTGCATAGCTGCCTTACAGAAGATATTAGTAGTGCAAACGGAAAAGTCACAATCGCATCACGTTGCAATTTTCTGAAACTCGGCAGAACTGCTCTTTAGGCCTGTCGATTGATATTCTGAAAGTTTTAGTGCTAAATTATGAATTTTGGTTGGCAGAACAGCTAAAACAAGAAAACTCGAATCAAAAGTTGAAGAAAACAGGCCTGAAAACCGCTTTCAGACCACCTTTTTAAAGCCAAGCAATAATCCTGTCGGGCCCAAACTTTGCAGACTTCTTGGACTTGGATTGAACTATATATTGAGTCCGAGTGCCAGACCGATCGTATCATTTACCCAGGAGAAATGTGGGAAAACCAGAACAATGAATTCTTGCTGACTAACACATCCCGAACATAAAATTCGTGCCCTCTTTTCGGATGACGTCGTCTCCAGACACGTTCCGAATCACAGAAAGTTGCACTCGTTCGCTGAATTCTTGCGACGGTAATAAACACGGAGAAAATAAGGGGAATAGGGGCGGAGGAAGGAAAATGTCTGTGATTTGTGAGCGGATGTGGGTGGGGGTGGGGTGCACACTGAAATCTGAGCAGCTACCGAATGATCAGAAAGAAAGGATAACAATTGATGTAGCTCAATTTAACTATCAATTTTTCCGTTTACCAAAAAATACTTCTTCAATGAAACAGTGAATACTCAACCAAAAACGGAAGAATCGCTCGTCCTAATATACCTTCTCCAGACGACCAATGGTTAATTTAATCGCGATTATTCGCCCTCCGTTGCCGTTAGAGTAGCCTCCCGTTCCGCCAACAGTTCGTGACGTCATCGGTTTGTCTTTTGGTGGCTGAACTTTCAAATTGCATCGAGAGAAACCGAAATGAATTAGAATCTCAACTAGTAAATGTCACGTTCGTTTCGCTGCCGAAGTGACGTTTCGTGATGCGGATCCCGCACTTTTAAAAAGATTATAATCGTAAAGGTTATATTCGTCTGCACGGCGACTTTTTTTTGTTTTTTGGAAACGAACGGTATCTGGAGGAATCATCGAACAACTAACGGCGGAGAACAAAGACGTAGACATTACGGTTTCAGGTAGTTTATGTTTTCCAATGAGGTTCTTGAAGTTATTAAATTTGAACACGTTTCGTTATCGGTTCTAATCTCAATTTTTGAAAGTTCCAGTTAGCGTATGCCACTGGAGATCAGGAAAAGCTAAAAGGTATCAAAAACTGACGGAAAACGGTTTGATGAGCATATTTTTGGATCCCAGTTGAATTTCATTGCACAATCGATAGAAATGCGCTCGATAGAAATGAACTCGAGCTCTTGTTACCCGTTTTTTGCACTCCCAAACACTTTGTACCTCTTCAAATCGAACCTCCCTCGTCATCGTTCATTTTCTGATGTTTTCGAGTGAAACGAGAACAATGGAGTGATAAAGAACGAATGAAAATCTGGAGGGAAAGAAGAAGAGAAATTCGAGATGGATTCGTTGGTGAGAAGAGGAAATGAGGGGCGAAAATGGAAGCGATTCGAATCTCCGGACGACGCTCTTTCCATTTATCATTCATTCGTTCAGACGTAGTGGACGTAGTGAGTGTAGTGAACGAACAGATGAACATGTAGTGGATACGGATTCCCGGGAAGGGTTAATTGTGGGCTTTAGAGGATCATAAAATACGAGAAACCGAGAGATGCTTCGGCTAATTTTTCCGGTTTCACACCCTCTTTTTCTTCTGATAAACTTTCGAGAGGGGTTCGGGCAAGCAGAGCCATATAGAAGAGTTATAGTTAAAGAACTGAATGGATGTTAGTACAAATGCATATCGTCGGATCAGCTGTGGGAGGCGAGACTCACGCCCGCCTCGCCGATTGTTTTCAATTCCGTCTCGAATCGTTCCGCTACGAACTACACCTTCACAGACCACATGTGTAGTTTCTGATCATCCCTTCACACTTTCAAAACATTCTCGGCCTTTCGATTCATATCTTTCGCCCTAACAGAACGCCTCAAAGTCCGTCGGAACAAGATGTTACCTGCTGATAGCTGGTCGTGTTACTGAAATGGAGAATGAGCGGAAAGCGGATGATGAACTGATCAGATCAGAATTACTGGAAATGGAGTGGTGATTTGATCTCTTACGTTTGAGCTTGTAATGGATATCACAAGAAATGTGTACTAGTTGAAACAGGAAACGTTTCAAGAATAATAACATAATCGCTTAATGACGTTTGAGATCAAGCACACCTGGAATGAAACGAATGAAACCCGTTTGCCGCCCTCCGCGTATTCTTTGTGTCCGGACTTCCTCAAATCGGCGGAGGTCACAAATCAGAATCCTTTTTGGCATTTACGATGTTTAATCATTGTCTGACTTTGTGATTTCATCCTTTCCGCCCAGCAAAATGACGCTCGCTTTGACCGGGTTCAAATGTGATCTCGGGGGGCGGATTGACGGAAGTGACGACGAATTGGAAAAGTGCAGAAGGGAAATGAATTATAAAGATGTAAATTAAGGAACAGAAACATTTAATCGATTGCCTAGAAATTGTGAAACTGGAAAAGTTCTAAAATGAGCTTTGTCTGTCTCCTGCAACTGTCTTGTTTTGTTCTCACATCTACTGATAATTTAAGTATTCCAGCTCAAATTGGATATCTCGATGATCATCTCTAGTCTAGTCTAGTCTATCCAACTGTAGCCGTAATGAATTCTGTCCGAACACAAAGGGTGTTCTTGAAATTCGCGAGGAATTGAAGAAGAAGAATTGAAGTTTCAACTCAAAATAAGCCATCTGTTTGCAATCTTTGTACGATTTCCAAGTTATTTAGGTCCTGTCGCTGAGCATTTGCAGCCATATCAATTTCAAAACTTTTCTGCAGAAATGTTTATCATAAACTTTTCCCCAAACATTCCGGTGACCTATAAATTGTGTTTCGTTTCCCATTCGCAAATATCACAATGCATCAAATTCCTCTATCTCTTCTTTTACTTCTTCTCATTTGCCCGCTTCAAACGGTTCTCGCCACCACTTGCTCGTTTCGAAATGAGCTGGCTTCGCTGAGCTGGAAAGTGAGAGACAATGAGCTCGAGATCCATTTCGAGCACAATAACCTGACGGAAAGTAGATGGACTTCGATTGCATTCGGAGACGGTCCCGGAATGGTAAGCACTTGCCCAGATTCAAATGGAACTCTCGTTTCCTTTTGCAGAACAATCTGGAAGCCATCATATTCTCCCGCGGAGACAACGCCGAGGTCACCACTTCCACCGGATTCACCCCCAAAAAGAAGCGAGTGGTGGTTGATGACGTGGCATACGTGACTGTGAAGAACGTGAGTGTGACTGGAAACCAGCTGAAAGTGACCGTAACCCGTCCACTGGGACCCGCTGGACCCAGAGACTTCTCGTTGAATCAGTGCGTCAACTGGATCATCGTACCGGGAGGCAATCTGAAAGACGGCAAGTTCCACAAACATCACGGAAAGCTGTTTACGATTAAGGTGAGGAGGTTGTAAATTACTGTAGGCATTGAAAAGAGCCGAACTGTCTTAGTATCAATATCAGAAAACGTGCTCCCAGAGCAAAAGCGTTCAATAAAACACGTAACTTGTGCTCTCTGCTCTTATCAGCCGCTTCTCGTTTGCCGGAACCTGTTCCTCTTGCCGTGGTTTCCCTCGAGTTCAGTCAATCTCCCAAAACAAACACATGTTCTCTAGTTTGACAAGAAAAAAAGGAAAAGTAGACATCTTAGTTAAGAAAAGGCTTCGAGAGATGAATTTCAGAGCGTGTGTGCGGCGAAATGCACTTCGTTCACGAGAAGACTGCTCAGCAACAGAATCGAATGATTATTTGAACTTGCATGATTGTTGAGAGAATAAATATTGAATCGAGCATTGTTTGAGAAAACAGGAAGAGGAAGAGGAAGAAGATGAAGAGTTGATAGGCAAACACGAAAATGTTTGGAGGTGTTCGAGATTGAGCTCAAACTCCTAATCGGTGCTCCATCTTTGGCCGAAACATCAGCAACTTCTCCCCATAATCCCTTCGGTTTCGCAATGTTTCGTTCTTTTTTTCAACCCAGTAAGTTTACAACCGAAAATACCCGAAGAGTGCACACAAGCGACGGCGGCACTTGGCACATTGTTGGACTACGGACTACACAAACCACGAAACGGTGGCAAACAGACGGCGCCGCGGGGGTACAAAAAGGCGAGGAGCGGGGCGGAATGCCATCTGTCTACAGTATTGTTCGACTCGAAAATTAAGATGAGATCCGCCGTTCTTCTCGCAGTTTTGTGCGCTTTCGTCGCAGCGAAGACGTGCAAATACGACTCGGGCGACTTCAATGCGCATTGGCTCTACGCCAACAACTCGATTTCGCTGCAATTCCAGAACACGAACATTAAGAACAATCATTGGACGGGACTCGCATTCGGAGACGAAAAGGTAAGAGTGTGTGGACCATCGAAAGAACACTGTTTCAACAGCTCTCTATCGATTTCTTCTAAAGCAGCTTGCTAGTGAGGGATGGGTACTAAACTCTTGAAGTATAGCTGTAGCGTTAAAGACATTTGCTCTGTTGAAAGCAAGGCGCTTGAAACAGTGTACTTGAGAAAGGAATTATTATGAAGAAGAACTGTTTCAAGAAAACTCGGTCGAACATAGCTCATCAGCAGATCAAATTACACTGGTATACTTTCAGAACAACCTGCAAGGCATCTTCTTCATGGTTTCCAACAATCAGGTGTCGGTCCGCACGGGCTCCACCACCGAGCACGGCCCGCCAACGTTCTCCTCCAACGGAACCAACTCGGCCATTTCGACGCAATCGCTCTTGTACTTCCCGAGAGATAAAACCCTTAGCGCCGTCGTCACGATTCCACTCCAATTCAACGGAAGAAGCCTCCAAAACTGCCAGAAATGGAATGTGAGTTGCAATTTAAAAAGACAGAACTTCATCTAAAAGTGCCGGTTTTCAGTGGATCAAGTCTGGAAAGATCGAGAACGGAGTGATTACCCGTAATTCCAAATCGCCAAAAGACAAGAAAGTTTGCCCGATGGAGTGCAATTAATTCGGTATTCTGACTCTGATTCCTTTTTCCGTTTCTCGCCATGTAAATAACTGTTTTCTCATCTTTGACCAATAAACGGTTCGAATAGAAAACGTGAGCACAATGATCCGCATACAGTATCCTTCCGGGGGGAGCAAACATCGAAACAACAGAAACGAAGAGAAGTTTGTTGTGATTGCCAATGCGTTGCGTGTTTGAACAGAGAGAAGGAGTTTGAGGAGAAGGAGAAACACAACTAACTCTTTTTGAGTTGGACACGAGTTTTCTGGAAAGAAGAAACAAACAAAAAGGGGAACAAGAGAGCACAATGATTTGTTCAAATTTTCAAATTTCGTTTATTCACCGCAAAAAAAGGGGTATGGCAGCAAGATGAATAGGAAAGGAAGGGAACCATCCCCGTAAGAGGAGGGCGTCCTTGGTAGCGGGTACAGGATTGTGAACGACATTAGTAGTGGAGTTAGTATTTGACAATTGGGAGGGGGAAAGGAAGGAATTTCAGTTTTTGACGATAGCATTCCAGAAGGGGACAGTTTTACTAAAGAAATTAGGAGAGAGGGGGGAAACACAAGTGAGTAACATGGGGCGTCGCTGTGAGGAGGCAAGGGATATTTGGGCGAGATAGACATTGCCTGTTAAGATCTTATAAAGGAGTAGTAGCTGAGATTTGAGTCTACGCTGACGAATGGAGAAAATGATTTTTGTTTCGGAAGCTCATGATAAGTTTCTATAAACTGCGAAGTTTAATCGACGGTTGTGTATAACAAATGAATGATGAACAGGTAAGTTGGCCTAGTGGGCCGTACTGACATAATACGATAGCTTATGCCAGTGTTGAGCGGAATTCCGTCTTCCGTCTTCCGTCTTCCGTCTTCCGTGGTTTTTCTTGTTCCGCCTTCCGTCTGCCGTCTTCCGTAAAAGAATGTTTCTTCCGTCTGCCGTCTGCCGTCTTCCGGGATTTTTCTTCTTACCATAAAAGAGTTATAGCTTTTCAGAAGCCATTTACTATCCCCGAAGAACGCGAATTTCCACTGGCAGTGACCCAGATCCAAAATATTTGTTGTTTAGTTATTTTTTTCAAAAAAAAACGGAGAAAAAGGTTCTGCATTGACGATTTTTTTTTCCGTCTTCCGTCTTCCGTCTGCCGTCTTCCGGATTTCAAAATTCAATTTCCGCTCAACTCTGGCTTATACCAAGAGGATCAAATGTTGTGTTGATCATTTTTGCTACCGGCACCTGGATTTCGAGAAAATGGAGCCGGAAACTGAAATCCTGTATTTTAGGCAATTTTCCCCCCTCGTAACAGTCGCGTGAACTCCCTTGATATCAATGAATTCGGAAACAACTGAAATCATCGGTTGGATGGTGCTGTCGAACCCAAACGCCGATGAAATGTCATCGTTTGCTCAGACACATTCATGACAAAACGTTATGTTTCGGTGAACTCACTAAAGGGAATAGTGTGCGAACTTTGCCACTTTAGCCACTTTCTCAAAAACGATAGGATCATTTTCATTGATAAAGCTTTATACGGTCTTTCATACCAGACTTGGAACAGGCCGCGTCAGGCCGCCTTGGCGCAAAAATTTCCAAAAATGTGTTCAAAAGTGGCGGATCGATAAATCGCAACACTGAAACTCATTTTCATCAACTTTACCGCACACATTTTTATATAGTCCGGCCCGAAGTCTTGCAAGTCCGGCCTGTACTCTTCTTAGTCCAGACTCTTCAATCGCTGCTCTGTTCACCCTCAAAACGGCGACTTCATATACGATTTTCAAATATTTGTCACTTTTCCCCCTCTATTAACTGCCTCTTTCCATCTGTTTACCAGTCGTCACTTCTGCCAAAAACCTCTGTTTCGGCGGCCGAAAGATGGTTCGACACCCACCCGAATAACTCGAAAAGTCAACAGAAGCAGAGGGTTTAAATGGCGGATCCGAATTGACGAATGTCTGCTCTCAAAAGAACATGTTCGTGCAGACTTCATTCCTTCTCCTCGCCACTGTCGGATTCGCCAGTTCGGCCACGTGCAACTACTCAAAGTCGGCGGTGAAAGCGAGTTGGAAGATTGTGGACAATGGAGCGCTGCAGATTCAGTACCAGAACACGAAAATCTCGAATAACCAGTGGACCGCCATCGGATTCGGACCCGGAATGGTGAGTTGGATACTGAATGAAGCGGCTTCCATAACATCCTTGTGAAACCGAAATCTATCTTTCAGCAAAGCCAAAGCGTGATCGTGATCATGGTGCAAAACGGTCAAATAACCGTCCGAACCGGCCGGACCACCGGCTTTGCCGCCCCCGCATTCGATTCTCAGACGAGCGTGAGCGTGCAAACGGCCAATCTCTCTGGCACGACCATCAACGTGCTGATCACCGTTCCGCTGAGCTTCAATGGAATGAACCTTCAGGATTGTCAGACGTGGAATGTAAGTGATCGAGTCACTCATCTCATCCTCAAAAGCATGACGCCTTTCAGTTCGTGCAAACGGGTCCCATCACGAACGGACAAATGGGAGCGCACACGTCGGTTCCGGACCAAGTGAACAATGTCTGTGCCTCGCAGTGTAGATGAAAAAACCTTAATAAATGATGAAACGTAAAAAAAAGTGTTTTCTTCCTTGGAAATGTCAGTGAATTGCCTTCGTTCCCAGCTAATTCGGACCTCAAACCCTTTTTGTCTCATTTTCGGATTCAGGGTTTGTAATAAAGTGAAAATAAGAGGGCGGTTACGGACAATTGGGATTCGTAGTCTAACTATTAGTGTTCCTAGTGGTTGGTCATGGGAATTCTTCGGACTTTGCCGGGAATCAAGTACAGGCGAAAACAATAACAACTTTAATATCGTATAGTTACGCCAGTAGACACCCTATAGTTCTGAAAATAGTTTTGAATATTGTCCATGCCTCAAACATCATTTTTTCCAGTGGACATGTTCGTATACAGCCGCTTTTAAGACTACTGTAGCTCATCGAAGTTATGTCCTCTTAAAATTGTATGCAGATTTGGTTCCAGTGTGACAGTAGTCTTCCGAATTTGCCCGAGATGTGAAGATTTCCCAAAACACTGATTATTCCCATGATCACATCCATTTTCAATTTAAAAACGTACAAAATGTTGTTGTTTTCTTCGGCCTATGTTATATTATCGATAGAGCTGCCGGACCGGGCGTTTTCCACTTTTCACTGTACAATACAACTACAGCCTTTTTCCGTTTTAGTTAATTCGCAAGTTCGCAAAAGAACCTACCCAATTGGAATGTTATTGTCTCTCATTTTCCCATTTCAAACGACGATCACTTAACTGGTATCATCGTCTTCTTCTACCTTCTGATGCCTATCAATTGTCCGTCCACTCCGTCAGTTCCCTTCTTCTTTTTCTTCTTTTTCTTCTTCGGCCTTCTTCTTCATTTTTTCCCCCACAAACAACCTCTTCGCCTTCTTCTTCTTCTTCTTCTTCTTATCATTTGCCCCCGGTTGGCCTTCTCCATTTTTGTGTGATTTTTGATTCCTCCTCTCTGATATCTCTATCCATTTCTCGAAGACGTTCCCACGCTTCCATTTCTTCTTCTTCTCGCTTTTTGGTCTCTTTCATTTATGTCATTAACATCCTGTCTGCTCGCTTCTAGTGAACTCCTTCATTATAATTGAATTTTCGGATTCTGAACTTCTACCGTTTCCCGACGTTCATATCCATCAGCAGTTTCTTTGATGAATATTATCAAATTTATTGGTTAGCAACCCGAATATATTCATTTCCAGAATGGCCTCGATCCTCCGTCGTATTCTGAGTGTCCGGAAGCCGAAGAAAGTGCTGACGCGAAAGGATTCCATCACGGGCCGCAACCACACTTTCGTCAGTCACTGTCAATGGCAAATACGTGCTAATTTGATAGCGAAAATATTTGAATTCTTCCATTTTTTCCCCTTTGTCAATCTAATCAAGTGTAAACATCGTCAAATGGGTCGGGCCTAGGGGGGAATCAACACTTCTGAAAAAGAAAAAAAAAGGAGAAGGAAACAAGAGACGATTTTCAGGAAGTGCCATACTTGTCTCGATTGGATGGAAACCAACTGCAGCCGGGTCAATCTTTGATTGCCAGAGGATACATTACAGGATCCGAGGGATTCATAGTGAACTTGACCTCGGGACCGCGTGTCGAACTGGACGAGGACGATGGCGGAGAGCTCGACGACCGGCTCCTGGCCCTTCGGGTCGATCTCGCCAAGGGAAAGGTGTACATGAACGCGTGCATCAACGGCCAATGGGGAAAGTTAGTGACTTCCCATCAGCCCAACGGCAATCAGACAACTTTTCCAGAGAAGCCTTCGTGAAACAGTCCTACAAAGAGGGCGACGAGTTCGACATTCGAGTCCGTTGTTTCGAGCAGCATTTTGAGATCTACGTGGAGCACAAACTGATTGCGAACTTCAAGCATTACGTGCCAATGAGCAACATCTCGCACATTTATGTGACTGGCGATGTCAGGCTCTACGCCGTCTCGTGGGAGGGAAAACTTTATGTGAGCTTGCAATTCACTTCTCGACAATCCTCCCCTCCGATTGCAGAACATGCCGTACACAGCGGACATCCCCGGCAACTTCTACGTCGGCCGCAAACTGTTCGTCTCGGCAATCGCGGACAAAAAGCCCAAGGAACTTGCGATTGATTTCTTCGCCGGAGAAGACGTTCCCTTCCGATTGCACGCTTCTTTCGTTCAGAAGAAGGTGCTCCGGAGCAGCGATATTTCTGGCACCGTCTCGACTCCAGAAAGCAGCTACGAGGGCAAGAATAAGTTTCCGTTGAAGGGGAAACGCTCTTTTGATATTCTGATTTACGCTGCCGATGACAAGTTCTTGGTAGGAAAGGATCTCTATGTGCTCTTTCCAGCAATTCCATTCTCAGGTGTTCATCAACGACGTTCTCTACTGCACATTCGATCATCGCATTCCGGCCGCCAAAATCGAACGTCTTCAGATCACCGGCGATATCCAACTGATCGGCGTCCACATAAAGTAGTCCTAGAACTTATGCGATACACCGTTTCAATAAAGAATTTCTATCCGAATTGTCAAAAACCAAGTAGGGGGCACCCGGAGTTGAACCGGGGACCTCTCGATCTGCAGTCGAATGCTCTGCCACTGAGCTATACCCCCGTCTGATTTTCGCACTGATGTTCGTAGTGTAATGATTGGGAAGATGAGAAAGAGAGAGAAAGAGAAATCAACAGTGGTTTCTGATGGTCAATGGTAGTGTCATTTCGGAGAATCGAGAGATAGTGGTGAATGGAGAGAAGGTAGATGGTCAGAAAGAATCGAGGGAAGTAAACAAGGCAAGAAGATTGCGAGAATGGTGAGAAAATGACGCGTTTTTGACATCAATCTCTAGTTTGGCTGCCTGAATGTGTGAGACGTTTGGAAATTAGATTACATTTATAGATACATAAAGCCTGAATCAGCTTCGAAGGGACGGATTTACGCCCAAATGTTTTCTCATTGAAAAAACAGTTGCCTTTGAATAGATTTTACTTCACTCCCAATCGTAAATACTATCGGAACATTTTAGCTCACTTGAAGAATACTCCAGAACGGCTGGAAGTCCACGTTCGGGTCGAAAACAACTTTATCCACCAAATTTCACGTTAATAATTCAAAGAAATCAATTCTCAGTTTGTTCTTCTACTTATTATCCATTGAATTCGGATCAATTCGCCCTCGTATTCAGTCGCATCTCCCTCATATCCATCAAGATCTTCTTCGTCTCCGCGTCGTGCTTCTCGACTTTTTCCTCAAATGCGTCCATATATTGTCGGACCCTCTTCTCCTTCTCGCGCTTCTCCATTTTCGTTCGCTTCGTCGTCTGTCTGTACACATCCATCTCCTTTCTGACCTTCTCCGCGTACTCGGCCCTCTTCTGCATTTGAACTTTCTTCTGAATCAAACACAAATCATTTCAGTCTTTTGATTCTTCGAACCGACCTCAGCAGCCTTCACTTCACAAAGTAATCGGAACTTTTCCTCGAAATTGTTCACTAGCTCATTATCACTTTTAGCTGGATTCAATTGTTCCTACAAAATAAAATGAATAAACGTCAACAGTCGGTGCTCTATTACCGTATTATAGCACGGAATCTCTACAGTCGAAATGACACAGGCATCCGAGTCGTCAACCGAAAAAGCAGCGAGAATGAGCGAGAGAACAGAGTATCGGATCATGGGACGGAGGAAGAGGGGAGAGTCGGACAGGGAACTTTCCTGAAAACAGAGGGAAAAGAATACCGTACACTTACAGGCAATCACTGACTGAATTCGGGGCCGCATCCGAGAATCCAACAAAGAGAGCGTCAAAGAGCATGACCAAAGGGAAGGCGTAGGAACGGTAGAGCGCCGGAATGTGCTCGAGGATCAGAAGAAGAAGAGTGATGTTGGTGGACACGCGGATCATGGTAATCGAGATGTACGCGAACTTGAGATGAGCACCCCAACGCTCGTGGGGAACGTCCCTCGAGTAGCACACGGAAAACGAATCGATCGGAATGAGAGAGGCGTAGAGACTGACGAGCAGGTTGAGAGCAAGAAGGAAGAGCAGAAGGGGACGGCGGCCGACTCTGCAGCCATCCATTCCGGGATATGTTCGTTAGCGGAGGGACTCACTTCACAATGAAGAAGATGGTGAGCAAAGCGGCGACGGAAGCCGCGATTCGGGAGAATAGAATACTTTCCAACGGGGAGTACGGTAGCATTGTGTTGATGAATTCTGCTTCTCCCGAGTTGATTTGAGTTTGGAAGGCACTGAAAACGGCGAGTGCGGCCAAGATACCGTCAATTTCTGGCTCACTTTAGAACCGCCAAAGCGGCCAATTTCTTCATGAACGGCTTGATTTTGAGCAAATGTCTGAGCGCGTCTCCCGAATTCTGGGGCACGTGTCCTTTGTACAGAACGTCATCGACCATTGCTTCGTAGCAGATTCTCTCTGAAACAGACAATTTCTCCAGCTTTCCCACCCTTCACCAACTGTCTCCTTTGCCAAACTTTTGAAAGATTTCGCGAACTCTCGGAATGTTTCGCTCGCTGATTGATTTGAGAAGGCTTTCCGGACAGAACAGTGCGAAACACGTGGAAAAACCGGCGACGATCAACATGAAGTGCGTCTCCGCATAGTTCGGAGACTCGTTTTTGAAGAGGATGATAGTGACGAACACGAAACAGAACGCCTGGAAACGTGCACGATGTGTGCAGCTGAAGTGTCGCAGACATCGTATTGTGTCAATAAGTCTAGACGCTTTCACCAAACGACCTACCAGATAATAGGCGAAGCCGACTGCATAAATCCTGTACTTTCCGGGTCCCGCCTCGAACGCCGCCTGAATTGCCAGCAAACTGATCGCTTTCGAGAACATTGAACTGATTATGAACGCGAATCGATCGAGGAAACTGAAGAGAAACGCCTGAGAGAACAGAAAACTGGCCACGATGATCACGGAGAAAATGATGATTCGGAGACGGTGAGAGGAGCTGGAAAGGGAGACGATTCGAGGGGAAAAGGCAGTTGTGGCTCACCGAGCAACCAGAAAAGCTATCCAACAGCCGAATACGGAGGAAATGTTCTGTAGAATGGTCATTGTCGGCAGGGGAATCGCTCCGTTGTTGGTCTTCTGAAACGGACGGCCCATGGAACTCAACGCTTTCCCTCCGTGCTCTCACATATCTCCCATTCTCATCGATCGCCGTCGGATGCTCCGATCCCATCACCCGTCCGTACTCGTCAGTATATTGGAAATCTTTGTCCGAATAAATCAGATACTGAGTTCTGCCATTCAAGTGATCGAACACGGCGAACAAGAGAGCATTGAGTGTCAAACTGAGCATGTAGTACGGGGATCGGCGGCCGAGCGTCACGTACACATCCCCAATCGTTTTCTTTGGTTCGCGCAGACGTCGCAGGAGGTGGCTCAGCTACAAGTGTTCCTGATCCTTCTGAACTCTGCCGTCGGACCTACGTGCTTCTTCTGATTCCGTTCATTCGAAGTCATCACGAAAAAAGCTTATGAATTCGGAAGATTCACAGAAAAAGATTGTTTCTGGACCATTCCGAGTTCACGTGGCTAAACAACCGAGGAAACGTTTTCTGGTCAATGAGTAAGCTCCGTCTTAAGGCTTTTTTGGGTGAGACGGATCAGGAAGCAAAGCAGAATAGAAAGGATCAAAGGGAACAATGATCCAAGACTCTTGCCACCTGTCTCTTTCATTAATTTCCGCGGAATGAACCGAAAGGGTATTCAGGAAAAGGCAGAACAGAAAGAATGCACATTGGGGACAATATTCGGTTCTGCTCAGTGCCTTCTCTGATTTTCAATCCGTTCAAAAAGATGCTCCTTCTCATCGTGACGATGTTTGCACGTGTCGTTTGCACGTGTCTCCTTCCAACCTTAAGTCCTTCCAAATGATTCAACCTCTCCTACTTAATTCCCCTATTTTTCCTTGCCGAAGGACGGAAAACGAATAACACCTAAACCCTTTTGTCTTGAATTTCCTTATAAGTCCCGTCATTCTCTCCATGACTGCTCAGATTAGTCCCTCTTCCGTTTGGGGTTCAACTTTCTTGTTCTCTGCGGTTGTCCTTATTCTCAGAGTGAACTTTGATTCTGAAGAGGCGGAGAGACTAAGCTCAATTCCAGTAACTCGGAGTCATGCTTCTGATTTCAGATGACTCCGTCTGGTCTCCAGAACCCATTCGAAACGAGCACTCTAATGGCGGCCACCACTTTCATGGTTTCGGTAAGTCCGAATCTCATCCGAATCTGTAAAACGTATCATTTAGGTTGGTTCCTTTGGATTCATCTCCAACCTTCTGGCCATGTTCGTCATCTACCGTAATCCAATGCTTCATAACACTTTCGGTCTCCTCTGTTTCTCCCATTTGGTCTCAAATGTCGGAATACTGTTCTGTTTCTCAACGTGGCCAGTTGCCATGATCCTCAAGTACCGAAAGAAGAGCTTTCATCTGAAATGCGAAGATTTTCAGGCAAGACAACGATTTGGCCCATAGCATCGTCGGAAAACGGTTCGGTCAGTTCACGATCATCTTCTGGTGGAGCTGCATTCTCGCGCACGTCGCCATCTCCGTCAACCGCTATGTTTCCATCGTTTTCCCGATCAAAGTGAGTAATCTCCGATTCGAGTTCTCCGAATTGTCTTGTTTTTCAGTCGTACATCTGGTTCACGGTTCCGAACACGAGATATGCCATCATTTGTATCTGGATAATCGGTTTTGTAGTCACCATTCCCTATTTTTGGGGTACGTCATCACGCTTTTTTTTCGGGCGGTTCGGTTCAACGAGCAATTCAGATGAGACATGCTACGTGGCTTTCAACGCACACACCTTCCAATGGACGTACGCCGAGTACCCGTGCGGCCAATTTCTGTCGTTGTTGGTGGAAGTGAACAGGAACACTTTTAGACTCGTACACTTTCAGATTCGATTTCATCGGCGGAGTCATCTTTTGTTCGTTCGCCTTTCTCATCGACATGCTCACTCTGATCCGTCTCCGCGTCGCCAACAATGTACTAAAAACCCCCAACCATCTATAAATGGAAGATTCCAGTTGCAGACGTTGGGAGTCAGCGCCCAGACGGCAATCGAGATGACGAAACGTCGGAAGAACGAGATTAGGCTTTTCGCGCAGGCCTTCACTCAGTGCATCGTCTTCTGTATCACTCTGCTCTCTTTCCACATCTTCACTCTTCTCTCCGACAATCTCTGGTGGCAATTTGCGATGGTCACAATGATCTGGATAACCGCTCATTCTCTGGACGGGTATACTCGGAAAACTGTGCATTTCAACATTTATCTTTGCAGACTAATTGTTGTCTTGTTTCATTTCCGTCTTTCTCTCTGCAAGAACAAGCGTTTGACGTCTTCAATAATGAATTCTTCGACGAGTCGCGCCGTCACAACCATCATCGGAAAATATTAATTCTGTGCATTTTTGTCGTCAAATAAAGCGCATGGTGTTTGCACACTCAATTATATTTTTTTATATATTTTTTTCAGTGAAATGAATGCTAAAAGAAGATATCCTCCTTTCGTTTTTAAAGACACTTTATTCCTAAAATTAAACGCGACTAACTTGTAATAACTAAAAAAAAAACAAAAACGTTTTTCAAGCCACTTGCCATGAATTGCTGAAAGCGTCACAAACTTCGCTGAATTCTAGTTTAAAATTTAACCGAATTGTATTTCGCCAGTCAGAAGAGCAAAAGAGACACCCCAATTTATTGATTTTCCGGCTATAATCTATTCCTCCAGGCGGCTTCTTCTCCGGTGTCTCTTTTTCTCTGGCCTCTGTTGTTTCCAAAACCACTAATTAAAAATTCGATTGTATATATACATCACACTTTTGTCGTTTCTCTTTCTCGTATCACTTGAAAACTGGAATATTTGTAAAATTTTAGCAGAAAATGTTACTCCAGTTGCTGTTCTTTTCGTGCGTCCTCCTGACCTCAATACAAACAGTAATCGAGTTGCGGGACAAAGATAAACGAGAAAATCGGGATTTTATGAACCATTTCAACGTGAAACCGGAAGATTTACCGTCCAAAAAGTGTTTTATCGAAGAACCTGCTGATATTGCCCGGTGAGTTGTTTTCATCTGACATGCAGCTAAATTTGTGAATTTTCCAGGCACACATTTCTTGATACATGTCCGATTCACTTCGATCCGACCTGCAACGATCCGATATTTAACCCAAACCACGAATTTGAATTTAGATGCCGGTATCCAAGTGAGTTTTGTCTTTTAGCGATTAGAACTGACGAATATCTGCCGGTTCAGTGATGGCAAATATGGTTTTGTCGATAAACTCGACGAGTTTTCTGGAACTGATGAAATTGAGAGATCCGTTCGGACGGGATTGGTGCATGATTGTGTAAGTATCAAAATTCTTTTTCATTTTCAAAGAAAGCGCATCTTTTCAGCATGTTCTACTCGGAAAGCTGTCCATTCTCCGCTCGACTGGCTCCTTACTTCAACCAAATCGCCGGCAAATTCGAGAACCTGCTCACAGTCGCCGTCGACGCTTCGGACTTTACAAAGTGACTCATTTCTATGAAAAAAACTGATTCGCTTTTCTGAGTCTTTCCAGAAGCTACCGCCTGAACTTCCGTTACGGAATCTCCGGCACGCCGACCGTTCTTTTGTGGGTCAATGGAATCGGAGTCGCCAGAATGGCAAATAACAATCTGAATCTGGAGAGCATCAAGGTATTTTCTGAGGTTCTATTTTTTAATTTGAAAAAAAAAATTGTTTAGAATGTGATTATTACGCATACCGATTTGGTAGAGAAGACATCGGACGAAGCGAAGAAGGAGTGTGTTCCCGAGAAGTTCTTCAGTGTTGGGGCTGAGCTCAAAAGTGAGAAGACTTCAGATTTCTCATGAATTTGTAATATTTCAGATGTTTCCGTCGTGCTCAAGGAGGACGTTCTGTACAATGCTCTGTACACGCTCGGATGCTTCCTCATCTGCGTTGCCAGTGAGTTGTCCTTGTAATTCTTCGTCAACATTCAATTGTTTTGCAGCATTCATCTACCACGTACGCGAACGAATCCTTCTGAGCGCTCCGGTGCTGCAATGGTTCCAATCCAAGTGCGGCGGTCCCCTCTGCGACGATATTTACTTCCTCTTCTACGTCGTTCCGCCACGTCATCAGAGGCCTCCTCCTCCGGCCCCAGCTCCGGAAGCAGCAGATCCGCCAGCTGCGGTTCCAGATGAGAACGTCGTCGAACTTCCGCCCCTTGTAGTAGAAGATCAGTAAATTCTTCCATCCCACATCCACCTTATATCATCTTCTGCAATCTGTTCCTCAACCATTCCTATCTGTGCGGGTCTTCCTGTCTGTTCTTCTACAAGAGCCATCTCGATGTAATATCTTTATTTTTAACATGAAAATAAAAAATTCAAAAAGTAGAAATAGAATTAATTATCCGTCGATTCGATTGACCAGATTCTCGCGAATGATTTCTTTGCGGTGAATGTAGTAGAACCAGTAGATGATCTGAAAGTAGACGGATTGGAATTTGAAAGCTACAGGGAGCGTACATTGAAGACGAAGAAAGTGAAGGGGAACATGACACTCGAGATGGAATCGATTCTTTCGGGCGTCCAACATGCGGCTCCGCACGTCACATTCAGCGATTTCGTCGATTCGGAGCAGCCGGGAGGGAACATGAAACGGCGTTCCGAGCTGATTCCGTGCGGAGACTCTTCCCGCGATGGCTGCAATCAGTTGCGATCATTTATCACTTTTCAATCTTCTCATTTTGTCAGAAAGGTTATGTTATTGCTCAAATGTTAGTAGCTCACATTCGTCGACACCTTCTTCTGTTGTTTCCTCTTTATCGCAGTCTCATCTCGAACCATGAATCCGACAATCGCCAATTCGAGAAGGGAACAGAAGATGAACGTCATTGAGACGAGCATCCAAACGTCTGAAATGAAACGGGAAATAGATCAGTACCGTCTGTGATCCCTACCGATTCCCTTAATGTAAGACACCCTCGGCAGGTTTCTCATAATGTTTCCGAATTGGAAGACAATTGCGAGGAGAGAGTTGACTCCGAGCATCGTGCGCGCGGGGATCGCACGCGAGCCCAGTGCGAAAGAGACCCAACTACAAATGTTACCGTTTCGAAACTTTTTTGTAAACGAATAGTTTATTGACTCACCTTATAAAGATAGTGAGATAAGTCGGGAGATACGCCTGCATAAAGTACCAAATGAAGCGTCTTTCGAATATTATCGTAACATGCAACTCATCCCACATTCCCGCCGGGTAATTCTGAAAATTAGCTCCGTTCTAAGCCTGGAAATAAGCGCTCTCACCTCTTGTTTCCGCGCAGTCTGAATTTCGAAAAGGTCAAAGTCGGGAAGGACAATTTTAGAGAGATTGAACACGGGAAACTCGGCATCCGACCACTTCATCTCCACTTCTTGACGATTGTAGTTGAAACTGAACGAGACAAGTTCGGGCTAACTATAAAGAATCAGTACCTTTCATAAATCAAGCTGCACTTCTGAAGGTCCAACGGGAAATTGGAGAGATCCAAACTGCACGGACCTTTCACGCGCACACGGTAGTTGACCATCACGGTTCCGTTCGGGAAGAGCATCAGGAAGACGCTTCTGAAACGAACAGTTTCTTGCAGAAAAGGAAGAGGACTGAGGCTAACCTGAATGGGGAATTGTGAATTTGCGCCACTTTGCTGTTTATGAAACAACTGTTCGGCGTCCAAAGACGGTCGAGAACTTGATGGTTTAGTGAGAGATTTCCTGAAAGCTCACGGTTTTGGCTGATAAAAGGACTATTGTCTGATTATCTGTATTGCCACATACACTGTCTGAGTGCCAAATCTCAGAATTGCCTATGAACGGAACATCACAAAGTCAAAGTTAACTTGATGCTCTTGCACTATTTTCGGCAGCTGAACATTGCGCCGAACGCAAAAAATCCGGAAAAGATGACATGACCGAGGGGTTTTCTAGACCACGGCCACAGGTTTGACTTTACAGAAACAATCTTTAGACTGGATATCAGATTACCTTTGCACGGACTCATATGCGCAAAGTTCAGAGCTGGGTCTAGCCAAGTTTCCGTAATATAAATGTCCATATCGAAATCGTTGGTGAGCTCGTCGATGGAAGTGATCGCTTGGATCCAAATCTCCACGACCACCGTCATCCCTTCCTCTTCTGAATCCAACTGTTGTTATTACACTTCTTTGCTTTTAGCCCAAAAGATCCTACGTGGAATGCGAAACTTGTTGTAGCCGGTGCCATTGAGAAGTCGGTCGATTATATCGGTGTCTCGGGTGCAGTTCCGTTTCCGAGAGTTGAAAGATTTGTGATGAAGTGAGGAGGAGGAGGAGGAGGAGGAAGAGACTGAATTGAAATTAATTTCTTTTCCTCCAGAGATCATTCACCACTTCTTTTCCTATCTCTCTCTCTCTCTCTCTCTCTCTCTCTCTCTCTCTCTCTCTTTCTTACCTAGTTCGGCCGAGTGCACGAGCTCCGAATAGTCGAGTTCCGAAGTGATGATGAGAACGGGCAACGTGGAGAGCAGGGTGAATATCATTCGGATCTGTAGAATTGAGCAAGTCGCTCCGAAAAAAAGAAGAGTGTTCTCAGGTCTGTGTCAATCTGTCAGTTGAGTACGAAATAAATGAAAAACGGACACACTTGACGGCCGACTTTCAAGCATCATCAGGGCGAAAGAGAGCAAGAGTATGTATGGGTCAGATTGGAAACGAATCGAAACGGAAATGCAAGAATGAGGTCATGACGTTGAGCAGGAAGGAAGGGGCACAATCGTTCCGAATCGAAGAAGCAGAGGACACTTGCTGACCGAACTTTGAATAAATCAGTAGAACATCAAGAACCCTCGGCAGCTTCGCGAGCGCGCGCGCGCAATCCGAAGACTGAAAAACATGCGCGGTGCTTCTTGAGAGTGATGATTAATTGATGAGTATATCTGAAGGAGTCAGCACCTTCTCCTCACTCATTCAGTATCCAAATAATGAGCGCGCACACAGAAAGATGGAAATTGTGAGTGAGAGAGAGAGAGAGAGAGAGTGTGCCTCATTTTCAGAGGGCTCACAATTACACATCTTTCAAAGGCAATTATGTGTCGGGCGGGGAGGCGGCTGAAGAGAGACGATGATGATGGAAATGTGGATGATACGAGGGCATCGAACAGGTGTATTATAGAAAGGGAAAGAAGAAGGAAGGAAGGCGGAATGGCCACCGGAAAGTGTCTTGAGGAGCAATGACGTGGCACACGAATGGAATGTGGCATATGGAGGACGGAGCACTTTTATGCGTGCTCCAGGGACTTGCTCGAACGGAACGGACGGGCGACAAGAAAAATGATATTTCGGGGAGAGAGAATATTCATTTTTTCAAGGGGAAGTGTTTGGAGGAAGCGCTCAATGGGTCATAACTAGCGTATTCTCGGTGGTTGGGATGGGAACAACTGCTAGCTTACATAAATCATCATTGCATTTAAAAGAAAAAAAACCAATGCCTTTCTAATGAGCCGCTTCTTTTGAAAGCTTCAAGATCAAACCGATCAGGATTCCGACTCTACGTAGCCGAAGGTGAGAATTCCCCAACAAATCCGGCATTTCCGGAGCACACAAACTCTTTGGCACCTTTCTCACCTCGTATGAAACGAAACGAAACGTCAAGGGAAAAAAACCCGAAAGTTGCTCTCTCTCTCTCTCTCTCTCGATGAATTTCCGGAAAGGAGGAGGAGGAGGTGTGCTCGCGGAGCATGTCACTTACAATTACGTCGAATTGCTCCGAAAGGCCCTCAGCATACTCACGGAAGGAAACATTTTTGGGACGGAGAGGGGAGGGCGAGAATGTGGGCGGAGGTGCTCACAGATTCAGACGATTTATTGAAGTTTGCGCTGAACTTTAGCATAATATGAAACCGATAAATAAATAAGTTGAGATCAAGATTTGATTATCAAGCCTGAGCCTAAGATTAACCACTCCTGACTATCCTCCATTTCCGAAATATCGAGTGTACGGCCTCCCGATAGTCCTGATGATTATACACGAAATAGGCAGAGTGGAGAAGCGAATGAATACAGACGAGCCAGTTGGTGAGGTCCGCCGCGAAGATAGCCGATCTCTGAAACAAAAGGGATTGGTGAGGAGGACGAAACAGAGCCTACACTGTTGGAATACTTGAGCAGAATGCAGATGAGCAGAGGGATCTCCTCGAGAAAGAGCGTGGCGATGAAATGGAGCATAACCGGACGGAAATAGGCACTGTTCAGGTTCCGATGCAGAAGGAGAGCCAGTCCGACGACGCAGACTGTCGTGATGGCGAGCGAGAAGTCGTAGGCAGAAGTGACGGCCGACGCTTCCGGCGAGGTTATGCACGAGACTGTTTGGCTCGTCGCATCTGAAATTGTGTAGTCGGTGTAATCACTCGCAAAGTTTTTGTTTTTGGTGCTAGTCGCTAGTATGTGTGTACTTTCAAAACTCAAAACTAACCAATAACGACTAGAGCGGTCAAAATGATCGCGTAGCAAATGGCTCCGGCGATGAACGGCAGAATTCTAGAGAACAGACTGGAATGGTGGAAGTAAACGGGCGAGAAGGCCGCGAGGGACCAGTCGATCACCTCGCACAGCAGGAGAAGCACCTGCGAGTGGGATCAGTTGGAAACGAACCAGGAACTGTGAACCTACTTACCTGTAGCAGTGGAATGGACGTGGAAATGACAAGAGTGGCTCCGCATATTCGTTCGTCTGCGTGTCTGTCCAAGTAAGCGAGAAGAAGAAGGAGACAGGCGACCACAATGTCCACTATGAACTTTACTGAAACGAGGTTAGTTTGAGCTCGAATCTCAAAGTTTCAGCGAAGAATCTTACCTAAGAAAATCGAGTACTTTTCCCTCAGTCTCAAATGATAAACGACTGTGGAGAGGAGGAAGGTGGAGACGAATAACTCGCAGAGACCCAAGAAAAGATAGATGAAAAACTCGGGAGCCATCGGCCATGTGACTCTCAAAACCCTGATTATAATCACTGTTAATATAAGAATGACGGTGCAGAACTTTGGCGAGAGACAGCGGAAAATGGAGAGACGCGGACGGAAAAAGAGCCACGAACCGAGACTGATAAGGGAAATTTGAGAAGGGCAGGCAGCGAAGTCCACCTCCTGATCCGATTCGGAACAGAAAAGGAAAGTAAGTGGATGAAACGATTATGTTATTTTTGAAACGAGGGGAGAAGCACAAAGAGGGAATGATAGCGGCCTGTGTGTATGTTGTTTGTATTGTATTTGCATTCTGATGGGAAACGATCGAATCGATCGAGAGAGAGTGAGAGAGAGAGAGAAAAGAACGGAAAAACGGAGAGGAATAGAGACGGAAACCTGTTCGAACTGACTAGTTATTTAGAGAGGAAAGGGCAGATGACCATACTCAGCCTGACGAATCAACAAGAGCAGTGCATGAGAACATTCATGGAGTGCGTGAAACTGTAAAAGTTTTTCTGTTTCAGGTTGTTGTCAAAGTTGTGTTTGTGTGTTCATGTCTTGTTAGATACACACCACTGCAAATGCAGACTTGCAAAAAAAATCCCGAGAAATTTTTTTTGAAGGTCCAACACAAAAAAAAAGTGTGCGAATTTTTCACGTTTTTTCTGGAATTTTCGATGAAAGAAGCGCGAGGAGACGTTTTCGAGTGAAAAAGATGGCTTCGCGAACAGTTTCGAACACGAAAATGGATATAAATCTCGTCGAACTGCTGATTTAAAAAAAAAATTTAATAACATTTCTGGCTGAACCGGGCCTTGTAGAATTTTTTTGAAAGCCCGGCCCATTGCAAGTCTGGTCAAGTGAACTCAAATGAGCAATTTTTGTATATGCGAAAAAATTCAATTGTCAATCAACTTAGAATTTCAATTGTAGAGTGAAAATTCATGGAGTGGGCGAAACCGAACTTTTTGTGTACATTTCTGTTTCAGATGGTTAGCAAAAGTGATCTTGGATTTTGCGTTCGATTGCAAGACTGTGCATACTGTATGCAGCATACATCTCTACAATGTATCATTTTACCTGAATATTTCAGTAAAACACTTCGAAATGATTACTGTTTCAACATCTTCTCAACTGAAATTGCGATTGTCAAACTACAATAAATGGTAAACTATCTGATGAGCATCGGACCCTTACGTATGTTTTTATAACTTTTAGTGAAAATTTCAGTCCAACGGGTTACCACTTTTGGAAATATATTCAAGAAGGGCGGAAAGCCCCGAATTTTCGACTTTTTAAGATACTATTTTGCTTGCAAATGTTTGCAAAACAAAACAAATGTTATGTTTCAAAGAGTTCCCTTGTTTCCTTTTCATTTGTTCAATCCATTTTTTTCCGTGAACCACCAAATGCAGTCCCACCTTCTCCAACTGATTCACCCATTCTGAATCAATGTTTGCTTTCCCTCCAAATGGTCAAAACTCCCTCTCTCTCTCTCTCTTTCTTTGTTTTGAGAGTCGATGGCAATCACTTGTGGGAACTCATCCGGACCTTCGAACTCTCTCTCTCTCTCTCTCTCTCTCTCTCTCTCTCTCTCCTGTTGCATCGTAACGTACTCTTCTTCCTTCTTCCTTCTTCTTCTTCTCCTTCTACCGTTACCTCGCTCCAACCCGTATGAATAAATCATTCGCATTTTCCACTACATTTGCTGTGGAGCCCTCAATAAAGGCGCCGCCCCGGGAGGGTCCAAATTGGCTGCAATCAAGTGGGCTCGCGAAGGGAAACAGACTACTGTAGTTGACCACACAGGTGCACGTCTTGAGGCCGAGAATGATTCGAATTCTTTTTTTAAAATTCGGACTGAACTATACTGATTCTGAAACTTCAATGGCATTCCCGCGGGGTTTCAGAACCTTATACTTTCGAATTTCCGCGGTTTCAAAAGGTCTAGAAAAAACTTTTTTTACTTTCTACTAGCTTTTAACTCATAATGTACAACATTCGTACTGTTTCATGACCTCTATGTATGGTCAAGATTCCCATTTATTTCGCTTTCTCGTCGAGTTCCCTAAGCTTGAAGTATCACTAGTCAGGGGTGGATTAAAGCTTTTTGAGGCCTAAACTTTTGACCCAGTTGAAATACTCCGATACTTCGATATTGCAAGCTTCTTGGATTTGGATTGAAGTATCCGAGTTCAAGTTTCAGACCGATCGGATTATCTAGTCCGGAGACATGCGGCCTTTTCGGTCTCATCCGGGACCAGATAATCCGATTGTTCTGAAACTTGAATCCAATATACTTGAATCCAATTACAAGAAGCGTGCGAAGTTTGGGTGTGATCGGAATATTACAAGAGGGTAAAACGTGTAGACCCCAAAAAGCCTGACCCAGCACTGAGAAGTATACAGTTGACTGGATCATCAGTGCTAAGAATCCCCAGTCGTCTTCCTCCGTCTTTTGCCCGAGTGCAGATGTCCATCTATCACCGGGATGATGTTAAACGGCGGCGGCGCGCGAGCGAATCTGGCAGTTGTCACACGAGCAAGAGCAGTGGCGGCGGCGGCGGCGGCAATGTTATCTTAAGCTTAACATAATTTGCTCTCATTTCAACACACATTACACCTCTTTTCGAGCGCTGAGCGGGGATGGGAGATCATTCGGAGACGATGACACCCCGTGTGTTGCACTCCATTGTTTTCTTTTCTCCCTCGCGAAATTCGAGCCGATTCTGTGCACAAGTTGCTCATCTTGTGATTATGATTTTGATTATGATTGATTGGAAGATGAGGGGGGCACCTGTGATCAGGGAAAGAGTTGGAAACATTCAATGCCTTTTGTTTAGACGTCGACCTCTAATTTCTTGGCAAAATGAACTAATCCTAGCCCATATTATCTAAACAAACGTATTTTTTCATTCTTTGTCATACTTTTTCGTCTCGTTTTTTGGACTCGAGTGGATCTTCTGAAAGCCAACATCTTTTCTTTTCACCCGATGTTGAAACGGAAATGAAAAAGTGTTACCGTTTCAGCAACTTTAGAAGCTTGCCGAACACCCCTGTCATTTGCTTACCATTTCTTTTATCAGTGCGTTCCCATCACCTTTTCTCATTATCACTTGACCCTTCTTGACTGCTCTCCTCTCTCTCTCTCTCTCTCTCTCTCTCTCTCTCTCTCTCTCTCCCTCTGTCCCTCCAGGTGCTAATACAGTCCCCTTGTTTGTATTGGTCCCCCCGCCATGCCATCCCCTTATCTGACCTTTGTCATCTCTTTTTCCTCCTCATAATTGTATCATCATCCGTCATAAACATGCGTGTCCATTCCTCTCTTCTGCCACCCGCCGCCTCCTCCGTTTTTATGTTTGTTTTATTTTGTTTTATTCCTTGTTGTCCTCTCTTTTCTCCTCCGAAAAAGGCTGAAAGGAGGCAACAAGATGCCGGACGATAATTACCGTAACGAGGTAATTTGAAACATATTGGCAGGCGGTCAATGTGCGCGGATGGATGCTTTCTGTCCTTTCTTCCACATAGACAAGGTTAATTCGTTCCATTGTTTCGTTTTATGAACACCTGTTATCTGATGACGTGGCAACTCGACCATGTTTTTTGAGTCACTTATAAAATTCTGCGAGTGTCTAAAATCCCTAAATATTTTGTTATGAATAACTACTATAGCACCTCAAAACATCTCCACTTTTCTATAGCTTGAAATATTTGTCATTTACTGTTACTACATTAAAGAAATCTTCACTGAAACAGGAAATATCAGAAACTTTTCCGGTTTCGGCCGCAGTATAAACTGAAATCCAATTCAAATCTGGGCCTATTTCTAATTTCTATCAGTGTTACTTCTAGTCATTACTCACAAAAAAGTGAGTATTATCTAAAAATACAAAAATGTGATTCTTTTCCAGAAATGTCCAGTTAAGGCTAACATGTAACACTCTGTAACAAAATTCGCAGTTTCATCGGCTTGTGAACATCAGAAACTATTCGGATCCGCATCTCCTATTATCACATCACTTCTTCCCGTTTTCATTGTCCCCATCCTCCCCTTTTTCCTCCAATTTGTGTCATTCGTAACACAAACCATTCGTCCATTCCGTCCGTCCGTCCGTCCGTCCAAATGTGGACACCAGAAGCAAGCCAATAATTTTCTCGTTATTCATTTTTATGTCTCTTTTTCCTCGCGGCCGCAAGTTCTCTGCCGTTCCCGTCGTTCCCATTGCCACGGAAACCGCCGCGGATTCCATATTCGATCTGTTTTGCCCCCTTTTCGCCCACCTCAAAAGTCCCGTTTTGTTCAATTTTCAAAAAAGATAGTGATCAATTTGTGGTCGGTTCACTGAATACCGTATTCCTCGTTCCGAATCCGTTTCCCATCCGTTTCCCCAAGTGCCTCATTCCTCAAAAAGTGTCGCGCTTTGAAATATGTCACCTTTTCTCCGATTGTAGCTCTCCAGAGAGCAATCCGAAGCGCGTGTCACACACGAATTCGTTCTTTTTTTTTGCTCAATTCCAAATGTCCAAGTTTTCAGAGCCACAGCTTTACAAGAGAATGAGGCGACTTCCGAAGTCCGTCTCGTTCCTTTTTCTGTTATTTGCAATAGTTGATTCGGCCCGGGTCGACGTGGATTTGATCAATGAAACTATTCGGAATCTGCTCCACTTCAAGAGCACCGAGAATAGTGAGTTCAGGGTATCGGTAGATTTATAAAATAACACTTTGAAACGGGAAAATGGGAAATGCACTGTCAGTACGGGAATTCAAATACACAGATATTGTGGCCTTCCCGAAACAGTGAATTTTTCAGACATCACCTCTTTCCACCGCCCATCTCACACTCTCACCGAACATATGAAAGATCTTTATGAGGTAAACATCCGTTCCCTTATTCTCTTTTTAAATTTTATTTTTTCAGATCTTCATTGACGAGGACTCAAACGAGGACGGAAACCTCGTGCGTGCCATCGAACCGGCCGTCGGGAAGCTGGAAGGACAGGAAGTTCTGGTGTTCGACGTCGAAGGATTCGATCCCCAGGAGTCCATTATGCGGGCCGAACTCCACTTCTTCCTGAGAAGACGTGACTCTTTCTCCAGAAGACGTTCCCGTCAGATCCGTGCCAAGTCTGTCTGTGTGAATGAGTACTGCAGACAGCAAGTGCTCAAGAAGATCCGTGCGAGCTCCGGAGCCGATGAGAACTCCGAGGACTTTAAGGTCGTGTGGGATGCGACGAAGCCAGTCTTCGATTCGTATCACTTGGACGCCAAACAGGCGGTGTTCCGCATCTCCCGAGAGCACGCCAAAATGAGACCGTACGCGGAGATGATCAGAAAGAGCACTCCGTTTCTGGTGATTTATTCGAAAGTGAATCACACTCTTGACATGGGATCCGTGCTGAGACAAACGGAACAGACGAAGAGAAAGAGAAGGGATCTGGGGAACGAGGAACCGAGAGAATACTACACCTACAATGCGATTCCACTGGACAGCGACGAGAGCGAGCCAGCGGTGAGACGAAAGAACGGAAAGAAGAACAGTGTGTCGGAGGAGATGTCATCGGAAGACGTGTGGCAGGGATTCGGGGAGGAGACGTCGAGAGAAGAGCGCGAACGGAAAGCCAACGAGGAACTCGCCAATGATGTGAGAGTCGTGCTGCTCCAGAATAAGAATGTGAGTTTGAGTTTGAATTTGTGGTCAAATCTCTAGTCTTGCATTCTTATGAAACGGTATCATCTCAATTTTAGAAAACGTTACCTTCTAGCTGCTTCAGCGGTATTCTCACTCCCTCTACCGTAGCCCCCAACACCTCATAAATCGGTGTCCTCCGAATCAACAACTGTGCCCTTGCAACTCGCCCATAAATCACTCTCTCACTTCCCCCCATCCATCCATCCAGTTTTCTTTCTTTGCAGCGCTGTCACAAGGAAGGCACTCTGGTCAGTTTGAAGCATTTCGGATGGGACCGCTTCGTGATGGAGCCGAAGACGATCGAGACGTCGTTCTGCAAGGGAAAGTGCGCGAAACCGATGCTCGCGAGCGGGAAGGCCTCCAACCACGCGATGCTCCAGTCGCTGTTCGCCGCGGAGCCCGTCTGCTGTGCTCCGACCAATCTGAAGTCGCTCAACTTCTTGTACAGGTAACAAAAACCAGTTGAAGCAGAAAAGCATTGTTGCATTGTTTCAGAGACGAGAAAGGACGTACAGTAATCCGTAACTACTCGAAGATGCTCATCGGCGCGTGCTCTTGCCTCTAACTTTATCCTCTCTTCCGCTTGCCTACCGTAATCCGTTCTGTCTGTACATCCTCCCTACCTCCCTTTAACCCCTTCTTTCATAATAACTGACAATGAATCTCAATTTGCTCTAAATTAAAAATTCCGGAAATCGGACAGTTGAATAAAGTTAATCGTTTTCACGCAATGTTTGTACGGATTTGCATAAAACGGGGAGGACGCGAACGGACGAGAAAAGAGCAAACAGAAGAGGTGCTCAGTCGGAACGACGATGGGCTCCGTGCGCTACGCCCTGCTTCTTTCCCTTTTTGCAACTCTCGACGCACAACTTTTTTACGGTCAGTTTTTTTCTCGGTTTTGGAAAAAGCGAAGTCTCTTCAGACGACGTGAAGCATTACGGTTGTCGATGTCTTCAAAAGGACCAAACCGGTCAACTTCTGAATTCTCTCACCAAATCTATGAACGGAGACCGACCGATCTGGCAGCTAGCCAAAGATTCCGCAAGTCTCACTTCGAACATTCAGAGCAAAGTGAGCAGAAAACGGAAAAAGTGGGTCACGACCATTTCCAGATCCATTTCCTGAAACACTGGCTCTCCACACTCACCCTGGACACGCCTACCGTACCCCCGACCACTACAACTCCCCGTCCGGCTACTGTAGACCCACTGGCACTTCCGTACGACGAAGGTACGGGCAACAGTGTGTTCGTGAGGTTGGCCTACAAGATTATGGCCAAGTACCTGAAAAAGTTCCGTAAGTTGCTTTTATTGTTTCGCTTTGAAATTGATGAATAAGAAAGGTACAACTCCCTCGTTTTCAGGCGGTGAATGGTCAATTCTGGATCGTTTCGAGTGTGTCTGCGACGGGAATCTCATTGAACTTCTCAATTCGAAAACATTCATCAACATTCAAATTGCGCATGATTAGCAAAAGTCTTTGAAATCTTTATTAAATAAATCAATATAAACTTTGACATGTTTTCAATTAGACCCGTGTCAGGAGAAGTGAGAGGATTCAGGAGAGGAATGTTGGCGAGAGCACGTTGACCGCGAGAGCGGAATCCGTGAAAATAGAGGGCGAGAGGACGGACGGAGAGAGCACGACTCCGGAGAGGATGGTCGGCGAGAGGACGTCCGGGCAGAGGACGAACGGGGAGAGGATCAGCGGCGACAGCACGTACGGATTGATCACGTTCGGCGAGAGCACGTACGGCGAGAAGACGTAGGCGTTGAAGACGGCCGCGGAGAGCACGTTTGGGCCGACGACGTACGGGGAGAAGATCAGTGGGTTGCCGACCTGGAAGGAAGTGATTGAATCGAACCTCCTGAGGCTGTTACCTGTGGAGATATAACTGGAAGAGACATGAGAAGCGGCGAGAGGACACTTGGACAGAAGAGCTGAGGGGAGATGACCAGAGGGCCCAACACGGACAACGTGTTGATAGTAGGAGAAAACGCCATCGGCGAGAAGACGGTCGGACTGAGGAAGACCACTCTGTAAGCGCCGCCGAGCAATGAGATGGTCTGTCTCTTGGACCGTTTTCCTTTTGCTCCCTGCACTCCTCTTCCCTTCGCCAGTTCTCTGATCGTCATCCTGATGGACTCTTCCTTCTCATCGGAAGACATATCGTTGATTTCATTCATATCGAATGGCAGGTCGGTGACTGAAGTATTGTAGATTCCTTTCTCTCCGTACAGGGTTTCCATCTGGGCTTTGTTCATGAACGAGAACTTTTTGTTGGCCATGTCCAGGTTCTGGGGAGCTGTGAGAGTGCCGGAGATTGTCGAGTAGACCTTGAAAGTGAAAATTAGTGATGTAACTGCATATTCGAGAATTGAAAAAACTAAGATTAGATTTTTTTTGGCGAGGAAGTGAAACACAATTGTGATGTTATCTTTACCTGATCAATAAGCGAGGTGATGTCCACGAGATCTTTGTCCAACCCCTGCTTCCTGAGCCCTTTAACAAGATCCAGCGCATCGTCGACGGCGTTGTTCACTCCAGTTATATCCATCACCAATTCGAGCACATTATCTCTGTCCTGGTCCCCCAAACCCGCCTTTTCGAGCATGGTCGGAATCGGCAGAATGCTGTTGTCGCTTTCGTCCCTGTACAACGGGAACATGTCCGGAGAGAGAAGGCGTCTGAAACACTTCAAAGTTCTTCTGACTTATGCTCTTTATCAACCCACTTCTTGGTGTTCAGTTTCTCGGGCATAATCGGCAGGAATCGGGGCGAGAGGAAGTTGGCATTCGTGTCCTTGTTATGCTTTTGCACAGCGTCGACCAGTCCGTACACATTCTCGTCGATCATTCCTTCCGGAGTGATGTCGCGGACTCTGTCTGTGAACGACTTCATCTGTCTCAAAGGATGATTCTTCCCGATGACCATATCGAGCATTCTGTTCTTGAAACGGTTCTTCTCGCGAGCACCGAACACTGCGTCTTGCAGCTGAAATCATCGGATATTCAGAAGTCTGTGTGACGGAGGGAAGCGTACATTCTTGAGGTTACTGTAGCTGGAGGTCATGTTCTTCGGAGCTTTAATCTGTGCGAACTCTCTGATCATATTGGTGAGTGCGGTCACCGGACTCTTCTGCTTCTCCTTGAGATCCGGCATTCTGTCCATCTTCTTCACTCGGAACGGATTCTCCAACGCGTCGATTCTTCTCGCCTCGTCCTCAGTTTCTTTCTGCAACTCCCCTCTCATTCTATGAACTCCTTCAATTGACTCACATTTGTGTAAAGCGACAGAATATTTCTCTTCATTCTCCTTCTTCTGTACTTCATCGCGTTGATCTTAACCATTTTCTCTTTCATTTTCGGAGTCATTTTGTACATTCCCGAGAACTTTCTTCTGTGCATCTTCCTGAATCTCGCCAGTCGAATCTTCTCCTTCTGGATTCCGTTGATGATCTTTCTGGCTTTCTTTTTGGCTTCCATCTGTACGATCTGTTTCTCGATCTTTTTCATTTTCAGCTTTCTGATGTCCAGTTTGCTCATGGGCACCGTGTCTTGCTTGTCAATAAAATCGAGTTTCGGGTCGAGCGCCATTTCTCCGTAGGCTTCTTCCAATTTTCCGTCGAACGCTTTTACGAGACATTTGGCCCCCGATTTGACGTCGTACTCCTTTTGGATCGAATCAAGGCAAGCGACAAATGCGCGACGTTGGGATCTAAAATTGTAAATATTTGGTATCATCCCTCATTTCCCTTTTTTTTGCGCCGCCAAGATCACAAGTGCAGGTGTCGAATGCATCGGCATCCCGAAACTCTTCTTACGTCGTTAACAACGCATTGTTCCCTCCGGACTATCCGCTTATCATTCTCGCAATCACAACGAGAATAGAAGCGGGAGAAAAACCCATAAAAGTGCCAACCGAACTGGTCTTCCTCAATCATTTCTTTTCATTGATTTACATTCTCCCTGTTTCTTCCCTCTTACTCACTTCTTCATTTTCATGTACAACTGCTTTCCGACAGAGCCGAGAAGCGAGCTGACCGCCTGAATGTACCATCCGTAGTGCATTTGTTGTAGCTGAAATATGACGATGTCTCATCAGCCCCCCAAAAGTCTTCCCTACCCGATCCACTTCCTTTCCGTCCATTTTCACATTGTTCATTGCTGCCAACTTGCTTGCACTCTGTCCGTTCGCATACAGAAGAACTGAAAACAAGGCACGAATGTTTGCGGAAATGAACTGTGCCAATCAAAGTACGAAGGACACCTCGTCCACCCCATCAAGTTCTCATAAAATATGACAAATCGTGTTCGCGGCGACGACGACGAAGATGCCGGCAGGAAGCGGAACGCATTCATCAAGCATTCCCGCCCGTCACCTGCCGCTCTCTCATTTTGTGATGTTTTTGGCGCCGTTATTGCGACAAATGAGTGACAGGATCGGGTGGAATGAGGTAAAGAAGGCGAAGAAGCTGAACTTGCTGTTAATGAGTTCAGGAGGGATTTCTAATGCTTAGGAGACGTTCATTTTATCACTACTGGATGATAGCTGCAAGGTCAGAAGCCATTCTTGGAGGAATTGGTAACAAGATCTCAAAAAGAGGATTCCAGATATGTTCATCTAAAAGTCTGATTGCACAAACTAAATTTACTTAAATGAAAAACATGAATCATGTTTCAGATAAGTAACAAAGGTGTTTCAAAGGTACGTTTGGAACCCTCTCGTTAAGATCTTTCCACCCATGTAAGTCTTGTTCGGAAAGGCAAATGAAAGGAAATATTTTTGATCGAGCTAGTTCTAGTTCATGTCTTTTTCTATACTCACCGAACGGAAGAATGAGAAGCGATGCGAGCAGACGCATGGGGCTCTTGAATCGTCGAATTGCAGCACGTCTTTTTCGTCAGACTGCTATGCGGCAAGCAGAGGCTTGTGATTGTTTCCGATTTAATTGCCCTTATGTTTTGTTGCCTCCCTCTTCTTCGCCTTCTTCCCGAGAAACCGCCGCCATCCACGGATCAACTCCGCCCCTTTTCTGCCTCCAGATACAGTATCCATTTCTCGGATTCTCTTCAACTTACGCACTATTCATCGCTGATTTTGGGCGATCAAAAAGTGCGGGCTGGATCCTGGAAACTCTTTGGGCGGAAGGTGGAAATATGTGATCGTTTGTGATAGATCATCAAAGGAAAACACCGAGATTTGCTGCAAGACGGGTCAAAATACCGTATTTCAGTGCTGATTTATGATTCGAATAGAGTGGAGTTTGAACAAAAAAAGTACAGTTGTCGGACTTATCAGTTGGAGTAGGATACGGTGGTTCCACGAGCTTTTGGAAGGATCTAAAGAAGGTTCTGTGCGGAAGAATCAGAATCCCAACCTTTATATTTCTATGTTCCTCAAGTAGTTCTAAAGATCCCTCTGGAAACCGACAATATTGGGAATGGTATGAACACTCATAGACCAGCGCCAATAGAGATCACAGTCTGTTTCGGTTAAAATTATTATTATAGGCTTAATATTCACACTGTATTGCAAGTGAAATAAGTTGTCAAGTGGAAACCGTAAACATCAGTTGTAAAGGAAAGAACTACCAAAATAAATGTGCTCCTGTTGGAATTACATACAATCTCTGTTTCAACACCAGAATAGAAGGTTCTTCCAGAATGCGAATGAAAAATAACTGCAATTATTTTTGCTGAAAGAAAAACTGAAAAACTGTTACCCGGAGAACACAAATGGTCTCAAAAGTGCGCATTTACTATGAAACGCCCCGATAGTAGTCCATTCTGCCAATCTTTAATTTTCTGAGAAAGATGGGACTGATCTTCGGTTCCTTCCATCAACTTTCATCACAATCCCATGTTCAGATCAACTAATCTTGTGTACTTTTGGCCAAAGCAACAAATCACAGCGGATCCTCATTTGTCCTCATCCGCATCCCACTTCATCTTCCAAAAGATCGCCCCGTTTTAGGCGCGATTTATCAAAATCCTCGTCCTCAGTTTCGGCCCGCTTGCCATTACCGAGAAAATTTGATCTATCAAAGTGGGCGATGGAGAAGTTGTCTGTTTCAAAATGAAAAAGATCGGGTCGGAATGATACCCGAAAGTGCTAAAACGTTTCGATATGGACCGGAGAGGAGAGGGGAGAGAAAAGAAACGATTATTAAAATCAGAAAGACATTCTGTTGTTCTCTGATGTTTTGATCTACAGTTTTCACGGGAATCCGATCCGAAACGCGCTGAATGTAGTTCGGAAAGGTCGGCGCGGGATGATCAGTTCCGAGGGGACGAAAGGAGGGACCGATAGGGAAACCTACAGTAGTCCGAATGGGTTTGGGTAGGTCAGGAGTGATGTGGGAAGCCTAGAATAGCGAGAAGGCTGTTTGAGGACCGAAGAACCTTGTTTGAGGATCTTACCGGACCAAATTGTAGGTGATCGTGGTTCATTTACCATAACTTGAGATCGAAATGTTTCTCAAAAAGAACTGCAACACCGCTATGGTATCCGTTTAGATTTGAGCTTCAAGCTCTTCTCAACTCTCTTATCACATCAGCTCCAACTCTGATTTTTTCGATGTTCAGTCCGATTCTGCACAAATCACACAGACAAAGAAAGCCATGCAAATCTCGAATCGCCTGCACGAGACTATCAAAAACGACACCTTCTCCGCTCTGCGTCTCCCGATTCACCGTGCTCTCTCGCGTTCTCAGTTTCGCAAGTGGCTTGACGGCCGTCGGAATGACCAATCAGTTGATCGGTCAAAAGTGAGGTAAAAAGGACGGCAACGGTAGTCGACGGGAGGATTCCGGGTGATGGCGTCACGCTACTATTTGGGACGAAGGAGAACGATCCGACACACGCCGCTCGTCGCACTTCCATTCCCTCACCAACACTTTCATATATTTGTCCCTGTTATTCTTTCACTTTTTTCCTCGCTTTTTTCGATCGAATTAGTTGAACATGACAAAAGTGAGAGAAACGGAGGGAAACAGATCTCCTTTGTTGCATTCTGGATAGTGACGTCATCCGAGTGTCTGGAGATCAGTGAATAGAATAAATAACTGGTGGACATGTATAAGAATAGTTTCGACAAGAATAGCAAGTGTTCAGACATTAGAACTACTTACCAATGTTCACAGTTTCACATATTTCCCAAAAGATGTTTTGTTTCATAATTTTCATAATGACATTAGCTTTCTGTTGTTATGCTGATTTCATTTTCCGTTTTCTTCATTTGTCTGTGTGAATATCAGAAATTTCAATTAGATCCAAACTTTGAACAATCATTACCATAAAAACCGGCACCTGAGTATCGTCTATTCAAAACGATGTATCTGAGCTGTCTGTGGAGATATCAAAAAGATGTCAACTGATAAAATGAACCCAATGTTTTGCACCTTTTCCACTTTTTTATATCTCTACCCACTGCTGAGATATATCGTCTCGCCCTTCTATTACAGTTTTTAACCTAGTACCAGTTTTGAAGAGTTCTAACTTTTTTCTGCTGTGATGCTCTTTTTCGTCAACATTAAGATCTCTTTTGCACCATTTTCCATCCTCATTTCCAACGTGCTATCCGCCATTCGGATCAAACCCGCAAACGGTTTCGCCCGTCACAAATCTACCGTAATCCGTTCTCGTTATCTGATTCGCGTGAACTTTCCAACTTCTTTTCGTTTTCCTCCCACTTCCTATCAGGTACTGACCAGAAGAAAAAGAAGAAGCTGTCAAGAACTGGATTGTTTTCGGGGGAAAGCGATCACGTATACAGTAGGAAAAGAAACAATGGGAAGGGCAGCGAAGGGGACTTCCCGGTGACTATACTTTATTAGTTTACAATAATCGATCCCAAATGCATCACAGCAATCATCAATAAGTTAGGAAGGGGAGTAAAGCGGTGACAAGAGAATGATCACAATTATTTAGAAAAGAGAAGAGTTAGAAGAGGAAAAGTTAGGCCATCGGATTGGATTTCATGAGAGCAATGTCACTAGCGACCATCTCTTTCACGAGCTCCTGAAATATGGGAATATTTTTTCATCAACCTCACAAGTATAAGTGAGTATGTGAGAACTTATTCGTCTCCAGTCGAAACTGTGAATATTGACTCACCGGCACAGTAACCTTGGCCTCCCATCCGAGAGTCTTCTTGGCCTTCTCGGCGTTTCCGAGCAGTGTCTCCACCTCGGTCGGCCTGTAGTACTTCGGGCTCACTTTCACGCGGACCACTCCGTTCTTGTTGCGTCCCACTTCGTCGACGCCTTCTCCTTCCCACCTGAAATACATTTCTTTAAATGCTTTCCTTCGTTTCCTAATATCTCACTTCAATTCCTCTCCAATTTCAGCAAAAGCCAGATTGCAAAAGTCTCTGACACTGAACTGTTTTCCGGTCGCAATGACAAAGTCGTCCGGAGCGTCGTGCTGAAGGATCCTCCACATGGCCTCCACGTACTCTCTCGCGTGTCCCCAATCACGGAGAGCACTCAGATTTCCGAGCTCGACGCACTCCTGCTGTCCCAGTGAGATCTTGGCGACCGAACGAGTGATCTTGCGAGTGACGAAGGTCTCGCCTGGAACGAGTCAAATTGGAGGAATTACTGTAGGTGTGCTGTACCTCTTCTCGGGCTTTCGTGGTTGAAGAGGATTCCGTTGCAGGCAAACATATTGTACGCTTCGCGGTAGTTGACGACGATCCAGTAGCCGTACATCTTGGCGACAGCTGAAATGAAAACTTGAGCGTTTAGAACTTTGACTACAACTGAATACCGTAAGGCGATCTCGGGTAGAAAGGAGTCTTCTCGCTCTGCGGAATCTCCTGCACCTTTCCGTAGAGTTCCGAAGTGGAGGCCTGATAGAATCGGACCTTTTCGGTGAGACGGCACGCGTGGATTGCATCGAGAAGACGGAGAGTTCCGACGGCGTCCACTTCGGCCGTGTACTCCGGAAGATCGAAAGAGACCTTGACGTGCGACTGCGCGGCCAGGTGGTACACTTCGGTCGGCTCAATCGTCGAGATCAGCTTGATGAGGCACGAGGAGTCGGTCATGTCTCCGTAGTGGAGGGAGAATGAAGAGTCGCCGTGGTGGGTGATCGGGTTACTGTAGAGATGCTCGATGCGGGCGGTGTTGAAAGAAGACGAACGACGGATGATTCCGTGCACTTTGTAGCCCTTCGAAAGGAGCAGTTCGGCCAGGTAGGAGCCATCCTAAAACCATCGGAAACTATAGTGTAGTTCTCAGTCGGAGGGCGACTGACCTGTCCAGAGATTCCGGTGATGAGAGCGACTTTGCGGGCACGGAACGCCTCTAATTCGGCCGTCGGAGTGGACATCACTTGGTGGCTCTGTCCGATGCACGCTTCGAGACCCTGCAAACGGAGCAATTTATAGATTTCAAAGGTTTTCAGAGAACAAAAGCAGCATTTCCTACCGTTTCACCGCCCGACATTGCTAGCAAGAAATCAGTGACAGAAAAGAGAGTTTAGTTTTGGAATGGAATGAAAAACCGGGCAAAGCGACTGGTATAAAAGGACGGAAAAGCCAACGGGGAATGTAAATGGGGAGCAGTCCGTGGGAAGAGGGAGAGAGGAAAAGATACATGGAAACGAGGGGAGCGGACGTGGCACTTTATGTGGATGTATATGGACGGACGGACGGCCTGAATCAACACAATGCGAGGCAGGAGAAGACGGCGAATGTATATAGCAGAATGATATTTTTGTTGTCATATTGTTACTCTTGCGTTTTTAGAATAATCTTTAGGCTGACTGTTGACCTCAATCTCTCATGAATTCAGTTCTAACGAACATCCGTTTGGAAGTGCTATTTTCGAAAAACGTCTAGAGATACAAATCGGATCGCGAATGCCGATTGGTTTTCAGTTGTTTGCCCTACAAAACCTTCTCACCTCATCACAAGTCTTCTTATTGGTCAGAATACTTTCAGGGTTCATAGCTCCAAACAGAATGAGAAACGAAAAGAACGAATCGTCATGGAAACCCGCAAAACGGCAAGGGGAAAGGGACCAAACTGACCTCCGCTTGTTCACCGTTATTCTTCGCCATGTTCAGAGAATACACAATTCAAACGAGTGTGAACAAAGTGGAGCAGGCCGAAGTTTCACGTTTTATAAGGAGAGTCGGGAAGAAAGTGGAGAAACAGAAGGGGAGAGAACGGTGATGAAACGTGGAAAAAGAGACGAAGGCGGACAAGAAGAAAAAGACGAAGAAGAGGAGCACTTGGGTGGGGCACTGATAACCGACTGATAAGGGCAAGTCATCCGAAGAGTGCTCGCGGAGCTCCCGAGCTCCTTCCCGATTCAAAATCAATACATTTGCATCCTGAAGACCCTTCTCTGCCCTCCGCAGCCACGGGGCGTCTGCCAGTTGGCGTCCTCTTTCCCGCTCCGTCTTCTCTGAGTCTCTCGCCTCTTCCGCTCTCTCCTAGAAATGATCCGCATCAGGAATGAATAGATTTGAGAGGTTTACTCTTTGTACGTGTGCAAACATACCAGATCTGCCCCCAAATCGATTTGTATGCATCGAAAGCAATAATCTTTATTAAGTTTTCAACTTATTAATTAAAACGATCACATTATAATGTAAACAAAAGCTCATTGGGGTGTGAGTTCAGGAGAATGACACAGAGAACATGAACGTTCCGATGAAGACGAACGCGGCGCCGATGACGTGGAACATGTTGAAAGCGTTTTCGAAGACGAGGAACGAGATGAGGAGGGAGAAGAACTTGCGGAGCGTCAGAACCATCGTCACGTTGAGAGAAGTGGTCACTGCCGAAAGCATGTACACGCTTTTCGTGCATGCGAATCTGAAAATTGCTTAAATTCGGTCATAAGGGATCGGGAACTGACTGAAAGAGGCAAATGGCGAGGATGTAGACCCATGCCGACGGGATGATCGTGTCGATTCCGGCGTAAACGATAGAAGGCGTCGAGTTAGCGGCACGAAAAGCGGGCAGCATCTCATCTCCGACTAGGGCGAACGCAGGAATCGACAGAAAATGCTGGAAAAAGCTCAGAGTGCTCGCTCACTGATTCCAGCTCACCACGTAGAACATCATCTCCTCATTGTGCTTTCCGTGCCTCTGATAGAACGTCTCCTGATATAGCCCCAAGTAGGCGCTGAGCACGAGGGAGAACGAGAGGAGAGCGATGCCGACGATGAACGGGGGAATGGGAACCGCCCAAGCATTCGTGTCGATTCCTGTTCTGATCTGAATTCGATAGTTTCTGAGAAAATTGATGTAAATCTTACGTTGTTCGCCCCCGGTTCGTAGCTGGCCAATGTGAATATCACAATTCCGGCGGTGACCACGAAAACGGCGCTGATCTGCTTCAGATTGTACCGATATCCGCGTATTATCCATCCCATTGTCATGTTCGCCAATAGTGTTCCCTTCAAAACGGTTCTGATACTTTACAAAATGATTTCTTTCAAATACCGATTTGAAAATGATGAAAAGCGGAAAGTAGATGGCAAACTTCAACGCCAAATTGTTGGCCATGTTGACTGTGAAGAATATTGCCACTATTTTCGCATATGACCTGTGATAACCTTTCGAATGTTTGTAAAATTCGATGTAAATCTACTTACCTAATCGGAATTCTATTGGGAACTGTGAAGAATCGGGAATGGAAGATGAGTCCGTAGGTGGCTGTGAATATGAACGAAGAGAAAGTGATCAGATTCAGACTGTTTTTCACATATCTGAAATAGACGCGAATTGGCTGTCTTTGAATTCAGAAGACGTACGCTTGCAAGTATTCGATTCCCGCCTGACATCCCACGCATCCGAATAACGTCGAAGAGATCACGGCGGCCGCCATAGGACGGGCGGCTCTAGAATTATTTGGAAGATTTTTGAGAAGCTTCAATAGAACCTAATAAAAACCCTCTGCGAAATCGATTCAGAAATGGAGAAGGAATAGACGCAGAGAAAAAGCAGATGGCTTTTTTAGAAGGGCACAATTATTGAAATATGTAATTGTCAGAACCGAGAAAACGTGCTAGCCAAAGTGTTAGTTTCAAAACGAAAAGACAGAGAATAAATTTGATTTATGAAACGTACAGTATGCGATTTGGGAGATATAGAAATTGGGAGAAGGCTTGGTTGGAAGGCCAGAATTGGCCACTCCGTGTTTCGATTCAATAAATAATAATGTCGAATACAATTATGCTCGAGAATGGGGTGGAAAGGTGGATAATAAAAGTACATGAAGATGATAGAGAAGAGGAATGGTTTGAGAATCACAGAAATACGTTCAAAGTTTGGTACATTGTCTCGGGATGGAACGGGGATCGGTGCGGATTTATCACAGAAAGAATGGAAATGATAGTGTGATGATGAAGTGATAAGGGAAGATATGGGTCGGAAGCAGATCACAAAATGATGCTCTGTTGGCACAAAAAGAAGCAAGCGATAAAGGAGAGAAGAAACATGGCTAGGAGAGTGCTGCGGTGACATCAGAATTCATGGGATCGAGTTGAGTGGGTCTTTCTGGAGGCGGTTCTTCTGGAAGAACGGGCACTTCCGCAGTGACCGTGTCCTCGTCGAGCACACTTTCCGCGTCTTCCTCAAACGCGTCGACGGATTGGCACTCTTCGGTTATCTGGAGACTTTGAGAAAGAATTGAAAGCAGTCTTCAAACAAAGATTACCTCATTGAGATTGTTCGTCTCTGGAGAATCAGCGGGTGGATTAGGCGTGGAACGTCCGGATTGGCAGTCCTGAAGTGCAGAGCAATAATGGAGCATGAGCACTGCGAGCGCTTGGAGACGTTCGTCGAGTCCTTGAAATTTGGCGGACGTCTCTGAATCAACTCGAGATGGTTGTCGTCTTTCGGGCCTCCCGTTTCCGTGCTTACCTCCTCCATTCTGCATCACACTCAACCGATCGTCCTTCGTCTCTCGTATCGCCGCCTGGATACGGTCGATTTGAGAGTTTATCTTCTCGACACGCTGTTCCGAAGTCAAATCACTGAATATCTCGCGTCCGAGCAGCTTTGCATTCCGTATCGTCTCCTCGTTGTAGGCGTTACCGGGCTGAAACTTGCTCAGGCGGTTAGAAAGGTTTCGAAAGAGACAACATTACCTGGAAGTAGAGCCCACTGATGAACGGAGATCCGTCTAATCCTGGCAGAACATCGGCGAGCACATCTTGAATGCTGGCCATCGGACTGTCCCTGTCGGTTTCTAGTTTGTCAATGTCAGCAGCAGAAGAGCTAGAGCCGTCCATGTCCCGAGTGTTTTTTCGAACGGGAGTACCCTCATCTTCCTTCTTTTTTCCTCCTTTCCTCCAGTTCGAAAACTTTTCTGTCACTTTCTTGAACCTGGCTCGTTTCGAAAGATCAGGAGTGTCCACTGAAAATGATAGGATGAAAATGTATTCTGTTGCAGAAACTTACATAAGCTGGAGACGGTGGACAAAGTGGAAGGTGATTGCATGAGAAGAGCGTGTGCCTCATCGTGCGGCTGCTCTCCCGGAGTGGCGTTAGACGCGTGCTCCAACTCGGCAGCGGATATCTCCTCGAACTGAGAATCGTCCGGAAGCGGAAGGTTGGCTGGTGGCTGCTGTTGCGGAGAACAAGCGATTCCTCCGTTGTTGGCTTTGACGACGCACTTGTTGTGGCAGATAACGAGGCAACGGGAGCAGGAAGAGGCATTGCGGAGCCAGATCTTTCCTCGACACATTGCGCATGTGGTTGCTGAAATGACTTTGATTTGAAAACAAAAAGCAAGGAACCAACTCACTGTTCTTTCCGTACCACAGCTTCCAATCATGATTTGCCAGAGCGAGTGCAGGCGGAGACAAAGGTCTTGTTGGGGACGCGGCTTCTTGCGAATTCATCATTCTCATTAGTTCATCCTCGGTTTCTTCGCCCGTATTGAGTGCTTTATCAGTGGGGAGTCCATCTGGGAAGTACCGGAATCCGAGGGTGATATCTCCGAAGCAGAGACGGGGATCGAATCCGGCGTGGCGGGAAAACTCGGCAAGAACTCTGTAAATATTCATTTCAGAGTGCTCTAAAAAAATGAACAACTAACGGATCCTCTGGAGTGGTAGCCAGTTGAGAAGGTGTCGACGAGCTCGGCTGTTTTAGTTGGAACACTTCTCGGTGACAGTTGGATAGAGTCAACCGACAGTCATCGATTAACTGGGGCACGAAAAGAGATACGGAACCAAGAAGGATCGACTTCGGCTCGTTGACTTTTGTGGGAGAGGGCGTGGAAGAAGATTCAGCGCCTGAGGAGGCGACGGACTCCGGAGTGGAGGTGACACTGGGAATGCTGGAGGCGGAAGTGTTGGGAGTTTCCGCCGGCTTGATCTCTTTCGCGTGGACGGTCACGTTCAAGTATCGGATGGCGGAGCGAGTCGTCGATTCGGAAGGAGCGTCCAACTCGAAGTGGAGCGACTGTCCCCACATGACATCCTGAAACTGATCTGCGGTTGCCGGCAACAATCAATCAGGAACGAACCTTTTGGAACGGCACACTTTTCGTCGTTCGCGCCTTGATCGTCGTCATCGGAGACTGATCCTTCTGTATTCCAGTTCGTCTCATTTTTGGTGAATCAGACAACTTCTTCTTCAGCCGTTTCTTCTCCTTCTTATCTTCAGATGGACTCTCCTTTCTCTTTCCGATCACACAAATGGGAGACTTGTGCGCGGCGGTTTCCCTTAGTTCTGAGTCGAAAACATTTAAAGCGTCAGCCCCAATTTCAATGCTTTCTCCGTTGAAATCGGCGGTTGCATCGGTCATTTTTCGTTTCTGAGGCATCAAATCGAGCATTTTCTTCTTGCCGGCCGCGAACGTGGCCTGAATCTTAGCCTTTCTCGTGCTCGTCGGCCGTTTTCGATCTAGACTTGACTCCTCGTCTTCCACGCCGTCTTCCGTTCCAGTGTCCGTCCGATTCGATACAATTGAGGCCAACGATGCGACTGAACCGGTTTGCTGCAGCTGAAATACGGGCGGGGATGTTGGTTCGAATACGAGGAGTGCTTACCGAGTTGATGAGAGCCAATCCCTTCGCGGCATCCGCTTGGGTTAGCGTTCTGTCTTTGTCCTCTTTTTTGACAACTCCGAGCAGCAGAGGATCGAGGTTGTTGCCAGAAGCACTGCGATTCAAGTCTCCGACCAGCATTTTCTGGATCTCGTCCTCCACGGCATTGTCCACTCCGAAGTCGGCGGAGCTCGAGAGAACGGCATCGATGACTTTTGCATCGAGATGACTTTCCGATTGTGTCCGTCGGAGGTCGAAGCTCGGTTGGCTGACGAGCAGCTGAGGAACACGGGCACTTTCGGCGCGTTGCACAGATACTGCCGGCGGTTTATCGAACTTGTGGACATCTGAAACGATGAGCAATTATCTTTCTTTTCGTTCTCATCTTCTGAACTTTCTCTTGTCCGCTTTGACCATTATAAATTGCCCGAACCGGTAGTTGAAAGTTACCGGTGATTTTCGCGAACTTTCGTTGTCTTATCAACCTTTTCGATCATTTTTCTGTCCAATCAAAATCGATCACAATAACCAGGGGCAACGAAGAGAGCGGAGAGAACGAAACCAATTGGCAATCAGCGGGACCGACAGGCAGACGGAGTGTAATGGAGAAACGAAATTGCGTTGGGATACGCGAGAGGGCAGCGCCATTTTTGGAAGAAAAAGGAGAAAAAGAGGGAGGGGACGACGTCAAGAATTTCAGTTTGATACCTATCTCTTTCTTTTTTCTGGACAGTAACGGACTTCCTTGTTACGGAATGATAGTGGCGAAGGTGGAGAGGGCAGACGATCAGGGGAATTTCACGATTCTACGTATGTGGTATAAAAGGGCTGCCCGGGTAACCAGTAATCATTCCATCCCGCCATGGACATCGATTCCAAGATCAAGGCCTACCGCTTCGTCGGTTATGCCGCTCTCACTTTCTCCACCATCGCCGTCCTATCGGTGTGCATCACCCTCCCTATGGTCTACAACTACATCCATCACGCCCGCAAGACCGTGCACCACGACATCGTCGAGTGCCGTGCCGAGGCCAAGAAGCTTTGGGGAGACGTCAACCACATTCCAGACATGGTGATGGCCCACAACCGTACCGCCCGTCAGGCCGGAAACGGACAATGCGAGGGCTGCTGTCTTCCAGGAGCGCAGGGACCACCAGGAACTCCAGGACGTGCTGGTCGTCCAGGAAAGCCAGGAGCGCCAGGACTCAATGGCAACCCAGGACGCCCACCGAAGGAGCCATGTGAGCCAATCACTCCACCACCATGCAAGCCATGCCCGGAGGGACCACCAGGACCAGCTGGACCACCAGGACCACAAGGAAACAAGGGACCACTTGGACCACCAGGACCACCAGGACCAGGAGGACCAGACGGACAGCCAGGAAACAAGGGACCAGGAGGACCACCAGGACCACAAGGAAAGCCAGGACCAGGAGGACCGCCAGGAGAGAACGGACGCAACGGAGAGCCACAGCCAGGAGCTCCAGGAGAGCCAGGACGTCCAGGACAGCCAGGACCACGTGGAGCCGCCGGACAGCCAGGAAAGGACGGATCTGCCGGAGCGCCAGGAGAGAAGGGAGCCAACGGAGAGCCAGGACAGCCAGGAAGAGATGGACAGCCAGGGCGTCCAGGACAGCCAGGAAAGGACGGACACCCGGGAGAGAAGGGAGTGTGCCCCAAGTACTGTGCTCTCGACGGAGGAGTCTTCTTCGAGGACGGATCCCGCCGTTAAGCGCGCCAGTTTCTCATTATGCATTTCAAAATTTCGGACGGATCTTGTTTCTTTTGCATTTCTTGCGAATAAACTTTTTCTATTCGAAAAGTGTGTTTCTGTTCTCTAATCAGCTGAAACCGGTTTCGGAAATGGTTACTGTAGGCAGGGAAACTAATTGAAAGCGACTTGTTAACACCTGATTGGACAGGCCTTTGTACAGACTCATTTGTGTTTTGATAGAACTTACCAAGTCCGAAAATCGAAGAGGCAACTGATTCTGTGTTTGTGTCGACGGCGGACGATTCAAAGTTGGAGACACTGTGACGTCGTCTTGCAGCAAGGGCGACGGCTGAAAACGAAGTTGTTCAGTCGATTTCAAGACCAGAATCCCCCTAGTTTCTTTTTATTCTTTTGTCGACCTCTTTGCAATTCAATTCACAGAGTTCACGCTCATAAAATGTCAGACTCTATGGCTTATTACACACTCGCTTTCCCATTTTCTCTCTCGTTTTCTATCTCAAGAACATCTCTTGTGCCATAAAACTGGAGAAGCTCATGGAAGAGATGAGAAATGAGAAAGAAGGAGAGAGAAAGAGACTGGATCACTTCACAACCTGACTCGGATGACAACTGGCACGTAGTGCACGTCACAGACACACGGGTTGTTTGGGTAAAAATAGAAAAGAACTCGGGCTACGCAAGCTAGAGACTAGAACGGAGCCGGTGGGATATTCGAAGAGAAAGTCCTTCTAAGAGTCCGACAAACAAAACAATGCAGTTTCAGACATCTCCGCAACAAACGCGTCACTTCCATGCTTAACTTACCCTCAGGCATGTCCGTCTGCGTCTCCGTCTTCTCCTCTTCTCTCTCCTTATCCGTCGTCGTCACTGATGTCGTGCTCATCATGCTGGAGGTGTCCGCGTCGTTCCCGCCTGCTTCGTCGATGTCGCGCACCGTGCTCACAATGATTTCGGATTCTGGATTGAAGAGAAAAAAGTGAAAAAGAGAAAAAGAACCAAATTTGGGAGTTAGAGCAAATCTACAGAAGTTAGAAGAAATGCAAAAAAAAGAAGAAAACTGTTAGTGAAAAGAAAATTGAATGTGCTACTCCTAGTACCTTTCGACTCCTCATCATCAATGTCATCCAGGCTTCTTTCTACGAGAACAGTAAGGTCTCCGGTGGTCGACTGAAGGAATTTAGTCGCCTGTCTTTCCGATCGAATCGGAACGTTATTGATGGCCACGAGCACGTCTCCCGGCTTGAACGCCGCCCTGTCGGCCAGACTGTTGTCCTCCACAGTGCACACTTTCACTGGGCGACTCTGTCCGGAAGCCGGCGCGGATTTGTCGAACGTCAGGCCGATGGGAGTGGCGATGTCGTAACGGGAGAAGGTCAGCAGAACGTTGACGACGTGGCCTTGCTCCTCGTTTTGAACAATCGGACGGGATTCGATGGACACTGTGCAATAGATCTCGTACTGTTTGTTTTTGTCGTCGAGAAGCGTGTTCTTGAGGCGAGAGCACTGAAGAACGGTCACTTCCATGCCTCCTTCCATTTTGATGTGCGTGAAACTGTCTGAAATGAAAAGTTGTAATTGCTTATTTGAACTGCAAAGTGTTTACTTATAGGTGGGGACGCTTGGAATATCGGATTGGGGAACAATGGGCGATATCTGATCTTGTAGTTCGGCCACACGTGTTTCCTTTGCAAAGAGCGACGAATCGCTTCTTTGATGATCGGAATGAGCCGTTTCAGTTGATGGCCCTGGATTTGAGAGTTGATCTGAAAGGAAAAATGTTGTGAGGATGAAGAAGAAGCAAAACAAAAAACACTCACTTCAGTTTCGAAAACCGGCTGTGAGACGAATGAGAACGTCCAGTGATGGTACGGTTGTCGGGAGAGAATCACTCGGACCGTTCCGGTCAGTTTGGTGATCTTCACGGACAAACTCGCTTTCTTGGCTATAATAGTGGAAACATCGATGGAAGTCTCGAAGCCGCCGGAGTAATCAATGTCCAGAATGAAGACGATCTTTTCGAACGTGTTATTGTCATCCGCCATTACGACATCTTCCACGCGGATCGATTTAATCTTCACGAACTCGGTTCCGAGCGACAGTTCTCGAATGCGAATCTCCTGAATTAAACGGCCGGCCGTCGATCGAGTCGTGATGTCGTTCATCTCCATTTGAAGACGTTTGTGTACCCATCTGAAGTAGAAAGTTAATTTTGTCCCAGTTCTACTTTTACTTGCCTTCTGAGAGCTAGTGTATCTTTATGCTCTTGAAATAGGAAATGAAGCAGGAGACTGATGGAATTGCACGATTCCCACCGGGAAATACCTTGTCCGTCCTCCCCAGACTTCAGGAATCCACGAAGTTCCATTGGCATCTGAGCGGGACGGAACTGCTCGATGGGCGGCTGCGGCTGATCGGACGGAGGTGCCCATGGATCGACGATGAAAATGTACAGAATGATCGCCGCGATGGCCAATCCGACGAGCACTCCGGCCAGAAATGTCCACAACATGGAGTGTTCGGTTCAGTCGGGACCGCTTCAGACGGCGAGTCTCTCCTGCTTCCCTCTCCAATACTGTTGCGGTTCCTTGGCTAAAAGCAATGATGATCATTGTCAAGTGGGCGAATGGGATCGAAAACAAAACAGGGATTGCGGCAACAAACATAAATAGATTCTGAGAACGGGAGCATTCGACGTTTCCACGGTGGGGAATTCGATGTTTTCGCGCCAGACGCCACGTGGAAGAGTCGGACAGGGAGAACGAGAGATGATGGGATTGAGAGGACGCAGAGAACTGAGAGGAGGGAGCGAGTGACCCTGGGAAGCAGGTGACCTCGAAGGATTCCAGAGCCGCTTCAGACCTACGTGACTTTCCCTACATTCTTCTCAATGGCGACTTATAATGGCGATGAGTGATGTAATTCAGAAGTTGTAGGAACTTGGCGGCTGTGTTTTCCAAAAGTTTGTATGATTGAAAGTTCAACATTTAATCGATTCAGCTAGAGCGCGCGAACTCTCAGCTTTTCAAAATAACAATAACTGAATACACATGAAGAAAAAGCTGAACGTAAAAACGAAGCCGCGTGCTTTTGTGTGTGCTACGAAACGCTGAAACGCTCCATCAGCCGGTCGATTTGTCACACGATGATAGGCAATCTATCAACTAGAGACAACGGAACACTGGAGAACAAAAGTTTGTGATGACTAATCGGAAATATGCAGAAGGATGTGTCAGCTGAAAGAGGGAAAGAGGGAGCCAGAAGTCAAACAATGTTTGGGATGACGCAGCAAATTATAGTGTTGCAAAAGCAAAATGTCAGTAAGAACACTTCTATTCTGAGAATGTCGGTCAGCGATGCACTTCTTCTCCTTCTTCCGCAGTTTTTCCTGTTTTCTGCAAAGATAGAGAAAGCGATACAATCTGTGGGGAATGGCCGACTAATGAGAGTTTTTGGCAGGCAGCAGACGAAATGAGAAAACGGCACACAAGATTAAGGATATATCTTTTTTGTTTCTGCTGTCGAAAGTACTCGAGGGAACTGGGAGAGCGGGCCGGAAAAGGAGTCCAACAACAGGGATTATCATCGGCCGACCAATTTTTTTTTGAAGAAATGAACAGTGAATTTGGGACGTGGTCGGAATGTGTGGCGTCGCTGGAAAATGAAAAAAGAAACGGAGGAAGCGGCAGAGAAAACGGGAGCAAAATGAGGGGTGTTGGAAGGCAAAAGAGCCCTTTTCAGCGTGATTGACCAGCTTGTTCGCTTCCGGCAAGAATGACGTAGTCTGCTGAGGGTTGTACTTCCAAAAATACTTTGGGAATGGGGAGAAGCAGCGAATAACTAGAAAACCATGATTTCAGGCATTTTCTAATTTTGATTGCATTTTTTCGAAACCTTTATATTAAAAAAATAATTGGCTAAGTTTATTGAATAAATAAACGAGGTCACGCTTTGTTTGGGCAATAGTGTGCGAGAAAAATGGAGACAAAAGAGAAATGTATCGAAGCGCCGCTTGTCCGAGAGGAGTCCGCAGCGTTCGTGGACTAGGCTCCTCTGTTATTTTCCTCTTCCATTTCTGAAATGCGACAAATTTTGGCATTTTCCGATCTGAAAAAAACATAATTCGGCTTTGAAAGCTCGAAAGATAAAAGCCACAACTCATGAAAAATTATTTGACGATTTCATAACACTACTTCTTATCACACATTCACAAGTCATTTGCGAGAAAAAACGGACATTTCATCTGATCATTTTGTGTGATCGTGTGTAGGGTACAAAGCACAAAAATAACATTGGCACTGACGGCTGCTGATAAACAGTTATTTAACAGTTCTTTCCGCTCCTTCCCCCTTGGCAGTCGTACTATCAATTCGTTTGCGTCGTCGATAATTTCTCGCCAATTTCAGACAAAATGACGGCGTCGGGCCACAGTTCCATCAAGATCGGCTCAATGGAGGTGTCTCGACCGATCGCTTTCACCTACCTCCTCACCGTTTTCTACAATATCACCTTTTTCCTGCAGTTCTCAGCCACACCGTATCTTGTCAAACAACTCAAGCTCTCAGATGCAGATTTCGGTTCGTTTGAAACGAAGGAAGTGTTATGTACTGATTTTGCAGGTTACATTCAAACGGTATTCGGTATTTTCCAAATGGTCGGTGGTCCACTCTTCGGGTATGTAATCCAAAAGTTCGGAATCCGGTACGCTCTCCACGTCTGCTACCTCTCCACTCTCCTCTCCGGGCTCGCACTTTTCTTCTCTTTTGTGAGTTGTACTATTATAAATTGAAGAAATTCAAATAAAAACTAGATTACAGAACTATTACTCCCTACTTCTGTCGAGAATTCCCGTAGTATTTATGCATGGACAGCAAGCTCATCAAACTCTTTTATCTGCACTGACAACGCCCGGAAAGGAGAGAACGAGCGCGTTCGGACGAATGGGACTCACTTTCGGTCCGTCCGTGTACCTCATTCGTCTCCATTTCTTATTTCTTTACAGGAATAGGATTCATCTTCGTGCCGGTGTTCTCGATTGCAGCCACAAAGCTCGGCGGAGAACTGGCTCCACTGCTCGTTTCCGCCGCCCTCTGTATCCTGCCGTCTTTGGTTCTGGAGACGTGCATAAACCGGAAGGCTTACGAGCACGAAGTGGCAGAAGACGATCCGAATGCGTCGGCTCCTCAGATAAACATCACAAACGTCGTGAGGATCCTTCAGAAGCCGGGAGTTCTAAATGTGATGGCAAAGAAGAACGGAGGAGTCATTCCGTTCCTCATGATCATTGCAGTGCTCAATGTGAGTAGATTCTGACTATGTTTGATTATAAAAAGGTCGTTTCAGCTGTACATAATTGAAAAGTTCAATGCGACGAACACGGAGAATCAGATAATGCAAATGATGATGGGCGTGTTCATCATGTTTTCCAATGGCTTTGGAGTCATTTGGCTGAGGAAGAAGTTCGACGAGCAGACCCTTCTGATCATTGGATCCGCCAGCTTCGTGATCGGCTACACTCTGTTCACATTCGTCTTCTTCAACTTCTGGATGCTCCTCCTCATCATGCCGTTCGTTTCTCTCGGAATGAGCGTGGTTGCCACGTGTGCCGACAGTCTGCTCACTGCTCTCGTCGAAGAATCCGAACAGGTAACTTCTGCTTCACATCCTCGCCCCACCGCACTTTCAGGGTATCGTGCTCGGCACTTCCACGTCGCTCAACTCGCTCGTCCGCACTTTCTCCCCGTTGTTCGCCGGTTCAATGCTTCAAAACTACGGATTCGAGTCGCTGACGATACTCGGAGTTGTCGGATCTCTTCTCGCAATCGCGTTAATGCTCGTGTCGCCGGTCGACGAAAAGCTTATCAAGAAACATAAAACGGAGTAAACTTTAGTCAATAATAAAGTAGTGCCACTTTCAACTGTGATAATAACGATCTGTGTCAGGCAATAAACATTCATCATTCTCATAAAAACAAAACAAAAAACGGACAATTAATCGTCACTCGTTGTCATAAACACTGATAGTGTTCTGCGACTTTGTCTTCGGAACGGGTCCGTCCGTCGTCAACTGCTCCTCTTTCGTCTCCATCGTTTGCAACGTTCCCATCGTCTTCGTGCCCTCCTCCACAGTCACCGTCCCTGTTTTCCTTTGCGATTCCGCAGTCACACTCTTCAGTTTCCTCGCCGATCTGTCCGTCTTCCTTCCGCTGTTCTCACTCGCCGCCCTGTCATCTTCCGGAGGCACTATTCCGTTCTGTTCCACTTCCGGATCACTCCGCTGCGTTGTTTTCTCTCTTTCCGACACTTCCTTCGACTCCACTTTCTTCTGCTTCTTCTCTTCCAGCGGAGCCACCTTCCTCGTCGACGGCTGCTTCTGCTTCTTTACCGACGGCGCCTTTTCCTTCTCTTCCACCGGCTTAACTGGTGTTGGCACATCTTCTGGTGTCTTCGGTGTCCCAGGATCTTCTGTCTTCGGAGTCCCCGGTTCTTCTGTCTTCGGCGTCCCCGGTTCTTCTGTCATCGGCGTCACCGCCGCATCCTCCACCTCATTCGCCTCTTTGTCGTCGTCGTACATCACCACAGTTCCCTTCGCTTTCTGACCAACTAACTTCATGTTTGCTTCTCGAGATTCCTAAAGGCTTTCAGTGGGATCTTTCAGAAGAATGCGTTACCTCCAAGAAGAAGAACACTACAATCATTCCCAAAGTTCCTAGAACAATGTTGATGAAGAAAAGAGAAGGTTCATACGCGTATTTGAGATTTTTCTGAAATCTCTCTCATCTGTGCAAGTGCTCTCTTAGTCCACTCACAGTCAACGTGGCTATAACAGTTCCGACTTTCAAGAAGATGTTGGCAATCGCTCCGACGGTAGCCCTCACATCAGTCGGCATCAACTCAACGAGGGCGATGTACGCCGATTCAAGACAGATCGACTGAGATGCGTAGGCGAGAGTGTAGGCTGTGATGTACATGAACGATCCTTTGGCGTCCGTGTAGAGGCACACGACGATGATGATGTAGCAGGCGAGGGCGACGGACTGGGAGACGAGAAAGAGGACACGACGACCCATTCCGGTCAGATACGGCTCCGACATTCCGATGATCTGAGTGGGAGGAGGTAACCAGGTGCAGGAAGATATGCCTTACGAACTGTCCAATTGAGAGAACGAATCCAGAGAGGAACTGGCCCCAATATAAGTTTCTTGTCATGTCCGCACCATTCAAATCAGTGATGTAAACCGCCATTCCCACGTAGAAGTACCTGAAATCAGGCATTGCTCTCTTCTAGAGATTCCCATTGTTCTCACATGAACACAATCACAATAAAACTTCTTCGGAGTCTCGAATCCTTGTACACTCTGGCCGGAGTGACCTTCTCGAACGTCGTTATTTCAATGGGATCGTGCAGACCGTCGTCCGATCCTCCGATCCTTCTGATCCTTTTCCGGGCTCTCGACGCTTCCTCGTACTTGTCTTTCTGCTCCAACCAAATGGGACTTTCCGGGAGGAACCAGAGAATTGGAAGGGCCAAGCAGGCGACCGAAGCACTGATGTACGTGGTTCTCTTCCATTCTTGTGCCAGATAAGCAAGTCCCACCTGGATCATTCGGGCGTTTGGCTGAAATTGATATCAAAAAGTTCATCCGATCATTACCAGTGCCCCGGCTCACTCACCCAATTTGCCAGCGCCAACAGTCTCAATCGGCGGTTCGGAGAGATCATTTCGGTCGCGTACGTCCATCCGACAGTCATCGTTCCGGCGATTGCAAATCCAGTGAGCACGCGGAAGACGTAGAACGCAGTGACATCCTGGATGAGGGCGGAGAGGATCAGACACGGAACTCCGAAGAGGATCGAGAGGAAGTAAACGAGACGACGTCCGTACTTGTCGGCCAGGAATCCGAGCACGATGTTGCCGAGCAGGGTTCCGATGAACATTGCAGTCGAGTTATCGAATCTAAAGGAGAAGAGAATGAATGAATTACAAAATATGGAAACGTACGATTTCAGATGTGTACAATCTTGCTGATACTGGTACTGAGCACTGTAGAAGAAGACCTTTTTGTGGTCGACAATGCAGTTTCTCTGAAATTTCCATTTGGTTTCATTTGGCTCTCTCTCTCTCTCTTCCGCGCACCCTGCTCTTCCCCAAACTCATCGGGCACAAGTTCTCCGCACGAGGATCGTAATCCGTCAAACATTTACTTCGCATTTTATAACAAAAATTATCTGAAAGTGTTGTTTGTCACTGGAGCACACGCAGAAACGGAAACCTTCGGTGCAATAGGTCTGTGGCATGTAGTCGAGGAAAATGACGAAAATTAACTGAACAGAGAAAACGAGCGTAATTTGGTAAAGGACCATTATGATGATGTCGAGGCGCCATGCTCCTGAACGGGAATTCAAGAATGTCGTCGGCGGAGAGCACTTGCTTACCGGAATCCGTTGCCATTTTGCTAAAGAAAGGTGAACTAAACTGAAAGTGCTGGACGCAAAGTTCAATAGAACTAGAGCACCCGGCCGCAACATCATCCGCGCTGAAATGCTATAATTTATGCACGAATTTATATAATTTCCTGGAAAACTGTTCGCTTTGAACTTTAGCGATCATCTGTGAATTGTCAGGTGTACATATAGATTAGAGTAAACAACAATTCATTGAGTCTATGAAACCGTACATAGAAAATAAATGAAACATTTCGAGCAACAACGGAGAAAAGCTGTGTGTGTGTGTGTTCGGGTGGTACAAGTAATCGAATGATCGGAAGGGAGAATTCAGGTATCTAAGCTATGTACAAATACGGGGAAAAACCGGTCAATCTTTGGTGGTGATGGGTCAATATGATCCGAACTGTGATAGGCACTGTGATGAACACAAATTAGCGACCATGAAGCGAGAGTCGTGGCGAGACCCAAAGTGAGAGAACGAGAAGAATGTCTTGTTTAAAGTACAGACGGATGACCGGGAAACGGGAAAGAATTACACGGAGTTGATGGGGGTTTTGAACGGGAGAAAACGGAAAGTGAATGAAGAAGAAGAGGGAAAAGTGCGAAATTTACAAGCGAAGAGTGGCGATCGGATGGTCCTCAAAAACGAGCGATCCTTGAGGTCCGAGACCTTTGAGATGACGGGTCGTGGTGCCAGTTGGGTGCTCGAAGAGCATGGAATCTCTGTGATGCGCGTAGTCGTCGGAGCCAGTCCGCGTGGTTACCGTGGACTCGGCTGTCTCCACGGAGGACATTATCAGGGGAGTCGAGTAGGTATTATAGTGCGGGTTCTGGAAGAACTGACGTTCGGATTATGATCAGAAGTCTGTAAAAGTTAGGGACCAACCTGTACATATTCATTAGTAGAGATGTCGTAATGCGTGAATCTGGCATCTCGATCGTAATCGAACAAATCGTCGTATGATGGAGAAGTCAGACCTGAAAAGAATGTTAACTTCAAACCTGTAACTCCAATGTTTCCAAACCTGAGAAACGTGGATAATATGCTTCTGGAAGGTCTCCGGATCCCTGTTCATCTTTGTGTTTTCGGTACATGAACAGTCCGGAGGTGTTGTTCGGAGGAGTTCTGAAAATAGTTGTATATTAGAAGATAATACTCAATGGAGAGATGGCTTACTTCAACTTTTTTCTCAAGAAAGTAAAGTAGATGATGGGTGGATACATTACAAAATAGATATAAGTGGAGACTCCGACGAAACTGAAATCGCAGAAAACCATCAAATAACGCTTGAGCACTTCTGAATTACCATAAGCCATCGGAGGACTTGAACAGAATGAGAGCGGCTCCGAGGGATTGCAGCAGATTGAGAACGACCATCATCATGCAGTAGATGAAGAAGGAGCCCTTGCTTGGCAGTTTTGTGTACTTCTGGCAGCACACGAGAGGAAGACACATGATGGAGAAGTAGATGAGCGCTAGAACGGCTGAGGAGAGCACCCAGAAGATGAAGCCGCCGTCGGACTGCACGTCGAAGTACGTTAACGGGAGCCACGACTGAAAGGGGAAGGGCTTAGAAGAGACGTCCCTTTCGAACTCACATTGTCAATGATCTTCATCTCGATGATCATCTGAACTGCCGTATGAGGTATCGAGACGAATAATGTGCCGAGCAGCGCCACCAGAATCGACTTCCCGTTGTCCAAATGACCGAACAGCAATCCGAACGTGAGAGCGCAGAACTCGGCAGTCAGATAGAAAAACTTGATGACAATCCAGAGGGTCTGGTCGACTGTGTGCTCCAGTCCGCTGGTCATCGAGAGTGTCATACTGTAGACGCATCTGATGATGTTCACAAGAGTGGAGATGTAGACGAGGAGCGTGAAGGCCCGGAGCACCGGCGAGTTGCCTGTCCGCAGCTTCCGGATCACACTGCCGCACTTTAAAATGAGAAAGAGGAGAAACAGAAGGTTGGGTACTAAGATCGCAGCATCCCAGTATCGGATTCTGAACACGGAAGGGCTTGGAATAAATTGGATGACTCTGGATGACTCACTGAAATGCGCCGGGTAACCTGAGCACGAAGACGTCTCGACAGAAGCCTCGTATGTTCTGATGCGTGGGCGAATCGATGAAAGACATGTTCGGAAACAGTTCGTCGACCCATTCCGGACTGGTTTCGATCGAAAGATCCACCTCCCTGGAGCCGTTCGTCTCGGGCACCGACCCGAGACTTGTGCCCGGGTTCTCGTGGAATATTACTGACATTCGAACTGCAAATTACCCGGATTGAGGATAGATTTACGAAAAGAGAAAGAGCGAAAGTAATCAGAAGAAGACGGATACGTGGGCGTATTTAGTTGCATGTGTGAAAATGAGCACCCGGGGGGAAATAGAGAAATCGAGAGAAAGAGAGCCAAAAAACGAGTGGTAACCGTGGCAACACTCCCATTTTCGCTCCCATTCCGTTCGTTTGAATATGCACGTCCAGCCACTCGCTAATTCCTTTAATCAAGGTCAAAACTAACTAACAGAGTCTGGCCGACGAAAACGGGAAAACGGAGAAAAGAAGGCGAATCAGTGGAGCGGAAGGAGCAGAAGAAAAGGGTGTGGAAGGAAACGAAGAAAGAAAATTAGAAAAACGAGGGGGATGGAATGAGTGATTAGGTGAGGCGCGAGAAAGAGAGGAAGTTATTAATAGAAACAGAAACATTTGAATACTAGAACTGGATCGGGAATATTTGAGTGTCAAATGACGAAGGGATACGGTAGTCTGTTAGGTGTTCTGAGCACTGCAGACTGCTTTTCCTCCGCTAAAACATCAAGAATCTCTGGGTCGGAGAGGAACAGCTGAATATATAATATTTTATTATTTGGCGGGTGAAGAACGACGATTCCGTCTTCTTCTTCTTCTTCTTCAATTCGCCCTTAACAATTTACGATGTTTACCCTCGGAAAGGAGCGGCACATGGGAACGAACAGCATCTGCAGAAGGAGGGAAAAGGACAAATATGAATGGAAAAGAGGGGATAATTCGATGATAAATAGGAGGGGAGGGAAAGATTTGAATTTGAGACATGAATAAACCGTTGTAGTTGGCCTAGAACTGGCCGTTGAACGGTGGAGCGCGATTGCGACACATCTGAGAGATTTCTCAATTGCCAGTTGAGATATCAAAAAACTGTCTACTGATAAATTGCTCAGAAAGATATCATGAACAATTTTTTAGTTGAAAACTTTTTGACATCTCCATCGACAAGTGAGATAAATATTTTTGAATTGACAGTATGATGGTTTGCTGCAATTTCGGAATCAACGTAGTTAAACTAACAATTTTCAAATGAAAACGTGTATTAGACTGAACCTCAAAACTGCAGTTGAGTTCTACTGTACAGGCCATCTGTCCGAACTCGAATTTCAATGATTCACTCTCTCACTCCCGATCTCATTCGTTTTTTTCCGCCTATTCTCGTGATACATGTAGGCGTAAAGAAGACCCTCTCGTATTTGCATGTCCATGCACCACTCTCTCTCTCTCTCTCTCCCATCATCATCTGAACACCCTTTCACAACTACGAGCGACACAAACTGGTTCCTTCTGACGACATCATCAAAGAAAGGGGCGAGGTAGGAGGGGGGACACACACTTGCAAATTGACTGAAAATTGGCCGAACTTCGTTGTTGCTGACCAGATGAGGATTTTTTAGGGAGATGGAAGAATCGGGAGGCGAATCGTTGCGAAATCAGTGGTTTTTGGGGGTGGTCAAACATCGAGATGATTAATGACTGCGGATCGGATCGGATTGGGAAGGGGAAGTAGAAGGATTGAATTGGGGATCAGGAGGATGCCACGTGGCAAGAATCAAGCGACGAGACGGGGAAAGTGAGTTTCCCCTCCGATCGGTGGTCACGGTGGTCATAATTCGATTAGAGTATCGACAGAATCGCGGAAATGTGATCTTGTTCACTTGCAAAAACGTCTCTTCGCGACGGCACGAAGACAAGTTTCCTTTTGTGACGTGGCGATCGCCGTCTAGACGGAAGGGGAGCGCAAAGAAAAGTAAAAACAATTAGCGAGCCCATTTGTTTTTGATTTCCCTTCGCTCCGTCCCAACCCAACCCACTTTTTATGTGAGAATTAGCGAGACCTTCGCAGAAATGTGTATAACTGTAAAACTGGTCGATTAGTGGGATTGGCGGACTTCCGGATGTAAAAAAAGCAGTTTTGAAGTCGTCCAGACAGGCGGCGAACACTTCAATTTACGGAATTGAATTGGAATCGAGAAGACTGGAAATAGCACTGATTAGTCAGCGAGACCGGAACGTGCTCTTTTCGGAGGGAAACACGAGACGGCAACTCTTCTTTATCAGTCAATGTAGCAGCGCTCGCTCACTGACCAATGCATTCAATGAATATTCGAATGGGGAAAAGAATGTGCGTGGGCGGAACGGATCGGCCAGATGCGACAGTTGAATAGGTGATCGGCACCTGACCGCCCCGGGAATTCGCATTCCATTCCGAGAGCAGATGCGCGCCAAGTTGCAGCTGGCTCGGTGGAAAAAGGAAAAAAAAAAGAAAATGATAGGGGGAGGAGGTGATTTATTGTGGGGAAGGGGAACTCGCGGAGCTCAGAGTTCGGAGTGCGAAAAGAGAAAAAGTAAAAGAAATCGTCTAATACGTCAATCCTTGGCAGACTGCCAATCACTGATAAGAAAGGATGGAAAAAATGACGTGGCTTCAAGGCATGTGGCGATTGTTTTAACTAGAAAACAGAACAAAACAAAACAAAACGTTGTGGCGGCGTGATTGATAACAAATGAGTGAGCAAAAAGTGAGAATGAGAGAGAAAGGGAGGAGAAACAGTTGGTGTGTTCGACGGAAGGAACCAATTGGGAGGAGCGAATTGAGGCAAAGTTGAAAACGTTCAAATGTTGGAAACCTTTCGGAAACCAATCATGGCTCACTGGCAGTTGACACCTGTCCACTCCATCTTATTCTTCGCTTCCGACGGGCGGTCCCCCGCAAGTCGGTGATTTGTCGGGTCGCAAGACATTTGAAAGTTTGCTCAAAAACACGTAGAGGGTTCCCAAAATATCGAATTTCGCGTAGGGGGATCGCATTTCACAAGTGTTCCAGAGTGTGATGACGTGGCAAGCCGGCGATTGGCACTTGGTCACGTCGTCGTCTTCTTCTTCTTCTTCTTCTTCTTCTTCATCTTCTCCGGCTCCCGCTGCTCCGCTCCACACATCCATTTTGCTCCGCTCTGCCCGCCGGCCATCACTTATTACCACTCACTCGACATGCTCTCGGAGAGGAGCGCTCCACGCACCTTTTCAAAAATGCTGCTGCTCCGCGGTTTTGTGCATTTCCGCTTCGGTTTTTTTGCATCAAATAAAAAAGGAAGAGGAAAAAGAAAAGGGAGAGCAAAAAGATGATGATGGATTAGAAAAGGGAAACGGGAATACATCTGGCGGGAACGGGCACGCTTCTTTTTGACAACTGGTACGTTTCGCAACTGTCTAGAGGCTCCTAGACTGAGAAAAGTCACAAAAAAGGACTGAGTGTGTCTCATTCCGCTTTTCCGGAGTGAGGCACACAAAATGAGAACTGGTTCTCGAGAAAACACAGAAAAAACAATGGACGGGCGGCGAGAGAGTGAGCGAGACGAAGAGACGCCGACACATTTACGAGCACGACTTGTTGTCCCGTTCCAGCCATGGAGCTGAATGCCAAATGCAATGAATTTGGCTGGAAATGCGAGAGATGCAGAGAAAAAGAGAGATAGAGAGAGAGAGAGAAGGCGAAGTACAAGGAACTTTTGATAAATCGGTTCAAGTTTAGTCCATGCGGTCTCTGTTCATCTCTGCGTCTCCCAGTTTCACACACTTTCTCTCGCTCCTTTTCTAGACAAACTTTGCGGGGCGCCGGAAACCTGTTGGGATCACGCCAAGAAAGGACATGTCACGTGGGGACGGAGAGAGCACTTGACGCGGAGAAACGCACAGTTTCAGACCCCACGTGACTGTCGGAAACGGTACGAAGGCGGAGGACAAATCAGGTGAGAATGACACGACGACACAAAAAAAACTGGTTAGGAAAAGCGAATCGAATGGGAAACAAATCATTTTCATGTCAAAACCCGCCGCTCAACTTGACAAATGACTTGCGAAAAAGAAAAAAGAAAAGATTGGAAACGAGCTCAAAGAGCACAAATTGATAAGGAAGGAGACCTTCAGAGATCACAGAAGAACAGCTGATAAGCGTGGAGCAGGTTTCGGAAGGGAATTGCAGAAAACGGTTAGGAATAAGTGGCTCCGCTTTTTGTGCTTAAATTTGGAAGATGGTGCGTGGCATTCTCGAAGGAAAATTGGGAATTAGAATGCATTTCGGGGCGGACGACGAATTCGGATAAAGGGCTCAAATTTGGAGGCTTTACCAGACATTTAGAGAGAGCCGAAGAATGCATTCATTCTCTCTCGCTCCCTTCCGATTCTTGCTCATCACATGGTATTCTCCGGACACGTGACACTCACTGAAATTGCGTACTCAACGGCCGAGAGGTCTGTCTAGTCGATAAATTACCCCCTTCTCTTCCTCTTTCTTTTTCTTCTTCTCTGCTTTTTGTGCACTTCGAAGCGCCGCCACCACGTGTTTCGGTCATTTTTCATTTGAGAAGAGGGTGACAAGAAAGAATGACGAAAGAGCGAAGATGACACGTGGCAAAAAGGGAGAGAGAGAGAGAGAGAGAATCGGAAGATCGGAATGAGAACGTTCGGAGACTGAACAAAAGCGAGAACAAACAATCTAGACCAACTTGTTCTCGGAAACTAGTGACGTGGCAGAATCATTCACTTTTTCGGTGAAAGCTATGTGTGTGGCACGTCACAAAGGAGTTGGGAGCTCAGCTGGAAAACAGCTGCCGTTCAAAATGAATGCTGGATCATAAAAATGTCGGAAACTATGGCTCCGATAGAAAACAACAAAAAAAAAGCGGAGCAACATCGAAAAGAAGGGACGGTCAAGTCTAGACGGCATTTTCTGAAAATTGGCAAAAAGAACGCCCCGGTCCTCTGGATTTGCTTTTGGGAAAATTTTTATAAAACAAGGCTACTGTAGAGGCGATTGATAGAGGAAATGGAACAGTTTCGCGTTTGTGCTCGCGCGTCAAAAGTGATGATCGGTTGAGGGGGCCCAGGCCAGAGCAGTGCAAATCGGGGAGCAAATAAAATGGGCAAAAAATGGACACAAAACGGGAGAGAAACTAAT